ATTTCAGACTCTTTTGCTGACGATGATGGCTGCTCCTTTTCTTCTAAGGGATTCTTGCCCACAGTAGTAGATGTCATGGTCATTTGAATTAAATTCACCCATTCCAGTCCATTTGAGTTCACCGATCCCTAAAATGTCAATGTCCACACTTGCCATCTCCTGTTTGGCCACTTTCAGTTTACCTTGATTCATGGACCTAACATTCCATGTTCCTATGCAATACTGTTCTTTATCACATCACACTTGACTCCCATCACCAGTCACATCCAGAACTGGCTGTTGTTTCTGCATTGGCGCCATCTCTTCATTCTTTCTGGAGTTATTTCTCCAGTAGCATATGGATCACCTACTGACCTCGGGAGTTCATCTTTCAGTATCATATCTTTTTGATTTTCATACTGCTCATGGGATTCTCAAAGAAAGAATATGGAAGTGGTTTTCCATTCTCTTCTCAACCATCAAATAAGCCAAAAATAGAAAAGGTAGGTAAGGACAGTCTCTGCAATAAATGATGTTGGCAAAACTGGACACTTACATGAAAAACAACCAAACAGGTCCAGTATCTTACAATATGCAGAGAACTGAACTCAAAATGCATTAAGCCTTGAGAAGAAGACCTGAAACCCCAGAACTAGAAAAAAAAGGTAGAAACCTCTTTAACAGCTGTCTCTGAAATGACTTTTCGATCTGATTCTAAACACAAAAGAAGAGCAAAATGTAACAACTGGAATTATAGCAGAGGTCAACAAATTAAAACAAAGAGAAATGAAATAAAATGAAATTGGAGAAAATATTTGCAATTAATATACTTTGTAAGGGGTTAATATCTAAAATATATAAAGAATTTATACACCTGTATAGCAAAAAAAATAACATTAAAAAACTTCATTTAAAAGAGGGCAAAAGGTCTCAATAGACGTTTTTTCCAAACAAGTTATATAGATGGCAAACAGGCCCAGGAAGAGTTGCTTTATATCTGCAATCATCAAAGAAATGAAAATCCACACCAAGAGAAGTTATCCCCTCACATCTTCCAAAATAGCCATCATCAGGAAGAACACAAATAAATGTTGGCAAGGATGTGAAGGAACAGAAATACTTGAGCACTGTTGGTGGGAATGTAAATTGGTGTAGCCAGTATGGAAAACACTATGAAGGCTCTTCTAAAAATAAGACTACCTCAGGATCCAGTAATCCCACTCCTGGACATATACTGGGAGAAAGCTCTCAATTGAAAGGATAATGCACTCTAGTTACAATGCCTAACATGTGGAAGCAACCTCAATATCCACTGCCAAATGGATAAAGAAGATGTGGTGCATATACACAATGGAATACTATTGAGCCTAAAAAGAATGAAATGGTGCCATTTGCAGCAACTTGGATGGACCTGTAGATGATCATAGAAGTGAAGTCAGTCGACAGAGAAAGACAAATATCGTATGATACAGCTAATATGTAGACACTTAAAAAGTGATACACCTGAACTTATGCACAAAATAGAGACTGATACACAAAGTTTAAAAGCAAACTTATGATTACCATATGGGACAAGTGAAGGTAAGGATAAATTAGGAGGTTGAGATTAATAAACAGATGCTACTATATGTAAAATAATCAACAATGGCCTACCGTATAGCACAGGGAACTCTCCACAATATTCTGTGATAACTTATAAGGGAAAATAATCTGAAAAAGAATAGATCTATGAATCTCTGACCCCACGCATAAAAATAAACTAAAAATGGATTAAAGATCTAAATGTAATTCTAGGCCCTATCAAAACGTTAGAGAAAAACAGAGGGAGAAGCCTCTGTGACATATATCACAGAAAGATCTTCTCTAGTCCAGTTCCTAGAGTGATGAATTAAAAATAAAAATAATAAAATGCAACCTAATCAAACTTAAAAACTGACCCCTGGGAGACAGTGTTCTCCCAATATGAAAAGCGCGCACAGAAAGGAAGAAAATATCTGCAAATGAAGTGACCAACAGGGGATTAATCTTCAAAATATGTAACAGCGCATGCAGCTCAACATTAAAAATAAAACAGAAACTAATACCCTCAATCAAAAAATAGATGGAAGATCTAAATACACAATTCTCCAAAGAAGGCATACAGGTGGCCAAGAAGAACATGAAAAGACACTGAACATCACTAATTATTAGAGAAATACAAATGAAAACTACAATGAGATATCAGCTCATACCAATCAGAATGGCCATCATCAGAAAATCTACAAAGAATAAAAGTTGTAGAGCGTGAGGAGCAAAGGGAAGCCTCATACATTGTTGCTGAGAATGGAGATTGGTACAGCCACTATGAGAAACAGTATCAGTTCAGTTCAGTGCCTCAGTTTCTCTGACAGTATGAAGGTTCTTAAAAGACTAAAAATAAGAGTTACCACATGATACAGTCATCTTACACTTGGGCAAATATCCAGAGAAAAACATAATGTGAAAAGATCCATGTTCCCCACTGTTCGTTTCAGCACTATTTACAATAGCCAGCAGACAGAAGCAACTAAATGTTCCTCGATGGAGGAATAGATAAAGCATATGTGGTTCATGTTTACAATGGAATATTATTGACTCTTAAAAAGAACAAAATAATTCTATGTGTGAAACATGGATGAACGTAGGGAATGTCATACTGAGTGAAGTCTGATATAGAAAGACAAATATCATATGATGTCACTTACATATGGAATCTAAGGAATGTTACATATAAACCTATTGACAGAAATAGAGCCTCAGATGTAGAGAACAAAAACGATGGTTACCAAAGAATGGTGAAGGATAAATTAGGATTGACAAATACACTCTACTATACATAAAATACATAAAGATCTACTGGAGAGCACAGGGAACTCTATTCAATTCTTTGTAATAACCTACATGGAAATAGAATCTAAGACACGAAGGTATATATAACTGATTCACTTTGCTGAACAGCAGAAACTAACACCACTGTAAAGAATGATATTACAATCAGAATTTAAAATCATAAAACAATGAATCAAGACACATAACTATAAGAACTGAAAACACAGAACCTCATCTCACTCTCACAATTATTATAACCACTGTTCACTTTTCTGACCCTGATGCTTCCTCAGCATATACAGGATTTTAGCCAAGTTCCCTGGCCATGGTGCGAATGGGGGGAAGGAAGGGAAGCATTCTTAGTGTTTGGGGGATAGAAGACAATGTGGGCTGGCGCTGGCTGTGCTGAGCAGACCAGCCCTTGGACTGACTCCCACTGAGACCTACTGCCCACCTGAAATCTGTCTCCCAGTGGTCAGGGACGTTCCCAGTGTCATAGGAGCAGATGATTTGCTACACAAACACTGACATCACAAGGAAGGATCAACATGATTGAAAAATATCTCTGATCATGTTATATAGATTTTCCAAAGGACTTTCAGAGAGATAGTTACCTATAGATGGATGAGGGGGAGAGAAGAAGAAACAAAGGGGCTGGCACAGAATTTTACCCATCCATATCCAGCTGGTGCAGTGGTAAAGAACCCACCTGCCAATGCAGGAATCACATGAGACACGAGTACTGTCCCTGGGTTGAGAAGAAGCCTCTGGAGTAGGAAATGGCAACCTACTCCAGTATTCTTGCCAGGAAGATCCCATGGACAGAGGAGGCTGGTCTGTAGTCCATGGGATCACAAAGAGTTGGACTAGACTGAGCGACTGACCACACATATGTATCACAAGGGACAACATTCAAACAGTGGCTCACCTTACACGTGTTACTTGTAATGGCTTTTCACTAGTTTCCAAATGAAACTGGAGATGAAAAGCATGTACATATATTTTAAAGAAATTGTCCTAAGTTTATCAAACATGTTCTGAGGAAGTTTAACTTGAAAAGGATTCTTTTGAATGGGGCAGTCAGTCAGTTCAGTGGCTCAGTCATGTCTGACTCTTTGCAACCCCATGGATTGCAGCACAGCAGGCTCCCCTGTCCATCACCAACTTCCGGATGCTCTGCAAACTCATGTCCACTAAGTCACGGCTGCCATCCAGCCATCTCATCCTGTGTTGTCCCATTCTCCTCCCACCTTCAGTCTTCCCTAGCATCAAGGTCTTTTCCAATAAGTTGGTTCTTCGCATCAGGTGGCCAAAGTATTGGAGTTTCCACTTCAGCATCCATCCTTCCAATGAATAGTCAGGATTGATTTCCTTTAGGATTTACTAGTTGGATCTCCCTGCAGTGTTTGCCATAAGCGGGTACACACTGCCCTCTGGTGGCCCAGTGAGTAATAGCAGGAGCACTGCTGGGCTCCATGGGTCTGTATGACAAAGAGGCCAACACTCAGTTGAAACCTTCACAGTCTTGCTATGAGAGTAACCCAATTCTGCAAGTCTCAATGTTTGGGGGCTGCTGCCTAGTGGAAATCGCTGTCTTGACTATGACACAATACATCACTTTCCAAGTGCAGAATTTCAGAGAGGAATGGTTAAGCACCTGAGTTAGGCCCTGGGAACACAACAGAGAATAGAGAGGAGGTGGCCACCTCTTGGGACCGGCAGGAAAAGGGTGGGACCATGCTGGGTGGGATCACTTGCCTTCCTGCAGTAATGTGAGGAGACCTGTGTACACAGTGCCTGGCAGCCGGGCAGAAATTCTCAGGGCACCAGTCAGCTGCCTGTGCTGCTTCTCGGAACTACAGACATGTCCCCTCCAGACACACGCCCACCACTCTCTGCACAGAGCTCCACCGAGGATGCAGACCCCTGACCACCGGCCATCCTTGGGTCCACACTGGCACAGAACAGAGCACTTCAGGGATCCTGCTTCCCCACTGCCAGCCCATCCTCAGGTGTGATTGTGACAGCACGCCCTGGTCACCACGTGCCCAGCAACACATTCCTGCCCAGACGGAGTACCTTCTCTCATGTCCCACTTTCCCGCACATGGAGATGAGGGCTGCTGTCACCGTCTAGACTGGTGACAGTGTTCCTGGGGACTGTCTCGAGATCCATTAAGCAAGTCGAAGCTCCTGACTTGTTTGAACGGGATCACGGAATAGCTCTGCATGCACTGCAGGGGAATGGGGCCTCATCTCGCCTCTAGGGGGAAGTCTCATGGTTTTTCTCGAGTTGCGGCGGGGACCTGGGGTATGTTCTCGACTTACGGCGCGGATGGCCCTTCGAAACACGAGTTTCTTCAGTGACGTCAGGACTCCTGTCTAGTAACGAGGGACACCTCAGGAATCTCTTCGAGGCTTGGCAGGGCAAAAGGGACGCTTCTTGCGGTGAGGCAGGGCACCCAAGGACCCTTTCCAGTAGCCACAGGGATTTTGGGATTCCTATCAGTATTCAAGAGGAGTCAGACATCGTCACCTATTGAAGCAATGAACTCCGCGTGGTCTCGAAGTGTCAACGGGATGTGAGGCATTCCGTCAAAATGAGGCAGGGACCTAGGGCTTTCTATAAGGTCTCCACAGGGGATTCAGACATCTCTTCATGTTTTGAGATCAAAGACGAGCCTGTATTCAAGCCACTGCAAGGAAACCTGGCCTTCTTTCAAGTTAGGGCTTCTCGCTGTATATTCCAATTTAGGCAGCGATATTGGGGTCCCTCCCACATACCTATTGCTGAGAGAAGCCTTCTCGTGAGGTGCTTTGGGAAAGTTGGCATACGACTTGAGCCTAGGCCAGGGAATCAGCTCTCATCTCGAGACGATTTGCGGTACACGGATCATTCCTTGAGTTGCTGTCCTGAAGTTGGTGTTCCTCTAGCCTTGGGACAGTGTTCTCGGGTATCTCTGGAGTTGCCTGAAGGAAGTCGAGCCACCGGTCGTGTTGAATGGGGAACGGGGAATGGCTCTGGAGTCAATGCAGGGGAATCGGGCCTCATCTCGAGTTGATTTGGGGCACATGGAGCTGCTTTGCGTTGCTGGGGTGACCTCAGGGTCCGTCTAGACTGGTGACAGTGTTCTTGGGGACTGTCTCGAGATCCATTAAGCAAGTCGAAGCTCCTGACTTGTTTGAATGGGATCACGGAATAGCTCTGCATGCACTGCAGGGGCATGGGGCCTCATCTCGCCTCTAGGGGGAAGTCTCATGGTTTTTCTCGAGTTGCGGCGGGGACCTGGGGTATGTTCTCGACTTACGGCGGGGATGGCCCTTCAAAACACGAGTTTCTTCAGTGAGGTCAGGACTCCTGTCTAGTAACGAGGGACACCTCAGGAATCTCTTCGAGGCTTGGCAGGGCAAAAGGGACGCTTCTTGCGGTGAGGCAGGGCACCCAAGGACCCATTCCAGTAGCCACAGGGATTTTGGGATTCCTATCAGTATTCAAGAGGAGTCAGATATCGTCACCTTTTTAAGCAATGAACTCCGCGTGGTCTCGAAGTGTCAACGGGATGTGAGGCATTCCGTCAAAATGAGGCAGGGACCTAGGGCTTTCTATAAGGTCTCCACAGGGGATTCAGACATCTCTTCATGTTTTGAGATCAAAGACGAGCCTGTATTCAAGCCACTGCAAGGAAACCCGGCCTTCTTTCAAGTTAGGGCTTCTCGCTGTATATTCCAATTTAGGCAGCGATATTGGGGTCCCTCCCACATACCTATTGCTGAGAGAAGCCTTCTCGTGAGATGCTTTGAGAAAGTTGGCATACGTCTTGAGCCTAAGCCAGGGAATCAGCTCTCATCTCGAGACGATTTGGGGTACACGGATCATTCCTTGAGTTGCTGTCCTGAAGTTGGTGTTCCTCTAGACTTGGGACAGTGTTCTCGGGGCATCTCTGGAGTTGCCTGAAGGAAGTCGAGCCAACGGTCGTGTTGAATGGGGAACGGGGAATGGCTCTGGAGTCAATGCAGGGGAATCAGGCCTCATCTCGAGTTGATTTGGGGCACATGGAGCTGCTTTGCGTTGCTGGGGTGACCTCAGGGTCCGTCTAGACTGGTGACAGTGTTCTTGGGGACTGTCTCGAGATCCATTAAGCAAGTCGAAGCTCCTGACTTGTTTGAATGGGATCACGGAATAGCTCTGCATGCACTGCAGGGGCATGGGGCCTCATCTCGCCTCTAGGGGGAAGTCTCATGGTTTTTCTCAAGTTGTGGCGGGGACCTGGAGTATGTTCTCGACTTACGGCGGGGATGGCCCTTCAAAACACGAGTTTCTTCAGTGACGTCAGGACTCCTGTCTAGTAACGAGGAACACCTCAGGAATCTCTTCGAGGCTGGGCAGGGCAAAAGGGACGCTTCCCGTGGTGAGGCAGGGAACCCAAGGACCCTTTCCAGTAGCCACAGGGATTTTGGGATTCCTCTCAGTATCCAAGAGGAGTCAGGCATCGTCACCTTTTGAAGCAATGAACTCCGCGTGCCTCTCGAGGTGTCAACGGGATATGAGGCATTCCGCCAAAATGAGGCAGGGACCTAGGGCTTTCTCTAAGGACTCCACAGGGGATTCAGACAACCCTTCATGTCTTGAGATCAAAGACGAGCCTGTATTCAAGCCACTGCAAGGAAATCTGGCCTCCTTACAAGTTAGGGATTCTCGCTGTATATTCCACTTGAGGCAGCGATCTCGGGGTCCCTCCCACATACCTATTGCTGAGAGAAGCCTCCTCCTGAGGTGTTTTTGTGAAGTTGGCATACGTCTTGAGCCTAAGCCAGGGAATCAGCTCTCATCTCGAGACGATTTGGGGTATACGGAGCATTCCTCGAGTTGCTGTGATGAAGTTGGTGTTCTTCTAGACTTGGGACAGTGTTCTCGGGGCATCTCTGGAGTTGCCTGAAGGAAGTCGAGCTACCGGTCGTGTTGAATGGGGAACGGGGAATGGCTCTGGAGTCAATGCATGGGAATCGGGCCTCATCTCCAGTTGATTTGGGGCACATGGAGCTGCTTTGCATTGCTGGGGTGACCTCAGGGTCCATCTAGACTGGTGACAGTGTTCTTGGGGACTGTCTCGAGATCCATTAAGCAAGTCGAAGCTCCTGACTTGTTTGAATGGGATCACGGAATAGCTCTGCATGCAGTGCAGGGGAATGGGGCCTCATCTCGCCTCTAGGGGGAAGTCTCATGGTTTTTCTCGAGTTGCGGCGGGGACCTGGGGTATGTTCTCGACTTACGGCGGGGATGGCCCTTCAAAACACGAGTTTCTTCAGTGACGTCAGGACTCCTGTCTATTAACGAGGGACACCTCAGGAATCTCTTCGAGGCTTGGCAGGGCAAAACGGACGCTTCTCGCGGTGAGGCAGGGCACCCAAGGACCCTTTTCAGCAGCCACAGCGATTTTGGGATTCCTATCAGTATTCAAGAGGAGTCAGGCATCGTCAGCTTTTGAAGCAATGAACTCCGCGTGCCTCTCGAGGTGTCAACGGGATGTGAGGCATTCTGTCAAAATGAGGCAGGGACCTAGGGCTTTCTCTAAGGTCTCCACAGGGCATTCAGACATCCCTTCAGGTTTTGAGATCAAAGACGAGCCTGTATTCAAGCCACTGCAAGGAAATCCGGACTCCTTTCAAGTTAGGGCTTCTCGCTGTATATTACACTTGAGGCAGTGATCTCGGGGTCCCTCCCACATACCTATTGCTGAGAGAAGCCTCCTCCTGTGGTGCTTCTGGAAAGTTGGCATACGTCTTGAGCCTAAGTCAGGGAATCAGCTCTCATCTCGAGACGATTTGGGGTACACGGAGCATTCCTCGAGTTGCTGTGCTGAAGTTTGTGTTCCTCTAGACTTGGGACAGTGTTCTCGGGGCATCTCTGGAGTTGCCTGAAGGAAGTCGAGCCACCGGTCGTGTTGAATGGGTAACGGTGAATGGCTCTGGAGTCAATGCAGGCGAATCGGGCCTCATCTCGAGTTGATTTGGGGCACATGGAGCTGCTTTGCGTTGCTGGGCTGACCTCAGGGTACGTCTAGACTGGTGACAGTGTTCTTGGGGACTGTCTCGAGATCCATTAAGCAATCGAAGCTCCTGACTTATTTGCATGGGATCACGGAATAGCTCTGCATGCACTACAGGGGAATGGGGCCTCATCTCGCCTCTAGGGGGAAGTCTCATGGTTTTTCTCGAGTTGCGGCGGGGACCTGGGGTATGTTCTCGACTTACGGCGGGGATGGCCCTTCAAAACACGAGTTTATTCAGTGACGTCAGGACTCCTGTCTAGTAACGAGGGACACCGCAGGAATGTCTTCGAGGCTTGGAAGGGCAAAAGTTACGCTTCTCGCGGTGAGGCAGGGCACCCAAGGACCCTTTTCAGTAGGCACAGGGATTTTGGGATTCCTATCAGTATTCAAGAGGCGTCAGGCATCGTCACCTTTTGAAGCAATGAACTCCGCGTGCCTCTCGAGGTGTCAACGGGATGTGAGGCATTCCGTCAAAATGAGGCAGGGACCTAGGGCTTTCTCTAAGGTCTCCACAGGGGATTCAGACATCCTTTGATGTTTTGAGATCAAAAACGAGCCTGTATTCAAGCCACTGCAATGAAACCCGGCTTCCTTTCAAGTTAGGGATTCTCGCTGTATATTCCACTTGATGCAGCGATCTCGGGGTCCCTCCCACATACCTATTGCTGAGAGAAGCCTCCTCGTGACGTTCTTTTGGAATGTTGGCATACGGATTGAGCCTAAGCCAGGGAATCAGCTCTCATCTCGAGACGATTTGGGGAACACGGATCATTCCCCGAGTTGCTGTCCTGAATTTGTTGTTCATCTAGACTTGGGACAGTGTTCTCGGGGCATCTCTGATGTTGCCTCAAGGAAGTTGAGCCACCGGTAGTGTTGAGTGGGGAACGGGGCATGGTTTTGGAGTCAATGCAGGGGAATCGGGCCTCATCTCGAGTTGATTTGGGGCGCAGGGAGCTGCTTTGCGTTGCTGGGGTGACCTCAGGGTCCGTCTAGACTGGTGACAGTTTTCCTGGGGACTGTCTCGAGATCCATTAAGCAAGTCGAAGCTCCTGACTTGTTTGAACGGGATCACGGAATAGCTCTGCATGCACTGCAGGGGAATGGGGCCTCATCTCGCCTCTAGGAGGAAGTCTCATGGTTTTTTTCGAGTTGAGGCGGGAACCTGGGGTATGTTCTCGACTTACGGCGGGGATGGCCCTTCAAAACACGGCTTTCTTCTGTGACGTCAGGACTCCTGTCTAGTAACGAGGGACACCTCAGGAATCTCTTCGAGGCTTGGCAGGGTAAAAGGGACGCTTCTCGAGGTGAGGCAGGGAACCCAAGGACCCTTTCCAGTAGCCACAGGGATTTTGGGATTCCTATCAGTATTCAAGAGGAGTCAGGCTTCGTCACCTATTGAAGCAATGAACTCCGCGTGCCTCTCGAGGTGTCAATGGGATGTGAGGCATTCCGTCAAAATGACGCAGGGACCTAGGGCTTTCTCTAAGGTCTCCACAGGGGATTCAGACATCCCTTCATGTCTTGAGATCAAAAACGAGCCTGTATTCAAGGCACTGCAAGGAAACCCGGCCTCCTTTCAAGTTAGGGCTTCTCGCTGTATATTCCACTTGAGGCAGCGATCTCGGGGTCTCTCCCACATACCTATTGCTGAGATAAGCTTTTTCCTGAGGTGCTTCTGGAAAGTTGGCATACGTCTTGAGCCTAAGCCAGGGAATCAGCTCTCATCTCGAGACGATTTGGGGTATACGGAGCATTCCTCGAGTGGCTGTACTGAAGTTGGTGTTCCTCTAGACTTGGGAGAGTGTTCTCGGGGCATCTCTGATGTTGCCTCAAGGAAGTTGGGCCACCGGTCGTGTTGAATTGGGAACGGGGCATGGCTCTGGAGTCAATGCAGGGGAATCAGGCCTCATCTCGAGTTGATTTGGGGCACATGGAGCTGCTTTGCGTTGCTGGGGTGACCTCACGGTCCGTCTAGACTGGTTACAGTGTTCTTGGGGACTGTCTCGAGATCCATTAAGCAAGTCGAAGCTCCTGACTTGTTTGAATGGGATCACGGAATAGCTCTGCATGCACTGCAGGGGGATGGGGCCTCATCTCGCATCTAGGGGGAAGTCTCATGGTTTTTCTCGAGTTGCAGCGGGGACCTGGCGTATGTTCTCGAGTTACAGCGGGGATGGCCCTTCAAAACACGAGTTTCTTCAGTGGCGTCAGGACTCCTGTCTAGTAACGAGGGACACCTCAGGAATAGTTTCGAGGCTTGGTAGGGCAAAAGGGACGCTTCTCACGGTGAGGCAGCGCACCCAAGGACCATTTACAGTAGCCACATGGATTTTGGGATTCCTATCAGTATTCAAGAGGAGTCAGGCATCGTCACCTTTTGAAGCAATGAACTCCGCGTGCCTCTCGAGGTGTCAACGGGATGTGAGGCATTCCGTCAAAATGAGGCAGGGACCTAGGGATTTCTGAAAAGTCTCCACAGGGGATTCAGACATCCCTTCATGTCTTGAGATCAAAGACGAGCCTGTATTCAAGCCACTCCAAGGAAATCCGGCCTCCTTTCAATTTAGGTCTTCTCGCTGTATATTCCACTTGAGGCAGCGATCTCGGGGTCCCTCCCACATACCTATTGCTGAGAGAAGCCTCCTCCTGAGGTGCTTCTGGAAAGTTGGCATACGTCTTGAGCCTAAGCCAGGGAATCAGCTCGCATCTCGAGACCATTTGGGCTATACGGAGCATTCCTTGAGTTGCTGTGATGAAGTTGGTATTCCTCTAGACTTGGGAGAGTGTTCTCGGGGCATCGCTGGAGTTGCCTGAAGGAAGTCGAGCCACCGGTCGTGTTGAATGGGGAACGGGGAATGGCTCTGGAGTCAATGCAGGGGAATCGGGCATCATCTCGGGTTGATTTGGGGCTCATGGAGCTGCTTTGCGTTGCTGGGGTGACCTCAGGGTCCGTCCAGACTGGTGACAGTGTTCTTGGGGACAGTCTCGAGATCCATTAAGCAAGTCGAAGCTCCTGACTTGTTTGAATGGGATCGTGGAATAGCTCTGCATGCACTGCAGGGGGATGGAGCCTCATCTCGCCTCTAGGGGGAAGTCTCATGGTTTTTCTCGAGTTGCGGCGGGGACCTGGGGTATGTTCTCGACTTACGGCGGGGATGGCCCTTCAAAACACGAGTTTATTCAGTGACGTCAGGACTCCTGTCTAGTAACGAGGGACACCTCAGGAATATTTTCGAGGCTTGGTAGGGCAAAATGGACGCTTCTTACGGTGAGGCAGGGCACCCAAGGACAATTTCCAGTAGCCACATGTATTTTGGGATTCCTATCAGTATTCAAGAGAAGTCAGGCATTGTCACCATTTGAAGCAATGAACTCCGCGTGCCTCTCGAGGTGTCAATGGGATGTGAGGCATTCCGTCAAAATGAGGCAGGGACCTAGGGCTTTCTCTAAGGTCTCCACAGGGGATTCAGACATCCCTTCATGTTTTGAGAACAAAGACAAGCCTGTATTCAAGCCACTGCAAGGAAATCCGGCCTCCTTTCAAGTTAGGTCTTCTCGCTGTATATTCCACTTGAGGCAGCGATCTCGGGGTCCCTCCCACATACTTATTGCTGAGAGAAGCCTCCTCCTGAGGTGCTTCTGGGAAGTTGGCATACGTCTTGAGCCTAAGCCAGGGAATCATCTCTCATCTCGAGACAATTTCGGGTTCTCGGAGCATTCCTCGAGTTGCTGTGCTGAAGTTGGTGTTCCTCTAGACTTGGGACAGTGTTCTCGGGGCATCTCTGGAGTTGCCTGAAGGAAGTCGAGCCACCGGTCGTGTTGAATGGGGAATGGGGAATGGATCTGGAGTCAATGCAGGGGAATCTGGGCTCATCTCGAGTTGATTTGGGGCAAATGGAGCTGCTTTGCGTTGCTGGGGTGACCTCAGGGTCCGTCTAGACTGGTGACAGTGTTCTTGGGGACTGTCTCGAGATCCATTAAGCAAGTCGAAGCTCCTGACTTGTTTGAATGGGATCACGGAATTGCTCTGCATGCACTGCAGGGGAATGGGGCCTCATCTCGCCTCTAGGCGGAAGGCTCATGGTTTTTCTCAAGATTCGGCAGGGACCTGGGGTATGTTCTCGACTTACGGCGGGGATGGCCCTTCAAAACACGAGTTTCTTCAGTGATGTCAGGACTCCGGTCTAGTAACGAGGGACACCTCAGAAATCTCTTCGAGGCTTGGCAGGGCCAAAGGGACGCTTCTCGAGATGAGGCAGGGAACTCAAGGACCCTTTCCAGTAGCCACAGTGATTTTGGGATTTCTCTCAGTATTCAAGAGGAGTCAGGCATTGTCACCTTTTGAAGCAATGAACTCCGCGTGCCTCTCGAGGTGTCAACGGGATGTGAGGCATTCCGTCAAAATGAGGCAGGGACCTAGGGCTTTCTCTAAGGTCTCCACAGGGGATTCAGACATCCCTTCATGTTTTGAGAACAAAGACGAGCCTGTATTCAAGCCACTCCAAGGAAATCCGGCCTCCTTTCACATTAGGGCTTCTCGCTGTATATTCCACATGAGGCAGCGATCTCGGGGTCCCTCCCACATACCTATTGCTGAGAGAAGCCTCCTCCTGAGGTGCTTCTGGAAAGTTGGCCTACGTCTTGAGCCTAAACCAGGGAATCAGCTCTCATCTCGAGACTATTTGGGGTACACGGAGCATTCCTCGAGTTGCTGTGCTGAAGTTGGTGTTCCTCTAGACTTGGCACAGTGTTCTCCGGGCATCTCTGGAGTTGCCTGAAGGAAGTCGAGCCACCGGTCGTGTTGAATGGGGAATGGGGAATGGATCTGGAGTCAATGCAGGGGAATCTGGGCTCATCTCGAGTTGATTTGGGGCACATGGAGCTGCCTTGCGTTGCTGGGGTGACCTCAGAGTCCGTCTAGACTGGTGACAGTGTTCTTGGGGACTGTCTCAAGATCCATTAAGCAAGTCAAAGCTCCTGACTGTTTGAGTGGAATCACGGAATAGCTCTGCATGCACTGCAGGGGAATTGGGCCTCATCTCGCCTCTAGGAGGAAGTCTCATGGTTTTTCTCGAGTTGTGGCGGGACCTATGGTATGTTCTCGACTTACGGCGGGGATGGCCCTTCAAAACACGAGTTTCTTCAGTGACGTCAGGACTCCTGTCTAGTAACGAGGGACACCGCAGGAATGTCTTCGAGGCTTGGCAGGGCAAAAGTTACGCTTCTCGTGGTGAGGCAGGGCCCCCAAGGACCCTTTTCAGTAGGCACAGGGATTTTGGGATTCCTATCAGTATTCAAGAGGCGTCAGGCATCGTCACCTTTTGAAGCAATGAACTCCGCGTGCCTCTCGAGGTGTCAACGGGATGTGAGGCATTCCGTCAAAATGAGGCAGGGACCTAGGGCTTTCTCTAAGGTCTCCACAGGGGATTCAGACATCCTTTCATGTTTTGAGATCAAAGACGACCCTGTATTCAAGCCACTGCAAGGAAATCCGGCCTCCTTTCAAGTTAGGGATTCTCGCTGTATATTCCACTTGAGGCAGTGATCTCGGGGTCCCTCCCACATACCTATTGCTGAGAGAAGCCTCCTCGTGACGTTCTTTTGGAATGTTGGCATACGGCTTGAGCCTAAGCCAGGGAATCAGCTCTCATCTCGAGACGATTTGGGGAACACGGATCATTCCTCGAGTTGCTGTCCTGAAGTTGGTGTTCCTCTAGACTTGGGACAGTGTTCTCGGGGCATCTCTGATGTTGCCTCAAGGAAGTTGAGCCACCGGTCGTGTTGAGTGGGGAACGGGGAATGGCTCTGGAGTCAATGCAGGGGAATCAGGCCTCATCTCGAGTTGATTTGGGGCGCATGGAGCTGCTTTGCGTTGCTGGGGTGACCTCAGGGTCCGTCTAGACTGGTGACAGTGTTCCTGGGGACTGTCTCGAGATCCATTAAGCAAGTCGAAGCTCCTGACTTGTTTGAACGGGATCACGGAATAGCTCTGCATGCACTGCAGGGGAATGGGGCCTCATCTCGCCTCTAGGGGGAAGTCTCATGGTTTTTTTCGAGTTGAGGCGGGAACCTGGGTTATGTTCTCGACTTACGGCGGGGATGGCCCTTCAAAACACGGGTTTCTTCAGTGATGTCAGGACTCCTGTCTAGTAACGAGGGACACCTCAGGAATCTCTTCGAGGCTTGGCAGGGTAAAAGGGACGCTTCTCGAGGTGAGGCAGGGAACCCAAGGACCCTTTCCCGTAGCCACAGGGATTTTGGGATTCCTATCAGTATACAAGAGGAGTCAGGCTTCGTCACCTTTTGAAGCAATGAACTCCTCGTGCCTCTCGAGGTGTCAATGGGATGTGAGGCATTCCGTCAAAATGACGCAGGGACCTAGGGCTTTCTCTAAGGTCTCCACAGGGGATTCAGACATCCCTTCATGTTTTGAGAACAAAGACAAGCCTGTATTCAAGCCACCGCAAGGAAATCCGGCCTACTTTCAAGTTAGGTCTTCTCGCTGTTTATTCCACTTGAGGCAGCGATCTCGGGGTCCCTCCCACATACTTATTGCTGAGAGAAGCCTCCTCCTGAGGTGCTTCTGGGAAGTTGGCATACGTCTTGAGCCTAAGCCAGGGAATCATCTCTCATCTCGAGACAATTTCGGGTACACGGAGCATTCCTCGAGTTGCTGTGCTGAAGTTGGTGTTCCTCTAGAGTTGGGACAGTGTTCTCGGGGCATCTCTGGAGTTGCCTGAAGGAAGTCGAGCCACCAGTCGTGTTGAATGGGGAATGGGGAATGGCTCTGGAGTCAATGCAGGGGAATCTGGTCTCATCTCGAGTTGATTTGGGGCAAAAGGAGCTGCTTTGCATTGCTGGGGTGACCACAGGGTCCGATTAGACTGGTGACAGTGTTCTTGGGGACTGTCTCGAGATCCATTAAGCAAGTCGAAGCTCCTGACTTGTTTGAATGGGATCACGGAATAGCTCTGCATGCACTGCAGGGGAATGGGGCCTCATCTCGCCTCTAGGCGGAAGGCTCATGGTTTTTCTCAAGATTCGGCAGGGACCTGGGGTATGTTCTCGACTTACGGCGGGGATGGCCCTTCAAAACACGAGTTTTTTCAGTGATGTCAGGACTCCGGTCTAGTAAAGAGGGACACCTCAGGAATCTCTTCGAGGCTTGGCAGGGCCAAAGGGACGCTTCTCGAGATGAGGCAGGGAACTCAAGGACCCTTTCCAGTAGCCACAGGGATTTTGGGATTTCTCTCAGTATTCAAGAGGAGTCAGGCATTGTCACCTTTTGAAGCAATGAACTCCGCGTGCCTCTCGAGGTGTCAACGGGATGTGAGGCATTCCGACAAAATGAGGCAGGGACCTAGGGCATTCTCTAAGGTCTCCACAGGGGATTCAGACATCCCTTCATGTTTTGAGAACAAAGACGAGCCTGTATTCAAGCCACTCCAAGGAAATCCGGCCTCCTTTCACGTTAGGGCTTCTCGCTGTATATTCCACTTGAGGCAGCGATCTCGGGGTCCCTCCCACATACCTATTGCTGAGAGAAGCCTCCTCCTGAGGTGCTTCTGGAAAGTTGGCATACGTCTTGAGCCTAAACCAGGGAATCAGCTCTCATCTCGAGACGATTTGGGGTACACGGAGCATTCCTCGAGTTGCTGTGCTGAAGTTGGTGTTCCTCTAGACTTGGCACAGTGTTCTCCGGGCATCTCTGGAGTTGCCTGAAGGAAGTCGAGCCACCGGTCGTGTTGAATGGGGAACGGGGAATGGCTCTGGAGTCAATGCAGGGGAATCGGCCCTCATCTCGAGTTGATTTGGGGCGCATGGAGCTGCCTTGCGTTGCTGGGGTGACCTCAGAGTCCGTCTAGACTGGTGACAGTGTTCTTGGGGACTGTCTCGAGATCCATTAAGCAAGTCGAAGCTCCTGACTGTTTGAGTGGGATCACGGAATAGCTCTGCATGCACTGCAGGGGAATTGGGCCTCATCTCGCCTCTAGGAGGAAGTCTCATGGTTTTTCTCGAGTTGCGGCGGGGACCTGGGGTATGTTCTCGACTTACGGCGGGGATGGCCCTTCAAAACACGAGTTTGGTCAGTGACGTCAGGACTCCTGTCTAGTAACGAGGGACACCTCAGGAATCTCTTCGAGGCTAGGCATGGCAAAAGGGATGCTTCTGGAGGTCAGGCAGGGCACCCAAGGACCCATTCCAGGAGCCACAGGGATTTTGGGATTCCTATCAGTATTCAAGAGGCGTCAGGCATCGTCACCTTTTGAAGCAATGAACTCCGCGTGCCTCTCGAGGTGTCAACGGGATGTGAGGCATTCCGTCAAAATGAGGCAGGGACCTAGGGCTTTCTCTAAGGTCTCCACAGGGGATTCAGACATCCTTTCATGTTTTGAGATCAAAGACGACCCTGTATTCAAGCCACTGCAAGGAAATCCGGCCTCCTTTCAAGTTAGGGATTCTCGCTGTATATTCCACTTGAGGCAGTGATCTCGGGGTCCCTCCCACATACCTATTGCTGAGAGAAGCCTCCTCGTGACGTTCTTTTGGAATGTTGGCATACGGCTTGAGCCTAAGCCAGGGAATCAGCTCTCATCTCGAGACGATTTGGGGAACACGGATCATTCCTCGAGTTGCTGTCCTGAAGTTGGTGTTCCTCTAGACTTGGGACAGTGTTCTCGGGGCATCTCTGATGTTGCCTCAAGGAAGTTGAGCCACCGGTCGTGTTGAGTGGGGAACGGGGAATGGCTCTGGAGTCAATGCAGGGGAATCAGGCCTCATCTCGAGTTGATTTGGGGCGCATGGAGCTGCTTTGCGTTGCTGGGGTGACCTCAGGGTCCGTCTAGACTGGTGACAGTGTTCCTGGGGACTGTCTCGAGATCCATTAAGCAAGTCGAAGCTCCTGACTTGTTTGAACGGGATCACGGAATAGCTCTGCATGCACTGCAGGGGAATGGGGCCTCATCTCGCCTCTAGGGGGAAGTCTCATGGTTTTTTTCGAGTTGAGGCGGGAACCTGGGTTATGTTCTCGACTTACGGCGGGGATGGCCCTTCAAAACACGGGTTTCTTCAGTGATGTCAGGACTCCTGTCTAGTAACGAGGGACACCTCAGGAATCTCTTCGAGGCTTGGCAGGGTAAAAGGGACGCTTCTCGAGGTGAGGCAGGGAACCCAAGGACCCTTTCCCGTAGCCACAGGGATTTTGGGATTCCTATCAGTATACAAGAGGAGTCAGGCTTCGTCACCTTTTGAAGCAATGAACTCCGCGTGCCTCTCGAGGTGTCAATGGGATGTGAGGCATTCCGTCAAAATGACGCAGGGACCTAGGGCTTTCTCTAAGGTCTCCACAGGGGATTCAGACATCCCTTCATGTTTTGAGAACAAAGACAAGCCTGTATTCAAGCCACCGCAAGGAAATCCGGCCTACTTTCAAGTTAGGTCTTCTCGCTGTTTATTCCACTTGAGGCAGCGATCTCGGGGTCCCTCCCACATACTTATTGCTGAGAGAAGCCTCCTCCTGAGGTGCTTCTGGGAAGTTGGCATACGTCTTGAGCCTAAGCCAGGGAATCATCTCTCATCTCGAGACAATTTCGGGTACACGGAGCATTCCTCGAGTTGCTGTGCTGAAGTTGGTGTTCCTCTAGAGTTGGGACAGTGTTCTCGGGGCATCTCTGGAGTTGCCTGAAGGAAGTCGAGCCACCAGTCGTGTTGAATGGGGAATGGGGAATGGCTCTGGAGTCAATGCAGGGGAATCTGGTCTCATCTCGAGTTGATTTGGGGCAAAAGGAGCTGCTTTGCATTGCTGGGGTGACCACAGGGTCCGATTAGACTGGTGACAGTGTTCTTGGGGACTGTCTCGAGATCCATTAAGCAAGTCGAAGCTCCTGACTTGTTTGAATGGGATCACGGAATAGCTCTGCATGCACTGCAGGGGAATGGGGCCTCATCTCGCCTCTAGGCGGAAGGCTCATGGTTTTTCTCAAGATTCGGCAGGGACCTGGGGTATGTTCTCGACTTACGGCGGGGATGGCCCTTCAAAACACGAGTTTTTTCAGTGATGTCAGGACTCCGGTCTAGTAAAGAGGGACACCTCAGGAATCTCTTCGAGGCTTGGCAGGGCCAAAGGGACGCTTCTCGAGATGAGGCAGGGAACTCAAGGACCCTTTCCAGTAGCCACAGGGATTTTGGGATTTCTCTCAGTATTCAAGAGGAGTCAGGCATTGTCACCTTTTGAAGCAATGAACTCCGCGTGCCTCTCGAGGTGTCAACGGGATGTGAGGCATTCCGACAAAATGAGGCAGGGACCTAGGGCATTCTCTAAGGTCTCCACAGGGGATTCAGACATCCCTTCATGTTTTGAGAACAAAGACGAGCCTGTATTCAAGCCACTCCAAGGAAATCCGGCCTCCTTTCACGTTAGGGCTTCTCGCTGTATATTCCACTTGAGGCAGCGATCTCGGGGTCCCTCCCACATACCTATTGCTGAGAGAAGCCTCCTCCTGAGGTGCTTCTGGAAAGTTGGCATACGTCTTGAGCCTAAACCAGGGAATCAGCTCTCATCTCGAGACGATTTGGGGTACACGGAGCATTCCTCGAGTTGCTGTGCTGAAGTTGGTGTTCCTCTAGACTTGGCACAGTGTTCTCCGGGCATCTCTGGAGTTGCCTGAAGGAAGTCGAGCCACCGGTCGTGTTGAATGGGGAACGGGGAATGGCTCTGGAGTCAATGCAGGGGAATCGGCCCTCATCTCGAGTTGATTTGGGGCGCATGGAGCTGCCTTGCGTTGCTGGGGTGACCTCAGAGTCCGTCTAGACTGGTGACAGTGTTCTTGGGGACTGTCTCGAGATCCATTAAGCAAGTCGAAGCTCCTGACTGTTTGAGTGGGATCACGGAATAGCTCTGCATGCACTGCAGGGGAATTGGGCCTCATCTCGCCTCTAGGAGGAAGTCTCATGGTTTTTCTCGAGTTGCGGCGGGGACCTGGGGTATGTTCTCGACTTACGGCGGGGATGGCCCTTCAAAACACGAGTTTGGTCAGTGACGTCAGGACTCCTGTCTAGTAACGAGGGACACCTCAGGAATCTCTTCGAGGCTAGGCATGGCAAAAGGGATGCTTCTGGAGGTCAGGCAGGGCACCCAAGGACCCATTCCAGGAGCCACAGGGATTTTGGGATTCCTATCAGTATTCAAGAGGCGTCAGGCATCGTCACCTTTTGAAGCAATGAACTCCGCGTGCCTCTCGAGGTGTCAACGGGATGTGAGGCATTCCGTCAAAATGAGGCAGGGACCTAGGGCTTTCTCTAAGGTCTCCACAGGGGATTCAGACATCCTTTCATGTTTTGAGATCAAAGACGAGCCTCTATTCAAGCCACTGCAAGGAAATCCGGCCTCTTTTCAAGTTAGGGATTCTCGCTGTATATTCCACTTGAGGCAGCGATCTCGGGGTCCCTCCCACATACCTATTGCTGAGAGAAGCCTCCTCGTGACGTTCTTTTGGAAAGTTGGCATACGGCTTGAGCCTAAGCCAGGGAATCAGCTCTCATATCGAGACGATTTGGGGAACACGGATCATTCCTCGAGTTGCTGTCCTGAAGTTGGTGTTCCTCTAGACTTGGGACAGTGTTCTCGGGGCATCTCTGATGTTTCCTCAAGGAAGTTGAGCCACTGGTCGTGTTGAATGGGGAACAGGGAATGGCTCTGGAGTCAATGCAGGGGAATCGGGCCTCATCTCGTGTTGATTTGGGGCACATGTAGCTGCTTTGCGTTGCTAGGGTGACCTCAGGGTCCGTCTAGACTGGTGACAGTGTTCTTGGGGACTGTCTCGAGATCCATTAAGCAAGTCGAAGCTCCTGACTTGTTTGAACGGGATCACGGAATAGCTCTGCATGCACTGCAGGGGAATGGGGCCTCATCTCGCCTCTAGGGGGAAGTCTCATGGTTTTTTTCGAGTTGAGGCGGGAACCTGGGGTATGTTCTCGACTTACGGCGGGGATGGCCCTTCAAAACACGGGTTTCTTCAGTGACGTCAGGACTCCTGTCTAGTAACGAGGGACACCTCAGGAATCTCTTCGAGGCTTGGCAGGGTAAAAGGGACGCTTCTCGAGGTGAGGCAGGGAACCCAAGGACCCTTTCCAGTAGCCAGAGGGATTTTGGGATTCCTATCAGTATTCAAGAGGAGTCAGACTTCGTCACCTTTTGAAGCAATGAACTCCGCGTGCCTCTCGAGGTGTCAATGGGATGTGAGGCATTCCGTCAAAATGACGCAGGGACCTAGGGCTTTCTCTAAGGTCTGCACAGGGGATTCAGACATCCCTTCATGTCTTGAGATCAAAAACGAGCCTGTATTCAAGCCACTGCAAGGAAACCCGGCCTCCTTTCAAGTTAGGGCTTCTCGCTGTATATTCCACTTGAGGCAGCGATCTCGGGGTCTCTCCCACATACCTATTGCTGAGATAAGCCTTTTCTTGAGGTGCTTCTGGAAAGTTGGCATACGTCTTGAGCCTAAGCCAGGGAATCAGCTCTCATCTCGAGACGATTTTGGGTATACGGAGCATTCCTCGAGTTGCTGTCCTGAAGTTGGTGTTCCTCTAGACTTGGGACAGTGTTCTCGGGGCATCGCTGGAGTTGCCTGAAGGAAGTCGAACCACCGGTCGTGTTGAATGTGGAACGGGGAATGGCTCTGGAGTCAATGCAGGGGAATCGGGCCTCATCTCGGGTTGATTTGGGGTACATGGAGCTGCTTTGCGTTGCTGGGGTGACCTCAGCGTCCGTCTAGACTGGTGACAGTGTTCTTGGGGACTGTCTCGAGATCCATTAAGCAAGTCGAAGCTCCTGACTTGTTTGAATGGGATCACGGAATAGCTCTGCATGCACTGCAGGGGGATGGGGCCTCATCTCGCCTCTAGGGGGAAGTCTCATGGTTTTTCTCGAGTTGCGGCGGGGACCTGGGGTATGTTCTCGAGTTACGGCGGGGATGGCCCTTCAAAACACGAGTTTATTCAGTGACGTCAGGACTCCTGTCTAGTAATGAGGGACACCTCAGGAATATTTTCGAGGCTTGGTAGGGCAAAATGGACGCTTCTTACGGTGAGGCAGGGCACCCAAAGACCATTTCCAGTAGCTTCATGGATTTTGGGATTCCTATCAGTATTCAAGAGAAGTCAGGCATTGTCAACATTTGAAGCAATGAACTCCGCGTGCCTCTCGAGGTGTCAACGGGATGTGAGGCATTCCGTCAAAATGAGGCAGGGACCTAGGGCTTTCTCTAAGGTCTCCACAGGGGATTCAGACATCCTTTCATGTTTTGAGAACAAAGACGAGCCTGTATTCAAGCCTCTCCAAGGAAATCCGGCCTCCTTTCACGTTAGGGCTTCTCGCTGTATGTTCCACTTGAGGCAGCGATCTCGGGGTCCCTCCCACATACCTATTGCTGAGAGAAGCCTCCTCCTGAGGTGCTTCTGGAAAGTTGGCATACGTCTTGAGCCTAAACCAGGGAATCAGCTCTCATCTCGAGACTATTTGGGGTACACGGAGCATTCCTCGAGTTGCTGTGCTGAAGTTGGTGTTCCTCTAGACTTGGCACAGTGTTCTCCGGGCATCTCTTGAGTTTCCTGAAGGAAGTCGAGCCACCGGTCGTGTTGAATGGGGAACGGGGAATGGCTCTGGAGTCAATGCAGGGGAATCGGCCCTCATCTCGAGTTGATTAGGGGCACATGGAGCTGCCTTGAGTTGCTGGGGTGACCTCAGAGTCCGTCTAGACTGGTGACAGTGTTCTTGGGGACTGTCTCGAGATCCATTAAGCAAGTCGAAGCTCCTGACTGTTTGAGTGGGATCACGGAATTGCTCTGCATGCACTGCAGGGGAATGGGGCCGCATCTCGCCTCTAGGAGGAAGTCTCATGGATTTTCTCGAGTTGTGGCGGGACCTGGGGTATGTTCTCGACTTACGGCGTGGATGGCACTTCAAAACACGAGTTTCTTCAGTGACGTCAGGACTCCTGTCTAGTAACGAGAGACACCTCAGGAATCCCTTCGAGGCTTGGCAGGGCAAAAGGGATGCTTCTCGAGGTCAGGCAGGGCACCCAAGGACCCTTTCCAGTAGCCACAGGGATTTTGGGATTCCTATCAGTATTCAAGAGGAGTCAGGCATCGTCACCTTTTGAAGCAATGAACTCCGCGTGCCTCTCCAGGTGTCAACGGGATGTGAGGCATTCCGTCAAAATGACGCAGGCACCTACTGCTTTCTCTAAGGTCTCCACAGGGGATTCAGACATCCCTTCATGTCTTGAGATCAAAGACGAGCCTGTATTCAAGCCACTGCAAGGAAATCCGACCTCCTTTCAAGTTAGGGCTTCTCGCTGTATATTCAACTTGAGGCAGCGAACTCGGGGTCCCTCCCACATACCTATTGCTGAGAGAAGCCTCCTCCTGAGGTGCTTCTGGAAAGTTGGCATACGTCTTGAGCCTAAGCCAGGGAATCAGATCTCATCTCGAGACGATTTGTGGTACACGGAGCATTCCTCGAGTTGCTGTGCTGAAGTTGGTGTTCCTCTAGCCTTGGGACAGTGTTCTCGGGGCATCTCTGGAGTGGCCTGAAGGAATTCGAGCCACCGGTCGTGGTGAATGGGGAATGGGGAATGGCTCTGGAGTCAATGCAGGGGAATCGAGCCTCATTTCGAGTTGATTTGGGGCACATGGAGCTGCTTTGCTTTGCTGGGGTGACTTCAGGGTTCCTCTAGACTGGTGACAGTGTTCTTGGGTACTCTCTCAAGATCCATTATGCAAGTCGAAGCTCCTGACTTGTTTGAATGGAATCACCGAATAGCTCTGCATGCACTGCAGTGGAATGGGGCCTCATCTCGCCTCTAGGGGGAAGTCTCATGGTTTTTCTCGAGTTGCGGCGGGGACCTGGGGTATGTTCTCGAGTTACGGCGGGGATGGCCCTTCAAAACACGAGTTTCTTCAGTGACGTCAGGACTCCTGTCTAGTAACGAGGGACAACTCAGGAATCTCTTCGAGGCTTGGAAGGGCAAAAGCGACGCTTCTCGAGGTTAGGCATGGCACACAAGGATCCTTTCCAGTAGCCACAGGGATTTTGGGATTCCTATCAGTATTCAAGAGGAGTCAGGCATCGTCACCTTTTGAAGCAATGAACTCCGCGTGCCTCTCGAGGTGTCAACGGGATGTGAGGCATTCCGTCAAAATGAGGCAGGGACCTAGGGCTTTCTCTAAGGTCTCCACAGGGGATTCAGACATCCCTTCATGTTTTGAGATCAAAGACGAGCCTGTATTCAAGCCACTGCCAGGAAATCCGGCCTACTTTCAAGTTAGGGATTCTCGCAGTATATTCTACTTGAGGCAGCGATCTCGGGGTCCCTCCCACATACCTATTGCTGAGAGAAGCCTCCTCCTGAGGTGCTTCTGGAAAGTTGGCCTACGTCTTGAGCCTAAGCCAGGGAATCAGCACTCATCTCGAGACGATTTCGGGTACACGGAGCATTCCTCGAGTTGCTGTGCTGAAGTTGGTGTTCCTCTAGACATGGGACAGTGTTCTCGGGGCATCTCTGGAGTTGCCTGAAGGAAGTCGAGCCACCGGTCGTGTTGAAAGGGGAACGGGGAATGGCTCTGGAATCAATGCAGGGGAATCGAGCCTCATCTCGAGTTGATTCGGGGCACATGGAGCTGCTTTGCATTGCTGGGGTGACCTCAGGGTCCGTCTAGACTGGTGACAGTGTTGTTGGGTACTGTCTCAAGATCCATTAAGCAAGTCGAAGCTCCTGACTTGTTTGAATGGGATCACCGAATAGCTCTGCATGCACTGCAGGGGAATGGGGCCTCATCTCGCCTCTAGGGGGAAGCCTCATGGTTTTTCTCGAGTTGCGGCGGGGACCTTGGGTATGTTCTCGACTTATGGCGGGGATGGCCCTTCAAAACACGAGTTTCTTCAGTGACGTCAGGACTCCTGTCTAGTAACGAGGGACAACTCAGAAATCACTTCGAGGCTTGGGAGGGCAAAAGGGAGGCTTCTCGCGATGAGGCAGGGCACCCAAGGACCCTTTCCAGTAGCCACAGGGATTTTGGGATTCCTATCAGTATTCAAGAGGAGTCAGGCCTCGTCACCTTTTGAAGCAATGAACTCCGCGTGCCTCTCGAGGTGTCAACGGGATGTGAGGCATTCCGTCAATATGAGGCAGGGACCTAGGGCTTTCTCTAAGGTCTCCACAGGGGATTCAGACATCCCTTCATGTGTTGAGATCAAAGACGAGCCTGTATTCAAGGCACTACAAGGAAATCCAGCCTCCTTTCAAGTTAGGGCTTCTCGCAGTATATTCTACTTGAGGCAGCGTTCTCGGGGTCCCTCCCACATACCTATTGCTGAGATAAGCTTTTTCTTGAGGTGCTTCTGGAAAGTTGGCATACGTCTTGAGCCTAAGCCAGGGAATCAGCTCTCATCTCGAGACGATTTGGGGTATACGGAGCATTCCTCGAGTGGCTGTCCTGAAGTTGGTGTTCCTCTAGACTTGGGAGAGTGTTCTCGGGGCATCTCTGATGTTGCCTCAAGGAAGTTGGGCCACCGGTCGTGTTGAAATGGGAACGGGGCATGGCTCTGGAGTCAATGCAGGGGAATCAGGCCTCATCTCGAGTTGATTTGGGGCACATGGAGCTGCTTTGCTTTGCTGGGGTGACCTCACGGTCCGTCTAGACTGGTTACAGTGTTCTTGGGGACTGTCTCGAGATCCATTAAGCAAGTCGAAGCTCCTGACTTGTTTGAATGGGATCACGGAATAGCTCTGCATGCACTGCAGGGGGATGGGACCTCATCTCGCCTCTAGGAGGAAGTCTCATGGTTTTTCTCGAGTTGCGGCGGGGACCTGGCGTATGTTCTCGAGTTACAGCGGGGATGGCCCTTCAAAACACGAGTTTCTTCAGTGGCGTCAGGACTCCTGTCTAGTAACGAGGGACACCTCAGGAATATTTTCGAGGCTTGGTAGGGCAAAAGGGACGCTTCTCACGGTGAGGCAGCGCACCCAAGGACCATTTACAGTAGCCACATGGATTTTGGGATTCCTATCAGTATTCAAGAGGAGTCAGGCATCGTCACCTTTTGAAGCAATGAACTCCGCGTGCCTCTCGAGGTGTCAACGGGATGTGAGGCATTCCGTCAAAATGAGGCAGCGACCTACGGATTTCTGAAAAGTCTCCACAGGGGATTCAGACATCCCTTCATGTCTTGAGATCAAAGACGAGCCTGTATTCAAGCCACTGCAAGGAAATCCGGCCTCCTTTCAATTTAGGGCTTCTCGCTGTATATTCCACTTGAGGCAGCGATCTCGGGGTCCCTCCCACATACCTATTGCTGAGAGAAGCCTCCTCCTGAGGTGCTTCTGGGAAGTTGGCATACGTCTTGAGCCTAAGCCAGGGAATCATCTCTCATCTCGAGACAATTTCGGGTTCTCGGAGCATTCCTCGAGTTGCTGTGCTGAAGTTGGTGTTCCTCTAGACTTGGGACAGTGTTCTCGGGGCATCTCTGGAGTTGCCTGAAGGAAGTCGAGCCACCGGTCGTGTTGAATGGGGAATGGGGAATGGCTCTGGAGTCAATGCAGGGGAATCTGGGCTCATCTCGAGTTGATTTGGGGCAAATGGAGCTGCTTTGCGTTGCTGGGGTGACCACAGGGTCCGTCTAGACTGGTGACAGTGTTCTTGGGGACTGTCTCGAGATCCATTAAGCAAGTCGAAGCTCCTGACTTGTTTGAATGGGATCACGGAATAGCTCTGCATGCACTGCAGGGGAATGGGGCCTCATCTCGCCTCTAGGCGGAAGGCTCATGGTTTTTCTCAAGATTCGGCAGGGACCTGGGGTATGTTCTCGACTTACGGCGGGGATGGCCCTTCAAAACACGAGTTTCTTCAGTGATGTCAGGACTCCGGTCTAGTAACGAGGGACACCTCAGGAATCTCTTCGAGGCTTGGCAGGGCCAAAGGGACGCTTCTCGAGATGAGGCAGGGAACTCAAGGACCCTTTCCAGTAGCCACAGTGATTTTGGGATTTCTCTCAGTATTCAAGAGGAGTCAGGCATTGTCACCTTTTGAAGCAATGAACTCCGCGTGCCTCTCGAGGTGTCAACGGGATGTGAGGCATTCCGTTAAAATGAGGCAGGGACCTAGGGCTTTCTCTAAGGTCTCCACAGGGGATTCAGACATCCCTTCATGTTTTGAGAACAAAGACGAGCCTGTATTCAAGGCACTCCAAGGAAATCCGGCCTCCTTTCACATTAGGGCTTCTCGCTGTATATTCCACATGAGGCAGCGATCTCGGGGTCCCTCCCACATACCTATTGCTGAGAGAAGCCTCCTCCTGAGGTGCTTCTGGAAAGTTGGCATACGTCTTGAGCCTAAACCAGGGAATCAGCTCTCATCTCGAGACTATTTGGGGTACACGGAGCATTCCTCGAATTGCTGTGCTGAAGTTGGTGTTCCTCTAGACTTGGCACAGTGTTCTCCGGGCATCTCTGGAGTTGCCTGAAGGAAGTCGAGCCACCGGTCGTGTTGAATGGGGAACGGGGAATGGCTCTGGAGTCAATGCAGCGGAATCGGCCCTCATCTCGAGTTGATTTGGGGCACATGGAGCTGCCTTGCGTTGCTGGGGTGACCTCAGAGTCCGTCTAGACTGGTGACAGTGTTCTTGGGGACTGTCTCAAGATCCATTAAGCAAGTCAAAGCTCCTGACTGTTTGAGTGGAATCACGGAATAACTCTGCATGCACTGCAGGGGAATTGGGCCTCATCTCGCCTCTAGGAGGAAGTCTCATGGTTTTTCTCGAGTTGTGGCGGGACCTATGGTATGTTCTCGACTTACGGCGGGGATGGCCCTTCAAAACACGAGTTTCTTCAGTGACGTCAGGACTCCTGTCTAGTAACGAGGGACACTGCAGGAATGTCTTCGAGGCTTGGCAGGGCAAAAGTTACGCTTCTCGTGGTGAGGCAGGGCCCCCAAGGACCCTTTTCAGTAGGCACAGGGATTTTGGGATTCCTATCAGTATTCAAGAGGCGTCAGGCATCGTCACCTTTTGAAGCAATGAACTCCGCGTGCCTCTCGAGGTGTCAACGGGATGTGAGGCATTCCGTCAAAATGAGGCAGGGACCTAGGGCTTTCTCTAAGGTCTCCACAGGGGATTCAGACATCCTTTCATGTTTTGAGATCAAAGACGAGCCTGTATTCAAGCCACTGCAAGGAAATCCGGCCTCCTTTCAAGTTAGGGATTCTCGCTGTATATTCCACTTGAGGCAGTGATCTCGGGGTCCCTCCCACATACCTATTGCTGAGAGAAGCCTCCTCGTGACGTTCTTTTGGAATGTTGGCATACGGCTTGAGCCTAAGCCAGGGAATCAGCTCTCATCTCGAGACGATTTGTTGAACACGGATCATTCCTCGAGTTGCTGTCCTGAAGTTGGTGTTCCTCTAGACTTGGGACAGTGTTCTCGGGGCATCTCTGATATTGCCTCAAGGAAGTTGAGCCACCGGTCGTGTTGAGTGGGGAACGGGGAATGGCTCTGGAGTCAATGCAGGGGAATCGGGCTTCATCTCGAGTTGATTTGGGGCGCATGGAGCTGCTTTGCGTTGCTGGGGTGACCTCAGGGTCCGTCTAGACTGGTGACAGTGTTCCTGGGGACTGTCTCGAGATCCATTAAGCAAGTCGAAGCTCCTGACTTGTTTGAACGGGATCACGGAATAGCTCTGCATGCACTGCAGGGGAATGGGGCCTCATCTCGCCTCTAGGGGGAAGTCTCATGGTTTTTTTCGAGTTGAGGCGGGAACCTGGGTTATGTTCTCGACTTACGGCGGGGATGGCCCTTCAAAACACGGGTTTCTTCAGTGATGTCAGGACTCCTGTCTAGTAACGAGGGACTCCTCAGGAATCTCTTCGAGGCTTGGCAGGGTAAAAGGGACGCTTCTCGAGGTGAGGCAGGGAACCCAAGGACCCTTTCCAGTAGCCACAGGGATTTTGGGATTCCTATCAGTATACAAGAGGAGTCAGGCTTCGTCACCTTTTGAAGCAATGAACTCCGCGTGCCTCTCGAGGTGTCAATGGGATGTGAGGCATTCCGTCAAAATGAGGCAGGGACCTAGGGCTTTCTCTAAGGTCTCCACAGGGGATTCAGACATCCCTTCAAGTCTTGAGATAAAAAACGAGCCTGTATTCAAGCCACTGCAAGGAAACCCGGCCTCCTTTCAAGTTAGGGCTTCTCGCTGTATATTCCACTTGAGGCAGCGATCTCGGGGTCTCTCCCACATACCTATTGCTGAGATAAGCCTCTTCCTGAGGTGCTTCTGGAAAGTTGGCATACGTCTTGAGCCTAAGCCAGGGAATCAGCTCTCATCTCGAGACGATTTGTGGTATACGGAGCATTCCTCGAGTTGCTGTCCTGAAGTTGGTGTTCCTCTAGACTTGGGACAGTGTTCTCGGGGCATCTCCGATGTTGCCTCAAGGAAGTTGGGCCACCGGTCGTGTTGAATGGGGAACGGGGCGTGGCTCTGGAGTCAATGCAGGGGAATCAGGCCTCATCTCGAGTTGATTTGGGGCACATGGAGCTGCTTTGCGTTGCTGGGGTGACCTCACGGTCCGTCTAGACTGGTTACAGTGTTCTTGGGGACTGTCTCGAGAGCCATTAAGCAAGTCGAAGCTCCTGACTTCTTTGAATGGGATCACGGAATAGCTCTGCATGCACTGCAGGGGGACGGGGCCTCATCTCGCCTCTAGGGGGAAGTCTCATGGTTTTTCTCGAGTTGCGGCGGGGACCTGGCGTATGTTCTCGAGTTACAGCGGGGATGGCCCTTCAAAACACGAGTTTCTTCAGTGGCGTCAGGACTCCTGTCTAGTAACGAGGGACACCTCAGGAATAGTTTCGAGGCTTGGTAGGGCAAAAGGGACGCTTCTCACGGTGAGGCAGCGCACCCAAGGACCATTTACAGTAGCCACATGGATTTTGGGATTCCTATCAGTATTCAAGAGGAGTCAGGCATCGTCACCTTTTGAAGCAATGAACTCCGCGTGCCTCTCGAGGTGTCAACGGGATGTGAGGCATTCCGTCAAAATGAGGCAGGGACCTAGGGCTTTCTGAAAAGTCTCCACAGGGGATTCAGACATCCCTTCATGTCTTGAGATCAAAGACGAGCCTGTATTCAAGCCACTCCAAGGAAATCCGGCCTCCTTTCAATTTAGGGCTTCTCGTTGTATATTCCACTTGAGGCAGCGATCTCGGGGTCCCTCCCACATACCTATTGCTGAGAGAAGCCTCCTCCTGAGGTGCTTCTGGAAAGTTGGCATACGTCTTGAGCCTAAGCCAGGGAATCAGCTCACATCTCGAGACGATTTGGGGTATACGGAGCATTCCTTGAATTGTTGTGATGAAGTTGGTGTTCCTCTAGACTTGGGAGAGTGTTCTCGGGGCATCGCTGTAGTTGCCTGAAGGAAGTCGAGCCACCGGTCGTGTTGAATGGGGAACGGGGAATGGCTCTGGAGTCAATGCAGGGGAATCGGGCCTCATCTCGGGTTGATTTGGGGCACATGGAGCTGCTTTGCGTTGCTGGGGTGACCTCAGGGTCCGTCCAGACTGGTGACAGTGTTCTTGGGGACTGTCTCGAGATCCATTAAGCAAGTCGAAGCTCCTGACTTGTTTGAATGGGATCACGGAATAGCTCTGCATGCACTGCAGGGGGATGGAGCCTCATCTCGCCTCTAGGGGGAAGTCTCATGGTTTTTCTCGAGTTGCGGCGGGGACCTGGGGTATGTTCTCGAGTTACGGCGGGGATGGCCCTTCAAAACACGAGTTTATTCAGTGACGTCAGGACTCCTGTCTAGTAACGAGGGACACCTCAGGAATATTTTCGAGGCTTGGTAGGGCAAAATGGACGCTTCTTACGGTGAGGCAGGGCACCCAAGGACCATTTCCAGTAGCCACATGTATTTTGGGATTCCTATCAGTATTCAAGAGAAGTCAGGCATTGTCACCATTTGAAGCAATGAACTCCGCGTGCCTCTCGAGGTGTCAACGGGATGTGAGGCATTCCGTCAAAATGAGGCAGGGACCTAGGGCTTTCTCTAAGGTCTCCACAGGGGATTCAGACATCCCTTCATGTTTTGAGAACAAAGACAAGCCTGTATTCAAGCCACTGCAAGGAAATCCGGCCTCCTTTCAAGTTAGGTCTTCTCGCTGTATATTCCACTTGAGGCAGCGATCTCGGGGTCCCTCCCACATACTTATTGCTGAGAGAAGCCTCCTCCTGAGGTGCTTCTGGGAAGTTGGCATACGTCTTGAGCCTAAGCCAGGGAATCATCTCTCATCTCGAGACAATTTCGGGTACACGGAGCATTCCTCTAGTTGCTGTGCTGAAGTTGGTGTTCCTCTAGAGTTGGGACAGTGTTCTCGGGGCATCTCTGGAGTTTCCTGAAGGAAGTCGAGCCACCAGTCGTGTTGAATGGGGAATGGGGAATGGCTCTGGAGTCAATGCAGGGGAATCTGGTCTCATCTCGAGTTGATTTGGGGCAAAAGGAGCTGCTTTGCGTTCCGGGGGTGACCACAGGGTCCGTCTAGACTGGTGACAGTGTTCTTGGGGACTGTCTCGAGATCCATTAAGCAAGTCGAAGCTCCTGACTTGTTTGAATGGGATCACGGAATAGCTCTGCATGCACTGCACGGGAATGGGGCCTCATCTCGCCTCTAGGCGGAAGGCTCATGGTTTTTCTCAAGATTCGGCAGGGATCTGGGGTATGTTCTCGACTTACGGCGGGGATGGCCCTTCAAAACACGAGTTTCTTCAGTGATGTCAGGACTCCGGTCTAGTAACGAGGGACACCTCAGGAATCTCTTCGAGGCTTGGCAGGGCCAAAGGGACGCTTCTCGAGATGAGGCAGGGAACTCAAGGACCCTTTCAGGTAGCCACAGGGATTTTGGGATTTCTCTCAGTATTCAAGAGGAGTCAGGCATTGTCACCTTTTGAAGCAATGAACTCCGCGTGCCTCTCGAGGTGTCAACGGGATGTGAGGCATTCCGTCAAAATGAGGCAGGGACCTAGGGCTTTCTCTAAGGTCTGCACAGGGGATTCAGACATCCCTTCATGTCTTGAGATCAAAAACGAGCCTGTATTCAAGCCACTGCAAGGAAACCCGGCCTCCTTTCAAGTTAGGGCTTCTCGCTGTATATTCCACTTGAGGCAGCGATCTCGGGGTCTCTCCCACATACCTATTGCTGAGATAAGCCTCTTCTTGAGGTGCTTCTGGAAAGTTGGCATACGTCTTGAGCCTAAGCCAGGGAATCAGCTCTCATCTCGAGACGATTTGGGGTATACGGAGCATTCCTCGAGTTGCTGTCCTGAAGTTGGTGTTCCTCTAGACTTGGGACAGTGTTCTCGGGGCATCGCTGGAGTTGCCTGAAGGAAGTCGAGCCACCGGTCGTGTTGAATGGGGAACGGGGAATGGCTCTGGAGTCAATGCAGGGGAATCGGGCCTCATCTCGGGTTGATTTGGGGTACATGGAGCTGCTTTGCGTTGCTGGGGTGACCTCAGGGTCCGTCTAGACTGGTGACAGTGTTCTTGGGGACTGTCTCGAGATCCATTAATCAAGTCGAAGCTCCTGACTTGTTTGAATGGGATCACGGAATAGCTCTGCATGCACTGCAGGGGGATGGGGCCTCATCTCGCCTCTAGGGGGAAGTCTCATGGTTTTTCTCGAGTTGCGGCGGGGACCTGGGGTATGTTCTCGAGTTACGGCGGGGATGGCCCTTCAAAACACGAGTTTATTCAGTGACGTCAGGACTCCTGTCTAGTAATGAGGGACACCTCAGGAATATTTTCGAGGCTTGGTAGGGCAAAATGGACGCTTCTTACGGTGAGGCAGGGCACCCAAAGACCATTTCCAGTAGCTTCATGGATTTTGGGATTCCTATCAGTATTCAAGAGAAGTCAGGCATTGTCACCATTTGAAGCAATGAACTCCGCGTGCCTCTCGAGGTGTCAACGGGATGTGAGGCATTCCGTCAAAATGAGGCAGGGACCTAGGGCTTTCTCTAAGGTCTCCACAGGGGATTCAGACATCCTTTCATGTTTTGAGAACAAAGACGAGCCTGTATTCAAGCCTCTCCAAGGAAATCCGGCCTCCTTTCACGTTAGGGCTTCTCGCTGTATGTTCCACTTGAGGCAGCGATCTCGGGGTCCCTCCCACATACCTATTGCTGAGAGAAGCCTCCTCCTGAGGTGCTTCTGGAAAGTTGGCATACGTCTTGAGCCTAAACCAGGGAATCAGCTCTCATCTCGAGACTATTTGGGGTACACGGAGCATTCCTCGAGTTGCTGTGCTGAAGTTGGTGTTCCTCTAGACTTGGCACAGTGTTCTCCGGGCATCTCTTGAGTTTCCTGAAGGAAGTCGAGCCACCGGTCGTGTTGAATGGGGAACGGGGAATGGCTCTGGAGTCAATGCAGGGGAATCGGCCCTCATCTCGAGTTGATTAGGGGCACATGGAGCTGCCTTGAGTTGCTGGGGTGACCTCAGAGTCCGTCTAGACTGGTGACAGTGTTCTTGGGGACTGTCTCGAGATCCATTAAGCAAGTCGAAGCTCCTGACTGTTTGAGTGGGATCACGGAATTGCTCTGCATGCACTGCAGGGGAATGGGGCCGCATCTCGCCTCTAGGAGGAAGTCTCATGGATTTTCTCGAGTTGTGGCGGGACCTGGGGTATGTTCTCGACTTACGGCGTGGATGGCACTTCAAAACACGAGTTTCTTCAGTGACGTCAGGACTCCTGTCTAGTAACGAGAGACACCTCAGGAATCCCTTCGAGGCTTGGCAGGGCAAAAGGGATGCTTCTCGAGGTCAGGCAGGGCACCCAAGGACCCTTTCCAGTAGCCACAGGGATTTTGGGATTCCTATCAGTATTCAAGAGGAGTCAGGCATCGTCACCTTTTGAAGCAATGAACTCCGCGTGCCTCTCCAGGTGTCAACGGGATGTGAGGCATTCCGTCAAAATGACGCAGGCACCTACTGCTTTCTCTAAGGTCTCCACAGGGGATTCAGACATCCCTTCATGTCTTGAGATCAAAGACGAGCCTGTATTCAAGCCACTGCAAGGAAATCCGAACTCCTTTCAAGTTAGGGCTTCTCGCTGTATATTCAACTTGAGGCAGCGAACTCGGGGTCCCTCCCACATACCTATTGCTGAGAGAAGCCTCCTCCTGAGGTGCTTCTGGAAAGTTGGCATACGTCTTGAGCCTAAGCCATTGAATCAGATCTCATCTCGAGACGATTTGGGGTACACGGAGCATTCCTCGAGTTGCTGTGCTGAAGTTGGTGTTCCTCTAGACTTGGGACAGTGTTCTCGGGGCATCTCTGGAGTGGCCTGAAGGAATTCGAGCCACCGGTCGTGTTGAATGGGGAACGGGGAATGGCTCTGGAGTCAATGCAGGGGAATCGAGCCTCATCTCGAGTTGATTTGGGGCACATGGAGCTGCTTTGCTTTGCTGGGGTGACTTCAGGGTTCCTCTAGACTGGTGACAGTGTTCTTGGGTACTCTCTCAAGATCCATTATGCAAGTCGAAGCTCCTGACTTGTTTGAATGGAATCACCGAATAGCTCTGCATGCACTGCAGTGGAATGGGGCCTCATCTCGCCTCTAGGGGGAAGTCTCATGGTTTTTCTCGAGTTGCGGCGGGGACCTGGGGTATGTTCTCGACTTACGGCGGGGATGGCCCTTCAAAACACGAGTTTCTTCAGTGACGTCAGGACTCCTGTCTAGTAACGAGGGACACCTCAGGAATCTCTTCGAGGCTTGGAAGGGCAAAAGCGACGCTTCTCGAGGTTAGGCACGGCACACAAGGATCCTTTCCAGTAGCCACAGGGATTTTGGGATTCCTATCAGTATTCAAGAGGCGTCAGGCATCGTCACCTTTTGAAGCAATGAACTCCGCGTGCCTCTCGAGGTGTCAACGGGATGTGAGGCATTCCGTCAAAATGAGGCAGGGACCTAGGGCTTTCTCTAAGGTCTCCACAGGGGATTCAGACATCCCTTCATGTTTTGAGATCAAAGACGAGCCTGTATTCAAGCCACTGCCAGGAAATCCGGCCTACTTTCAAGTTAGGGATTCTCGCAGTATATTCTACTTGAGGCAGCGATCTCGGGGTCCCTCCCACATACCTATTGCTGAGAGAAGCCTCCTCCTGAGGTGCTTCTGGAAAGTTGGCCTACGTCTTGAGCCTAAGCCAGGGAATCAGCACTCATCTCGAGACGATTTCGGGTACACGGAGCATTCCTCGAGTTGCTGTGCTGAAGTTGGTGTTCCTCTAGACATGGGACAGTGTTCTCGGGGCATCTCTGGAGTTGCCTGAAGGAAGTCGAGCCACCGGTCGTGTTGAAAGGGGAACGGGGAATGGCTCTGGAGTCAATGCAGGGGAATCGAGCCTCATCTCGAGTTGATTCGGGGCACATGGAGCTGCTTTGCATTGCTGGGGTGACCTCAGGGTCCGTCTAGACTGGTGACAGTGTTGTTGGGTACTGTCTCAAGATCCATTAAGCAAGTCGAAGCTCCTGACTTGTTTGAATGGGATCACCGAATAGCTCTGCATGCACTGCAGGGGAATGGGGCCTCATCTCGCCTCTAGGGGGAAGCCTCATGGTTTTTCTCGAGTTGCGGCGGGGACCTTGGGTATGTTCTCGACTTATGGCGGGGATGGCCCTTCAAAACACGAGTTTCTTCAGTGACATCAGGACTCCTGTCTAGTAACGAGGGACAACTCAGAAATCACTTCGAGGCTTGGGAGGGCAAAAGGGAGGCTTCTCGCGATGAGGCAGGGCACCCAAGGACCCTTTCCAGTAGCCACAGGGATTTTGGGATTCCTATCAGTATTCAAGAGGAGTCAGGCCTCGTCACCTTTTGAAGCAATGAACTCCGCGTGCCTCTCGAGGTGTCAACGGGATGTGAGGCATTCCGTCAATATGAGGCAGGGACCTAGGGCTTTCTCTAAGGTCTCCACAGGGGATTCAGACATCCCTTCATGTGTTGAGATCAAAGACGAGCCTGTATTCAAGGCACTACAAGGAAATCCAGCCTCCTTTCAAGTTAGGGCTTCTCGCAGTATATTCTACTTGAGGCAGCGTTCTCGGGGTCCCTCCCACATACCTATTGCTGAGATAAGCTTTTTCTTGAGGTGCTTCTGGAAAGTTGGCATACGTCTTGAGCCTAAGCCAGGGAATCAGCTCTCATCTCGAGACGATTTGGGGTATACGGAGCATTCCTCGAGTGGCTGTCCTGAAGTTGGTGTTCCTCTAGACTTGGGAGAGTGTTCTCGGGGCATCTCTGATGTTGCCTCAAGGAAGTTGGGCCACCGGTCGTGTTGAAATGGGAACGGGGCATGACTCTGGAGTCAATGCAGGGGAATCAGGCCTCATCTCGAGTTGATTTGGGGCACATGGAGCTGCTTTGCTTTGCTGGGGTGACCTCACGGTCCGTCTAGACTGGTTACAGTGTTCTTGGGGACTGTCTCGAGATCCATTAAGCAAGTCGAAGCTCCTGACTTGTTTGAATGGGATCACGGAATAGCTCTGCATGCACTGCAGGGGGATGGGACCTCATCTCGCCTCTAGGAGGAAGTCTCATGGTTTTTCTCGAGTTGCGGCGGGGACCTGGCGTATGTTCTCGAGTTACAGCGGGGATGGCCCTTCAAAACACGAGTTTCTTCAGTGGCGTCAGGACTCCTGTCTAGTAACGAGGGACACCTCAGGAATAGTTTCGAGGCTTGGTAGGGCAAAAGGGACGCTTCTCACGGTGAGGCAGCGCACCCAAGGACCATTTACAGTAGCCACATGGATTTTGGGATTCCTATCAGTATTCAAGAGGAGTCAGGCATCGTCACCTTTTGAAGCAATGAACTCCGCGTGCCTCTCGAGGTGTCAACGGGATGTGAGGCATTCCGTCAAAATGAGGCAGCGACCTACGGATTTCTGAAAAGTCTCCACAGGGGATTCAGACATCCCTTCATGTCTTGAGATCAAAGACGAGCCTGTATTCAAGCCACTGCAAGGAAATCCGGCCTCCTTTCAATTTAGGGCTTCTCGCTGTATATTCCACTTGAGGCAGCGATCTCGGGGTCCCTCCCACATACCTATTGCTGAGAGAAGCCTCCTCCTGAGGTGCTTCTGGAAAGTTGGCATACGTCTTGAGCCTAAGCCAGGGAATCAGCTCGCATCTCGAGACGATTTGGGCTATACGGAGCATTCCTTGAGTTGCTGTGATGAAGTTGGTATTCCTCTAGACTTGGGAGAGTGTTCTCGGGGCATCGCTGGAGTTGCCTGAAGGAAGTCGAGCCACCGGTCGTGTTGAATGGGGAACGGGGAATGGCTCTGGAGTCAATGCAGGGGAATCGGGCCTCATCTCGGGTTGATTTGGGGCACATGGAGCTGCTTTGCGTTGCTGGGGTGACCTCAGGGTCCGTCCAGACTGGTGACAGTGTTCTTGGGGACTGTCTCGAGATCCATTAAGCAAGTCGAAGCTCCTGACTTGTTTGAATGGGATCACGGAATAGCTCTGCATGCACTGCAGGGGGATGGAGCCTCATCTCGCCTCTAGGGGGAAGTCTCATGGTTTTTCTCGAGTTGCGGCGGGGACCTGGGGTATGTTCTCGACTTTCGGCGGGGATGGCCCTTCAAAACACGAGTTTATTCAGTGACGTCAGGACTCCTGTCTAGTAACGAGGGACACCTCAGGAATATTTTCGAGGCTTGGTAGGGCAAAATGGACGCTTCTTACGGTGAGGCAGGGCACCCAAGGACCATTTCCAGTAGCCACATGTATTTTGGGATTCCTATCAGTATTCAAGAGAAGTCAGGCATTGTCACCATTTGAAGCAATGAACTCCGCGTGCCTCTCGAGGTGTCAATGGGATGTGAGGCATTCCGTCAAAATGAGGCAGGGACCTAGGGCTTTCTCTAAGGTCTCCACAGGGGATTCAGACATCCCTTCATGTTTTGAGAACAAAGACAAGCCTGTATTCAAGCCACTGCAAGGAAATCCGGCCTCCTTTCAAGTTAGGTCTTCTCGCTGTATATTCCACTTGAGGCAGCGATCTCGGGGTCCCTCCCACATACTTATTGCTGAGAGAAGCCTCCTCCTGAGGTGCTTCTGGGAAGTTGGCATACGTCTTGAGCCTAAGCCAGGGAATCATCTCTCATCTCGAGACAATTTCGGGTTCTCGGAGCATTCCTCGAGTTGCTGTGCTGAAGTTGGTGTTCCTCTAGACTTGGGACAGTGTTCTCGGGGCATCTCTGGAGTTGCCTGAAGGAAGTCGAGCCACCGGTCGTGTTGAATGGGGAATGGGGAATGGCTCTGGAGTCAATGCAGGGGAATCTGGGCTCATCTCGAGTTGATTTGGGGCAAATGGAGCTGCTTTGCGTTGCTGGGGTGACCACAGGGTCCGTCTAGACTGGTGACAGTGTTCTTGGGGACTGTCTCGAGATCCATTAAGCAAGTCGAAGCTCCTGACTTGTTTGAATGGGATCACGGAATAGCTCTGCATGCACTGCAGGGGAATGGGGCCTCATCTCGCCTCTAGGCGGAAGGCTCATGGTTTTTCTCAAGATTCGGCAGGGACCTGGGGTATGTTCTCGACTTACGGCGGGGATGGCCCTTAAAAAAACACGAGTTTCTTCAGTGATGTCAGGACTCCGGTCTAGTAACGAGGGACACCTCAGGAATCTCTTCGAGGCTTGGCAGGGCCAAAGGGACGCTTCTCGAGATGAGGCAGGGAACTCAAGGACCCTTTCCAGTAGCCACAGTGATTTTGGGATTTCTCTCAGTATTCAAGAGGAGTCAGGCATTGTCACCTTTTGAAGCAATGAACTCCGCGTGCCTCTCGAGGTGTCAACGGGATGTGAGGCATTCCGTTAAAATGAGGCAGGGACCTAGGGCTTTCTCTAAGGTCTCCACAGGGGATTCAGACATCCCTTCATGTTTTGAGAACAAAGACGAGCCTGTATTCAAGCCACTCCAAGGAAATCCGGCCTCCTTTCACATTAGGGCTTCTCGCTGTATATTCCACATGAGGCAGCGATCTCGGGGTCCCTCCCACATACTTATTGCTGAGAGAAGCCTCCTCCTGAGGTGCTTCTGGAAAGTTGGCATACGTCTTGAGCCTAAACCAGGGAATCAGCTCTCATCTCGAGACTATTTGGGGTACACGGAGCATTCCTCGAATTGCTGTGCTGAAGTTGGTGTTCCTCTAGACTTGGCACAGTGTTCTCCGGGCATCTCTGGAGTTGCCTGAAGGAAGTCGAGCCACCGGTCGTGTTGAATGGGGAACGGGGAATGGCTCTGGAGTCAATGCAGCGGAATCGGCCCTCATCTCGAGTTGATTTGGGGCACATGGAGCTGCCTTGCGTTGCTGGGGTGACCTCAGAGTCCGTCTAGACTGGTGACAGTGTTCTTGGGGACTGTCTCAAGATCCATTAAGCAAGTCAAAGCTCCTGACTGTTTGAGTGGAATCACGGAATAACTCTGCATGCACTGCAGGGGAATTGGGCCTCATCTCGCCTCTAGGAGGAAGTCTCATGGTTTTTCTCGAGTTGTGGCGGGACCTATGGTATGTTCTCGACTTACGGCGGGGATGGCCCTTCAAAACACGAGTTTCTTCAGTGACGTCAGGACTCCTGTCTAGTAACGAGGGACACCGCAGGAATGTCTTCGAGGCTTGGCAGGGCAAAAGTTACGCTTCTCGTCGTGAGGCAGGGCCCCCAAGGACCCTTTTCAGTAGGCACAGGGATTTTGGGATTCCTATCAGTATTCAAGAGGCGTCAGGCATCGTCACCTTTTGAAGCAATGAACTCCGCGTGCCTCTCGAGGTGTCAACGGGATGTGAGGCATTCCGTCAAAATGAGGCAGGGACCTAGGGCTTTCTCTAAGGTCTCCACAGGGGATTCAGACATCCTTTCATGTTTTGAGATCAAAGACGAGCCTGTATTCAAGCCACTGCAAGGAAATCCGGCCTCCTTTCAAGTTAGGGATTCTCGCTGTATATTCCACTTGAGGCAGTGATCTCGGGGTCCCTCCCACATACCTATTGCTGAGAGAAGCCTCCTCGTGACGTTCTTTTGGAATGTTGGCATACGGCTTGAGCCTAAGCCAGGGAATCAGCTCTCATCTCGAGACGATTTGTTGAACACGGATCATTCCTCGAGTTGCTGTCCTGAAGTTGGTGTTCCTCTAGACTTGGGACAGTGTTCTCGGGGCATCTCTGATGTTGCCTCAAGGAAGTTGAGCCACCGGTCGTGTTGAGTGGGGAACGGGGAATGGCTCTGGAGTCAATGCAGGGGAATCGGGCTTCATCTCGAGTTGATTTGGGGCGCATGGAGCTGCTTTGCGTTGCTGGGGTGACCTCAGGGTCCGTCTAGACTGGTGACAGTGTTCCTGGGGACTGTCTCGAGATCCATTAAGCAAGTCGAAGCTCCTGACTTGTTTGAACGGGATCACGGAATAGCTCTGCATGCACTGCAGGGGAATGGGGCCTCATCTCGCCTCTAGCGGGAAGTCTCATGGTTTTTTTCGAGTTGAGGCGGGAACCTGGGTTATGTTCTCGACTTACGGCGGGGATGGCCCTTCAAAACACGGGTTTCTTCAGTGATGTCAGGACTCCTGTCTAGTAACGAGGGACTCCTCAGGAATCTCTTCGAGGCTTGGCAGGGTAAAAGGGACGCTTCTCGAGGTGAGGCAGGGAACCCAAGGACCCTTTCCAGTAGCCACAGGGATTTTGGGATTCCTATCAGTATACAAGAGGAGTCAGGCTTCGTCACCTTTTGAAGCAATGAACTCCGCGTGCCTCTCGAGGTGTCAATGGGATGTGAGGCATTCCGTCAAAATGAGGCCGGGACCTAGGGCTTTCTCTAAGGTCTCCACAGGGGATTCAGACATCCCTTCAAGTCTTGAGATAAAAAACGAGCCTGTATTCAAGCCACTGCAAGGAAACCCGGCCTCCTTTCAAGTTAGGGCTTCTCGCTGTATATTCCACTTGAGGCAGCGATCTCGGGGTCTCTCCCACATACCTATTGCTGAGATAAGCCTCTTCCTGAGGTGCTTCTGGAAAGTTGGCATACGTCTTGAGCCTAAGCCAGGGAATCAGCTCTCATCTCGAGACGATTTGGGGTATACGGAGCATTCCTCGAGTTGCTGTCCTGAAGTTGGTGTTCCTCTAGACTTGGGACAGTGTTCTCGGGGCATCTCCGATGTTGCCTCAAGGAAGTTGGGCCACCGGTCGTGTTGAATGGGGAACGGGGCGTGGCTCTGGAGTCAATGCAGGGGAATCAGGCCTCATCTCGAGTTGATTTGGGGCACATGGAGCTGCTTTGCGTTGCTGGGGTGACCTCACGGTCCGTCTAGACTGGTTACAGTGTTCTTGGGGACTGTCTCGAGAGCCATTAAGCAAGTCGAAGCTCCTGACTTCTTTGAATGGGATCACGGAATAGCTCTGCATGCACTGCAGGTGGACGGGGCCTCATCTCGCCTCTAGGGGGAAGTCTCATGGTTTTTCTCGAGTTGCGGCGGGGACCTGGCGTATGTTCTCGAGTTACAGCGGGGATGGCCCTTCAAAACACGAGTTTCTTCAGTGGCGTCAGGACTCCTGTCTAGTAACGAGGGACACCTCAGGAATAGTTTCGAGGCTTGGTAGGGCAAAAGGGACGCTTCTCACGGTGAGGCAGCGCACCCAAGGACCATTTACAGTAGCCACATGGATTTTGGGATTCCTATCAGTATTCAAGAGGAGTCAGGCATCGTCACCTTTTAAAGCAATGAACTCCGCGTGCCTCTCGAGGTGTCAACGGGATGTGAGGCATTCCGTCAAAATGAGGCAGGGACCTAGGGCTTTCTGAAAAGTCTCCACAGGGGATTCAGACATCCCTTCATGTCTTGAGATCAAAGACGAGCCTATATTCAAGCCACTCCAAGGAAATCCGGCCTCCTTTCAATTTAGGGCTTCTCGTTGTATATTCCACTTGAGGCAGCGATCTCGGGGTCCCTCCCACATACCTATTGCTGAGAGAAGCCTCCTCCTGAGGTGCTTCTGGAAAGTTGGCATACGTCTTGAGCCTAAGCCAGGGAATCAGCTCACATCTCGAGACGATTTGGGGTATACGGAGCATTCCTTGAATTGTTGTGATGAAGTTGGTGTTCCTCTAGACTTGGGAGAGTGTTCTCGGGGCATCGCTGTAGTTGCCTGAAGGAAGTCGAGCCACCGGTCGTGTTGAATGGGGAACGGGGAATGGCTCTGGAGTCAATGCAGGGGAATCGGGCCTCATCTCGGGTTGATTTGGGGCACATGGAGCTGCTTTGCGTTGCTGGGGTGACCTCAGGGTCCGTCCAGACTGGTGACAGTGTTCTTGGGGACTGTCTCGAGATCCATTAAGCAAGTCGAAGCTCCTGACTTGTTTGAATGGGATCACGGAATAGCTCTGCATGCACTGCAGGGGGATGGAGCCTCATCTCGCCTCTAGGGGGAAGTCTCATGGTTTTTCTCGAGTTGCGGCGGGGACCTGGGGTATGTTCTCGAGTTACGGCGGGGATGGCCCTTCAAAACACGAGTTTATTCAGTGACGTCAGGACTCCTGTCTAGTAACGAGGGACACCTCAGGAATATTTTCGAGGCTTGGTAGGGCAAAATGGACGCTTCTTACGGTGAGGCAGGGCACCCAAGGACCATTTCCAGTAGCCACATGTATTTAGGGATTCCTATCAGTATTCAAGATAAGTCAGGCATTGTCACCATTTGAAGCAATGAACTCCGCGTGCCTCTCGAGGTGTCAACGGGATGTGAGGCATTCCGTCAAAATGAGGCAGGGACCTAGGGCTTTCTCTAAGGTCTCCACAGGGGATTCAGACATCCCTTCATGTTTTGAGAACAAAGACAAGCCTGTATTCAAGCCACTGCAAGGAAATCCGGCCTCCTTTCAAGTTAGGTCTTCTCGCTGTATATTCCACTTGAGGCAGCGATCTCGGGGTCCCTCCCACATACTTATTGCTGAGAGAAGCCTCCTCCTGAGGTGCTTCTGGGAAGTTGGCATACGTCTTGAGCCTAAGCCAGGGAATCATCTCTCATCTCGAGACAATTTCGGGTACACGGAGCATTCCTCGAGTTGCTGTGCTGAAGTTGGTGTTCCTCTAGAGTTGGGACAGTGTTCTCGGGGCATCTCTGGAGTTTCCTGAAGGAAGTCGAGCCACCAGTCGTGTTGAATGGGGAATGGGGAATGGCTCTGGAGTCAATGCAGGGGAATCTGGTCTCATCTCGAGTTGATTTGGGGCAAAAGGAGCTGCTTGGCGTTCCGGGGGTGACCACAGGGTCCGTCTAGACTGGTGACAGTGTTCTTGGGGACTGTCTCGAGATCCATTAAGCAAGTCGAAGCTCCTGACTTGTTTGAATGGGATCACGGAATAGCTCTGCATGCACTGCAGGGGAATGGGGCCTCATCTCGCCTCTAGGCGGAAGGCTCATGGTTTTTCTCAAGATTCGGCAGGGACCTGGGGTATGTTCTCGACTTACGGCGGGGATGGCCCTTCAAAACACGAGTTTCTTCAGTGATGTCAGGACTCCGGTCTAGTAACGAGGGACACCTCAGGAATCTCTTCGAGGCTTGGCAGGGCCAAAGGGACGCTTCTCGAGATGAGGCAGGGAACTCAAGGACCCTTTCAGGTAGCCACAGGGATTTTGGGATTTCTCTCAGTATTCAAGAGGAGTCAGGCATTGTCACCTTTTGAAGCAATGAACTCCGCGTGCCTCTCGAGGTGTCAACGGGATGTGAGGCATTCCGTCAAAATGAGGCAGGGACCTAGGGCTTTCTCTAAGGTCTCCACAGGGGATTCAGACATCCCTTCATGTTTTGAGAACAAAGACGAGCCTGTATTCAAGCCACTCCAAGGAAATCCGGCCTCCTTTCACGTTAGGGCTTCTCGCTGTATATTCCACTTGAGGCAGCGATCTCGGGGTCCCTCCCACATACCTATTGCTGAGAGAAGCCTCCTCCTCAGGTGCTTCTGGAAAGTTGGCATACGTCTTGAGCCTAAACCAGGGAATCAGCTCTCATCTCGAGACTATTTGGGGTACACGGAGCATTCCTCGAGTTGCTGTGCTGAAGTTGGTGTTCCTCTAGACTTGGCACAGTGTTCTCCGGGCATCTCTGGAGTTGCCTGAAGGAAGTCGAGCCACCGGTCATGTTGAATGGGGAACGGGGAATGGCTCTGGAGACAATGCAGGGGAATCGGCCCTCATCTCGAGTTGATTTGGGGCGCATGGAGCTGCCTTGCGTTGCTGGGGTGACCTCAGAGTCCATCTAGACTGGTGACAGTGTTCTTGGGGACTGTCTCGAGATCCATTAAGCAAGTCGAAGCTCCTGACTGTTGAGTGGGATCACGGAATAGCTCTGCATGCACTGCAGGGGAATTGGGCCTCATCTCGCCTCTAGGAGGAAGTCTCATGGTTTTTCTCGAGTTGCGGCGGGGACCTGGGGTATGTTCTCGACTTACGGCGGGGATGGCCCTTCAAAACACGAGTTTGGTCAGTGACGTCAGGACTCCTGTCTAGTAACGAGGGACACCTCAGGAATCTCTTCGAGGCTAGGCATGGCAAAAGGGATGCTTCTGGAGGTCAGGCAGGGCACCCAAGGACCCATTCCAGGAGCCACAGGGATTTTGGGATTCCTATCAGTATTCAAGAGGCGTCAGGCATCGTCACCTTTTGAAGCAATGAACTCCGCGTGCCTCTCGATGTGTCAACAGGATGTGAGGCATTCCGTCAAAATGAGGCAGGGACCTAGGGCTTTCTCTAAGGTCTCCACAGGGGATTCAGACATCCTTTCATGTTTTGAGATCAAAGACGAGCCTGTATTCAAGCCACTGCAAGGAAATCCGGCCTCTTTTCAAGTTAGGGATTCTCGCTGTATATTCCACTTGAGGCAGCGATCTCGGGGTCCCTCCCACATACCTATTGCTGAGAGAAGCCTCCTCGTGACGTTCTTTTGGAAAGTTGGCATACGGCTTGAGCCTAAGCCAGGGAATCAGCTCTCATCTCGAGACGATTTGGGGAACACGGATCATTCCTCGAGTTGCTGTCCTGAAGTTGGTGTTCCTCTAGACTTGGGACAGTGTTCTCGGGGCATCTCTGATGTTGCCTCAAGGAAGTTGAGCCACTGGTCGTGTTGAATGGGGAACAGGGAATGGCTCTGGAGTCAATGCAGGGGAATCGGGCCTCATCTCGTGTTGATTTGGGGCACATGTAGCTGCTTTGCGTTGCTAGGGTGACCTCAGGGTCCGTCTAGACTGGTGACAGTGTTCTTGGGGACTGTCTCGAGATCCATTAAGCAAGTCGAAGCTCCTGACTTGTTTGAACGGGATCACGGAATAGCTCTGCATGCACTGCAGGGGAATGGGGCCTCATCTCGCCTCTAGGGGGAAGTCTCATGGTTTTTTTCGAGTTGAGGCGGGAACCTGGGGTATGTTCTCGACTTACGGCGGGGATGGCCCTTCAAAACACGGGTTTCTTCAGTGACGTCAGGACTCCTGTCTAGTAACGAGGGACACCTCAGGAATCTCTTCGAGGCTTGGCAGGGTAAAAGGGACGCTTCTCGAGGTGAGGCAGGGAACCCAAGGACCCTTTCCAGTAGCCACAGGGATTTTGGGATTCCTATCAGTATTCAAGAGGAGTCAGACTTCGTCACCTTTTGAAGCAATGAACTCCGCGTGCCTCTCGAGGTGTCAATGGGATGTGAGGCATTCCGTCAAAATGACGCAGGGACCTAGGGCTTTCTCTAAGGTCTGCACAGGGGATTCAGACATCCCTTCATGTCTTGAGATCAAAAACGAGCCTGTATTCAAGCCACTGCAAGGAAACCCGGCCTCCTTTCAAGTTAGGGCTTCTCGCTGTATATTCCACTTGAGGCAGCGATCTCGGGGTCTCTCCCACATACCTATTGCTGAGATAAGCCTCTTCTTGAGGTGCTTCTGGAAAGTTGGCATACGTCTTGAGCCTAAGCCAGGGAATCAGCTCTCATCTCGAGACGATTTTGGGTATACGGAGCATTCCTCGAGTTGCTGTCCTGAAGTTGGTGTTCCTCTAGACTTGGGACAGTGTTCTCGGGGCATCGCTGGAGTTGCCTGAAGGAAGTCGAACCACCGGTCGTGTTGAATGGGGAACGGGGAATGGCTCTGGAGTCAATGCAGGGGAATCGGGCCTCATCTCGGGTTGATTTGGGGTACATGGAGCTGCTTTGTGTTGCTGGGGTGACCTCAGGGTCCGTCCAGACTGGTGACAGTGTTCTTGGGGACTGTCTCGAGATCCATTAAGCAAGTCGAAGCTCCTGACTTGTTTGAATGGGATCACGGAATAGCTCTGCATGCACTGCAGGGGGATGGGGCCTCATCTCGCCTCTAGGGGGAAGTCTCATGGTTTTTCTCGAGTTGCGGCGGGGACCTGGGGTATGTTCTCGAGTTACGGCGGGGATGGCCCTTCAAAACACGAGTTTATTCAGTGACGTCAGGACTCCTGTCTAGTAATGAGGGACACCTCAGGAATATTTTCGAGGCTTGGTAGGGCAAAATGTACGCTTCTTACGGTGAGGCAGGGCACCCAAATACCATTTCCAGTAGCTTCATGGATTTTGGGATTCCTATCAGTATTCAAGAGAAGTCAGGCATTGTCACCATTTGAAGCAATGAACTCCGCGTGCCTCTCGAGGTGTCAACGGGATGTGAGGCATTCCGTCAAAATGAGGCAGGGACCTAGGGCTTTCTCTAAGGTCTCCACAGGGGATTCAGACATCCTTTCATGTTTTGAGAACAAAGACGAGCCTGTATTCAAGCCTCTCCAAGGAAATCCGGCCTCCTTTCACGTTAGGGCTTCTCGCTGCATGTTCCACTTGAGGCAGCGATCTCGGGGTCCCTCCCACATACCTATTGCTGAGAGAAGCCTCCTCCTGAGGTGCTTCTGGAAAGTTGGCATACGTCTTGAGCCTAAACCAGGGAATCAGCTCTCATCTCGAGACTATTTGGGGTACACGGAGCATTCCTCGAGTTGCTGTGCTGAAGTTGGTGTTCCTCTAGACTTGGCACAGTGTTCTCCGGGCATCTCTTGAGTTTCCTGAAGGAAGTCGAGCCACCGGTCGTGTTGAATGGGGAACGGGGAATGGCTCTGGAGTCAATGCAGGGGAATCGGCCCTCATCTCGAGTTGATTAGGGGCACATGGAGCTGCCTTGAGTTGCTGGGGTGACCTCAGAGTCCGTCTAGACTGGTGACAGTGTTCTTGGGGACTGTCTCGAGATCCATTAAGCAAGTCGAAGCTCCTGACTGTTTGAGTGGGATCACGGAATTGCTCTGCATGCACTGCAGGGGAATGGGGCCGCATCTCGCCTCTAGGAGGAAGTCTCATGGATTTTCTCGAGTTGTGGCGGGACCTGGGGTATGTTCTCGACTTACGGCGTGGATGGCACTTCAAAACACGAGTTTCTTCAGTGACGTCAGGACTCCTGTCTAGTAACGAGAGACACCTCAGGAATCCCTTCGAGGCTTGGCAGGGCAAAAGGGATGCTTCTCGAGGTCAGGCAGGGCACCCAAGGACCCTTTCCAGTAGGCACAGGGATTTTGGGATTCCTATCAGTATTCAAGAGGAGTCAGGCATCGTCACCTTTTGAAGCAATGAACTCCGCGTGCCTCTCCAGGTGTCAACGGGATGTGAGGCATTCCGTCAAAATGACGCAGGCACCTACTGCTTTCTCTAAGGTCTCCACAGGGGATTCAGACATCCCTTCATGTCTTGAGATCAAAGACGAGCCTGTATTCAAGCCACTGCAAGGAAATCCGAACTCCTTTCAAGTTAGGGCTTCTCGCTGTATATTCAACTTGAGGCAGCGAACTCGGGGTCCCTCCCACATACCTATTGCTGAGAGAAGCCTCCTCCTGAGGTGCTTCTGGAAAGTTGGCATACGTCTTGAGCCTAAGCCATTGAATCAGATCTCATCTCGAGACGATTTGGGGTACACGGAGCATTCCTCGAGTTGCTGTGCTGAAGTTGGTGTTCCTCTAGACTTGGGACAGTGTTCTCGGGGCATCTCTGGAGTGGCCTGAAGGAATTCGAGCCACCGGTCGTGTTGAATGGGGAACGGGGAATGGCTCTGGAGTCAATGCAGGGGAATCGAGCCTCATCTCGAGTTGATTTGGGGCACATGGAGCTGCTTTGCTTTGCTGGGGTGACTTCAGGGTTCCTCTAGACTGGTGACAGTGTTCTTGGGTACTCTCTCAAGATCCATTATGCAAGTCGAAGCTCCTGACTTGTTTGAATGGAATCACCGAATAGCTCTGCATGCACTGCAGTGGAATGGGGCCTCATCTCGCCTCTAGGGGGAAGTCTCATGGTTTTTCTCGAGTTGCGGCGGGGACCTGGGGTATGTTCTCGACTTACGGCGGGGATGGCCCTTCAAAACACGAGTTTCTTCAGTGACGTCAGGACTCCTGTCTAGTAACGAGGGACACCTCAGGAATCTCTTCGAGGCTTGGAAGGGCAAAAGCGACGCTTCTCGAGGTTAGGCACGGCACACAAGGATCCTTTCCAGTAGCCACAGGGATTTTGGGATTCCTATCAGTATTCAAGAGGCGTCAGGCATCGTCACCTTTTGAAGCAATGAACTCCGCGTGCCTCTCGAGGTGTCAACGGGATGTGAGGCATTCCGTCAAAATGAGGCAGGGACCTAGGGCTTTCTCTAAGGTCTCCACAGGGGATTCAGACATCCCTTCATGTTTTGAGATCAAAGACGAGCCTGTATTCAAGCCACTGCAAGGAAATCCGGCCTACTTTCAAGTTAGGGATTCTCGCAGTATATTCTACTTGAGGCAGCGATCTCGGGGTCCCTCCCACATACCTATTGCTGAGAGAAGCCTCCTCCTGAGGTGCTTCTGGAAAGTTGGCCTACGTCTTGAGCCTAAGCCAGGGAATCAGCACTCATCTCGAGACGATTTCGGGTACACGGAGCATTCCTCGAGTTGCTGTGCTGAAGTTGGTGTTCCTCTAGACATGGGACAGTGTTCTCGGGGCATCTCTGGAGTTGCCTGAAGGAAGTCGAGCCACCGGTCGTGTTGAAAGGGGAACGGGGAATGGCTCTGGAGTCAATGCAGGGGAATCGAGCCTCATCTCGAGTTGATTCGGGGCACATGGAGCTGCTTTGCATTGCTGGGGTGACCTCAGGGTCCGTCTAGACTGGTGACAGTGTTGTTGGGTACTGTCTCAAGATCCATTAAGCAAGTCGAAGCTCCTGACTTGTTTGAATGGGATCACCGAATAGCTCTCCATGCACTGCAGGGGAATGGGGCCTCATCTCGCCTCTAGGGGGAAGCCTCATGGTTTTTCTCGAGTTGCGGCGGGGACCTTGGGTATGTTCTCGACTTATGGCGGGTTTTGCCCTTCAAAACACGAGTTTCTTCAGTGACGTCAGGACTCCTGTCTAGTAACGAGGGACAACTCAGAAATCACTTCGAGGCTTGGGAGGACAAAAGGGAGGCTTCTCGCGATGAGGCAGGGCACCCAAGGACCCTTTCCAGTAGCCACAGGGATTTTGGGATTCCTATCAGTATTCAAGAGGAGTCAGGCCTCGTCACCTTTTGAAGCAATGAACTCCGCGTGCCTCTCGAGGTGTCAACGGGATGTGAGGCATTCCGTCAATATGAGGCAGGGACCTAGGGCTTTCTCTAAGGTCTCCACAGGGGATTCAGACATCCCTTCATGTTTTGAGATCAAAGACGAGCCTGTATTCAAGGCACTACAAGGAAATCCAGCCTCCTTTCAAGTTAGGGCTTCTCGCAGTATATTCTACTTGAGGCAGCGTTCTCGGGGTCCCTCCCACATACCTATTGCTGAGATAAGCTTTTTCCTGAGGTGCTTCTGGAAAGTTGGCATACGTCTTGAGCCTAAGCCAGGGAATCAGCTCTCATCTCGAGACGATTTGGGGTATACGGAGCATTCCTCGAGTGGCTGTCCTGAAGTTGGTGTTCCTCTAGACTTGGGAGAGTGTTCTCGGGGCATCTCTGATGTTGCCTCAAGGAAGTTGGGCCACCGGTCGTGTTGAATTGGGAACGGGGCATGGCTCTGGAGTCAATGCAGGGGAATCAGGCCTCATCTCGAGTTGATTTGGGGCACATGGAGCTGCTTTGCGTTGCTGGGGTGACCTCACGGTCCGTCTAGACTGGTGACAGTGTTCTTGGGGACTGTCTCGAGATCCATTAAGCAAGTCGAAGCTCCTGACTTGTGTGAATGGGATCACAGAATAGCTCTGCATGCACTGCAGGGGGATGGGGCCTCATCTCGCCTCTAGGGGGAAGTCTCATGGTTTTTCTCGAGTTGCCCCGGGGACCTGGCGTATGTTCTCGAGTTACAGCGGGGATGGCCCTTCAAAACACGAGTTTCTTCAGTGGCGTCAGGACTCCTGTCTAGTAACGAGGGACACCTCAGGAATAGTTTCGAGGCTTGGTAGGGCAAAAGGGACGCTTCTCACGGTGAGGCAGCGCACCCAAGGACCATTTACAGTAGCCACATGGATTTTGGGATTCCTATCAGTATTCAAGAGGAGTCAGGCATTGTCACCTTTTGAAGCAATGAACTCCGCGTGCCTCTCGAGGTGTCAACGGGATGTGAGGCATTCCGTCAAAATGAGGCAGCGACCTAGGGATTTCTGAAAAGTCTCCACAGGGGATTCAGACATCCCTTCATGTCTTGAGATCAAAGACGAGCCTGTATTCAAGCCACTGCAAGGAAATCCGGCCTCCTTTCAATTTAGGGCTTCTCGCTGTATATTCCACTTGAGGCAGCGATCTCGGGGTCTCTCCCACATACCTATTGCTGAGATAAGCTTTTTCCTGAGGTGCTTCTGGAAAGTTGGCATACGTCTTGAGCCTAAGCCAGGGAATCAGCTCGCATCTCGAGACCATTTGGGCTATACGGAGCATTCCTTGAGTTGCTGTGATGAAGTTGGTATTCCTCTAGACTTGGGAGAGTGTTCTCGGGGCATCGCTGGAGTTGCCTGAAGGAAGTCGAGCCACCGGTCGTGTTGAATGGGGAACGGGGAATGGCTCTGGAGTCAATGCAGGGGAATCGGGCATCATATCGGGTTGATTTGGGGCTCATGGAGCTGCTTTGCGTTGCTGGGGTGACCTCAGGGTCCGTCCAGACTGGTGACAGTGTTCTTGGGGACTGTCTCGAGATCCATTAAGCAAGTCGAAGCTCCTGACTTGTTTGAATGGGATCACGGAATAGCTCTGCATGCACTCCAGGGGGATGGAGCCTCATCTCGCCTCTAGGGGGAAGTCTCATGGTTTTTCTCGAGTTGCGGCGGGGACCTGGGGTATGTTCTCGACTTACGGCGGGGATGGCCCTTCAAAACACGAGTTTATTCAGTGACGTCAGGACTCCTGTCTAGTAACGAGGGACACCTCAGGAATATTTTCGAGGCTTGGTAGGGCAAAATGGACGCTTCTTACGGTGAGGCAGGGCACCCAAGGACAATTTCCAGTAGCCACATGTATTTTGGGATTCCTATCAGTATTCAAGAGAAGTCAGGCATTGTCACCATTTGAAGCAATGAACTCCGCGTTCCTCTCGAGGTGTCAATGGGATGTGAGGCATTCCGTCAAAATGAGGCAGGGACCTAGGGCTTTCTCTAAGGTCTCCACAGGGGATTCAGACATCCCTTCATGTTTTGAGAACAAAGACAAGCCTGTATTCAAGCCACTGCAAGGAAATCCGGCCTCCTTTCAAGTTAAGTCTTCTCGCTGTATATTCCACTTGAGGCAGCGATCTCGGGGTCCCTCCCACATACTTATTGCTGAGAGAAGCCTCCTCCTGAGGTGCTTCTGGGAAGTTGGCATACGTCTTGAGCCTAAGCCAGGGAATCATCTCTCATCTCGAGACAATTTCGGGTTCTCGGAGCATTCCTCGAGTTGCTGTGCTGAAGTTGGTGTTCCTCTAGACTTGGGACAGTGTTCTCGGGGCATCTCTGGAGTTGCCTGAAGGAAGTCGAGCCACCGGTCGTGTTGAATGGGGAATGGGGAATGGCTCTGGAGTCAATGCAGGGGAATCTGGGCTCATCTCGAGTTGATTTGGGGCAAATGGAGCTGCTTTGCGTTGCTGGGGTGACCAAAGGGTCCGTCTAGACTGGTGACAGTGTTCTTGGGGACTGTCTCGAGATCCATTAAGCAAGTCGAAGCTCCTGACTTGTTTGAATGGGATCACGGAATTGCTCTGCATGCACTGCAGGGGAATGGGGCCTCATCTCGCCTCTAGGCGGAAGGCTCATGGTTTTTCTCAAGATTCGGCAGGGACCTGGGGTATGTTCTCGACTTACGGCGGGGATGGCCCTTCAAAACACGAGTTTCTTCAGTGATGTCAGGACTCCGGTCTAGTAACGAGGGACACCTCAGGAATCTCTTCGAGGCTTGGCAGGGCCAAAGGGACGCTTCTCGTGATGAGGCAGGGAACTCAAGGACCCTTTCCAGTAGCCACAGTGATTTTGGGATTTCTCTCAGTATTCAAGAGGAGTCAGGCATTGTCACCTTTTGAAGCAATGAACTCCGCGTGCCTCTCGAGGTGTCAACGGGATGTGAGGCATTCCGTCAAAATGAGGCAGGGACCTAGGGCTTTCTCTAAGGTCTCCACAGGGGATTCAGACATCCCTTCATGTTTTGAGAACAAAGACGAGCCTGTATTCAAGCCACTCCAAGGAAATCCGGCCTCCTTTCACATTAGGGCTTCTCGCTGTATATTCCACATGAGGCAGCGATCTCGGGGTCCCTCCCACATACCTATTGCTGAGAGAAGCCTCCTCCTGAGGTGCTTCTGGAAAGTTGGCATACGTCTTGAGCCTAAACCAGGGAATCAGCTCTCATCTCGAGACTATTTGGGGTACACGGAGCATTCCTCGAGTTGCTGTGCTGAAGTTGGTGTTCCTCTAGACTTGGCACAGTGTTCTCCGGGCATCTCTGGAGTTGCCTGAAGGAAGTCGAGCCACCGGTCGTGTTGAATGGGGAACGGGGAATGGCTCTGGAGTCAATGCAGGGGAATCGGCCCTCATCTCGAGTTGATTTGGGGCACATGGAGCTGCCTTGCGTTGCTGGGGTGACGTCAGAGTCCGTCTAGACTGGTGACAGTGTTCTTGGGGACTGTCTCAAGATCCAATAAGCAAGTCAAAGCTCCTGACTGTTTGAGTGGAATCACGGAATAGCTCTGCATGCACTGCAGGGGAATTGGGCCTCATCTCGCCTCTAGGAGGAAGTCTCATGGTTTTTCTCGAGTTGTGGCGGGACCTATGGTATGTTCTCGACTTACGGCGGGGATGGCCCTTCAAAACACGAGTTTCTTCAGTGACGTCAGGACTCCTGTCTAGTAACGAGGGACACCGCAGGAATGTCTTCGAGGCTTGGCAGGGCAAAAGTTACGCTTCTCGTCGTGAGGCAGGGCCCCCAAGGACCCTTTTCAGTAGGCACAGGGATTTTGGGATTCCTATCAGTATTCAAGAGGCGTCAGGCATCGTCACCTTTTGAAGCAATGAACTCCGCGTGCCTCTCGAGGTGTCAACGGGATGTGAGGCATTCCGTCAAAATGAGGCAGGGACCTAGGGCTTTCTCTAAGGTCTCCACAGGGGATTCAGACATCCTTTCATGTTTTGAGATCAAAGACGAGCCTGTATTCAAGCCACTGCAAGGAAATCCGGCCTCCTTTCAAGTTAGGGATTCTCGCTGTATATTCCACTTGAGGCAGTGATCTCGGGGTCCCTCCCACATACCTATTGCTGAGAGAAGCCTCCTCGTGACGTTCTTTTGGAATGTTGGCATACGGCTATAGCCTAAGCCAGGGAATCAGCTCTCATCTCGAGACGATTTGTTGAACACGGATCATTCCTCGAGTTGCTGTCCTGAAGTTGGTGTTCCTCTAGACTTGGGACAGTGTTCTCGGGGCATCTCTGATGTTGCCTCAAGGAAGTTGAGCCACCGGTCGTGTTGAGTGGGGAACGGGGAATGGCTCTGGAGTCAATGCAGGGGAATCGGGCCTCATCTCGAGTTGATTTGGGGCGCATGGAGCTGCTTTGCGTTGCTGGGGTGACCTCAGGGTCCGTCTAGACTGGTGACAGTGTTCCTGGGGACTGTCTCGAGATCCATTAAGCAAGTCGAAGCTCCTGACTTGTTTGAACGGGATCACGGAATAGCTCTGCATGCACTGCAGGGGAATGGGGCCTCATCTCGCCTCTAGGGGGAAGTCTCATGGTTTTTTTCGAGTTGAGGCGGGAACCTGGGTTATGTTCTCGACTTACGGCGGGGATGGCCCTTCAAAACACGGGTTTCTTCAGTGATGTCAGGACTCCTGTCTAGTAACGAGGGACACCTCAGGAATCTCTTCGAGGCTTGGCAGGGTAAAAGGGACGCTTCTCGAGGTGAGGCAGGGAACCCAAGGACCCTTTCCAGTAGCCACAGGGATTTTGGGATTCCTATCAGTATACAAGAGGAGTCAGGCTTCATCACCTTTTGAAGCAATGAACTCCGCGTGCCTCTCGAGGTGTCAATGGGATGTGAGGCATTCCGTCAAAATGACGCAGGGACCTAGGGCTTTCTCTAAGGTCTCCACAGGGGATTCAGACATCCCTTCATGTCTTGAGATAAAAAACGAGCCTGTATTCAAGCCACTGCAAGGAAACCCGGCCTCCTTTCAAGTTAGGGCTTCTCGCTGTATATTTCACTTGAGGCAGCGATCTCGGGGTGTCTCCCACATACCTATTGCTGAGATAAGCCTCTTCCTGAGGTGCTTCTGGAAAGTTGGCATACGTCTTGAGCCTAAGCCAGGGAATCAGCTCTCATCTCGAGATGATTTGGGGTATACGGAGCATTCCTCGAGTTGCTGTCCTGAAGTTGGTGTTCCTCTAGACTTGGGACAGTGTTCTCGGGGCATCTCCGATGTTGCCTCAAGGAAGTTGGGCCACCGGTCGTGTTGAATGGGGAACGGGGCGTGGCTCTGGAGTCAATGCAGGGGAATCAGGCCTCATCTCGAGTTGATTTGGGGCACATGGAGCTGCTTTGCGTTGCTGGGGTGACCTCACGGTCCGTCTAGACTGGTTACAGTGTTCTTGGGGACTGTCTCGAGAGCCATTAAGCAAGTCGAAGCTCCTGACTTCTTTGAATGGGATCACGGAATAGCTCTGCATGCACTGCAGGGGGACGGGGCCTCATCTCGCCTCTAGGGGGAAGTCTCATGGTTTTTCTCGAGTTGCGGCGGGGACCTGGCATATGTTCTCGAGTTACAGCGGGGATGGCCCTTCAAAACACGAGTTTCTTCAGTGGCGTCAGGACTCCTGTCTAGTAACGAGGGACACCTCAGGAATAGTTTCGAGGCTTGGTAGGGCAAAAGGGACGCTTCTCACGGTGAGGCAGCGCACCCAAGGACCATTTACAGTAGCCACATGGATTTTGGGATTCCTATCAGTATTCAAGAGGAGTCAGGCATCGTCACCTTTTGAAGCAATGAACTCCGCGTGCCTCTCGAGGTGTCAACGGGATGTGAGGCATTCCGTCAAAATGAGGCAGGGACCTAGGGCTTTCTGAAAAGTCTCCACAGGGGATTCAGACATCCCTTCATGTCTTGAGATCAAAGACGAGCCTGTATTCAAGCCACTCCAAGGAAATCCGGCCTCCTTTCAATTTAGGGCTTCTCGTTGTATATTCCACTTGAGGCAGCGATCTCGGGGTCCCTCCCACATACCTATTGCTGAGAGAAGCCTCCTCCTGAGGTGCTTCTGGAAAGTTGGCATACGTCTTGAGCCTAAGCCAGGGAATCAGCTCTCATCTCGAGACGATTTGGGGTATACGGAGCATTCCTTGAATTGTTGTGATGAAGTTGGTGTTCCTCTAGACTTGGCAGAGTGTTCTCGGGGCATCGCTGTAGTTGCCTGAAGGAAGTCGAGCCACCGGTCTTGTTGAATGGGGAACGGGGAATGGCTCTGGAGTCAATGCAGGGGAATCGGGCCTCATCTCGGGTTGATTTGGGGCACATGGAGCTGCTTTGCGTTGCTGGGGTGACCTCAGGTTCCGTCCAGACTGGTGACAGTGTTCTTGGGGACTGTCTCGAGATCCATTAAGCAAGTCGAAGCTCCTGACTTGTTTGAATGGGATCACGGAATAGCTCTGCATGCACTGCAGGGGGATGGAGCCTCATCTCGCCTCTAGGGGGAAGTCTCATGGTTTTTCTCGAGTTGCGGCGGGGACCTGGGGTATGTTCTCGAGTTACGGCGGGGATGGCCCTTCAAAACACGAGTTTATTCAGTGACGTCAGGACTCCTGTCTAGTAACGAGGGACACCTCAGGAATCTCTTCGAGGCTTGGCAGGGCCAAAGGGACGCTTCTCGAGATGAGGCAGGGAACTCAAGGACCCTTTCCAGTAGCCACAGTGATTTTGGGATTTCTCTCAGTATTCAAGAGGAGTCAGGCATTGTCACCTTTTGAAGCAATGAACTCCGCGTGCCTCTCGAGGTGTCAACGGGATGTGAGGCATTCCGTCAAAATGAGGCAGGGACCTAGGGCTTTCTCTAAGGTCTCCACAGGGGATTCAGACATCCCTTCATGTTTTGAGAGCAAAGACGAGCCTGTATTCAAGCCACTCCAAGGAAATCCCGCCTCCTTTCACGTTAGGGCTTCTCGCTGTATATTCCACTTGAGGCAGCGATCTCGGGGTCCCTCCCACATACCTATTGCTGAGAGAAGCCTCCTCCTGAGGTGCTTCTGGAAAGTTGGCCTACGTCTTGAGCCTAAACCAGGGAATCAGCTCTCATCTCGAGACGATTTGGGGTACACGGAGCATTCCTCGAGTTGCTGTGCTGAAGTTGGTGTTCCTCTAGACTTGGCACAGTGTTCTCCGGGCATCTCTGGAGTTGCCTGAAGGAAGTCGAGCCACCGGTCGTGTTGAATGGGGAACGGGGAATGGCTCTGGAGTCAATGCAGGGGAATCGGCCCTCATCTCGAGTTGATTTGGGGCGCATGGAGCTGCCTTGCGTTGCTGGGGTGACCTCAGAGTCCGTCTAGACTGGTGACAGTGTTCTTGGGGACTGTCTCGAGATCCATTAAGCAAGTCGAAGCTCCTGACTGTTTGAGTGGGATCACGGAATAGCTCTGCATGCACTGCAGGGGAATTGGGCCTCATCTCGCCTCTAGGAGGAAGTCTCATGGTTTTTCTCGAGTTGTGGCGGGACCTGGGGTATGTTCTCGACTTACGGCGGGGATGGCCCTTCAAAACACGAGTTTGGTCAGTGACGTCAGGACTCCTGTCTAGTAACGAGGGACACCTCAGGAATCTCTTCGAGGCTAGGCATGGCAAAAGGGATGCTTCTGGAGGTCAGGCAGGGCACCCAAGGACCCATTCCAGGAGCCACAGGGATTTTGGGATTCCTATCAGTATTCAAGAGGCGTCAGGCATCGTCACCTTTTGAAGCAATGAACTCCGCGTGCCTCTCGAGGTGTCAACGGGATGTGAGGCATTCCGTCAAAATGAGGCAGGGACCTAGGGCTTTCTCTAAGGTCTCCACAGGGGATTCAGACATCCTTTCATGTTTTGAGGTCAAAGACGAGCCTGTATTCAAGCCACTGCAAGGAAATCCGGCCTCTTTTCAAGTTAGGGATTCTCGCTGTATATTCCACTTGAGGCAGCGATCTCGGGGTCCCTCCCACATACCTATTGCTGAGAGAAGCCTCCTCGTGACGTTCTTTTGGAAAGTTGGCATACGGCTTGAGCCTAAGCCAGGGAATCAGCTCTCATCTCGAGACGATTTGGGGAACACGGATCATTCCTCAAGTTGCTGTCCTGAAGTTGGTGTTCCTCTAGACTTGGGACAGTGTTCTCGGGGCATCTCTGATGTTGCCTCAAGGAAGTTGAGCCACTGGTCGTGTTGAATGGGGAACAGGGAATGGCTCTGGAGTCAATGCAGGGGAATCGGGCCTCATCTCGAGTTGATTTGGGCACATGTAGCTGTTTTGCGTTGCTAGGGTGACCTCAGGGTCCGTCTAGACTGGTGACAGTGTTCTTGGGGACTGTCTCGAGATCCATTAAGCAAGTCGAAGCTCCTGACTTGTTTGAACGGGATCACGGAATAGCTCTGCATGCACTGCAGGGGAATGGGGCCTCATCTCGCCTCTAGGGGGAAGTCTCATGGTTTTTTTCGAGTTGAGGCGGGAACCTGGGGTATGTTCTCGACTTACGGCGGGGATGGCCCTTCAAAACACGGGTTTCTTCAGTGACGTCAGGACTCCTGTCTAGTAACGAGGGACACCTCAGGAATCTCTTCGAGGCTTGGCAGGGTAAAAGGGACGCTTCTCGAGGTGAGGCAGGGAACCCAAGGACCCTTTCCAGTAGCCAGAGGGATTTTGGGATTCCTATCAGTATTCAAGAGGAGTCAGACTTCGTCACCTTTTGAAGCAATGAACTCCGCGTGCCTCTCGAGGTGTCAATGGGATGTGAGGCATTCCGTCAAAATGACGCAGGGACCTAGGGCTTTCTCTAAGGTCTGCACAGGGGATTCAGACATCCCTTCATGTCTTGAGATCAAAAACGAGCCTGTATTCAAGCCACTGCAAGGAAACCCGGCCTCCTTTCAAGTTAGGGCTTCTCGCTGTATATTCCACTTGAGGCAGCGATCTCGGGGTCTCTCCCACATACCTATTGCTGAGATAAGCCTCTTCCTGAGGTGCTTCTGGAAAGTTGGCATACGTCTTGAGCCTAAGCCAGGGAATCAGCTCTCATCTCGAGACGATTTGGGGTATACGGAGCATTCCTCGAGTTGCTGTCCTGAAGTTGGTGTTCCTCTAGACTTGGGACAGTGTTCTCGGGGCATCGCTGGAGTTGCCTGAAGGAAGTCGAACCACCGGTCGTGTTGAATGGGGAACGGGGAATGGCTCTGGAGTCAATGCAGGGGAATCGGGCCTCATCTCGGGTTGATTTGGGGTACATGGAGCTGCTTTGCGTTGCTGGGTTGACCTCAGGGTCCGTCTAGCCTGGTGACAGTGTTCTTGGGGACTGTCTCGAGATCCATTAAGCAAGTCGAAGCTCCTGACTTGTTTGAATGGGATCACGGAATAGCTCTGCATGCACTGCAGGGGGATGGGGCCTCATCTCGCCTCTAGGGGGAAGTCTCATGGTTTTTCTCGAGTTGCGGCGGGGACCTGGGGTATGTTCTCGAGTTACGGCGGGGATGGCCCTTCAAAACACAAGTTTATTCAGTGACGTCAGGACTCCTGTCTAGTAATGAGGGACACCTCAGGAATATTTTCGAGGCTTGGTAGGGCAAAATGGACGCTTCTTACGGTGAGGCAGGGCACCCAAAGACCATTTCCAGTAGCTTCATGGATTTTGGGATTCCTATCAGTATTCAAGAGAAGTCAGGCATTGTCACCATTTGAAGCAATGAACTCCGCGTGCCTCTCGAGGTGTCAACGGGATGTGAGGCATTCCGTCAAAATGAGGCAGGGACCTAGGGCTTTCTCTAAGGTCTCCACAGGGGATTCAGACATCCTTTCATGTTTTGAGAACAAAGACGAGCCTGTATTCAAGCCTCTCCAAGGAAATCCGGCCTCCTTTCACGTTAGGGCTTCTCGCTGTATATTCCACTTGAGGCAGCGATCTCGGGGTCCCTCCCACATACCTATTGCTGAGAGAAGCCTCCTCCTGAGGTGCTTCTGGAAAGTTGGCATACGTCTTGAGCCTAAACCAGGGAATCAGCTCTCATCTCGAGACTATTTGGGGTACACGGAGCATTCCTCGAGTTGCTGTGCTGAAGTTGGTGTTCCTCTAGACTTGGCACAGTGTTCTCCGGGCATCTCTTGAGTTTCCTGAAGGAAGTCGAGCCACCGGTCGTGTTGAATGGGGAACGGGGAATGGCTCTGGAGTCAATGCAGGGGAATCGGCCCTCATCTCGAGTTGATTAGGGGCACATGGAGCTGCCTTGAGTTGCTGGGGTGACCTCAGAGTCCGTCTAGACTGGTGACAGTGTTCTTGGGGACTGTCTCGAGATCCATTAAGCAAGTCGAAGCTCCTGACTGTTTGAGTGGGATCATGGAATTGCTCTGCATGCACTGCAGGGGAATGGGGCCGCATCTCGCCTCTAGGAGGAAGTCTCATGGATTTTCTCGAGTTGTGGCGGGACCTGGGGTATGTTCTCGACTTACGGCGTGGATGGCACTTCAAAACACGAGTTTCTTCAGTGACGTCAGGACTCCTGTCTAGTAACGAGAGACACCTCAGGAATCTCTTCGAGGCTTGGCAGGGCAAAAGGGATGCTTCTCGAGGTCAGGCAGGGCACCCAAGGACCCTTTCCAGTAGCCACAGGGATTTTGGGATTCCTATCAGTATTCAAGAGGAGTCAGGCATCGTCACCTTTTGAAGCAATGAACTCCGCGTGCCTCTCCAGGTGTCAACGGGATGTGAGGCATTCCGTCAAAATGACGCAGGCACCTACTGCTTTCTCTAAGGTCTCCACAGGGGATTCAGACATCCCTTCATGTCTTGAGATGAGAGACGAGCCTGTATTCAAGCCACTGCAAGGAAATCCGACCTCCTTTCAAGTTAGGGCTTCTCGCTGTATATTCAACTTGAAGCAGCGAACTCGGGGTCCCTCCCACATACCTATTGCTGAGAGAAGCCTCCTCCTGAGGTGCTTCTGGAAAGTTGGCACACGTCTTGAGCCTAAGCCAGGGAATCAGATCTCATCTCGAGACGATTTGGGGTACACGGAGCATTCCTCGAGTTGCTGTGCTGAAGTTGGTGTTCCTCTAGCCTTGGGACAGTGTTCTCGGGGCATCTCTGGAGTGGCCTGAAGGAATTCGAGCCACCGGTCGTGTTGAATGGGGAACGGGGAATGGCTCTGGAGTCAATGCAGGGGAAATCGAGCCTCATCTCGAGTTGATTTGGGGCACATGGAGCTGCTTTGCGTTGCTGGGGTGACTTCAGGGTTCCTCTAGACTGGTGACAGTGTTCTTGGGTACTGTCTCAAGATCCATTATGCAAGTCGAAGCTCCTGACTTGTTTGAATGGAATCACCGAATAGCTCTGCATGCACTGCAGTGGAATGGGGCCTCATCTCGCCTCTAGGGGGAAGTCTCATGGTTTTTCTCGAGTTGCGGCGGGGACCTGGGGTATGTTCTCGACTTACGGCGGGGATGGCCCTTCAAAACACGAGTTTCTTCAGTGACGTCAGGACTCCTGTCTAGTAACGAGGGACACCTCAGGAATCTCTTCGAGGCTTGGAAGGGCAAAAGCGACGCTTCTCGACGTTAGGCACGGCTCACAAGGATCCTTTCCAGTAGCCACAGGGATTTTGGGATTCCTATCAGTATTCAAGAGGAGTCAGGCATCGTCACCTTTTGAAGCAATGAACTCCGCGTGCCTCTCGAGGTGTCAACGGGATGTGAGGCATTCCGTCAAAATGAGGCAGGGACCTAGGGCTTTCTCTAAGGTCTCCACAGGGGATTCAGACATCCCTTCATGTTTTGAGATCAAAGACGAGCCTGTATTCAAGCCACTGCAAGGAAATCCGGCCTACTTTCAAGTTAGGGATTCTCGCAGTATATTCTACTTGAGGCAGCGATCTCGGGGTCCCTCCCACATACCTATTGCTGAGAGAAGCCTCCTCCTGAGGTGCTTCTGGAAAGTTGGCCTACGTCTTGAGCCTAAGCCAGGGAATCAGCACTCATCTCGAGACGATTTCGGGTACACGGAGCATTCCTCGAGTTGCTGTGCTGAAGTTGGTGTTCCTCTAGACATGGGACAGTGTTCTCGGGGCATCTCTGGAGTTGCCTGAAGGAAGTCGAGCCACCGGTCGTGTTGAAAGGGGAACGGGGAATGGCTCTGGAGTCAATGCAGGGGAATCGAGCCTCATCTCGAGTTGATTCGGGGCACATGGAGCTGCTTTGCATTGCTGGGGTGACCTCAGGGTCCGTCTAGACTGGTGACAGTGTTGTTGGGTACTGTCTCAAGATCCATTAAGCAAGTCGAAGCTCCTGACTTGTTTGAATGGGATCACCGAATAGCTCTGCATGCACTGCAGGGGAATGGGGCCTCATCTCGCCTCTAGGGGGAAGCCTCATGGTTTTTCTCGAGTTGCGGCGGGGACCTTGGGTATGTTCTCGACTTATGGCGGGGATGGCCCTTCAAAACACGAGTTTCTTCAGTGACGTCAGGACTCCTGTCTAGTAACGAGGGACAACTCAGAAATCACTTCGAGGCTTGGGAGGGCAAAAGGGAGGCTTCTCGCGATGAGGCAGGGCACCCAAGGACCCTTTCCAGTAGCCACAGGGATTTTGGGATTCCTATCAGTATTCAAGAGGAGTCAGGCCTCGTCACCTTTTGAAGCAATGAACTCCGCGTGCCTCTCGAGGTGTCAACGGGATGTGAGGCATTCCGTCAATATGAGGCAGGGACCTAGGGCTTTCTCTAAGGTCTCCACAGGGGATTCAGACATCCCTTCATGTTTTGAGATCAAAGACGAGCCTGTATTCAAGGCACTGCAAGGAAATCCAGCCTCCTTTCAAGTTAGGGCTTCTCGCAGTATATTCTACTTGAGGCAGCGTTCTCGGGGTCCCTCCCACATACCTATTGCTGAGATAAGCTTTTTCCTGAGGTGCTTCTGGAAAGTTGGCATACGTCTTGAGCCTAAGCCATGGAATCAGCTCTCATCTCGAGACGATTTGGGGTATACGGAGCATTCCTCGAGTGGCTGTCCTGAAGTTGGTGTTCCTCTAGACTTGGGAGAGTGTTCTCGGGGCATCTCTGATGTTGCCTCAAGGAAGTTGGGGCACCGGTCGTGTTGAATTGGGAACGGGGCATGGCTCTGGAGTCAATGCAGGGGAATCAGGCCTCATCTCGAGTTGATTTGGGGCACATGGAGCTGCTTTGCGTTGCTGGGGTGACCTCAGGGTTCGGCTAGACTGGTGACAGTGATCTTGGGGACTGTCTCCAGATCCATTAAGCAAGTCGAAGCTCCTGACTTGTTTGAATGGGATCACGGAATAGCTCTGCATGCACTGCAGGGGGATGGGGCCTCATCTCGCCTCTAGGGGGAAGTCTCATGCTTTTTCTCGAGTTGCGGCGGTGACCTGGCGTATGTTCTCGAGTTACAGCGGGGATGGCCCTTCAAAACACGAGTTTCTTCAGTGGCGTCAGGACTCCTGTCTAGTAACGAGGGACACCTCAGGAATAGTTTCGAGGCTTGGTAGGGCAAAAGGGACGCTTCTCACGGTGAGGCAGCGCACCCAAGGACCATTTACAGTAGCCACATGGATTTTGGGATTCCTATCAGTATTCAAGAGGAGTCAGGCATCGTCACCTTTTGAAGCAATGAACTCCGCGTGCCTCTCGAGGTGTCAACGGGATGTGAGGCATTCCGTCAAAATGAGGCAGGGACCTAGGGATTTCTGAAAATTCTCCACAGGGGATTCAGACCTCCCTTCATGTCTTGAGATCAAAGACGAGCCTGTATTCAAGCCACTCCAAGGAAATCCGGCCTCCTTTCAATTGAGGGCTTCTCGCTGTATATTCCACTTGAGGCAGCGATCTCGGGGTCCCTCCCACATACCTATTGCTGAGAGAAGCCTCCTCCTGAGGTGCTTCTGGAAAGTTGGCATACGTCTTGAGCCTAAGCCAGGGAATCAGCTCGCATCTCGAGACGATTTGGGCTATACGGAGCATTCCTTGAGTTGCTGTGATGAAGTTGGTATTCCTCTAGACTTGGGAGAGTGTTCTCGGGGCATCGCTGGAGTTGCCTGAAGGAAGTCGAGCCACCGGTCGTGTTGAATGGGGAACGGGGAATGGCTCTGGAGTCAATGCAGGGGAATCGGGCCTCATCTCGGGTTGATTTGGGGCACATGGAGCTGCTTTGCGTTGCTGGGGTGACCTCAGGGTCCGTCCAGACTGGTGACAGTGTTCTTGGGGACTGTCTCGAGATCCATTAAGCAAGTCGAAGCTCCTGACTTGTTTGAATGGGATCACGGAATAGCTCTGCATGCACTGCAGGGGTATGGAGCCTCATCTCGCCTCTAGGGGGAAGTCTCATGGTTTTTCTCGAGTTGCGGCGGGGACCTGGGGTATGTTCTCGACTTACGGCGGGGATGGCCCTTCAAAACACGAGTTTATTCAGTGACGTCAGGACTCCTGTCTAGTAACGAGGGACACCTCAGGAATATTTTCGAGGCTTGGTAGGGCAAAATGGACGCTTCTTACGGTGAGGCAGGGCACCCAAGGACAATTTCCAGTAGCCACATGTATTTTGGGATTCCTATCAGTATTCAAGAGAAGTCAGGCATTGTCACCATTTGAAGCAATGAACTCCGCGTGCCTCTCGAGGTGTCAACGGGATGTGAGGCATTCCGTCAAAATGAGGCAGGGACCTAGGGCTTTCTCTAAGGTCTCCACAGGGGATTCAGACATCCCTTCATGTTTTGAGAACAAAGACAAGCCTGTATTCAAGCCACTGCAAGGAAATCCGGCCTCCTTTCAAGTTAGGTCTTCTCGCTGTATATTCCACTTGAGGCAGCGATCTCGGGGTCCCTCCCACATACTTATTGCTGAGAGAAGCCTCCTCCTGAGGTGCTTCTGGGAAGTTGGCATACGTCTTGAGCCTAAGCCAGGGAATCATCTCTCATCTCGAGACAATTTCTGGTTCTCGGAGCATTCCTCGAGTTGCTGTGCTGAAGTTGGTGTTCCTCTAGACTTGGGACAGTGTTCTCGGGGCATCTCTGGAGTTGCCTGAAGGAAGTCGAGCCACCGGTCGTGTTGAATGGGGAATGGGGAATGGCTCTGGAGTCAATGCAGGGGAATCTGGGCTCATCTCGAGTTGATTTGGGGCAAATGGAGCTGCTTTGCGTTGCTGGGGTGACCACAGGGTCCGTCTAGACTGGTGACAGTGTTCTTGGGGACTGTCTCGAGATCCATTAAGCAAGTCGAAGCTCCTGACTTGTTTGAATGGGATCACGGAATAGCTCTGCATGCACTGCAGGGGAATGGGGCCTCATCTCGCCTCTAGGCGGAAGGCTCATGGTTTTTCTCAAGATTCGGCAGGGACCTGGGGTATGTTCTCGACTTACGGCGGGGATGGCCCTTCAAAACACGAGTTTCTTCAGTGATGTCAGGACTCCGGTCTAGTAACGAGGGACACCTCAGGAATCTCTTCGAGGCTTGGCAGGGCCAAAGGGACGCTTCTCGAGATGAGGCAGGGAACTCAAGGACCCTTTCCAGTAGCCACAGTGATTTTGGGATTTCTCTCAGTATTCAAGAGGAGTCATGCATTGTCACCTTTTGAAGCAATGAACTCCGCGTGCCTCTCGAGGTGTCAACGGGATGTGAGGCATTCCGTCAAAATGAGGCAGGGACCTAGGGCTTTCTCTAAGGTCTCCACAGGGGATTCAGACATTTCTTCATGTTTTGAGAACAAAGACGAGCCTGTATTCAAGCCACTCCAAGGAAATCCGGCCTCCTTTCACATTAGGGCTTCTCGCTGTATATTCCACATGAGGCAGCGATCTCGGGGTCCCTCCCACATACTTATTGCTGAGAGAAGCCTCCTCCTGAGGTGCTTCTGGGAAGTTGGCCTACGTCTTGAGCCTAAGCCAGGGAATCATCTCTCATCTCGAGACAATTTCGGGTTCTCGGAGCATTCCTCGAGTTGCTGTGCTGAAGTTGGTGTTCCTCTAGACTTGGGACAGTGTTCTCGGGGCATCTCTGGAGTTGCCTGAAGGAAGTCGAGCCACCGGTCGTGTTGAATGGGGAATGGGGAATGGCTCTGGAGTCAATGCAGGGGAATCTGGGCTCATCTCGAGTTGATTTGGGGCAAATGGAGCTGCTTTGCGTTGCTGGGGTGACCACAGGGTCCGTCTAGACTGGTGACAGTGTTCTTGGGGACTGTCTCGAGATCCATTAAGCAAGTCGAAGCTCCTGACTTGTTTGAATGGGATCACGGAATAGCTCTGCATGCACTGCAGGGGAATGGGGCCTCATCTCGCCTCTAGGCGGAAGGCTCATGGTTTTTCTCAAGATTCGGCAGGGACCTGGGGTATGTTCTCGACTTACGGCGGGGATGGCCCTTCAAAACACGAGTTTCTTCAGTGATGTCAGGACTCCGGTCTAGTAACGAGGGACACCTCAGGAATCTCTTCGAGGCTTGGCAGGGCCAAAGGGACGCTTCTCGAGATGAGGCAGGGAACTCAAGGACCCTTTCCAGTAGCCACAGTGATTTTGGGATTTCTCTCTGTATTCAAGAGGAGTCATGCATTGTCACCTTTTGAAGCAATGAACTCCGCGTGCCTCTCGAGGTGTCAACGGGATGTGAGGCATTCCGTAAAAATGAGGCAGGGACCTAGGGCTTTCTCTAAGGTCTCCACAGGGGATTCAGACATCCCTTCATGTTTTGAGAACAAAGACGAGCCTGTATTCAAGCCACTCCAAGGAAATCCGGCCTCCTTTCACATTAGGGCTTCTCGCTGTATATTCCACATGAGGCAGCGATCTCGGGGTCCCTCCCACATACCTATTGCTGAGAGAAGCCTCCTCCTGAGGTGCTTCTGGAAAGTTGGCATACGTCTTGAGCCTAAACCAGGGAATCAGCTCTCATCTCGAGACTATTTGGGGTACACGGAGCATTCCTCGAGTTGCTGTGCTGAAGTTGGTGTTCCTCTAGACTTGGCACAGTGTTCTCCGGGCATCTCTGGAGTTGCCTGAAGGAAGTCGAGCCACCGGTCGTGTTGAATGGGGAACGGGGAATGGCTCTGGAGTCAATGCAGGGGAATCGGCCCTCATCTCGAGTTGATTTGGGGCACATGGAGCTGCCTTGCGTTGCTGGGTGACCTCAGAGTCCGTCTAGACTGGTGACAGTGTTCTTGGGGACTGTCTCAAGATCCATTAAGCAAGTCAAAGCTCCTGACTGTTTGAGTGGAATCACGGAATAGCTCTGCATGCACTGCAGGGGAATTGGGCCTCATCTCGCCTCTAGGAGGAAGTCTCATGGTTTTTCTAGAGTTGTGGCGGGACCTATTGTATGTTCTCGACTTACGGCGGGGATGGCCCTTCAAAACACGAGTTTCTTCAGTGACGTCAGGACTCCTGTCTAGTAACGAGGGACACCGCAGGAATGTCTTCGAGGCTTGGCAGGGCAAAAGTTACGCTTCTCGTCGTGAGGCAGGGCCCCCAAGGACCCTTTTCAGTAGGCACAGGGATTTTGGGATTCCTATCAGTATTCAAGAGGCGTCAGGTATCGTCACCTTTTGAAGCAATGAACTCCGCGTTCCTCTCGAGGTGTCAACGGGATGTGAGGCATTCCGTCAAAATGAGGCAGGGACCTAGGGCTTTCTCTAAGGTCTCCACAGGGGATTCAGACATCCTTTCATGTTTTGAGATCAAAGACGAGCCTGTATTCAAGCCACTGCAAGGAAATCCGGCCTCCTTTCAAGTTAGGGATTCTCGCTGTATATTCCACTTGAGGCAGTGATCTCGGGGTCCCTCCCACATAACTATTGCTGAGAGAAGCCTCCTCGTGACGTTCTTTTGGAATGTTGGCATACGGCTTGAGCCTAAGCCAGGGAATCAGCTCTCATCTCGAGACGATTTGGGGAACACGGATCATTCCTCGAGTTGCTGTCCTGAAGTTGGTGTTCCTCTAGACTTGGGACAGTGTTCTCGGGGCATCTCTGATGTTGCCTCAAGGAAGTTGAGCCACCGGTCGTGTTGAGTGGGGAACGGGGAATGGCTCTGGAGTCAATGCAGGGGAATCGGGCCTCATCTCGAGTTGATTTGGGGCGCATGGAGCTGCTTTGCGTTGCTGGGGTGACCTCAGGGTCCGTCTAGACTGGTGACAGTGTTTCTGGGGACTGTCTCGAGATCCATTAAGCAAGTCGAAGCTCCTGACTTGTTTGAACGGGATCACGGAATAGCTCTGCATGCACTGCAGGGGAATGGGGCCTCATCTCGCCTCTAGGGGGAAGTCTCATGGTTTTTTTCGAGTTGAGGCGGGAACCTGGGTTATGTTCTCGACTTACGGCGGGGATGGCCCTTCAAAACACGGGTTTCTTCAGTGATGTCAGGACTCCTGTCTAGTAACGAGGGACACCTCAGGAATCTCTTCGAGGCTTGGCAGGGTAAAAGGGACGCTTCTCGAGGTGAGGCAGGGAACCCAAGGACCCTTTCCAGTAGCCACAGGGATTTTGGGATTCCTATCAGTATACAAGAGGAGTCAGGCTTCGTCACCTTTTGAAGCAATGAACTCCGCGTGCCTCTCGAGGTGTCAATGGGATGTGAGGCATTCCGTCAAAATGACGCAGGGACCTAGAGCTTTCTCTAAGGTCTCCACAGGGGATTCAGACATCCCTTCATGTCTTGAGATCAAAAACGAGCCTGTATTCAAGCCACTGCAAGGAAACCCGGCCTCCTTTCAAGTTAGGGCTTCTCGCTGTATATTCCACTTGAGGCAGCGATCTCGGGGTCTCTCCCACATACCTATTGCTGAGATAAGCCTCTTCCTGAGGTGCTTCTGGAAAGTTGGCATACGTCTTGAGCCTAAGCCAGGGAATCAGCTCTCATCTCGAGACGATTTGGGGTATACAGAGCATTCCTCGAGTTGCTGTCCTGAAGTTGGTGTTCCTCTAGACTTGGGACAGTGTTCTCGGGGCATCTCCGATGTTGCCTCAAGGAAGTTGGGCCACCGGTCGTGTTGAATGGGGAACGGGGCGTGGCTCTGGAGTCAATGCAGGGGAATCAGGCCTCATCTCGAGTTGATTTGGGGCACATGGAGCTGCTTTGCGTTGCTGGGGTGACCTCACGGTCCGTCTAGACTGGTTACAGTGTTCTTGGGGACTGTCTCGAGAGCCATTAAGCAAGTCGAAGCTCCTGACTTCTTTGAATGGGATCACGGAATAGCTCTGCATGCACTGCAGGGGGACGGGGCCTCATCTCGCCTCTAGGGGGAAGTCTCATGGTTTTTCTCGAGTTGCGGCGGGGACCTGGCGTATGTTCTCGAGTTACAGCGGGGATGGCCCTTCAAAACACGAGTTTCTTCAGTGGCGTCAGGACTCCTGTCTAGTAACGAGGGACACCTCAGGAATAGTTTCGAGGCTTGGTAGGGCAAAAGGGACGCTTCTCACGGTGAGGCAGCGCACCCAAGGACCATTTACAGTAGCCACATGGATTTTGGGATTCCTATCAGTATTCAAGAGGAGTCAGGCATCGTCACCTTTTGAAGCAATGAACTCCGCGTGCCTCTCGAGGTGTCAACGGGATGTGAGGCATTCCGTCAAAATGAGGCAGGGACCTAGGGCTTTCTGAAAAGTCTCCACAGGGTATTCAGACATCCCTTCATGTCTTGAGATCAAAGAAGAGCCTGTATTCAAGCCACTCCAAGGAAATCCGGCCTCCTTTCAATTGAGGGCTTCTCGTTGTATATTCCACTTGAGGCAGCGATCTCGGGGTCCCTCCCACATACCTATTGCTGAGAGAAGCCTCCTCCTGAGGTGCTTCTGGAAAGTTGGCATACGTCTTGAGCCTAAGCCAGGGAATCAGCTCTCATCTCGAGACGATTTGGGGTATACGGAGCATTCCTTGAATTGTTGTGATGAAGTTGGTGTTCCTCTAGACTTGGGAGAGTGTTCTCGGGGCATCGCTGTAGTTGCCTGAAGGAAGTCGAGCCACCGGTCGTGTTGAATGGGGAACGGGGAATGGCTCTGGAGTCAATGCAGGGGAATCGGGCCTCATCTCGGGTTGATTTGGGGCACATGGAGCTGCTTTGCGTTGCTGGGGTGACCTCAGGGTCCGTCCAGACTGGTGACAGTGTTCTTGGGGACTGTCTCGAGATCCATTAAGCAAGTCGAAGCTCCTGACTTGTTTGAATGGGATCACGGAATAGCTCTGCATGCACTGCAGGGGGATGGAGCCTCATCTCGCCTCTAGGGGGAAGTCTCATGGTTTTTCTCGAGTTGCGGCGGGGACCTGGGGTATGTTCTCGAGTTACGGCGGGGATGGCCCTTCAAAACACGAGTTTATTCAGTGACGTCAGGACTCCTGTCTAGTAACGAGGGACACCTCAGGAATATTTTCGAGGCTTGGTAGGGCAAAATGGACGCTTCTTACGGTGAGGCAGGGCACCCAAGGACCATTTCCAGTAGCCACATGTATTTTGGGATTCCTATCAGTATTCAAGAGAAGTCAGGCATTGTCACCATTTGAAGCAATGAACTCCGCGTGCCTCTCGAGGTGTCAACGGGATGTGAGGCATTCCGTCAAAATGAGGCAGGGACCTAGGGCTTTCTCTAAGGTCTCCACACGGGATTCAGACATCCCTTCATGTTTTGAGAACAAAGACAAGCCTGTATTCAAGCCACTGCAAGGAAATCCGGCCTCCTTTCAAGTTAGGTCTTCTCGCTGTATATTCCACTTGAGGCAGCGATCTCGGGGTCCCTCCCACATACCTATTGCTGAGAGAAGCCTCCTCCTGAGGTGCTTCTGGGAAGTTGGCATACGTCTTGAGCCTAAGCCAGGGAATCATCTCTCATCTCGAGACAATTTCGGGTACACGGAGCATTCCTCGAGTTGCTGTGCTGAAGTTGGTGTTCCTCTAGAGTTGTGACAGTGTTCTCGGGGCATCTCTGGAGTTGCCTGAAGGAAGTCTAGCCACCAGTCGTGTTGAATGGGGAATGGGGAATTGCTCTGGAGTCAATGCAGGGGAATATGGTCTCATCTCGAGTTGATTTGGGGCAAAAGGAGCTGCTTTGCGTTGCTGGGGTGACCACAGGGTCCGTCTAGACTGGTGACAGTGTTCTTGGGGACTGTCTCGAGATCCATTAAGCAAGTCGAAGCTCCTGACTTGTTTGAATGGGATCACGGAATAGCTCTGCATGCACTGCAGGGGAATGGGGCCTCATCTCGCCTCTAGGCGGAAGGCTCATGGTTTTTCTCAAGATTCGGCAGTGACCTGGGGTATGTTCTCGACTTACGGCGGGGATGGCCCTTCAAAACACGAGTTTCTTCAGTGATGTCAGGACTCCGGTCTAGTAACGAGGGACACCTCAGGAATCTCTTCGAGGCTTGGCAGGGCCAAAGGGACGCTTCTCGAGATGAGGCAGGGAACTCAAGGACCCTTTCCAGTAGCCACAGGGATTTTGGGATTTCTCTCAGTATTCAAGAGGAGTCAGGCATTGTCACCTTTTGAAGCAATGAACTCCGCGTGCCTCTCGAGGTGTCAACGGGATGTGAGGCATTCCGTCCAAATGAGGCAGGGACCTAGGGCTTTCTCTAAGGTCTCCACAGGGGATTCAGACATCCCTTCATGTTTTGAGAACAAAGACGAGCCTGTATTCAAGCCACTCCAAGGAAATCCGGCCTCCTTTCACGTTAGGGCTTCTCGCTGTATATTCCACTTGAGGCAGCGATCTCGGGGTCCCTCCCACATACCTATTGCTGAGAGAAGCCTCCTCCTGAGGTGCTTCTGGAAAGTTGGCATACGTCTTGAGCCTAAACCAGGGAATCAGCTCTCATCTCGAGACGATTTGGGGTACACGGAGCATTCCTCGAGTTGCTGTGCTGAAGTTGGTGTTCCTCTAGACTTGGCACAGTGTTCTCCGGGCATCTCTAGAGTTGCCTGAAGGAAGTCGAGCCACCGGTCGTGTTGAATGGGGAACGGGGAATGGCTCTGGAGTCAATGCAGGGGAATCGGCCCTCATCTCGAGTTGATTTGGGGCGCATGGAGCTGCCTTGCGTTGCTCGGGTGACCTCAGAGTCCGTCTAGACTGGTCACAGTGTTCTTGGGGACTGTCTCGAGATCCATTAAGTAAGTCGAAGCTCCTGACTTGTTTGAACGGGATCACGGAATAGCTCTGCATGCACTGCAGGGGAATGGGGCCTCATCTCGCCTCTAGGGGGAAGTCTCATGGTTTTTTTCGAGTTGAGGCAGGAACCTGGGGTATGTTCTCGACTTACGGCGGGGAATGCCCTTCAAAACACGGCTTTCTTCAGTGACGTCAGGACTCCTGTCTAGTAACGAGGGACACCTCAGGAATCTCTTCGAGGCTTGGCAGGGTAAAAGGGACGCTTCTCGAGGTGAGGCAGGGAACCCAAGGACCCTTTCCAGTACCCACAGGGATTTTGGGATTCCTATCAGTATTCAAGAGGAGTCAGACTTCGTCACCTTTTGAAGCAATGAACTCCGCGTGCCTCTCGAGGTGTCAATGGGATGTGAGGCATTCCGTCAAAATGAGGCAGGGACCTAGGGCTTTCTCTAAGGTCTGCACAGGGGATTCAGACATCCCTTCATGTCTTGAGATCAAAAACGAGCCTGTATTCAAGCCACTGCAAGGAAACCCGGCCTCCTTTCAAGTTAGGGCTTCTCGCTGTATATTCCACTTGAGGCAGCGATCTCGGGGTCTCTCCCACATACCTATTGCTGAGATAAGCCTCTTCCTGAGGTGCTTCTGGAAAGTTGGCATACGTCTTGAGCCTAAGCCAGGGAATCAGCTCTCATCTCGAGACGATTTGGGGTATACGGAGCATTCCTCGAGTTGCTGTCCTGAAGTTGGTGTTCCTCTAGACTTGGGACAGTGTTCTCGGGGCGTCGCTGGAGTTGCCTGAAGGAAGTCGAACCACCGGTCGTGTTGAATGGGGAACGGGGAATGGCTCTGGAGTCAATGCAGGGGAATCGGGCCTCATCTCGGGTTGATTTGGGGCACATGGAGCTGCTTTGCGTTGCTGGGGTGACCTCAGGGTCCGTCTAGACTGGTGACAGTGTTCTTGGGGACTGTCTCGAGATCCATTAAGCAAGTCGAAGCTCCTGACTTGTTTGAATGGGATCACGGAATAGCTCTGCATGCACTGCAGGGGGATGGGGCCTCATCTCGCCTCTAGGGGGAAGTCTCATGGTTTTTCTCGAGTTGCGGCGGGGACCTGGGGTATGTTCTCGAGTTACGGCGGTGATGGCCCTTCAAAACACGAGTTTATTCAGTGACGTCAGGACTCCTGTCTAGTAATGAGGGACACCTCAGGAATATTTTCGAGGCTTGGTAGGGCAAAATGGACGCTTCTTACGGTGAGGCAGGGCACCCAAAGACCATTTCCAGTAGCTTCATGGATTTTGGGATTCCTATCAGTATTCAAGAGAAGTCAGGCATTGTCACCATTTGAAGCAATGAACTCCGCGTGCCTCTCGAGGTGTCAACGGGATGTGAGGCATTCCGTCAAAATGAGGCAGGGACCTAGGGCTTTCTCTAAGGTCTCCACAGGGGATTCAGACATCCTTTCATGTTTTGAGAACAAAGACGAGCCTGTATTCAAGCCTCTCCAAGGAAATCCGGCCTCCTTTCATGTTAGGGCTTCTCGCTGTATATTCCACTTGAGGCAGCGATCTCGGGGTCCCTTCCACATACCTATTGCTGAGAGAAGCCTCCTCCTGAGGTGCTTCTGGAAAGTTGGCATACGTCTTGAGCCTAAACCAGGGAATCAGCTCTCATCTCGAGACGATTTGGGGTACACGGAGCATTCCTCGAGTTGCTGTGCTGAAGTTGGTGTTCCTCTAGACTTGGCACAGTGTTCTCCGGGCATCTCTTGAGTTTCCTGAAGGAAGTCGAGCCACCGGTCGTGTTGAATGGGGAACGGGGAATGGCTCTGGAGTCAATGCAGGGGAATCGGCCCTCATCTCGAGTTGATTAGGGGCACATGGAGCTGCCTTGAGTTGCTGGGGTGACCTCAGAGTCCGTCTAGACTGGTGACAGTGTTCTTGGGGACTGTCTCGAGATCCATTAAGCAAGTCGAAGCTCCTGACTGTTTGAGTGGGATCACGGAATTGCTCTGCATGCACTGCAGGGGAATGGGGCCGCATCTCGCCTCTAGGAGGAAGTCTCATGGATTTTCTCGAGTTGTGGCGGGACCTGGGGTATGTTCTCGACTTACGGCGTGGATGGCACTTCAAAACACGAGTTTCTTCAGTGACATCAGGACTCCTGTCTAGTAACGAGAGACACCTCAGGAATCTCTTCGAGGCTTGGCAGGGCAAAAGGGATGCTTCTCGAGGTCAGGCAGGGCACCCAAGGACCCTTTCCAGTAGCCACAGGGATTTTGGGATTCCTATCAGTATTCAAGAGGAGTCAGGCATCGTCACCTTTTGAAGCAATGAACTCCGCGTGCCTCTCCAGGTGTCAACGGGATGTGAGGCATTCCGTCAAAATGACGCAGGCACCTAATGCTTTCTCTAAGGTCTCCACAGGGGATTCAGACATCCCTTCATGTCTTGAGATCAAAGACGAGCCTGTATTCAAGCCACTGCAAGGAAATCCGACCTCCTTTCAAGTTAGGGCTTCTCGCTGTATATTCAACTTGAGGAAGCGAACTCGGGGTCCCTCCCACATACCTATTGCTGAGAGAAGCCTCCTCCTGAGGTGCTTCTGGAAAGTTGGCATACGTCTTGAGCCTAAGCCAGGGAATCAGATCTCATCTCGAGACGATTTGGGGTACACGGAGCATTCCTCGATTTGCTGTGCTGAAGTTGGTGTTCCTCTAGCCTTGGGACAGTGTTCTCGGGGCATCTCTGGAGTGGCCTGAAGGAATTCGAGCCACCGGTCGTGTTGAATGGGGAACGGGGAATGGCTCTGGAGTCAATGCAGGGGAATCAGGCCTCATCTCGAGTTGATTTGGGGCACATGGAGCTGCTTTGCGTTGCTGGGGTGACCTCAGGGTTCGGCTAGACTGGTGACAGTGATCTTGGGGACTGTCTCCAGATCCATTAAGCAAGTCGAAGCTCCTGACTTGTTTGAATGGGATCACGGAATAGCTCTGCATGCACTGCAGGGGGATGGGGCCTCATCTCGCCTCTAGGGGGAAGTCTCATGGTTTTTCTCGAGTTGCGGCGGGGACCTGGGGTATGTTCTCGAGTTACGGCGGGGATGGCCCTTCAAAACACGAGTTTATTCAGTGACGTCAGGACTCCTGTCTAGTAACGAGGGACACCTCAGGAATATTTTCGAGGCTTGGTAGGGCAAAATGGACGCTTCTTACGGTGAGGCAGGGCACCCAAGGACAATTTCCAGTAGCCACATGTATTTTGGGATTCCTATCAGTATTCAAGAGAAGTCAGGCATTGTCACCATTTGAAGCAATGAACTCCGCGTGCCTCTCGAGGTGTCAACGGGATGTGAGGCATTCCGTCAAAATGAGGCAGGGACCTAGGGCTTTCTCTAAGGTCTCCACAGGGGATTCAGACATCCCTTCATGTTTTGAGAACAAAGACAAGCCTGTATTCAAGCCACTGCAAGGAAATCCGGCCTCCTTTCAAGTTAGGTCTTCTCGCTGTATATTCCACTTGAGGCAGCGATCTCGGGGTCCCTCCCACATACTTATTGCTGAGAGAAGCCTCCTCCTGAGGTGCTTCTGGGAAGTTGGCATACGTCTTGAGCCTAAGCCAGGGAATCATCTCTCATCTCGAGACAATTTCGGGTTCTCGGAGCATTCCTCGAGTTGCTGTGCTGAAGTTGGTGTTCCTCTAGACTTGGGACAGTGTTCTCGGGGCATCTCTGGAGTTGCCTGAAGGAAGTCGAGCCACCGGTCGTGTTGAATGGGGAATGGGGAATGGCTCTGGAGTCAATGCAGGGGAATCTGGGCTCATCTCGAGTTGATTTGGGGCAAATGGAGCTGCTTTGCGTTGCTGGGGTGACCACAGGGTCCGTCTAGACTGGTGACAGTGTTCTTGGGGACTGTCTCGAGATCCATTAAGCAAGTCGAAGCTCCTGACTTGTTTGAATGGGATCACGGAATAGCTCTGCATGCACTGCAGGGGAATGGGGCCTCATCTCGCCTCTAGGCGGAAGGCTCATGGTTTTTCTCAAGATTCGGCAGGGACCTGGGGTATGTTCTCGACTTACGGCGGGGATGGCCCTTCAAAACACGAGTTTCTTCAGTGATGTCAGGACTCCGGTCTAGTAACGAGGGACACCTCAGGAATCTCTTCGAGGCTTGGCAGGGCCAAAGGGACGCTTCTCGAGATGAGGCAGGGAACTCAAGGACCCTTTCCAGTAGCCACAGTGATTTTGGGATTTCTCTCAGTATTCAAGAGGAGTCATGCATTGTCACCTTTTGAAGCAATGAACTCCGCGTGCCTCTCGAGGTGTCAACGGGATGTGAGGCATTCCGTCAAAATGAGGCAGGGACCTAGGGCTTTCTCTAAGGTCTCCACAGGGGATTCAGACATTTCTTCATGTTTTGAGAACAAAGACGAGCCTGTATTCAAGCCACTCCAAGGAAATCCGGCCTCCTTTCACATTAGGGCTTCTCGCTGTATATTCCACATGAGGCAGCGATCTCGGGGTCCCTCCCACATACTTATTGCTGAGAGAAGCCTCCTCCTGAGGTGCTTCTGGGAAGTTGGCATACGTCTTGAGCCTAAGCCAGGGAATCATCTCTCATCTCGAGACAATTTCGGGTTCTCGGAGCATTCCTCGAGTTGCTGTGCTGAAGTTGGTGTTCCTCTAGACTTGGGACAGTGTTCTCGGGGCATCTCTGGAGTTGCCTGAAGGAAGTCGAGCCACCGGTCGTGTTGAATGGGGAATGGGGAATGGCTCTGGAGTCAATGCAGGGGAATCTGGGCTCATCTCGAGTTGATTTGGGGCAAATGGAGCTGCTTTGCGTTGCTGGGGTGACCACAGGGTCCGTCTAGACTGGTGACAGTGTTCTTGGGGACTGTCTCGAGATCCATTAAGCAAGTCGAAGCTCCTGACTTGTTTGAATGGGATCACGGAATAGCTCTGCATGCACTGCAGGGGAATGGGGCCTCATCTCGCCTCTAGGCGGAAGGCTCATGGTTTTTCTCAAGATTCGGCAGGGACCTGGGGTATGTTCTCGACTTACGGCGGGGATGGCCCTTCAAAACACGAGTTTCTTCAGTGATGTCAGGACTCCGGTCTAGTAACGAGGGACACCTCAGGAATCTCTTCGAGGCTTGGCAGGGCCAAAGGGACGCTTCTCGAGATGAGGCAGGGAACTCAAGGACCCTTTCCAGTAGCCACAGTGATTTTGGGATTTCTCTCTGTATTCAAGAGGAGTCATGCATTGTCACCTTTTGAAGCAATGAACTCCGCGTGCCTCTCGAGGTGTCAACGGGATGTGAGGCATTCCGTAAAAATGAGGCAGGGACCTAGGGCTTTCTCTAAGGTCTCCACAGGGGATTCAGACATCCCTTCATGTTTTGAGAACAAAGACGAGCCTGTATTCAAGCCACTCCAAGGAAATCCGGCCTCCTTTCACATTAGGGCTTCTCGCTGTATATTCCACATGAGGCAGCGATCTCGGGGTCCCTCCCACATACCTATTGCTGAGAGAAGCCTCCTCCTGAGGTGCTTCTGGAAAGTTGGCATACGTCTTGAGCCTAAACCAGGGAATCAGCTCTCATCTCGAGACTATTTGGGGTACACGGAGCATTCCTCGAGTTGCTGTGCTGAAGTTGGTGTTTCTCTAGACTTGGCACAGTGTTCTCCGGGCATCTCTGGAGTTGCCTGAAGGAAGTCGAGCCACCGGTCGTGTTGAATGGGGAACGGGGAATGGCTCTGGAGTCAATGCAGGGGAATCGGCCCTCATCTCGAGTTGATTTGGGGCACATGGAGCTGCCTTGCGTTGCTGGGTGACCTCAGAGTCCGTCTAGACTGGTGACAGTGTTCTTGGGGACTGTCTCAAGATCCATTAAGCAAGTCAAAGCTCCTGACTGTTTGAGTGGAATCACGGAATAGCTCTGCATGCACTGCAGGGGAATTGGGCCTCATCTCGCCTCTAGGAGGAAGTCTCATGGTTTTTCTAGAGTTGTGGCGGGACCTATTGTATGTTCTCGACTTACGGCGGGGATGGCCCTTCAAAACACGAGTTTCTTCAGTGACGTCAGGACTCCTGTCTAGTAACGAGGGACACCGCAGGAATGTCTTCGAGGCTTGGCAGGGCAAAAGTTACGCTTCTCGTCGTGAGGCAGGGCCCCCAAGGACCCTTTTCAGTAGGCACAGGGATTTTGGGATTCCTATCAGTATTCAAGAGGCGTCAGGTATCGTCACCTTTTGAAGCAATGAACTCCGCGTTCCTCTCGAGGTGTCAACGGGATGTGAGGCATTCCGTCAAAATGAGGCAGGGACCTAGGGCTTTCTCTAAGGTCTCCACAGGGGATTCAGACATCCTTTCATGTTTTGAGATCAAAGACGAGCCTGTATTCAAGCCACTGCAAGGAAATCCGGCCTCCTTTCAAGTTAGGGATTCTCGCTGTATATTTCACTTGAGGCAGTGATCTCGGGGTCCCTCCCACATAACTATTGCTGAGAGAAGCCTCCTCGTGACGTTCTTTTGGAATGTTGGCATACGGCTTGAGCCTAAGCCAGGGAATCAGCTCTCATCTCGAGACGATTTGGGGAACACGGATCATTCCTCGAGTTGCTGTCCTGAAGTTGGTGTTCCTCTAGACTTGGGACAGTGTTCTCGGGGCATCTCTGATGTTTCCTCAAGGAAGTTGAGCCACCGGTCGTGTTGAGTGGGGAACGGGGAATGGCTCTGGAGTCAATGCAGGGGAATCGGGCCTCATCTCGAGTTGATTTGGGGCGCATGGAGCTGCTTTGCGTTGCTGGGGTGACCTCAGGGTCCGTCTAGACTGGTGACAGTGTTTCTGGGGACTGTCTCGAGATCCATTAAGCAAGTCGAAGCTCCTGACTTGTTTGAACGGGATCACGGAATAGCTCTGCATGCACTGCAGGGGAATGGGGCCTCATCTCGCCTCTAGGGGGAAGTCTCATGGTTTTTTTCGAGTTGAGGCGGGAACCTGGGTTATGTTCTCGACTTACGGCGGGGATGGCCCTTCAAAACACGGGTTTCTTCAGTGATGTCAGGACTCCTGTCTAGTAACGAGGGACACCTCAGGAATCTCTTCGAGGCTTGGCAGGGTAAAAGGGACGCTTCTCGAGGTGAGGCAGGGAACCCAAGGACCCTTTCCAGTAGCCACAGGGATTTTGGGATTCCTATCAGTATACAAGAGGAGTCAGGCTTCGTCACCTTTTGAAGCAATGAACTCCGCGTGCCTCTCGAGGTGTCAATGGGATGTGAGGCATTCCGTCAAAATGACGCAGGGACCTAGAGCTTTCTCTAAGGTCTCCACAGGGGATTCAGACATCCCTTCATGTCTTGAGATCAAAAACGAGCCTGTATTCAAGCCACTGCAAGGAAACCCGGCCTCCTTTCAAGTTAGGGCTTCTCGCTGTATATTCCACTTGAGGCAGCGATCTCGGGGTCTCTCCCACATACCTATTGCTGAGATAAGCCTCTTCCTGAGGTGCTTCTGGAAAGTTGGCATACGTCTTGAGCCTAAGCCAGGGAATCAGCTCTCATCTCGAGACGATTTGGGGTATACAGAGCATTCCTCGAGTTGCTGTCCTGAAGTTGGTGTTCCTCTAGACTTGGGACAGTGTTCTCGGGGCATCTCCGATGTTGCCTCAAGGAAGTTGGGCCACCGGTCGTGTTGAATGGGGAACGGGGCGTGGCTCTGGAGTCAATGCAGGGGAATCAGGCCTCATCTCGAGTTGATTTGGGGCACATGGAGCTGCTTTGCGTTGCTGGGGTGACCTCACGGTCCGTCTAGACTGGTTACAGTGTTCTTGGGGACTGTCTCGAGAGCCATTAAGCAAGTCGAAGCTCCTGACTTCTTTGAATGGGATCACGGAATAGCTCTGCATGCACTGCAGGGGGACGGGGCCTCATCTCGCCTCTAGGGGGAAGTCTCATGGTTTTTCTCGAGTTGCGGCGGGGACCTGGCGTATGTTCTCGAGTTACAGCGGGGATGGCCCTTCAAAACACGAGTTTCTTCAGTGGCGTCAGGACTCCTGTCTAGTAACGAGGGACATCTCAGGAATAGTTTCGAGGCTTGGTAGGGCAACAGGGACGCTTCTCACGGTGAGGCAGCGCACCCAAGGACCATTTACAGTAGCCACATGGATTTTGGGATTCCTATCAGTATTCAAGAGGAGTCAGGCATCGTCACCTTTTGAAGCAATGAACTCCGCGTGCCTCTCGAGGTGTCAACGGGATGTGAGGCATTCCGTCAAAATGAGGCAGGGACCTAGGGCTTTCTGAAAAGTCTCCACAGGGGCTTCAGACATCCCTTCATGTCTTGAGATCAAAGACGAGCCTGTATTCAAGCCACTCCAAGGAAATCCGGCCTCCTTTCAATTGAGGGCTTCTCGTTGTATATTCCACTTGAGGCAGCGATCTCGGGGTCCCTCCCACATACCTATTGCTGAGAGAAGCCTCCTCCTGAGGTGCTTCTGGAAAGTTGGCATACGTCTTGAGCCTAAGCCAGGGAATCAGCTCTCATCTCGAGACGATTTGGGGTATACGGAGCATTCCTTGAATTGTTGTGATGAAGTTGGTGTTCCTCTAGACTTGGGAGAGTGTTCTCGGGGCATCGCTGTAGTTGCCTGAAGGAAGTCGAGCCACCGGTCGTGTTGAATGGGGAACGGGGAATGGCTCTGGAGTCAATGCAGGGGAATCGGGCCTCATCTCGGGTTGATTTGGGGCACATGGAGCTGCTTTGCGTTGCTGGGGTGACCTCAGGGTCCGTCCAGACTGGTGACAGTGTTCTTGGGGACTGTCTCGAGATCCATTAAGCAAGTCGAAGCTCCTGACTTGTTTGAATGGGATCACGGAATAGCTCTGCATGCACTGCAGGGGGATGGAGCCTCATCTCGCCTCTAGGGGGAAGTCTCATGGTTTTTCTCGAGTTGCGGCGGGGACCTGGGGTATGTTCTCGAGTTACGGCGGGGATGGCCCTTCAAAACACGAGTTTATTCAGTGACGTCAGGTCTCCTGTCTAGTAACGAGGGACACCTCAGGAATATTTTCGAGGCTTGGTAGGGCAAAATGGACGCTTCTTACGGTGAGGCAGGGCACCCAAGGACCATTTCCAGTAGCCACATGTATTTTGGGATTCCTATCAGTATTCAAGAGAAGTCAGGCATTGTCACCATTTGAAGCAATGAACTCCGCGTGCCTCTCGAGGTGTCAACGGGATGTGAGGCATTCCGTCAAAATGAGGCAGGGACCTAGGGCTTTCTCTAAGGTCTCCACACGGGATTCAGACATCCCTTCATGTTTTGAGAACAAAGACAAGCCTGTATTCAAGCCACTGCAAGGAAATCCGGCCTCCTTTCAAGTTAGGTCTTCTCGCTGTATATTCCACTTGAGGCAGCGATCTCGGGGTCCCTCCCACATACTTATTGCTGAGAGAAGCCTCCTCCTGAGGTGCTTCTGGGAAGTTGGCATACGTCTTGAGCCTAAGCCAGGGAATCATCTCTCATCTCGAGACAATTTCGGGTACACGGAGCATTCCTCGAGTTGCTGTGCTGAAGTTGGTGTTCCTCTAGAGTTGTGACAGTGTTCTCGGGGCATCTCTGGAGTTGCCTGAAGGAAGTCTAGCCACCAGTCGTGTTGAATGGGGAATGGGGAATTGCTCTGGAGTCAATGCAGGGGAATATGGTCTCATCTCGAGTTGATTTGGGGCAAAAGGAGCTGCTTTGCGTTGCTGGGGTGACCACAGGGTCCGTCTAGACTGGTGACAGTGTTCTTGGGGACTGTCTCGAGATCCATTAAGCAAGTCGAAGCTCCTGACTTGTTTGAATGGGATCACGGAATAGCTCTGCATGCACTGCAGGGGAATGGGGCCTCATCTCGCCTCTAGGCGGAAGGCTCATGGTTTTTCTCAAGATTCGGCAGTGACCTGGGGTATGTTCTCGACTTACGGCGGGGATGGCCCTTCAAAACACGAGTTTCTTCAGTGATGTCAGGACTCCGGTCTAGTAACGAGGGACACCTCAGGAATCTCTTCGAGGCTTGGCAGGGCCAAAGGGACGCTTCTCGAGATGAGGCAGGGAACTCAAGGACCCTTTCCAGTAGCCACAGGGATTTTGGGATTTCTCTCAGTATTCAAGAGGAGTCAGGCATTGTCACCTTTTGAAGCAATGAACTCCGCGTGCCTCTCGAGGTGTCAACGGGATGTGAGGCATTCCGTCCAAATGAGGCAGGGACCTAGGGCTTTCTCTAAGGTCTCCACAGGGGATTCAGACATCCCTTCATGTTTTGAGAACAAAGACGAGCCTGTATTCAAGCCACTCCAAGGAAATCCGGCCTCCTTTCACGTTAGGGCTTCTCGCTGTATATTCCACTTCAGGCAGCGATCTCGGGGTCCCTCCCACATACCTATTGCTGAGAGAAGCCTCCTCCTGAGGTGCTTCTGGAAAGTTGGCATACGTCTTGAGCCTAAACCAGGGAATCAGCTCTCATCTCGAGACGATTTGTGGTACACGGAGCATTCCTCGAGTTGCTGTGCTGAAGTTGGTGTTCCTCTAGACTTGGCACAGTGTTCTCCGGGCATCTCTAGAGTTGCCTGAAGGAAGTCGAGCCACCGGTCGTGTTGAATGGGGAACGGGGAATGGCTCTGGAGTCAATGCAGGGGAATCGGCCCTCATCTCGAGTTGATTTGGGGTGCATGGAGCTGCCTTGCGTTGCTCGGGTGACCTCAGAGTCCGTCTAGACTGGTCACAGTGTTCTTGGGGACTGTCTCGAGATCCATTAAGCAAGTCGAAGCTCCTGACTGTTTGAGTGGGATCACGGAATAGCTCTGCATGCACTGCAGGGGAATTGGGCCTCATCTCGCCTCTAGGAGGAAGTCTCATGGTTTTTCTCGAGTTGTGGCGGGACCTGGGGTATGTTCTCGACTTACGGCGGGGATGGCCCTTCAAAACACGAGTTTGGTCAGTGACGTCAGGACTCCTGTCTAGTAACGAGGGACACCTCAGGAATCTCTTCGAGGCTAGGCATGGCAAAAGGGATGCTTCTCGAGGTCAGGCAGGGAACCCAAGGACCCATTCCAGGAGCCACAGGGATTTTGGGATTCCTATCAGTATTCAAGAGGCGTCAGGCATCGTCACCTTTTGAAGCAATGAACTCCGCGTGCCTCTCGAGGTGTCAACGGGATGTGAGGCATTCCGTCAAAATGAGGCAGGGACCTAGGGCTTTCTCTAAGGTCTCCACAGGGGATTCAGACATCCTTTCATGTTTTGAGATCAAAGACGAGCCTGTATTCAAGCCACTGCAAGGAAATCCGGCCTCTTTTCAAGTTAGGGATTCTCGCTGTATATTCCACTTGAGGCAGCGATCTCGGGGTCCCTCCCACATACCTATTGCTGAGAGAAGCCTCCTCGTGACGTTCTTTTGGAAAGTTGGCATACGGCTTGAGCCTAAGCCAGGGAATCAGCTCTCATCTCGAGACGATTTGGGGAACACGGATCATTCCTCGAGTTGCTGTCCTGAAGTTGGTGTTCCTCTAGACTTGGGACAGTGTTTTCGGGGCATCTCTGATGTTGCCTCAAGGAAGTTGAGCCACTGGTCGTGTTGAATGGGGAACAGGGAATGGCTCTGGAGTCAATGCAGGGGAATCGGGCCTCATCTCGAGTTGATTTGGGGCACATGTAGCTGCTTTGCGTTGCTAGGGTGACCTCAGGGTCAGTCTAGACTGGTGACAGTGTTCTTGGGGACTGTCTCGAGATCCATTAAGTAAGTCGAAGCTCCTGACTTGTTTGAACGGGATCACGGAATAGCTCTGCATGCACTGCAGGGGAATGGGGCCTCATCTCGCCTCTAGGGGGAAGTCTCATGGTTTTTTTCGAGTTGAGGCAGGAACCTGGGGTATGTTCTCGACTTACGGCGGGGAATGCCCTTCAAAACACGGCTTTCTTCAGTGACGTCAGGACTCCTGTCTAGTAACGAGGGACACCTCAGGAATCTCTTCGAGGCTTGGCAGGGTAAAAGGGACGCTTCTCGAGGTGAGGCAGGGAACCCAAGGACCCTTTCCAGTACCCACAGGGATTTTGGGATTCCTATCAGTATTCAAGAGGAGTCAGACTTCGTCACCTTTTGAAGCAATGAACTCCGCGTGCCTCTCGAGGTGTCAATGGGATGTGAGGCATTCCGTCAAAATGACGCAGGGACCTAGGGCTTTCTCTAAGGTCTGCACAGGGGATTCAGACATCCCTTCATGTCTTGAGATCAAAAACGAGCCTGTATTCAAGCCACTGCAAGGAAACCCGGCCTCCTTTCAAGTTAGGGCTTCTCGCTGTATATTCCACTTGAGGCAGCGATCTCGGGGTCTCTCCCACATACCTATTGCTGAGATAAGCCTCTTCCTGAGGTGCTTCTGGAAAGTTGGCATACGTCTTGAGCCTAAGCCAGGGAATCAGCTCTCATCTCGAGACGATTTGGGGTATACGGAGCATTCCTCGAGTTGCTGTCCTGAAGTTGGTGTTCCTCTAGACTTGGGACAGTGTTCTCGGGGCATCGCTGGAGTTGCCTGAAGGAAGTCGAACCACCGGTCGTGTTGAATGGGGAACGGGGAATGGCTCTGGAGTCAATGCAGGGGAATCGGGCCTCATCTCGGGTTGATTTGGGGCACATGGAGCTGCTTTGCGTTGCTGGGGTGACCTCAGGGTCCGTCTAGACTGGTGACAGTGTTCTTGGGGACTGTCTCGAGATCCATTAAGCAAGTCGAAGCTCCTGACTTGTTTGAATGGGATCACGGAATAGCTCTGCATGCACTGCAGGGGGATGGGGCCTCATCTCGCCTCTAGGGGGAAGTCTCATGGTTTTTCTCGAGTTGCGGCGGGGACCTGGGGTATGTTCTCGAGTTACGGCGGTGATGGCCCTTCAAAACACGAGTTTATTCAGTGACGTCAGGACTCCTGTCTAGTAATGAGGGACACCTCAGGAATATTTTCGAGGCTTGGTAGGGCAAAATGGACGCTTCTTACGGTGAGGCAGGGCACCCAAAGACCATTTCCAGTAGCTTCATGGATTTTGGGATTCCTATCAGTATTCAAGAGAAGTCAGGCATTGTCACCATTTGAAGCAATGAACTCCGCGTGCCTCTCGAGGTGTCAACGGGATGTGAGGCATTCCGTCAAAATGAGGCAGGGACCTAGGGCTTTCTCTAAGGTCTCCACAGGGGATTCAGACATCCTTTCATGTTTTGAGAACAAAGACGAGCCTGTATTCAAGCCTCTCCAAGGAAATCCGGCCTCCTTTCATGTTAGGGCTTCTCGCTGTATATTCCACTTGAGGCAGCGATCTCGGGGTCCCTCCCACATACCTATTGCTGAGAGAAGCCTCCTCCTGAGGTGCTTCTGGAAAGTTGGCATACGTCTTGAGCCTAAACCAGGGAATCAGCTCTCATCTCGAGACGATTTGGGGTACACGGAGCATTCCTCGAGTTGCTGTGCTGAAGTTGGTGTTCCTCTAGACTTGGCACAGTGTTCTCCGGGCATCTCTTGAGTTTCCTGAAGGAAGTCGAGCCACCGGTCGTGTTGAATGGGGAACGGGGAATGGCTCTGGAGTCAATGCAGGGGAATCGGCCCTCATCTCGAGTTGATTAGGGGCACATGGAGCTGCCTTGAGTTGCTGGGGTGACCTCAGAGTCCGTCTAGACTGGTGACAGTGTTCTTGGGGACTGTCTCGAGATCCATTAAGCAAGTCGAAGCTCCTGACTGTTTGAGTGGGATCACGGAATTGCTCTGCATGCACTGCAGGGGAATGGGGCCGCATCTCGCCTCTAGGAGGAAGTCTCATGGATTTTCTCGAGTTGTGGCGGGACCTGGGGTATGTTCTCGACTTACGGCGGGGATGGCCCTTCAAAACACGAGTTTCTTCAGTGACGTCAGGACTCCTGTCTAGTAACGAGGGACACCTCAGGAATCTCTTCGAGGCTTGGAAGGGCAAAAGCGACGCTTCTCGAGGTTAGGCACGGCACCCAAGGATCCTTTCCAGTAGCCACAGGGATTTTGGGATTCCTATCAGTATTCAAGAGGAGTCAGGCATCGTCACCTTTTGAAGCAATGAACTCCGCGTGCCTCTCGAGGTGTCAACGGGATGTGAGGCATTCCGTCAAAATGAGGCAGGGACCTAGGGCTTTCTCTAAGGTCTCCACAGGGGATTCAGACATCCCTTCATGTTTTGAGATCAAAGACGAGCCTGTATTCAAGCCACTGCAAGGAAATCCGGCCTACTTTAAAGTTAGGGATTCTCGCAGTGTATTCTACTTGAGGCAGCGATCTCGGGGTCCCTCCCACATACCTATTGCTGAGAGAAGCCTCCTCCTGAGGTGCTTCTGGAAAGTTGGCCTACGTCTTGAGCCTAAGCCAGGGAATCAGCACTCATCTCGAGACGATTTCGGGTACACGGAGCATACCTCGAGTTGCTGTGCTGAAGTTGGTGTTCCTCTAGACATGGGACAGTGTTCTCGGGGCATCTCTGGAGTTGCCTGAAGGAAGTCGAGCCACCGGTCGTGTTGAAAGGGGAACGGGGAATGGCTCTGGAGTCAATGCAGGGGAATCGAGCCTCATCTCGAGTTGATTCGGGGCACATGGAGCTGCTTTGCATTGCTGGGGTGACCTCAGGGTCCGTCTAGACTGGTGACAGTGTTGTTGGGGACTGTCTCGAGATCCATTAAGCAAGTTGAAGCTCCTGACTTCTTTTATGGGGATCACCGAATAGCTCTGCATGCACTGCAGGGGAATGGGGCCTCATTTCGCGTCTAGGGGGAAGTCTCATGGTTTTTCTCGAGTTGCGGCGGGGACCTGGGGTATGTTCTCGACTTACGGCGGTTACGGCCCTTCAAAACACGAGTTTCTTCAGTGACGTCAAGACTCCTGTCTAGTAACGAGGGACACATCAGGAATCTCTTCGAGGCTTGGCAGGGCAAAAGGGATGCTTCTCGAGGTCACGCAGGGCACCCAAGGACCCTTTTCAGTAGCCACAGGGATTTTGGGATTCCTATCAGTATTCAGGAGGAGTCAGGCGTCGTCACCTTTTGAAGCAATGAACTCCGCGTGCCTCTCGAGGTGTCAACGGGATGTGAGGCATTCCGTCAAAATGAGGCAGGGACCTAGGGCTTTCTCTAAGGTCTCCACAGGGGATTCAGACATCCCTTCATGTTTTGAGATCAAAGACGAGCCTGTATTCAAGGCACTGCAAGGAAATCCGGCCTCCTTCAAGTTAGGGCTTCTCGCAGTATATTCTACTTGAGGCAGCGATCTCGGGGTCCCTCCCACATACCTATTGCTGAGAGAAGCCTCCTCCTGAGGTGCTTCTGGAAAGTTGGCATACGTCTTGAGCCTAAGCCAGGGAATCAGCTCTCATCTCGAGACGATTTGGGGTACACGGAGCATTCCTCGAGTTGCTGTGCTGAAGTTGGTGTTCCTCTAGACTTGGGACAGTGTTCTCGGGATATCACTGGAGTTGCCTGAAGGAAGTCGAGCCACCGGTCGTGTTGAATAGGGAACGGGGAATGGCTCTGGAGTCAATGCAGGGGAATCGGCCCTCATCTCGAGTTGATTTGGGGCACATGTAGCTGCTTTGCGTTGCTGGGGTGACCTCAGTGTCCGTCTAGACTGGTGACAGTGTTCTTGGGTACTGTCTCAAGATCCATTAAGGAAGTCGAAGCTCCTGACTTGTTTGAATGAGATCACCGAATAGCTCTGCATGCAGTGCAGTGGAATGGGGCCTCATCTCGCCTCTAGGGGGAAGTCTCATGGTTTTTCTTGAGTTGCGGCGGGGACCTGGGGTATGTTCTCGTCTTACGGCGGGGATGGCCCTCCAAAACACGAGTTTCTTCAGTGACGTCAGGACTCCTGTCTAGTAACGAGGGACACCTCAGGAATCTCTTCGAGGCTTGGCAGGGCAAAAGGGACCCTTCTCGAAGTTAGGCAGGGCACCCAAGTACCCTTTCCTGTAGCCATAGGGATTTTGGGATTCCTATCAGTATTCAAGAGTAGTCAGGCATCGTCACCTTTTGAAGCAATGAACTCCGCGTGCCTCTCGAGGTGTCAACTGGATGTGAGGCATTCCGTCAAAATAAGGTAGGGTCCTAGGGCTTTCTCTAAGTTCTCCACAGGGGATTCAGACATCCCTTCATGTTTTGAGATCAAAGACGAGCCGGTATTCAAGACACTGCAAGGAAACCCGGCCTCCTTTCAAGTTAGGGCTTCTCGCTGTATATTCCACTTGAGGCAGCGATCTCGGGGTCCCTCCCACATACCTATTGCTGAGAGAAGCCTCCTCCTGAGGTGCTTCTGGAAAGTTGGCATACGTCTTGAGCCTAAGCCAGGGAATCAGCTCTCATCTCGACACGATTTGGGGTACACGGACCCGTCCTCGAGTTGCTGTGCTCAAGTTGGTGTTCCTCTAGACTTGGGACAGTGTTCTCGGGGCATCTCTGGAGTTGCCTGAAGGAAGTCGAGCCACCGGTCGTGTTGAATGGGGAACGGGAAATGGCTCTGGAGTCAATGCAGGGGAATCGGCCCTCATCTCGAGTTGATTTGGGCCACATGGAGCTGCCTTGCGTTGCTCGGGTGACCTCAGAGTCCGTCTAGACTGGTGACAGTGTTCTTGGGGACTGTCTCGAGATCCATTAAGCAAGTTGAAGCTCCTGACATGTTTGATGGGGATCACCGAATAGCTCTGCATGCACTGCAAGGGAATGGGGCCTCATCTCGCCTCTAGGGGGAAGTCTCATGGTTTTTCTCGAGTTGCGGCGGGGACCTGGGGTATGTTCTCGACTTACGGCGGTTATGGCCCTTCAAAACACGAGTTTCTTCAATGACGTCAGGACTCCTGTATAGTAACGAGGGACACCTCAAGAATCTCTTCGAGGCTTGGCAGGGCAAAAGGGATGCTTCTCGAGGTCAGGCAGGGCAACCAAGGACCCTTTCCAGTAGCCACAGGGATTTTGGGATTCCTATCAGTATTCAAGAGCAGTCAGGCGTCGTCACCTTTTGAGGCAATGAACTCCGCGTGCCTCTCGAGGTGTCAACGGGATGTGAGGCATTCCGTCAAAATGAGACAGGGACCTAGGGCTTTCTCTAAGGTCTCCACAGGGAATTCGGACATCCCTTCATGTTTTGAGATCAAAGACGAGCCTGTATTCAAGCCACTGCAAGGAAATCCGGCCTCCTTTCAAGTTAGGGCTTCTCGCTGTATATTCCACTTGAGGCAGTGAACTCGGGGACCCTCCCACATACCTATTGTGAGAGAAGCCTCCTCCTGAGGTGCTTCTGGAAAGTTGGCATACGTCTTGAGCCTAAACCAGGGAATCAGCTCTCATCTCGAGACGATTTGGGGTACACGGAGCATTCCTCGAGTTGCTGTGCTGAAGTTGGTGTTCCTCTAGCCTTGGGACAGTGATCTCGGGGCATTTCTGGAGTTGCCTGAAGGAAGTCGAGCCACCGGCCGTGTTCAATGGGGAACGGGGAATGGCTCTGGAGTCAATGCAGGGGAATCGGGCCTCATCTCGAGTTGATTTGTGGCACATGGAGCTGCTTTGCGTTGCTGGGGTGACCTCAGGGTCCGTCTAGACTGGTGACAGTGTTCTTGGGGACTGTCTCGAGATCCTTTAAGCAAGTTGAAGCTCCTGACTTGTTTTATGGGGATCACTGAATAGCTCTGCATGCACTGCAGGGGAATGTTGCCTCATCTCGCCTCTAGGAGGAAGTCTCATGGTTTTTCTCGAGTTGCGGCGGGGACCTGGGGTATGTTCTCCACTTATGGCGTTGATGGCCCTTCAAAACACGAGTTTCTTCAGTGACGTCAGGACTCCTGTCTAGTAACGAGGGACACCTCAGGAATCTCTTCGAGGCTTGGCAGGGCAAAAGGGATGCTTCTCGAGGTCAGGCAGGGCACCCAAGGACCCTTTTCAGTAGCCTCAGGGATTTTGGGATTCCTATCAGTATTCAAGAGGAGTCAGGCATCGTCACCTTTTGAAGCAATGAACTCCGCGTGCCTCTCGAGGTGTCAACGGGATGTGAGGCATTCCGTCAAAATGAGGCAGGGACCTAGGGCTTTCTCTAAGGTCTGCACAGGGGATTCAGACATCCCTTCATGTTTTGAGATCAAAGACGAGCCTGTATTCAAGCCACTGCAAGGAAATCCGGCCTCCTTTCAAGTTAGGGCTTCTCGCTGTATATGCTACTTGAGGCAGCGATCTCGGGGTCCCTCCCACATACCTATTGCTTAGAGAAGCCGCCTCCTGAGGTGCTTCTGGAAAGTTGGCCTACGTCTTGAGCCTAAGCCACGGAATCAGCTCTCATCTCGAGACGATTTGGGGTACACAGAGCATTCCTCGAGTTGCTGTGCTGAAGTTGGTGTTCCTCTAGACTTGGGACAGTGTTCTCGGGGCATCTCTGGAGTTGCCTGAAGAAAGTCGAGCCACCGGTCGTGTTGAATGGGGAACAGGGAATGGCTCTGGAGTCAATGCAGGGGAATCGAGAATCATCTCGAGTTGATTTGGGGCACATGGAGCTGCTTTGCGTTGCTGGGGTGACCTCAGTGTCCGTCTAGACTGGTGACAGTGTTCTTGGGTACTGTCTCAAGATCCATTAAGCAAGTCGAAGCTCCTGACTTGTTTGAATGAGATCACCGAATAGCTCTGCATACACTGCAGTGGAATGGGGCCTCATCTCGCCTCTAGGGGGAAGTCTCATGGTTTTTCTCGAGTTGCGGCGGGGACCTGGGGTATGTTCTCGACTTACGGCGGGGATGGCCCTTCAAAACACGAGTTTCTTCAGTGATGTCAGGACTCCTGTCTAGTAACGAGGGACACCTCAGGAATCTCTTCGAGGCTTGGCAGGGCAAAAGGGACCCTTCTCGAAGTTAGGCAGGGCACCCAAGTACCCTTTCCAGTAGCCATAGGGATTTTGGGATTCCTATAAGTATTCAAGAGTAGTCAGGCATCGTCACCTTTTGAAGCAATGAACTCCGCGTGCCTCTCGAGGTGTCAACTGGATGTGAGGCATTCCGTCAAAATAAGGTAGGGTCCTAGGGCTTTCTCTAAGTTCTCCACAGGGGATTCAGACATCCCTTCACGTTTTGAGATCAAAGACGAGCCGGTATTCAAGACACTGCAAGGAAACCCGGCCTCCTTTCAAGTTAGGGCTTCTCGCTGTATATTCCACTTGAGGCAGCGATCTCGGGGTCCCTCCCACATACCTATTGCTGAGAGAAGCCTCCTCCTGAGGTGCTTCTGGAAAGTTGGCATACGTCTTGAGCCTAAGCCAGGGAATCAGCTCTCATCTCGACACGATTTGGGGTACACGGAGCCGTCCTCGAGTTGCTGTGCTCAAGTTGGTGTTCCTCTAGACTTGGGACAGTGTTCTCGGGGCATCTCTGGAGTTGCCTGAAGGAAGTCGAGCCACCGGTCGTGTTGAATGGGGAACGGGAAATGGCTCTGGAGTCAATGCAGGGGAATCGGCCCTCATCTCGAGTTGATTTGGGCCACATGGAGCTGCCTTGCGTTGCTCGGGTGACCTCAGAGTCCGTCTAGATTGGTGACAGTGTTCTTGGGGACTGTCTCGAGATCCATTAAGCAAGTTGAAGCTCCTGACATGTTTGAAGGGGATCACCGAATAGCTCTGCATGCACTGCAAGGGAATGGGGCCTCATCTCGCCTCTAGGGGGAAGTCTCATGGTTTTTCTCGAGTTGCGGCGGGGACCTGGGGTATGTTCTCGACTTACGGCGGGGATGGCCCTTCAAAACACGAGTTTCTTCAATGACGTCAGGACTCCTGTCTAGTAACGAGGGACACCTCAAGAATCTCTTCGAGGCTTGGCAGGGCAAAAGGGATGATTCTCGAGGTCAGGCAGGGCACCCAAGGACCCTTTCCAGTAGCCACAGGGATTTTGGGATTCCTATCAGTATTCAAGAGCAGTCAGGCATCGTCACCTTTTGAAGCAATGAACTCCGCGTGCCTCTCGAGGTGTCAACGGGATGTGAGGCATTCCGTCAAAATGAGACAGGGACCTAGGGCTTTCTCTAAGGTCTGCACAGGGGATTCAGACATCCCTTCATGTTTTGAGATCAAAGACGAGCCTGTATTCAAGCCACTGCAAGGAAATCCGGCCTCCTTTCAAGTTAGGGCTTCTCGCTGTATATTCCACTTGAGGCAGTGAACTCGGGGTCCCTCAGACATACCTATTGCTGAGAGAAGCCTCCTCCTGAGGTGCTTCTGGAAAGTTGGCATACGTCTTGAGCCTAATCCAGGGAATCAGCTCTCATCTCGAGACGATTTGGTGTACACGGAGCATTCCTCGAGTTGCTGTGCTGAAGTTGGTCTTCCTCTAGCCTTGGGACAGTGATCTCGGGGCATCTCTGGAGTTGCCTGAAGGAAGTCGAGCCACCGGCCGTGTTGAATGGGGAACGGGGAATGGCTCTGGAGTCAATGCAGGGGAATCGGGCCTCATCTCGAGTTGATTTGTGGCACATGGAGCTGCTTTGCGTTGCTGGGGTGACCTCAGGGTCCGTCTAGCCTGGTGACAGTGTTCTTGGGGAGTGTCTCGAGATCCTTTAAGCAAGTTGAAGCTCCTGACTTGTTTTATGGGGATCACTGAATAGCTCTGCATGCACTGCAGGGGAATGGGGCCTCATCTCGCCTCTAGGGGGAAGTCTCATGGTTTTTCTCGAGTTACGGCGGGGACCTGGGGTATGTTCTCCACTTATGGCGTTGATGGCCCTTCAAAACACGAGTTTCTTCAGTGACGTCAGGACTCCTGTCTAGTAACGAGGGACACCTCAGGAATCTCTTCGAGGCTTGGCAGGGCAAAAGGGATGCTTCTCGAGGTCAGGCAGGGCACCCAAGGACCCTTTTCAGTAGCCTCAGGGATTTTGGGATTCCTATCAGTATTCAAGAGGAGTCAGGCATCGTCACCTTTTGAAGCAATGAACTCCGCGTGCCTCTCGAGGTGTCAACGGGATGTGAGGCATTCCGTCAAAATGAGGCAGGGACCTAGGGCTTTCTCTAAGGTCTCCACAGGGGATTCAGACATCCCTTCATGTTTTGAGATCAAAGACGAGCCTGTATTCAAGCCACTGCCAGGAAATCCGGCCTCCTTTCAAGTTAGGGCTTCTCGCTGTATATGCTACTTGAGGCAGCGATCTCGGGGTCCCTCCCACATACCTATTGCTTAGAGAAGCCTCCTCCTGAGGTTCTTCTGGAAAGTTGGCCTACGTCTTGAGCCTAAGCCACGGAATCAGCTCTCATCTTGAGACGATTTGGGGTACACGGAGCATTCCTCGAGTTGCTGTGCTGAAGTTGGTGTTCCTCTAGACTTGGGACAGTGTTCTCGGGGCATCTCTGGAGTTGCCTGAAGAAAGTCGAGCCACCGGTCGTGTTGAATGGGGAACAGGGAATGGCTCTGGAGTCAATGCAGGGGAATCGAGAATCATCTCGAGTTGATTTGGGGCACATGGAGCTGCTTTGAGTTGCTGGGGTGACCTCAGTGTCCGTCTAGACTGGTGACAGTGTTCTTGGGTACTGTCTCAAGATCCATTAAGCAAGTCGAAGCTCCTGACTTGTTTGAATGAGATCACCGAATAGCTCTGCATGCACTGCAGTGGAATGGGGCCTCATCTCGCCTCTAGGGGGAAGTCTCATGGTTTTTCTCGAGTTGCGGCGGGGACCTGGGTTATGTTTTCGACTTACGGCGGGGATGGCCCTTCAAAACACGAGTTTCTTCAGTGACGTCAGGACTCCTGTCTAGTAACGAGGGACACCTCAGGAATCTCTTCGAGGCTTGGCAGGGCAAAAGGGACGCTTCGCGAAGTGAGGCAGGGCACCCAAGTACCCTTTCCAGTAGCCATAGGGATTTTGGGATTCCTATCAGTATTCAAGAGGAGTCAGGCATCGTCACCTTTTGAAGCAATGAACTCCGCGTGCCTCTCGAGGTGTCACCTGGATGTGAAGCATTCCGTCAAAATAAGGTAGGGTCCTAGGGCTTTCTCTAAGTTCTCCACAGGGGATTCAGACATCCCTTCATGTTTTGAGATCAAAGACGAGCCTGTATTCAAGACACTGCAAGGAAACCCGGCCTCCTTTCAAGTTAGGGCTTCTCGCTGTATATTCCACTTGAGGCAGCGATCTCGGGGTCCCTCCTACATACCTATTGCTGAGAGAAGCTTCCTCCTGAGGTGCTTCTGGAAAGTTGGCATACGTCTTGAGCCTAAGCCAGGGAATCAGCTCTCATCTCCACACGATTTGGGGTACACGGAGCCGTCCTCGAGTTGCTGTGCTGAAGTTGGTGTTCCTCTAGACTTGGGACAGTGTACTCGGGGCATCTCTGGAGTTGCCTGAAGGAAGTCGAGCCACCGGTCGTGTTGAATGGGGAACGGGACATGGCTCTGGAGACAATGCAGGGGAATCGGCCCTCATCTCGTGTTGATTTGGGCCACATGGAGCTGCCTTGTGTTGCTGGGGTGACCTCAGAGTCCGTCTAGACTGGTGACAGTGTTCTTGGGGACTGTCTCGAGATCCATTAAGCAAGTTGAAGCTTCTGACTTGTTTGATGGGGATCACCGAATAGCTCTGCATGCACTGCAGGGGAATGGGGCCTCATGTCGCCTCTAGGGGGAAGTCTCATGGTTTTTCTCGAGTTGCGGCGGGGACCTGGGGTATGTTCTCGACTTACGGCGGTTATGGCCCTTCAAAACACGAGTTTCTTCAGTGACGTCAGGACTCCTGTCTAGTAACGAGGGACACCTCAAGAATCTCTTCGAGGCTTGGCAGGGCAAAAGGGATTCTTCTCGAGGTCAGGCAGGGCACCCAAGGACCCTTTCCAGTAGCCACAGGGATTTTGGGATTCCTATCAGTATTCAAGAGCAGTCAGGCGTCGTCACCTTTTGAAGCAATGAACTCCGCGTGCCTCTCGAGGTTTCAACGGGATGTGAGGCATTCCGTCAAAATGAGGCAGGGACCTAGGGCTTTCTCTAAGGTCTCCACAGGGAATTCAGACATCCCTTCATGTTTTGAGATCAAAGACGAGCCTGTATTCAAGCCACTTCAAGGAAATCCGGCCTCCTTCCAAGATAGGGCTTCTCGCTGTATATTCCAATTGAGGCAGTGAACTCGGGGTCCCTCCCACATACCTATTGCTGAGAGAAGCCTCCTCCTGAGGTGCTTCTGGAAAGTTGGCATACGTCTTGAGCCTAATCCAGGGAATCAGCTCTCATCTCGAGACGATTTGGGGTACACGGAGCATTCCTCGAGTTGCTGTGCTCAAGTTGGTGTTCCTCTAGACTTGGGAAAGTGTTCTAGGGGCATCTCTGGAGTTGCCTGAAAGAAGTCGAGCCACCGGTCGTGTTGAATGGGGAACAGGGAATGGCTCTGGAGTCAATGCAGGGGAATCGAGAATCATCTCGAGTTGATTTGGGGCACATGTAGCTGCTTTGCGTTGCTGGGGTGACCTCAGGGTCCGTCTAGACTGGTGACAGTGTTCTTGGGTACTGTCTCAAGATCCATTAAGCAAGTCGAAGCTCCTGACTTGTTTAAATGAGATCACTGAATAGCTCTGCATGCACTGCAGTGGAATGGGGCCTCATCTCGCCTCTAGGGGGAAGTCTCATGGTTTTTCTCGAGTTGCGGCGGGGACCTGGGGTATGTTCTCGACTTACGGCGGGGATGGCCCTTCAAAACACGAGTTTCTTCAGTGACGTCAGGACTCCTGTCTAGTAACGAGGGACACCTCAGGAATCTCTTCGAGGCTTGGCAGGGCAAAAGGGACGCTTCTCGAAGTGAGGCAGGGCACCCAAGTACCCATTCCAGTAGCCATAGGGATTTTGGGATTCCTATCAGTATTCAAGAGGAGTCAGGCATCGTCACCTTTTGAAGCAATGAACTCCGCGTGCCTCTCGAGGTGTCACCTGGATGTGAGTCATTCCGTCAAAATAAGGTAGGGTCCTAGGGCTTTTTCTAAGTTCTCCACAGGGGATTCAGACATCCCTTCATGTTTTGAGATCAAAGAAGAGCCGGTATTCAAGACACTGCAAGGAAACCCGGCCTCCTTTCAAGTTAGGGCTTCTCGCTGTATATTCCACTTGAGGCAGCGATCTCGGGGTCCCTCCCACATACCTATTGCTGAGAGAAGCTTCCTCCTGAGGTGCTTCTGGAAAGTTGGCATACGTCTTGAGCCTAAGCCAGGGAATCAGCTCTCATCTCGACAAGATTTGTGGTACACGGAGCCGTCCTCGAGTTGCTGTGCTGAAGTTGGTGTTCCTCTAGACTTGGGACAGTGTACTCGGGGCATCTCTGGAGTTGCCTGAAGGAAGTCGAGCCACCGGTCGTGTTGAATGGGGAACGGGACATGGCTCTGGAGTCAATGCAGGGGAATCGGCCCTCATCTCATGTTGATTTGGGCCACATGGATCTGCCTTGCGTTGCTGGGGTGACCTCAGAGTCCGTCTAGACTGGTGACAGTGTTCTTGGGGACTGTCTCGAGATCCATTAAGCAAGTTGAAGCTCCTGACTTGTTTGATGGGGATCACCGAATAGCTCTGCATGCACTGCAGTGGAATGGGGCCTCATCTCGCCTCTAGGGGGAAGTCTCATGGTTTTTCTCGAGTTGCGGCGGGGACCTGGGGTATGTTCTCGACTTACGGCGGGGATGGCCCTTCAAAACACGAGTTCCTTCAGTGATGTCAGGACTCCTGTCTAGTAACGAGGGACACCTCAAGAATCTCTTCGAGGCTTGGCAGGGCAAAAGGGATGCTTCTCGAAGTCAGGCAGGGCACCCAAGGACCCTTTCCAGTAGCCACAGGGTTTTTGGGATTCCTATCAGTATTCAAGAGCAGTCAGGCGTCGTCACCTTTTGAAGCAATGAACTCCGCGTGCCTCTCGAGGTGTCAACGGGATGTGAGGCATTCCGACAAAATGAGGCAGGGACTTAGGGCTTTCTCTAAGGTCTCCACAGGGGATTCAGACATCCCTTCATGTTTTGAGATCAAAGACGAGCCTGTATTCAAGCCACTGCAAGGAAATCCGGCCTCCTTTCAAGATAGGGCTTCTCGCTGTATATTCCACTTGAGGCAGTGAACTCGGGGTCCCTCCCACATACCTATTGCTGAGAGAAGCCTCATCCTGAGGTGCTTCTGGAAAGTTGGCATACGTCTTGAGCCTAAGCCAGGGAATCAGCTCTCATCTCGAGATGATTTGGGGTACACGGAGCATTCCTCGAGTTGCTGTACTGAAGTTGGTGTTCCTCTAGCCTTGGGACAGTGTTCTCGGGGCATCTCTGGAGTTGCCTGAAGGAAGTCGAGCCACCGGTCGTGTTGAATGGGGAACGGGGAATGGCTCTGGAGTCAATGCAGGGGAATCGGGCCTCATCTCGAGTTGATTTGGGGCACATGGAGCTGTTTGCGTTGCTGGGGTGACCTCAGGGTCCGTCTAGACTGGTGACAGTGTTCTTGGGGACTGTCTCGCGATCCATTAAGCAAGTTGAAGCTCCTGACTTGTTTTATGGGGATCACTGAATAGCTCTGCATGCACTGCAGTGGAATGGGGCCTCATCTCGCCTCTAGGGGGAAGTCTCATGGTTTTTCTCGAGTTGAGGCGGGGACCTGGGGTATGTTCTCGACTTACGGCGTTGATGGCCCTTCAAAACACGAGTTTCTTCAGTGACGTCAGGACTCCTGTCTAGTAACGAGGGACACCTCAGGAATCTCTTCGAGGCTTGGCAGGGCAAAAGGGATGCTTCTCGAGGTCATGCAGGGCTCCCAAGGACCCTTTTCAGTAGCCACAGGGATTTTGGGATTCCTATCAGTATTCAAGCGGAGTCAGGCATCGTCACCTTTTTAAGCAATGAACTCCGCGTGCCTCTCGAGGTGTCAACGGGATGTGAGGCATTCCGTCAAAATGAGGCAGGGAACTAGGGCTTTCTCTAAGGTCTCCACAGGGGATTGAGACATCGCTTCATGTTTTGAGATCAAAGACGAGCCTGTATTCAAGCCACTGCAAGGAAATCCGGCCTCCTTTCAAGTTAGGGCTTCTCGCTGTATATTCTACTTGAGGTAGCGATATCGGGGTCCCTCCCACATACCTATTGCTGAGAGAAGCCTCCTCCTGAGGTGCTTCTGGAAAGTTGGCCTACGTCTTGAGCCTAAGCCAGGAATCAGCTCTCATCTCGAGACGATTTGGGGTACACGGAGCATTCCTCGACTTGCTGTGCTGAATTTGGTGTTCCTCTAGACTTGGGACAGTGTTCTCCGGTCATCTCTGGAGTTGCCTGAAGGAAGTCGAGCCACCGGTCGTGTTGAATGGGGAATGGGGAATGGCTCTGGAGTCAATGCAGGGGAATCGAGCCTCATCTCGAGTTGATTTGGGGCACATGGAGCTGCTTTGCGTTGCTGGGGTGACCTCAGGGTCCGTCTAGACTGGTGACAGTGTTCTTGGGTACTGTCTCAAGATCCATTAAGCAAGTCGAAGCTCCTGACTTGTTTGAATGGGATCACCGAATAGCTCTGCATGCACTGCAGTGGAATGGGGCCTCATCTCGCCTCTAGGGGGAAGTCTCATGGTTTTTCTCGAGTTGCGGCGAGGACCTGGGGTATGTTCTCGACTTACGGCGGGGATGGCCCTTCAAAACACGAGTTTCTTCAGTGACGTCAGGACTGCTGTCTAGTAACGAGGGACACCTCAGGAATCTCTTCGAGGCTTGACAGGGCAAAAGGGACGCTTCTCGAAGTGAGGCAGGGCACCCAAGTACTCTTTCCAGTAGCCATAGGGATTTTGGGATTCCTATCAGTATTCAAGAGGAGTCAGGCATCGTCACCTTTTGAAGCAATGAACTCCGCGTGCCTCTCGAGGTGTCAACTGGATGTGAGGCATTCCGTCAAAATGAGGTAGGGACCTAGGGCTTTCTCTAAGTTCTCCACAGGGGATTCAGACATCCCTTCATGTTGTGAGATGAAAGACGAGCCTGTATTCAAGGCACTGCAAGGAAATCCAGCCTCCTTTCAAGTTAGGGCTTCTCACAGTATATTCTACTTGAGGCAGCGTTCTCGGGGTCCCTCCAACATACCTATTGCTGAGAGAAGCCTCCTCGTCAGGTGCTTCTGGAAAGTTGGCATACGTCTTGAGCCTAATCCAGGGAATCAGCTCTCATCTCGAGACGATTTGGGGTACACGGAGCATTCCTCGAGTTGCTGTCCTGAAGTTGCTGTTCCTCTAGACTTGGGACAGTGTTCTCGGGGCATCTCTGGAGTTGCCTGAAGGAAGTCGAGCCACCGGTCGTGTTGAATGGGGAACGGGGAATGGCTCTAGAGTCAATGCAGGCGAATCGGGCCTCATCTCTAGTTGATTTGGGGCACATGGAGCTGCTTTGCGTTGCTGGGGTGACCTCAGGGTCCGTCTAGACTGGTGACAGTGTTCTTGGGGACTGTCTCGATATCTATTAAGCAAGTTGAAGTTCCTGACTTGTTTTATGGGGATCACCGAATAGCTCTGCATGCACTGCAGGGGAATGGGGCCTCATCTCGCCTCTAGGGGGAAGTCTCATGGTTTTTCTCGAGTTGCGGCGGGGACCTGGGGTATGTTCTCGACTTACGGCGGTTATGGCCCTTCAAAACACGAGTTTCTTCAGTGACGTCAAGACTCCTGTCTAGTAACGAGGGACACCTCAGGAATCTCTTCGAGGCTTGGCATGGCAAAAGGGATGCTTCTCGAGGTCAGGCAGGGCACCCAAGGACCCTTTCCAGTAGCCACAGGGATTTTGGGATTCCTATCAGTATTCAAGAGGAGTCAGGCGTCGTCACCTTTTGAAGCAATGAACTCCGCGTGCCTCTCGAGGTGTCAACGGGATGTGAGGCATTCCGTCAAAATGAGGCAGGGACCTAGGGCTTTCTCTAAGGTCTCCACAGGGGATTCAGACATCCCTTCATGTTTTGAGATCAAAGACGAGCCTGTATTCAAGCCACTGCAAGGAAATCCGGCCTCCTTTCAAGTTAGGGCTTCTCGCAGTATATTCTACTTGAGGCAGTGATCTCAGGGTCCCTCCCACATACCTATTGCTGAGAGAAGCCTCCTCCTGAGGTGCTTCTGGAAAGTTGGCATATGTCTTGAGCCTAAGCCAGGGAATCAGCTCTCATCTCGATACGATTTGGGGTACACGGAGCATTCCTCGAGTTGCTGTGCTGAAGTTGGTGTTCCTCTAGACTTGGGACAGTGTTCTCGGGATATCTCTGGAGTTGCCTGAAGGAAGTCGAGCCACCGGTCGTGTTGAATGGGGAACGGGGAATGGCTCTGGAGTCAATGCAGGGGAATCGGGCCTCATCTCGTGTTGATTTGGGGCACATGTAGCTGCTTTGCATTGCTGGTGTGACCTCAGTGTCTGTCTAGACTGGTGACAGTGTTCTTGGGTACTGTCTCGAGATCCATTAAGCAAGTCGAAGCTCCTGACTTGTTTGAATGAGATCACCGAATAGCTCTGCATGCAGTGCAGTGGAATGGGGCCTCATCTCGCCTCTACGGGAAGTCTCATGGTTTTTTCGAGTTGCGGCGGGGACCTGGGATATGTTCTCGACTTACGGCGGGGATGGCCCTTCAAAACACGAGTTTCTTCAGTGACGTCAGGACTCCTGTCTAGTAACGAGGGACACCTCAAGAATCTCTTCGAGGCTTGGCAGGGCAAAAGGGATTCTTCTCGAGGTCAGGCAGGGCACCCAAGGACCCTTTCCAGTAGCCACAGGGATTTTGGGATTCCTATCAGTATTCAAGAGCAGTCAGGCGTCGTCACCTTTTGAAGCAATGAACTCCGCGTGCCTCTCGAGGTTTCAACGGGATGTGAGGCATTCCGTCAAAATGAGGCAGGGACCTAGGGCTTTCTCTAAGGTCTCCACAGGGAATTCAGACATCCCTTCATGTTTTGAGATCAAAGACGAGCCTGTATTCAAGCCACTTCAAGGAAATCCGGCCTCCTTCCAAGATAGGGCTTCTCGCTGTATATTCCAATTGAGGCAGTGAACTCGGGGTCCCTCCCACATACCTATTGCTGAGAGAAGCCTCCTCCTGAGGTGCTTCTGGAAAGTTGGCATACGTCTTGAGCCTAATCCAGGGAATCAGCTCTCATCTCGAGACGATTTGGGGTACACGGAGCATTCCTCGAGTTGCTGTGCTCAAGTTGGTGTTCCTCTAGACTTGGGAAAGTGTTCTAGGGGCATCTCTGGAGTTGCCTGAAAGAAGTCGAGCCACCGGTCGTGTTGAATGGGGAACAGGGAATGGCTCTGGAGTCAATGCAGGGGAATCGAGAATCATCTCGAGTTGATTAGGGGCACATGTAGCTGCTTTGCGTTGCTGGGGTGACCTCAGGGTCCGTCTAGACTGGTGACAGTGTTCTTGGGTACTGTCTCAAGATCCATTAAGCAAGTCGAAGCTCCTGACTAGTTTGAATGAGATCACTGAATAGCTCTGCATGCACTGCAGTGGAATGGGGCCTCATCTCGCCTCTAGGGGGAAGTCTCATGGTTTTTCTCGAGTTGCGGCCTGGACCTGGGGTATGTTCTCGACTTACGGCGGGGATGGCCCTTCAAAACACGAGTTTCTTCAGTGACGTCAGGACTCCTGTCTAGTAACGAGGGACACCTCAGGAATCTCTTCGAGGCTTGGCAGGGCAAAAGGGACGCTTCTCGAAGTGAGGCAGGGCACCCAAGTACCCATTCCAGTAGCCATAGGGATTTTGGGATTCCTATCAGTATTCAAGAGGAGTCAGGCATCGTCACCTTTTGAAGCAATGAACTCCGCGTGCCTCTCGAGGTGTCACCTGGATGTGAGTCATTCCGTCAAAATAAGGTAGGGTCCTAGGGCTTTTTCTAAGTTCTCCACAGGGGATTCAGACATCCCTTCATGTTTTGAGATCAAAGAAGAGCCGGTATTCAAGACACTGCAAGGAAACCCGGCCTCCTTTCAAGGTAGGGCTTCTCGCTGTATATTCCACTTGAGGCAGCGATCTCGGGGTCCCTCCCACATACCTATTGCTGAGAGAAGCTTCCTCCTGAGGTGCTTCTGGAAAGTTGGCATACGTCTTGAGCCTAAGCCAGGGAATCAGCTCTCATCTCGACAAGATTTGTGGTACACGGAGCCGTCCTCGAGTTGCTGTGCTGAAGTTGGTGTTCCTCTAGACTTGGGACAGTGTACTCGGGGCATCTCTGGAGTTGCCTGAAGGAAGTCGAGCCACCGGTCGTGTTGAATGGGGAACGGGACATGGCTCTGGAGTCAATGCAGGGGAATCGGCCCTCATCTCATGTTGATTTGGGCCACATGGATCTGCCTTGCGTTGCTGGGGTGACCTCAGAGTCCGTCTAGACTGGTGACAGTGTTCTTGGGGACTGTCTCGAGATCCATTAAGCAAGTTGAAGCTCCTGACGTGTTTGATGGGGATCACCGAATAGCTCTGCATGCACTGCAGTGGAATGGGGCCTCATCTCGCCTCTAGGGGGAAGTCTCATGGTTTTTCTCGAGTTGCGGCGGGGACCTGGGGTATGTTCTCGACTTACGGCGGGGATGGCCCTTCAAAACACGAGTTCCTTCAGTGATGTCAGGACTCCTGTCTAGTAACGAGGGACACCTCAAGAATCTCTTCGAGGCTTGGCAGGGCAAAAGGGATGCTTCTCGAAGTCAGGCAGGGCACCCAAGGACCCTTTCCAGTAGCCACAGGGTTTTTGGGATTCCTATCAGTATTCAAGAGCAGTCAGGCGTCGTCACCTTTTGAAGCAATGAACTCCGCGTGCCTCTCGAGGTGTCAACGGGATGTGAGGCATTCCGTCAAAATGAGGCAGGGACTTAGGGCTTTCTCTAAGGTCTCCACAGGGAATTCAGACATCCCTTCATGTTTTGAGATCAAAGACGAGCCTGTATTCAAGCCACTGCAAGGAAATCCGGCCTCCTTTCAAGATAGGGCTTCTCGCTGTATATTCCACTTGAGGCAGTGAACTTGGGGTCCCTCCCACATACCTATTGCTGAGAGAAGCCTCATCCTGAGGTGCTTCTGGAAAGTTGGCATACGGCTTGAGCCTAAGCCAGGGAATCAGCTCTCATCTCGAGACGATTTGGGGTACACGGAGCATTCCTCGAGTTGCTGTGCTCAAGTTGGTGTTCCTCTAGACTTGGGAAAGTGTTCTAGGGGCATCTCTGGAGTTGCCTGAAAGAAGTCGAGCCACCGGTCGTGTTGAATGGGGAACAGGGAATGGCTCTGGAGTCAATGCAGGGGAATCGAGAATCATCTCGAGTTGATTTGGGGCACATGTAGCTGCTTTGCGTTGCTGGGGTGACCTCAGGGTCCGTCTAGACTGGTGACAGTGTTCTTGGGTACTGTCTCAAGATCCATTAAGCAAGTCGAAGCTCCTGACTTGTTTGAATGAGATCACTGAATAGCTCTGCATGCACTGCAGTGGAATGGGGCCTCATCTCGCCTCTAGGGGGAAGTCTCATGGTTTTTCTCGAGTTGCGGCGGGGACCTGGGGTATGTTCTCGACTTACGGCGGGGATGGCCCTTCAAAACACGAGTTTCTTCAGTGACGTCAGGACTCCTGTCTAGTAACGAGGGACACCTCAGGAATCTCTTCGAGGCTTGGCAGGGCAAAAGGGACGCTTCTCGAAGTGAGGCAGGGCACCCAAGTACCCATTCCAGTAGCCATAGGGATTTTGGGATTCCTATCAGTATTCAAGAGGAGTCAGGCATCGTCACCTTTTGAAGCAATGAACTCCGCGTGCCTCTCGAGGTGTCACCTGGATGTGAGTCATTCCCTCAAAATAAGGTAGGGTCCTAGGGCTTTTTCTAAGTTCTCCACAGGGGATTCAGACATCCCTTCATGTTTTGAGATCAAAGAAGAGCCGGTATTCAAGACACTGCAAGGAAACCCGGCCTCCTTTCAAGTTAGGGCTTCTCGCTGTATATTCCACTTGAGGCAGCGATCTCGGGGTCCCTCCCACATACCTATTGCTGAGAGAAGCTTCCTCCTGAGGTGCTTCTGGAAAGTTGGCATACGTCTTGAGCCTAAGCCAGGGAATCAGCTCTCATCTCGACAAGATTTGTGGTACACGGAGCCGTCCTCGAGTTGCTGTGCTGAAGTTGGTGTTCCTCTAGACTTGGGACAGTGTACTCGGGGCATCTCTGGAGTTGCCTGAAGGAAGTCGAGCCACCGGTCGTGTTGAATGGGGAACGGGACATGGCTCTGGAGTCAATGCAGGGGAATCGGCCCTCATCTCATGTTGATTTGGGCCACATGGATCTGCCTTGCGTTGCTGGGGTGACCTCAGAGTCCGTCTAGACTGGTGACAGTGTTCTTGGGGACTGTCTCGAGATCCATTAAGCAAGTTGAAGCTCCTGACTTGTTTGATGGGGATCACCGAATAGCTCTGCATGCACTGCAGTGGAATGGGGCCTCATCTCGCCTCTAGGGGGAAGTCTCATGGTTTTTCTCGAGTTGCGGCGGGGACCTGGGGTATGTTCTCGACTTACGGCGGGGATGGCCCTTCAAAACACGAGTTCCTTCAGTGATGTCAGGACTCCTGTCTAGTAACGAGGGACACCTCAAGAATCTCTTCGAGGCTTGGCAGGGCAAAAGGGATGCTTCTCGAAGTCAGGCAGGGCACCCAAGGACCCTTTCCAGTAGCCACAGGGTTTTTGGGATTCCTATCAGTATTCAAGAGCAGTCAGGCGTCGTCACCTTTTGAAGCAATGAACTCCGCGTGCCTCTCGAGGTGTCAACGGGATGTGAGGCATTCCGTCAAAATGAGGCAGGGACTTAGGGCTTTCTCTAAGGTCTCCACAGGGAATTCAGACATCCCTTCATGTTTTGAGATCAAAGACGAGCCTGTATTCAAGCCACTGCAAGGAAATCCGGCCTCCTTTCAAGATAGGGCTTCTCGCTGTATATTCCACTTGAGGCAGTGAACTCGGGGTCCCTCCCACATACCTATTGCTGAGAGAAGCCTCATCCTGAGGTGCTTCTGGAAAGTTGGCATACGTCTTGAGCCTAAGCCAGGGAATCAGCTCTCATCTCGAGATGATTTGGGGTACACAGAGCATTCCTCGAGTTGCTGTACTGAAGTTGGTGTTCCTCTAGCCTTGGGACAGTGTTCTCGGGGCATCTCTGGAGTTGCCTGAAGGAAGTCGAGCCACCGGTCGTGTTGAATGGGGAAGGGGGAATGGCTCTGGAGTCAATGCAGGGGAATCGGGCCTCATCTCGAGTTGATTTGGGGCACATGGAGCTGTTTGCGTTGCTGGGGTGACCTCAGGGTCCGTCTAGACTGGTGACAGTGTTCTTGGGGACTGTCTCGCGATCCATTAAGCAAGTTGAAGCTCCTGACTTGTTTTATGGGGATCACTGAATAGCTCTGCATGCACTGCAGTGGAATGGGGCCTCATCTCGCCTCTAGGGGGAAGTCTCATGGTTTTTCTCGAGTTGAGGCGGGGACCTGGGGTATGTTCTCGACTTACGGCGTTGATGGCCCTTCAAAACACGAGTTTCTTCAGTGACGTCAGGACTCCTGTCTAGTAACGAGGGACACCTCAGGAATCTCTTCGAGGCTTGGCAGGGCAAAAGGGATGCTTCTCGAGGTCATGCAGGGCTCCCAAGGACCCTTTTCAGTAGCCACAGGGATTTTGGGATTCCTATCAGTATTCAAGCGGAGTCAGGCATCGTCACCTTTTTAAGCAATGAACTCCGCGTGCCTCTCGAGGTGTCAACGGGATGTGAGGCATTCCGTCAAAATGAGGCAGGGAACTAGGGCTTTCTCTAAGGTCTCCACAGGGGATTGAGACATCGCTTCATGTTTTGAGATCAAAGACGAGCCTGTATTCAAGCCACTGCAAGGAAATCCGGCCTCCTTTCAAGTTAGGGCTTCTCGCTGTATATTCTACTTGAGGTAGCGATATCGGGGTCCCTCCCACATACCTATTGCTGAGAGAAGCCTCCTCCTGAGGTGCTTCTGGAAAGTTGGCCTACGTCTTGAGCCTAAGCCAGGAATCAGCTCTCATCTCGAGACGATTTGGGGTACACGGAGCATTCCTCGAGTTGCTGTCCTGAAGTTGCTGTTCCTCTAGACTTGGGACAGTGTTCTCGGGGCATCTCTGGAGTTGCCTGAAGGAAGTCGAGCCACCGGTCGTGTTGAATGGGGAACGGGGAATGGCTCTAGAGTCAATGCAGGCGAATCGGGCCTCATCTCTAGTTGATTTGGGGCACATGGAGCTGCTTTGCGTTGCTGGGGTGACCTCAGGGTCCGTCTAGACTGGTGACAGTGTTCTTGGGGACTGTCTCGAGATCCATTAAGCAAGTTGAAGTTCCTGACTTGTTTTATGGGGATCACCGAATAGCTCTGCATGCACTGCAGGGGAATGGGGCCTCATCTCGCCTCTAGGGGGAAGTCTCATGGTTTTTCTCGAGTTGCGGCGGGGACCTGGGGTATGTTCTCGACTTACGGCGGTTATGGCCCTTCAAAACACGAGTTTCTTCAGTGACGTCAAGACTCCTGTCTAGTAACGAGGGACACCTCAGGAATCTCTTCGAGGCTTGGCATGGCAAAAGGGATGCTTCTCGAGGTCAGGCAGGGCACCCAAGGACCCTTTCCAGTAGCCACAGGGATTTTGGGATTCCTATCAGTATTCAAGAGGAGTCAGGCGTCGTCACCTTTTGAAGCAATGAACTCCGCGTGCCTCTCGAGGTGTCAACGGGATGTGAGGCATTCCGTCAAAATGAGGCAGGGACCTAGGGCTTTCTCTAAGGTCTCCACAGGGGATTCAGACATCCCTTCATGTTTTGAGATCAAAGACGAGCCTGTATTCAAGCCACTGCAAGGAAATCCGGCCTCCTTTCAAGTTAGGGCTTCTCGCAGTATATTCTACTTGAGGCAGTGATCTCAGGGTCCCTCCCACATACCTATTGCTGAGAGAAGCCTCCTCCTGAGGTGCTTCTGGAAAGTTGGCATACGTCTTGAGCCTAAGCCAGGGAATCAGCTCTCATCTCGAGACGATTTGGGGTACACGGAGCATTCCTCGAGTTGCTGTGCTGAAGTTGGTGTTCCTCTAGACTTGGGACAGTGTTCTCGGGATATCTCTGGAGTTGCCTGAAGGAAGTCGAGCCACCGGTCGTGTTGAATGGGGAACGGGGAATGGCTCTGGAGTCAATGCAGGGGAATCGGGCCTCATCTCGTGTTGATTTGGGGCACATGTAGCTGCTTTGCATTGCTGGTGTGACCTCAGTGTCTGTCTAGACTGGTGACAGTGTTCTTGGGTACTGTCTCAAGATCCATTAAGCAAGTCGAAGCTCCTGACTTGTTTGAATGAGATCACCGAATAGCTCTGCATGCAGTGCAGTGGAATGGGGCCTCATCTCGCCTCTACGGGAAGTCTCATGGTTTTTCTCGAGTTGCGGCGGGGACCTGGGATATGTTCTCGACTTACGGCGGGGATGGCCCTTCAAAACACGAGTTTCTTCAGTGACGTCAGGACTCCTGTCTAGTAACGAGGGACACCTCAGGAATCTCTTCGAGGCTTGGCAGGGCAAAAGGGACGCTTCTCGAAGTGAGGCAGGGCACCCAAGTACCCATTCCAGTAGCCATAGGGATTTTGGGATTCCTATCAGTATTCAAGAGGAGTCAGGCATCGTCACCTTTTGAAGCAATGAACTCCGCGTGCCTCTCGAGGTGTCAACTGGATGTGAGGCATTCCGTCAAAATAAGGTAGGGTCCTAGGGCTTTCTCTAAGTTCTCCACAGGGGATTCAGACATCCCTTCATGTTTTGAGATCAAAGACGAGCCGGTATTCAAGACACTGCAAGGAAATCCGGACTCCTTTCAAGATAGGGCTTCTCGCTGTATATTCCACTTGAGGCAGTGAACTCGGGGTCCCTCCCACATACCTATTGCTGAGAGAAGCCTCATCCTGAGGTGCTTCTGGAAAGTTGGCATACGTCTTGATCCTAAGCCAGGGAATCAGCTCTCATCTCGAGATGATTTGGGGTACACGGAGCATTCCTCGAGTTGCTGTGCTGAAGTTGGTGTTCCTCTTGACTTGGGACAGTGTTCTCGGGGCATCTCTGGAGTTGCCTGAAGGAAGTCGAGCCATCGGTCGTGTTGAATGGGGAACGGGGAATGGCTCTGGAGTCAAGGCAGGGGAATCGGACCTCATCTCGAGTTGATTTGGGGCACATGGAGCTGTTTGCGTTGCTGGGGTGACCTCAGGGTCCGTCTAGACTGGTGACAGTGTTCTTGGGGACTGTCTCGCGATCCATTAAGCAAGTTGAAGCTCCTGACTTGTTTTATGGGGATCACTGAATAGCTCTGCATGCACTGCAGTGGAATGGGGCCTCATCTCGCCTCTAGGGGGAAGTATCATGGTTTTTCTCGAGTTGAGGCGGGGACCTGGGGTATGTTCTCGACTTACGGCGTTGATGGCCCTTCAAAACACGAGTTTCTTCAGTGACGTCAGGACTCCTGTCTAGTAACGAGGGACACCTCAGGAATCTCTTCGAGGCTTGGCAGGGCAAAAGGGATGCTTCTCGAGGTCATGCAGGGCTCCCAAGGACCCTTTTCAGTAGCCACAGGGATTTTGGGATTCCTATCAGTATTCAAGCGGAGTCAGGCATCGTCACCTTTTTAAGCAATGAACTCCGCGTGCCTCTCGATGTGTCAACGGGATGTGAGGCATTCCGTCAAAATGAGGCAGGGAACTAGGGCTTTCTCTAAGGTCTCCACAGGGGATTGAGACATCGCTTCATGTTTTGAGATCAAAGACGAGCCTGTATTCAAGCCACTGCAAGGAAATCCGGCCTCCTTTCAAGTTAGGGCTTCTCGCTGTATATTCTACTTGAGGTAGCGATCTCGGGGTCCCTCCCACATACCTATTGCTGAGAGAAGCCTCCTCCTGAGGTGCTTCTGGAAAGTTGGCCTACGTCTTGAGCCTAAGCCAGGGAATCAGCTCTCATCTCGAGACGATTTGGGGTACACGGAGCATTCCTCGAGTTGCTGTGCTGAATTTGGTGTTCCTCTAGACTTGGGACAGTGTTCTCCGGTCATCTCTGGAGTTGCCTGAAGGAAGTCGATCCACCGGTCGTGTTGAATGGGGAATGGGGAATGGCTCTGGAGTCAATGCAGGGGAATCGAGCCTCATCTCGAGTTGATTTGGGGCACATGGAGCTGCTTTGCGTTGCTGGGGTGACCTCAGGGTCCGTCTAGACTGGTGACAGTGTTCTTGGGTACTGTCTCAAGATCCATTAAGCAAGTCGAAGCTCCTGACTTCTTTTATGGGGATCACCGAATAGCTCTGCATGCACTGCAGGGGAATGGGGCCTCATCTCGCCTCTAGGGGGAAGTCTCATGGTTTTTCTCGAGTTGCGGCGGGGACCTGGGGTATGTTCTCGACTTACGGCGGGGATGGCCCTTCAAAACACGAGTTTCTTCAGTGACGTCAGGACTGCTGTCTAGTAACGAGGGACACCTCAGGAATCTCTTCGAGGCTTGACAGGGCAAAAGGGACGCTTCTCGAAGTGAGGCAGGGCACCCAAGTACTCTTTCCAGTAGCCATAGGGATTTTGGGATTCCTATCAGTATTCAAGAGGAGTCAGGCATCGTCACCTTTTGAAGCAATGAACTCCGCGTGCCTCTCGAGGTGTCAACTGGATGTGAGGCATTCCGTCAAAATGAGGTAGGGACCTAGGGCTTTCTCTAAGTTCTCCACAGGGGATTCAGACATCCCTTCATGTTTTGAGATCAAAGACGAGCCTGTATTCAAGGCACTGCAAGGAAATCCAGCCTCCTTTCAAGTTAGGGCTTCTCACAGTATATTCTACTTGAGGCAGCGTTCTCGGGGTCCCTCCAACATACCTATTGCTGAGAGAAGCCTCATCCTGAGGTGCTTCTGGAAAGTTGGCATACGTCTTGAGCCTAATCCAGGGAATCAGCTCTCATCTCGAGACGATTTGTGGTACACGGAGCATTCCTCGAGTTGCTGTCCTGAAGTTGCTGTTCCTCTATACTTGGGACAGTGTTCTCAGGGCATCTCTGGAGTTGCCTGAAGGAAGTCGAGCCACCGGTCGTGTTGAATGGGGAACGGAGAATGGCTCTAGAGTCAATGCAGGCGAATCGGGCCTCATCTCGAGTTGATTTGGGGCACATGGAGCTGCTTTGCGTTGCTGGGGTGACCTCAGTGTCCGTCTAGACTGGTGACAGTGTTCTTGGGGACTGTCTCAAGATCCATTAAGCAAGTTGAAGCTCCTGACTTGTTTTATGGGGATCACCGAATAGCTCTGCATGCACTTCAGGGGAATGGGGCCTCATCTCGCCTCTAGGGGGAAGTCTCATGGTTTTTCTCGAGTTGCGGCGGGGACCTGGGTTATGATCTCGACTTACGGCGGTTATGGCCCTTCAAAACACGAGTTTCTTCAGTGACGTCAAGACTCCTGTCTAGTAACGAGGGACACCTCAGGAATTTCTTCGGGGCTTGGCATGGCAAAAGGGATGCTTCTCGAGGTCAGGCAGGGCACCCAAGGACCCTTTCCAGTAGCCACAGGGATTTTGGGATTCCTATCAGTATTCAAGAGGAGTCAGGCGTCGTCACCTTTTGAAGCAATGAACTCCGCGTGCCTCTCGAGGTGTCAACGGGATGTGAGGCATTCCGTCAAAATGAGGCAGGGTCCTAGGGCTTTCTCTAAGGTCTCCACAGGGGATTCAGACATCCCTTCATGTTGTGAGATCAAAGACGAGCCTGTATTCAAGCCACTGCAAGGAAATCCGGCCTCCTTTCAAGTTAGGGCTTCTCGCTGTATATTCCACTTGAGGCAGTGAACTCGGGGTCCCTCCCACATACCTATTGCTGAGAGAAGCCTCCTCCTGAGGTGCTTCTGGAAAGTTGGCATACGTCTTGAGCCTAAGCCAGGGAATCAGCTCTCATCTCGAGACGATTTGAGGTACACGGAGCATTCCTCGAGTTGCTGTGCTGAAGTTGGTGTTCCTCTAGACTTGAGACAGTGATCTCGGGGCATCTCTGGAGTTGCCTGAAGGAAGTCCAGCCACCGGTCGTGTTGAATGGGGAACGGGGAATGGCTCTGGAGTCAATGCAGGGGAATCGGGCCTCATCTCGAGTTGATTTGGGGCACATGGACCTGCTTTGCGTTGATGGGGTGACCTCAGGGTCCGTCTAGACTGGTGACAGTGTTCTTGGGGACTGTCTCGAGATCCATTAAGCAAGTCGAAGCTCCTGACTTGTTTTATCGGGATCACTGAATAGCTCTGCATGCCCTGCAGGGGAATGGGGCCTCATCTCGCCTCTAGGGGGAAGTCTCATGGTTTTTCTCGAGTTGCGGCGGCGACCTGGGTTATGTTCTCGACTTAAGGCGGTTATGGCCCTTCAAAACACGAGTTTCTTCAGTGACGTCAGGACTCCTGTCTAGTAACGAGGGACACCTCAGGAATCTCTTCGAGGCTTGGCAGGGCAAAAGGGATGCTTCTCGAGGTCAGGCAGGGCACCCAAGGACCCTTTTCAGTAGCCACAGGGATTTTGGGATTCCTATCAGTATTCAAGAGGAGTCAGGCATCGTCACCTTTTGAAGCAATGAACTCCGCGCGCCTCTCGAGGTGTCAACGGGATGTGAGGCATTCCGTCAAAATGAGGCAGGGACCTAGGGCTTTCTCTAAGGTCTCCACAGGGGATTCAGACATCCCTTCATGTTTTGAGATCAAAGACGAGCCTGTATTCAAGCCACTGCAAGGAAATCCGGCCTCCTTTCAAGTTAGGGATTCTCGCTGTATATGCTACTTGAGGTAGCGATCTCGGGGTCCCTCCCACATACCTATTGCTGAGAGAAGCCTCCCCCTGAGGTGCTTCTGGAAAGTTGGCATACGTCTTGAGCCTAAGCCAGGGAATCAGCTCTCATCTCGATACGATTTGGGGTACACGGAGCATTCCTCGAGTTGCTGTGCTGAAGTTGGTGTTCCTCTAGACTTGGGACAGTGTTCTCGGGATATCTCTGGAGTTGCCTGAAGGAAGTCGAGCCACCGGTCGTGTTGAATGGGGAACGGGGAATGGCTCTGGAGTCAATGCAGGGGAATCGGGCCTCATCTCGTGTTGATTTGGGGCACATGTAGCTGCTTTGCATTGCTGGTGTGACCTCAGTGTCTCGTCTAGACTGGTGACAGTGTTCTTGGGTACTGTCTCAAGATCCATTAAGCAAGTCGAAGCTCATGACTTGTTTGAATGAGATCACCGAATAGCTCTGCATGCAGTGCAGTGGAATGGGGCCTCATCTCGCCTCTACGGGAAGTCTCATGGTTTTTCTCGAGTTGCGGCGGGGACCTGGGGTATGTTCTCGACTTACGGCGGGGATGGCCCTTCAAAACACGAGTTTCTTCAGTGACGTCAGGACTCCTGTCTAGTAACGAGGGACACCTCAGGAATCTCTTCGAGGCTTGGCAGGGCAAAAGGGACGCTTCTCGAAGTGAGGCAGGGCACCCAAGTACCCATTCCAGTAGCCATAGGGATTTTGGGATTCCTATCAGTATTCAAGAGGAGTCAGGCATCGTCACCTTTTGAAGCAATGAACTCCGCGTGCCTCTCGAGGTGTCAACTGGATGTGAGGCATTCCGTCAAAATAAGGTAGGGTCCTAGGGCTTTCTCTAAGTTCTCCACAGGGGATTCAGACATCCCTTCATGTTTTGAGATCAAAGACGAGCCGGTATTCAAGACACTGCAAGGAAACCCGGCCTCCTTTCAAGTTAGGGCTTCACGCTGTATATTCCACTTGAGGCAGCGATCTCGGGGTCCCTCCCACATACCTATTGCTGAGAGAAGCCTCCTCCTGAGGTGCTTCTGGAAAGTTGGCATACGTCTTGAGCCTAAGCCAGGGAATCAGCTCTCATCTCGACACGATTTGGGGTACACGGAGCCGTCCTCGAGTTGCTGTGCTCAAGTTGGTGTTCCTCTAGACTTGGGACAGTGTTCTCGGGGCATCTCTGGAGTTGCCTGAAGGAAGTCGAGCCACCGGTCGTGTTGAATGGGGAACGGGAAATGGCTCTGGATTCAATGCAGGGGAATAGGCCCTCATCTCTAGTTGATTTGGGCCACATGGAGCTGCCTTGCGTTGCTCGGGTGACCTCAGAGTCCGTCTAGACTGGTGACAGTGTTCTTGGGGACTGTCTCGAGATCCATTAAGCAAGTTGAAGCTCCTGACATGTTTGATGGGGATCACCGAATAGCTCTGCATGCACTGCAAGGGAATGGGGCCTCATCTCGCCTCTAGGGGGAAGTCTCATGGTTTTTCTCGAGTTGCGGCGGGGACCTGGGGTATGTTCTCGACTTACGGCGGTTATGCCCCTTCAAAACACGAGTTTCTTCAATGACGTCAGGACTCCTGTCTAGTAACGAGGGACACATCAAGAATCTCTTCGAGGCTTGGCAGGGCAAAAGGGATGCTTCTCGAAGTCAGGCAGGGCACCCAAGGACCCTTTCCAGTAGCCACAGGGATTTTGGGATTCCTATCAGTATTCAAGAGCAGTCAGGCGTCGTCACCTTTTGAAGCAATGAACTCCGCGTGCCTCTCGAGGTGTCAACGGGATGTGAGGCATTCCGTCAAAATGAGGCAGGGAATTAGGGCTTTCTCTAAGGTCTCCACAGGGAATTCAAACATCCCTTCATGTTTTGAGATCAAAGACGAGCCTGTATTCAAGCCACTGCAAGGAAATCCGGACTCCTTTCAAGATAGGGCTTCTCGCTGTATATTCCACTTGAGGCAGTGAACTCGGGGTCCCTCCCACATACCTATTGCTGAGAGAAGCCTCATCCTGAGGTGCTTCTGGAAAGTTGGCATACGTCTTGATCCTAAGCCAGGGAATCAGCTCTCATCTCGAGATGATTTGGGGTACACGGAGCATTCCTCGAGTTGCTGTGCTGAAGTTGGTGTTCCTCTAGCCTTGGGACAGTGTTCTCGGGGCATCTCTGGAGTTGCCTGAAGGAAGTCGAGCCATCGGTCGTGTTGAATGGGGAACGGGGAATGGCTCTGGAGTCAATGCAGGGGAATCGGGCCTCATCTCGAGTTGATTTGGGGCACATGGAGCTGTTTGCGTTGCTGGGGTGACCTCAGGGTCCGTCTAGACTGGTGACAGTGTTCTTGGGGACTGTCTCGCGATCCATTAAGCAAGTTGAAGCTCCTGACTTGTTTTATGGGGATCACTGAATAGCTCTGCATGCACTGCAGTGGAATGGGGCCTCATCTCGCCTCTAGGGGGAAGTCTCATGGTTTTTCTCGAGTTGAGGCGGGGACCTGGGGTATGTTCTCGACTTACGGCGTTGATGGCCCTTCAAAACACGAGTTTCTTCAGTGACGTCAGGACTCCTGTCTAGTAACGAGGGACACCTCAGGAATCTCTTCGAGGCTTGGCAGGGCAAAAGGGATGCTTCTCGAGGTCATGCAGGGCTCCCAAGGACCCTTTTCAGTAGCCACAGGGATTTTGGGATTCCTATCAGTATTCAAGCGGAGTCAGGCATCGTCACCTTTTTAAGCAATGAACTCCGCGTGCCTCTCGATGTGTCAACGGGATGTGAGGCATTCCGTCAAAATGAGGCAGGGAACTAGGGCTTTCTCTAAGGTCTCCACAGGGGATTGAGACATCGCTTCATGTTTTGAGATCAAATACGAGCCTGTATTCAAGCCACTGCAAGGAAATCCGGCCTCCTTTCAAGTTAGGGATTCTCGCTGTATATTCTACTTGAGGTAGCGATCTCGGGGTCCCTCCCACATACCTATTGCTGAGAGAAGCCTCCTCCTGAGGTGCTTCTGGAAAGTTGGCCTACGTCTTGAGCCTAAGCCAGGGAATCAGCTCTCATCTCGAGACGATTTGGGGTACACGGAGCATTCCTCGAGTTGCTGTGCTGAATTTGGTGTTCCTCTAGACTTGGGACAGTGTTCTCCGGTCATCTCTGGAGTTGCCTGAAGGAAGTCGAGCCACCGGTCGTGTTGAATGGGGAATGGGGAATGGCTCTGGAGTCAATGCAGGGGAATCGAGCCTCATCTCGAGTTGATTTCGGGCACATGGAGCTGCTTTGCGTTGCTGGGGTGACCTCAGGTTCCGTCTAGACTGGTGACAGTGTTCTTGGGTACTGTCTCAAGATCCATTAAGCAAGTCGAAGCTCCTGACTTGTTTGAATGGGATCACCGAATAGCTCTGCATGCACTGCAGTGGAATGGGGCCTCATCTCGCCTCTAGGGGGAAGTCTCATGGTTTTTCTCGAGTTGCGGCGGGGACCTGGGGTATGTTCTCGACTTACGGCGGGGATGGCCCTTCAAAACACGAGTTTCTTCAGTGACGTCAGGACTGCTGTCTAGTAACGAGGGACACCTCAGGAATCTCTTCGAGGCTTGATAGGGCAAAAGGGACGCTTCTCGAAGTGAGGCAGGGCACCCAAGTACTCTTTCCAGTAGCCATAGGGATTTTGGGATTCCTATCAGTATTCAAGAGGAGTCAGGCATCGTCACCTTTTGAAGCAATGAACTCCGCGTGCCTCTCGAGGTGTCAACTGGATGTGAGGCATTCCGTCAAAATGAGGTAGGGACCTAGGGCTTTCTCTAAGTTCTCCACAGGGGATTCAGACATCCCTTCATGTTTTGAGATCAAAGACGAGCCTGTATTCAAGGCACTGCAAGGAAATCCAGCCTCCTTTCAAGTTAGGGCTTCTCACAGTATATTCTACTTGAGGCAGCGTTCTCGGGGTCCCTCCAACATACCTATTGCTGAGAGAAGCCTCCTCGTCAGGTGCTTCTGGAAAGTTGGCATACGTCTTGAGCCTAATCCAGGGAATCAGCTCTCATCTCGAGACGATTTGGGGTACACGGAGCATTCCTCGAGTTGCTGTCCTGAAGTTGCTGTTCCTCTAGACTTGGGACAGTGTTCTCGGGGCATCTCTGGAGTTGCCTGAAGGAAGTCGAGCCACCGGTCGTGTTGAATGGGGAACGGGGAATGGCTCTAGAGTCAATGCAGGCGAATCGGGCCTCATCTCGAGTTGATTTGGGGCACATGGAGCTGCTTTGCGTTGCTGGGGTGACCTCAGGGTCCGTCTAGACTGGTGACAGTGTTCTTGGGGACTGTCTCGAGATCCATTAAGCAAGTTGAAGCTCCTGACTTGTTTTATGGGGATCACCGAATAGCTCTGCATGCACTTCAGGGTAATGGGGCCTCATCTCGCCTCTAGGGGGAAGTCTCATGGTTTTTCTCGAGTTGCGGCGGGGACCTGGGTTATGATCTCGACTTACGGCGGTTATGGCCCTTCAAAACACGAGTTTCTTCAGTGACGTCAAGACTCCTGTCTAGTAACGAGGGACACCTCAGGAATCTCTTCGGGGCTTGGCATGGCAAAAGGGATGCTTCTCGAGGTCAGGCAGGGCACCCAAGGACCCTTTCCAGTAGCCACAGGGATTTTGGGATTCCTATCAGTATTCAAGAGGAGTCAGGCGTCGTCACCTTTTGAAGCAATGAACTCCGCGTGCCTCTCGAGGTGTCAACGGGATGTGAGGCATTCCGTCAAAATGAGGCAGGGTCCTAGGGCTTTCTCTAAGGTCTCCACAGGGGATTCAGACATCCCTTCATGTTTTGAGATCAAAGACGAGCCTGTATTCAAGCCACTGCAAGGAAATCCGGCCTCCTTTCAAGTTAGGGCTTCTCGCTGTATATTCCACTTGAGGCAGTGAACTCGGGGTCCCTCCCACATACCTATTGCTGAGAGAAGCCTCCTCCTGAGGTGCTTCTGGAAAGTTGGCATACGTCTTGAGCCTAAGCCAGGGAATCAGCTCTCATCTCGAGACGATTTGAGGTACACGGAGCATTCCTCGAGTTGCTGTGCTGAAGTTGGTGTTCCTCTAGACTTGAGACAGTGATCTCGGGGCATCTCTGGAGTTGCCTGAAGGAAGTTGAGCCACCGGTCGTGTTGAATGGGGAACGGGGAATGGCTCTGGAGTCAATGCAGGGGAATCGGGCCTCATCTCGAGTTGATTTGGGGCACATGGAGCTGCTTTGCGTTGATGGGGTGACCTCAGGGTCCGTCTAGACTGGTGACAGTGTTCTTGGGGACTGTCTCGAGATCCATTAAGCAAGTTGAAGCTCCTGACTTGTTTTATCGGGATCACTGAATAGCTCTGCATGCCCTGCAGGGGAATGGGGCCTCATCTCGCCTCTAGGGGGAAGTCTCATGGTTTTTCTCGAGTTGCGGCGGCGACCTGGGTTATGTTCTCGACTTAAGGCGGTTATGGCCCTTCAAAACACGAGTTTCTTCAGTGACGTCAGGACTCCTGTCTAGTAACGAGGGACACCTCAGGAATCTCTTCGAGGCTTGGCAGGGCAAAAGGGATGCTTCTCGAGGTCAGGCAGGGCACCCAAGGACCCTTTTCAGTAGCCACAGGGATTTTGGGATTCCTATCAGTATTCAAGAGGAGTCAGGCATCGTCACCTTTTGAAGCAATGAACTCTGCGCGCCTCTCGAGGTGTCAACGGGATGTGAGGCATTCCGTCAAAATGAGGCAGGGACCTAGGGCTTTCTCTAAGGTCTCCACAGGGGATTCAGACATCCCTTCATGTTTTGAGATCAAAGACGAGCCTGTATTCAAGCCACTGCAAGGAAATCCGGCCTCCTTTCAAGTTAGGGATTCTCGCTGTATATGCTACTTGAGGTAGCGATCTCGGGGTCCCTCCCACATACCTATTGCTGAGAGAAACCTCCTCCTGAGGTGCTTCTGGAAAGTTGGCATACGTCTTGAGCCTAAGCCAGGGAATCAGCTCTCATCTCGAGACGATTTGGTGTACACGGAGCATTCCTCGAGTTGCTGTGCTGAAGTTGGTGTTCTTCTAGACTTGGGACAGTGTTCTCGGGGCATCTCTGGAGTTGCCTGAAGGAAGTCGAGCCACCGGTCGTGTTGAATGGGGAACAGGGAATGGCTCTGGAGTCAATGCAGGGGAATCAAGAATCATCTCGAGTTGATTTGGGGCACATGTAGCTGCTTTGCGTTGCTGGGGTGACCTCAGGGTCCGTCTAGACTGGTGACAGTGTTCTTGGGTACTGTCTCGATGTCCTTTAAGCAAGTCGAAGCTCCTGACTAGTTTGAATGAGATCACCGAATAGCTCTGCATGCACTGCAGTGGAATGGGGCCTCATCTCGCCTCTAGGGGGAAGTCTCATGATTTTTCTCGAGTTGCGGCGGGGACCTGGGGTATGTTCTCGACTTACGGCGGGGATGGCCCTTCAAAACACGAGTTTCTTCAGTGACGTCAGGACTCCTGTCTAGTAACGAGGGACACCTCAGGAATCTCTTCGAGGCTTGGCAGGGCAAAAGGGACGCTTCTCGAAGTGAGGCAGGGCACCCAAGTACCCTTTCCAGTAGCCATAGGGATTTTGGGATTCCTATCAGTATTCAAGAGGAGTCAGGCATCGTCACCTTTTGAAGCAATGAACTCCGCGTGCCTCTCGAGGTGTCACCTGGATGTGAGGCATTCCGTCAAAATAAGGTAGGGTCCTAGGGCTTTCTCTAAGTTCTCCACAGGGGATTCAGACATCCCTTCATATTTTGAGATCAAAGACGAGCCGGTATTCAAGACACTGCAAGGAAACCCGGCCTCCTTTCAAGTTAGGGCTTCTCGCTGTATATTCCACTTGAGGCAGCGATCTCGGGGTCCCTCCCACATACCTATTGCTGAGAGAAGCTTCCTCCTGAGGTGCTTCTGGAAAGTTGGCATACGTCTTGAGCCTAAGCCAGGGAATCAGCTCTCATCTCGACACGATTTGGGGTACACGGAGCCGTCCTCGAGTTGCTGTGCTCAAGTTGGTGTTCCTCTAGACTTGGGACAGTGTACTCGGGGCATATCTGGAGTTGCCTGAAGGAAGTCGAGCCACCGGTCGTGTTGAATGGGGAACGGGACATGGCTCTGGAGTCAATGCAGGGGAATCGGCCCTCATCTCGTGTTGATTTGGGCCACATGGAGCTGCCTTGCATTGCTGGGGTGACCTCAGAATCCGTCTAGACTGGTGACAGTGTTCTTGGGGACTGTCTCGAGATCCATTAAGCAAGTTGAAGCTCCTGACTTGTTTGATGGGGATCACCGAATAGCTCTGCATGCACTGCAAGGGAATGGGGCCTCATCTCGCCTCTAGGGGGAAGTCTCATGGTTTTTCTCGAGTTGCGGCGGGGACCTGGGGTATGTTCTCGAAGTACGGCGGTTATGGCCCTTCAAAACACGAGTTTCTTCAGTGACGTCAGGACTCCTGTCTAGTAACGAGGGACACCTCAAGAATCTCTTCGAGGCTTGGCAGGGCAAAAGGGATGCTTCTCGAAGTCAGGCAGGGCACCCAAGGACCCTTTCCAGTAGCCACAGGGATTTTGGGATTCCTATCAGTATTCAAGAGCAGTCAGGCGTCGTCACCTTTTGAAGCAATGAACTCCGCGTGCCTCTCGAGGTTTCAACGGGATGTGAGGCATTTCGTCAAAATGAGGCAGGGACCTAGGGCTTTCTCTAAGGTCTCCACAGGGAATTCAGACATCCCTTCATGTTTTGAGATCAAAGACGATTCTGTATTCAAGCCACTGCAAGGAAATCCGGCCTCCTTTCAAGATAGGGCTTCTCGCTGTATATTCCACTTGAGGCAGTGAACTCGGGGTCCCTCCCACATACCTATTGCTGAGAGAAGCCTCCTCCTGAGGTGCTTCTGGAAGTTGGCATACGTCTTGAGCCTAAGCCAGGGAATCAGCTCTCATCTCGAGACGATTTGGGGTACACGGAGCATTCTTCGAGTTGCTGTGCTGAAGTTGGTGTTCCTCTAGCCTTGGGACAGTGATCTCGGGGCATCTCTGGAGTTGCCTGAAGGAAGTCGAGCCACCGGTCGTGTTGAATGGGGAACGGGGAATGGCTCTGGAGTCAATGCAGGGGAATCGGGCCTCATCTCGAGTTGATTTGGGGCACATGGAGCTGCTTTGCGTTGCTGGGGTGACCTCATGGTCCGTCTAGACTGGTGACAGTGTTCTTGGGGACTGTCTCGAGATCCATTAAGCAAGTTGAATCTCCTGACTTGTTTTATGGGGATCACTGAATAGCTCTGCATGCACTGCAGGGGAATGGGGCCTCATCTCGCCTCTAGGGGGAAGTCTCATGGTATTTCTCGAGTTGCGGCGGGGACCTGGGGTATGTTCTCGACTTACGGCGTTGATGGCCCTTCAAAACACGAGTTTCTTCAGTGACGTCAGGACTCCTGTCTAGTAACGAGGGACACCTCAGGAATCTCTTCGAGGCTTGGCAGGGGAAAAGGGATGCTTCTCGAGGTCATGCAGGGCTCCCAAGGACCCTTTTCAGTAGCCACAGGGATTTTGGGATTCCTATCAGTATTCAAGCGGAGTCAGGCATCGCCACCTTTTTAAGCAATGAACTCCGCGTGCCTCTCCAGGTTTCAACGGGATGTGAGGCATTCCGTCAAAATGAGGCAGGGATCTATGGCTTTCTCTAAGGTCTCCACAGGGGATTCAGACATCCCTTCATGTTTTGACATCAAAGACGAGCCTGTATTCAAGCCACTGCAAGGAAAGCTGGCCTCCTTTCAAGTTAGGGCTTCTCGCTGTATATTCTACTTTAGGCAGCGATCTCGGGGTCCCTCCAACATACCTATTGCTGAGAGAAGCCTCCTCCTGAGGTGCTTCTGGAAAGTTGGCCTACGTCTTGAGCCTAAGCCAGGTAATCAGCTCTCATCTCGAGACGATTTGGGGTACACGGAGCATTCCTCGAGTTGCTGTACTGAAGTTGGTGTTCCTCTAGCCTTGGGACAGTGATCTCGGGGCATCTCTGGAGTTGCCTGAAGGAAGTCGAGCCACCGGTCGTGTTGAATGGGGAACGGGGAATGGCTCTGGAGTCAATGCAGGGGAATCGGGCCTCATCTCGAGTTGATTTGGGGCACATGGAGCTGCTTTGCGTTGCTGGGGTGACCTCAGGGTCCGTCTAGACTGGTGACAGTGTTCTTGGGTACTGTCTCAAGATCCATTAAGCAAGTCGAAGCTCCTGACTTGTTTGAATGGGATCACCGAATAGCTCTGCATGCACTGCAGTGGAATGGGGCCTCATCTCGCCTCTAGGGGGAAGTCTCATGGTTTTTCTCGATTTGCGGCCGGGACCTGGGGTATGTTCTCGACTTACGGCGGTTATGGCCCTTCAAAACACGAGTTTCTTCAGTGACGTCAGGACTCCTGTCTAGTAATGAGGAACACCTCAAGAATCTCTTCGAGGCTTGGCAGGGCAAAAGGGATGCTTCTCGAGGTCAGGCAGGGCACCCAAGGACCCTTTCCAGTAGCCACAGGGATTTTGGAATTCCTATCAGTATTCAAGAGCTGTCAGGCGTCGTCACCTTTTGAAGCAATGAACTCCGCGTGCCTCTCGAGGTGTCAACGGGATGTGAGGCATTCCGTCAAAATGAGGCAGGGACCTAGGGCTTTCTCTAAGGTCTCCACAGGGAATTCAGACATCCCTTCATGTTTTGAGATCAAAGACGAGCCTGTATTCAAGCCACTGCAAGGAAATCCGGCCTCCTTTCAAGTTAGGGCTTCTCGCAGTATATTCCACTTGAGGCAGTGAATTCGGGGTCCCTCCCACATACCTATTGCTGAGAGAAACCTCCTCCTGAGGTGCTTCTGGAAAGTTGGCATACGTCTTGAGCCTAAGCCAGGGAATCAGCTCTCATCTCGAGACGATTTGGGGTACACGAAGCATTCCTCGAGTTGCTGTGCTGAAGTTGGTGTTCCTCTAGCCTTGCGACAGTGTTCTCGGGGCATATCTGGAGTTGCCTGAAGGAAGTCGAGCCACCGGTCGTGTTGAATGGGGAACGGGGAATGGCTCTGGAGTCAATGCAGGGGAATCGGGCGTCATCTCGAGTTGATCTGGGGCACATGGAGGTGCTTTGCGTTGCTGGGGTGACTTCAGGGTCCGTCTAGACTGGTGACAGTGTTCTTGGGGACTGTCTCGAGATCCATTAAGCAAGTTGGAGCTCCTGACTTGTTTTATGGGGATCACCGAATAGCTCTGCATGCACTGCAGGGGAATTGGGCCTCATCTCGCCTCTAGGGGTAAGTCTCATGGTTTTTCTCGAGTTACGGCGGGGACCTGGGGTATGTTCTTGACTTACGGCGGGGATGGCTCTTCAAAACACGAGTTTCTTCAGTGACGTCAGGACTCCTGTCTAGTAACGAGGGACACCTCAGGAATCTCTTCGAAGCTTGGCAGCGCAAAAGGGATGCTTCTCGAAGTGAGGCAGGGCACCGAAGTACCCTTTCCAGTAGCCATAGGGATTTTGGGATTCCTATCAGTATTCAAGAGGAGTCAGGCATCGTCACCTTTTGAAGCAATGAACTCCGCGTGCCTCTCGAGGTGTCAACTGGATGTGAGGCATTCCGTCAAAATAAGGTAGGGACCTAGGGCTTTCTCTAAGTTCTCCACAGGGGATTCAGACATCCCTTCATGTTCTGAGATAAAAGACGAGCCGGTATTCAAGACACTGCAAGGAAACCCGGCCTCCTTTCAAGTTAGGGCTTCTCGCTGTATATTCCACTTGAGGCAGCGATCTCGGGGTCCCTCCCACATACCTATTGCTGAGAGAAGCCTCCTCCTGAGGTGCTTCTGGAAAGTTGGCATACGTCTTGAGCCTAAGCCAGGGAATTAGCTCTCATCTCGACACGATTTGGGGTACACGGAGCCGTCCTCGAGTTGCTGTGCTCAAGTTTGTGTTCCTCTAGACTTGGGACAATGTTCTTGGCGCATCTCTGGAGTTGCCTGAAGGAAGTCGAGCCACCGGTCGTGTTGAATGGGGAACGGGAAATGGCTCTGGAGTCAATGCAGGGGAATCGGCCCTCATCTCGAGTTGATTTGGGCCACATGGAGCTGCCTTGCGTTGCTGGGGTGACCTCAGAGTCCGTCTAGACTGGTGACAGTGTTCTTGGGGACTGTCTCGAGATCCATTAAGCAAGTTGAAGCTCCTGACTTGTTTGATGGGGATCACCGAATAGCTCTGCATGCACTGCAGGGGAATGGGGCCTCATCTCGCCCCTAGGGGGAAGTCTCATGGTTTTTCTCGAGTTGCGGCGGGGACCTGGGGTATGTTCTCGACTTACGGCGGGGATGGCCCTTCAAAACACGAGTTTCTTCAGTGACGTCAGGACTCCTGTCTAGTAACGAGGGACACCTCAGGAATCTCTTCGAGGCTTGGCAGGGCAAAAGGGATGCTTCTCGAGGTCAGGCAGGGCACCCAAGGACCCTTTTCAGTAGCCACAGGGATTTTGGGATTCCTATCAGTATTCAAGAGGAGTCAGGCATCGTGACCTTTTGAAGCAATGAACTCCGCGTGCCTCTCGAGGTGTCAACGGGATGTGAGGCATTCCGTCAAAATGAGGCAGGGACCTAGGGCTTTCTCTAAGGTCTCCACAGGGAATTCAGACATCCCTTCATGTTTTGAGATCAAAGACGAGCCTGTATTCAAGCCACTGCAAGGAAATCCGGCCTCCTTTCAAGTTAGGGCTTCTCGCTGTATATTCTACTTGAGGCAGCGATCTCGGGGTCCCTCCCACATACCTATTGCTGAGAGAAGCCTCCTCCTGAGGTGCTTCTGGAAAGATGGCCTACGTCTTGAGCCTAAGCCAGGGAATCAGCTCTCATCTCGAGACGATTTGGGGTACACGGAGCATTCCTCGAGTTGCTGTGCTGAAGTTGGTGTTCCTCTAGACTTGGGACAGTGTTCTCGGGGCATCTCTGGAGTTGCCTGAAGGAAGTCGATCCACCGGTCGTGTTGAATGGGGAATGGGGAATGGCTCTGGAGTCAATGCAGGGGAATCGAGCCTCATCTCGAGTTGATTTGGGGCACATGGAGCTGCTTTGCGTTGCTGGGGTGACCTCAGGGTCCGTCTAGACTGGTGACAGTGTTCTTGGGTACTGTCTCAAGATCCATTAAGCAAGTCGAAGCTCCTGACTTGTTTGAATGGGATCACCGAATAGCTCTGCATGCACTGCAGTGGAATGGGGCCTCATCTCGCCTCTAGGGGGAAGTCTCATGGTTTTTCTCGAGTTGCGGCGGGGACCTGGGGTATGTTCTCGACTTACGGCGGGGATGGCCCTTCAAAACACGAGTTTCTTCAGTGACGTCAGGACTGCTGTCTAGTAACGAGGGACACCTCAGGAATCTCTTCGAGGCTTGACAGGGCAAAAGGGACGCTTCTCGAAGTGAGGCAGGGCACCCAAGTACTCTTTCCAGTAGCCATAGGGATTTTGGGATTCCTATCAGTATTCAAGAGGAGTCAGGCATCGTCACCTTTTGAAGCAATGAACTCCGCGTGCCTCTCGAGGTGTCAACTGGATGTGAGGCATTCCGTCAAAATGAGGTAGGGACCTAGGGCTTTCTCTAAGTTCTCCACAGGGGATTCAGACATCCCTTCATGTTTTGAGATCAAAGACGAGCCTGTATTCAAGGCACTGCAAGGAAATCCAGCCTCCTTTCAAGTTAGGGCTTCTCACAGTATATTCTACTTGAGGCAGCGTTCTCGGGGTCCCTCCAACATACCTATTGCTGAGAGAAGCCTCATCCTGAGGTGCTTCTGGAAAGTTGGCATACGTCTTGAGCCTAATCCAGGGAATCAGCTCTCATCTCGAGACGATTTGGGGTACACGGAGCATTCCTCGAGTTGCTGTCCTGAAGTTGCTGTTCCTCTATACTTGGGACAGTGTTCTCGGGGCATCTCTGGAGTTGCCTGAAGGAAGTCGAGCCACCGGTCGTGTTGAATGGGGAACGGAGAATGGCTCTAGAGTCAATGCAGGCGAATCGGGCCTCATCTCGAGTTGATTTGGGGCACATGGAGCTGCTTTGCGTTGCTGGGGTGACCTCAGTGTCCGTCTAGACTGGTGACAGTGTTCTTGGGGACTGTCTCAAGATCCATTAAGCAAGTTGAAGCTCCTGACTTGTTTTATGGGGATCACCGAATAGCTCTGCATGCACTTCAGGGGAATGGGGCCTCATCTCGCCTCTAGGGGGAAGTCTCATGGTTTTTCTCGAGTTGCGGCGGGGACCTGGGTTATGATCTCGACTTACGGCGGTTATGGCCCTTCAAAACACGAGTTTCTTCAGTGACGTCAAGACTCCTGTCTAGTAACGAGGGACACCTCAGGAATTTCTTCGGGGCTTGGCATGGCAAAAGGGATGCTTCTCGAGGTCAGGCAGGGCACCCAAGTACCCATTCCAGTAGCCATAGGGATTTTGGGATTCCTATCAGTATTCAAGAGGAGTCAGGCATCGTCACCTTTTGAAGCAATGAACTCCGCGTGCCTCTCGAGGTGTCAACTGGATGTGAGGCATTCCGTCAAAATAAGGTAGGGTCCTAGGGCTTTCTCTAAGTTCTCCACAGGGGATTCAGACATCCCTTCATGTTTTGAGATCAAAGACGAGCCGGTATTCAAGACACTGCAAGGAAACCCGGCCTCCTTTCAAGTTAGGGCTTCACGCTGTATATTCCACTTGAGGCAGCGATCTCGGGGTCCCTCCCACATACCTATTGCTGAGAGAAGCCTCCTCCTGAGGTGCTTCTGGAAAGTTGGCATACGTCTTGAGCCTAAGCCAGGGAATCAGCTCTCATCTCGACACGATTTGGGGTACACGGAGCCGTCCTCGAGTTGCTGTGCTCAAGTTGGTGTTCCTCTAGACTTGGGACAGTGTTCTCGGGGCATCTCTGGAGTTGCCTGAAGGAAGTCGAGCCACCGGTCGTGTTGAATGGGGAACGGGAAATGGCTCTGGATTCAATGCAGGGGAATAGGCCCTCATCTCTAGTTGATTTGGGCCACATGGAGCTGCCTTGCGTTGCTCGGGTGACCTCAGAGTCCGTCTAGACTGGTGACAGTGTTCTTGGGGACTGTCTCGAGATCCATTAAGCAAGTTGAAGCTCCTGACATGTTTGATGGGGATCACCGAATAGCTCTGCATGCACTGCAAGGGAATGGGGCCTCATCTCGCCTCTAGGGGGAAGTCTCATGGTTCTTCTCGAGTTGCGGCGGGGACCTTGGGTATGTTCTCGACTTACGGCGGTTATGCCCCTTCAAAACACGAGTTTCTTCAATGACGTCAGGACTCCTGTCTAGTAACGAGGGACACCTCAAGAATCTCTTCGAGGCTTGGCAGGGCAAAAGGGATGCTTCTCGAAGTCAGGCAGGGCACCCAAGGACCCTTTCCAGTAGCCACAGGGATTTTGGGATTCCTATCAGTATTCAAGAGCAGTCAGGCGTCGTCACCTTTTGAAGCAATGAACTCCGCGTGCCTCTCGAGGTGTCAACGGGATGTGAGGCATTCCGTCAAAATGAGGCAGGGAATTAGGGCTTTCTCTAAGGTCTCCACAGGGAATTCAAACATCCCTTCATGTTTTGAGATCAAAGACGAGCCTGTATTCAAGCCACTGCAAGGAAATCCGGACTCCTTTCAAGATAGGGCTTCTCGCTGTATATTCCACTTGAGGCAGTGAACTCGGGGTCCCTCCCACATACCTATTGCTGAGAGAAGCCTCATCCTGAGGTGCTTCTGGAAAGTTGGCATACGTCTTGATCCTAAGCCAGGGAATCAGCTCTCATCTCGAGATGATTTGGGGTACACGGAGCATTCCTCGAGTTGCTGTGCTGAAGTTGGTGTTCCTCTAGCCTTGGGACAGTGTTCTCGGGGCATCTCTGGAGTTGCCTGAAGGAAGTCGAGCCATCGGTCGTGTTGAATGGGGAACGGGGAATGGCTCTGGAGTCAATGCAGGGGAATCGGGCCTCATCTCGAGTTGATTTGGGGCACATGGAGCTGTTTGCGTTGCTGGGGTGACCTCAGGGTCCGTCTAGACTGGTGACAGTGTTCTTGGGGACTGTCTCGCGATCCATTAAGCAAGTTGAAGCTCCTGACTTGTTTTATGGGGATCACTGAATAGCTCTGCATGCACTGCAGTGGAATGGGGCCTCATCTCGCCTCTAGGGGGAAGTCTCATGGTTTTTCTCGAGTTGAGGCGGGGACCTGGGGTATGTTCTCGACTTACGGCGTTGATGGCCCTTCAAAACACGAGTTTCTTCAGTGACGTCAGGACTCCTGTCTAGTAACGAGGGACACCTCAGGAATCTCTTCGAGGCTTGGCAGGGCAAAAGGGATGCTTCTCGAGGTCATGCAGGGCTCCCAAGGACCCTTTTCAGTAGCCACAGGAATTTTGGGATTCCTATCAGTATTCAAGCGGAGTCAGGCATCGTCACCTTTTTAAGCAATGAACTCCGCGTGCCTCTCGATGTGTCAACGGGATGTGAGGCATTCCGTCAAAATGAGGCAGGGAACTAGGGCTTTCTCTAAGGTCTCCACAGGGGATTGAGACATCGCTTCATGTTTTGAGATCAAAGACGAGCCTGTATTCAAGCCACTGCAAGGAAATCCGGCCTCCTTTCAAGTTAGGGCTTCTCGCTGTATATTCTACTTGAGGTAGCGATCTCGGGGTCCCTCCCACATACCTATTGCTGAGAGAAGCCTCCTCCTGAGGTGCTTCTGGAAAGTTGGCCTACGTCTTGAGCCTAAGCCAGGGAATCAGCTCTCATCTCGAGACGATTTGGGGTACACGGAGCATTCCTCGAGTTGCTGTGCTGAATTTGGTGTTCCTCTAGACTTGGGACAGTGTTCTCCGGTCATCTCTGGAGTTGCCTGAAGGAAGTCGAGCCACCGGTCGTGTTGAATGGGGAATGGGGAATGGCTCTGGAGTCAATGCAGGGGAATCGAGCCTCATCTCGAGTTGATTTCGGGCACATGGAGCTGCTTTGCGTTGCTGGGGTGACCTCAGGTTCCGTCTAGACTGGTGACAGTGTTCTTGGGTACTGTCTCAAGATCCATTAAGCAAGTCGAAGCTCCTGACTTGTTTGAATGGGATCACCGAATAGCTCTGCATGCACTGCAGTGGAATGGGGCCTCATCTCGCCTCTAGGGGGAAGTCTCATGGTTTTTCTCGAGTTGCGGCGGGGACCTGGGGTATGTTCTCGACTTACGGCGGGGATGGCCCTTCAAAACACGAGTTTCTTCAGTGACGTCAGGACTGCTGTCTAGTAACGAGGGACACCTCAGGAATCTCTTCGAGGCTTGACAGGGCAAAAGGGACGCTTCTCGAAGTGAGGCAGGGCACCCAAGTACTCTTTCCAGTAGCCATAGGGATTTTGGGATTCCTATCAGTATTCAAGAGGAGTCAGGCATCGTCACCTTTTGAAGCAATGAACTCCGCGTGCCTCTCGAGGTGTCAACTGGATGTGAGGCATTCCGTCAAAATGAGGTAGGGACCTAGGGCTTTCTCTAAGTTCTCCACAGGGGATTCAGACATCCCTTCATGTTTTGAGATCAAAGACGAGCCTGTATTCAAGGCACTGCAAGGAAATCCAGCCTCCTTTCAAGTTAGGGCTTCTCACAGTATATTCTACTTGAGGCAGCGTTCTCGGGGTCCCTCCAACATACCTATTGCTGAGAGAAGCCTCCTCGTCAGGTGCTTCTGGAAAGTTGGCATACGTCTTGAGCCTAATCCAGGGAATCAGCTCTCATCTCGAGACGATTTGGGGTACACGGAGCATTCCTCGAGTTGCTGTCCTGAAGTTGCTGTTCCTCTAGACTTGGGACAGTGTTCTCGGGGCATCTCTGGAGTTGCCTGAAGGAAGTCGAGCCACCGGTCGTGTTGAATGGGGAACGGGGAATGGCTCTAGAGTCAATGCAGGCGAATCGGGCCTCATCTCGAGTTGATTTGGGGCACATGGAGCTGCTTTGCGTTGCTGGGGTGACCTCAGGGTCCGTCTAGACTGGTGACAGTGTTCTTGGGGACTGTCTCGAGATCCATTAAGCAAGTTGAAGCTCCTGACTTGTTTTATGGGGATCACCGAATAGCTCTGCATGCACTTCAGGGGAATGGGGCCTCATCTCGCCTCTAGGGGGAAGTCTCATGGTTTTTCTCGAGTTGCGGCGGGGACCTGGGTTATGATCTCGACTTACGGCGGTTATGGCCCTTCAAAACACGAGTTTCTTCAGTGACGTCAAGACTCCTGTCTAGTAACGAGGGACACCTCAGGAATCTCTTCGGGGCTTGGCATGGCAAAAGGGATGCTTCTCGAGGTCAGGCAGGGCACCCAAGGACCCTTTCCAGTAGCCACAGGGATTTTGGGATTCCTATCAGTATTCAAGAGGAGTCAGGCGTCGTCACCTTTTGAAGCAATGAACTCCGCGTGCCTCTCGAGGTGTCAACGGGATGTGAGGCATTCCGTCAAAATGAGGCAGGGTCCTAGGGCTTTCTCTAAGGTCTCCACAGGGGATTCAGACATCCCTTCATGTTTTGAGATCAAAGACGAGCCTGTATTCAAGCCACTGCAAGGAAATCCGGCCTCCTTTCAAGTTAGGGCTTCTCGCTGTATATTCCACTTGAGGCAGTGAACTCGGGGTCCCTCCCACATACCTATTGCTGAGAGAAGCCTCCTCCTGAGGTGCTTCTGGAAAGTTGGCATACGTCTTGAGCCTAAGCCAGGGAATCAGCTCGCATCTCGAGACGATTTGAGGTACACGGAGCATTCCTCGAGTTGCTGTGCTGAAGTTGGTGTTCCTCTAGACTTGAGACAGTGATCTCGGGGCATCTCTGGAGTTGCCTGAAGGAAGTCGAGCCACCGGTCGTGTTGAATGGGGAACGGGGAATGGCTCTGGAGTCAATGCAGGGGAATCGGGCCTCATCTCGAGTTGATTTGGGGCACATGGAGCTGCTTTGCGTTGATGGGGTGACCTCAGGGTCCGTCTAGACTGGTGACAGTGTTCTTGGGGACTGTCTCGAGATCCATTAAGCAAGTTGAAGCTCCTGACTTGTTTTATCGGGATCACTGAATAGCTCTGCATGCCCTGCAGGGGAATGGGGCCTCATCTCGCCTCTAGGGGGAAGTCTCATGGTTTTTCTCGAGTTGCGGCGGCGACCTGGGTTATGTTCTCGACTTAAGGCGGTTATGGCCCTTCAAAACACGAGTTTCTTCAGTGACGTCAGGACTCCTGTCTAGTAACGAGGGACACCTCAGGAATCTCTTCGAGGCTTGGCAGGGCAAAAGGGATGCTTCTCGAGGTCAGGCAGGGCACCCAAGGACCCTTTTCAGTAGCCACAGGGATTTTGGGATTCCTATCAGTATTCAAGAGGAGTCAGGCATCGTCACCTTTTGAAGCAATGAACTCTGCGCGCCTCTCGAGGTGTCAACGGGATGTGAGGCATTCCGTCAAAATGAGGCAGGGACCTAGGGCTTTCTCTAAGGTCTCCACAGGGGATTCAGACATCCCTTCATGTTTTGAGATCAAAGACGAGCCTGTATTCAAGCCACTGCAAGGAAATCCGGCCTCCTTTCATGTTAGGGATTCTCGCTGTATATGCTACTTGAGGTAGCGATCTCGGGGTCCCTCCCACATACCTATTGCTGAGAGAAACCTCCTCCTGAGGTGCTTCTGGAAAGTTGGCATACGTCTTGAGCCTAAGCCAGGGAATCAGCTCTCATCTCGAGACGATTTGGTGTACACGGAGCATTCCTCGAGTTGCTGTGCTGAAGTTGGTGTTCTTCTAGACTTGGGACAGTGTTCTCGGGGCATCTCTGGAGTTGCCTGAAGGAAGTCGAGCCACCGGTCGTGTTGAATGGGGAACAGGGAATGGCTCTGGAGTCAATGCAGGGGAATCAAGAATCATCTCGAGTTGATTTGGGGCACATGTAGCTGCTTTGCGTTGCTGGGGTGACCTCAGGGTCCGTCTAGACTGGTGACAGTGTTCTTGGGTACTGTCTCGATGTCCTTTAAGCAAGTCGAAGCTATTGACTAGTTTGAATGAGATCACCGAATAGCTCTGCATGCACTGCAGTGGAATGGGGCCTCATCTCGCCTCTAGGGGGAAGTCTCATGGTTTTTCTCGAGTTGCGGCGGGGACCTGGGGTATGTTCTCGAAGTACGGCGGTTATGGCCCTTCAAAACACGAGTTTCTTCAGTGACGTCAGGACTCCTGTCTAGTAACGAGGGACACCTCAAGAATCTCTTCGAGGCTTGGCAGGGCAAAAGGGATGCTTCTCGAAGTCAGGCAGGGCACCCAAGGACCCTTTCCAGTAGCCACAGGGATTTTGGGATTCCTATCAGTATTCAAGAGCAGTCAGGCGTCGTCACCTTTTGAAGCAATGAACTCCGCGTGCCTCTCGAGGTTTCAACGGGATGTGAGGCATTTCGTCAAAATGAGGCAGGGACCTAGGGCTTTCTCTAAGGTCTCCACAGGGAATTCAGACATCCCTTCATGTTTTGAGATCAAAGACGATTCTGTATTCAAGCCACTGCAAGGAAATCCGGCCTCCTTTCAAGATAGGGCTTCTCGCTGTATATTCCACTTGAGGCAGTGAACTCGGGGTCCCTCCCACATACCTATTGCTGAGAGAAGCCTCCTCCTGAGGTGCTTCTGGAAGTTGGCATACGTCTTGAGCCTAAGCCAGGGAATCAGCTCTCATCTCGAGACGATTTGGGGTACACGGAGCATTCTTCGAGTTGCTGTGCTGAAGTTGGTGTTCCTCTAGCCTTGGGACAGTGATCTCGGGGCATCTCTGGAGTTGCCTGAAGGAAGTCGAGCCACCGGTCGTGTTGAATGGGGAACGGGGAATGGCTCTGGAGTCAATGCAGGGGAATCGGGCCTCATCTCGAGTTGATTTGGGGCACATGGAGCTGCTTTGCGTTGCTGGGGTGACCTCATGGTCCGTCTAGACTGGTGACAGTGTTCTTGGGGACTGTCTCGAGATCCATTAAGCAAGTTGAATCTCCTGACTTGTTTTATGGGGATCACTGAATAGCTCTGCATGCACTGCAGGGGAATGGGGCCTCATCTCGCCTCTAGGGGGAAGTCTCATGGTATTTCTCGAGTTGCGGCGGGGACCTGGGGTATGTTCTCGACTTACGGCGTTGATGGCCCTTCAAAACACGAGTTTCTTCAGTGACGTCAGGACTCCTGTCTAGTAACGAGGGACACCTCAGGAATCTCTTCGAGGCTTGGCAGGGGAAAAGGGATGCTTCTCGAGGTCATGCAGGGCTCCCAAGGACCCTTTTCAGTAGCCACAGGGATTTTGGGATTCCTATCAGTATTCAAGCGGAGTCAGGCATCGCCACCTTTTTAAGCAATGAACTCCGCTTGCCTCTCCAGGTTTCAAAGGGATGTGAGGCATTCCGTCAAAATGAGGCAGGGATCTATGGCTTTCTCTAAGGTCTCCACAGGGGATTCAGACATCCCTTCATGTTTTGACATCAAAGACGAGCCTGTATTCAAGCCACTGCAAGGAAAGCTGGCCTCCTTTCAAGTTAGGGCTTCTCGCTGTATATTCTACTTTAGGCAGCGATCTCGGGGTCCCTCCAACATACCTATTGCTGAGAGAAGCCTCCTCCTGAGGTGCTTCTGGAAAGTTGGCCTACGTCTTGAGCCTAAGCCAGGGAATCAGCTCTCATCTCGAGACGATTTGGGGTACACGGAGCATTCTTCGAGTTTCTGTGCTGAAGTTGGTGTTCCTCTAGCCTTGGGACAGTGATCTCGGGGCATCTCTGGAGTTGCCTGAAGGAAGTCGAGCCACCGGTCGTGTTGAATGGGGAACGGGGAATGGCTCTGGAGTCAATGCAGGGGAATCGGGCCTCATCTCGAGTTGATTTGGGGCACATGGAGCTGCTTTGCGTTGCTGGGGTGACCTCAGGGTCCGTCTAGACTGGTGACAGTGTTCTTGGGTACTGTCTCAAGATCCATTAAGCAAGTCGAAGCTCCTGACTTGTTTGAATGGGATCACCGAATAGCTCTGCATGCACTGCAGTGGAATGGGGCCTCATCTCGCCTCTAGGGGGAAGTCTCATGGTTTTTCTCGATTTGCGGCCGGGACCTGGGGTATGTTCTCGACTTACGGCGGTTATGGCCCTTCAAAACACGAGTTTCTTCAGTGACGTCAGGACTCCTGTCTAGTAATGAGGAACACCTCAAGAATCTCTTCGAGGCTTGGCAGGGCAAAAGGGATGCTTCTCGAGGTCAGGCAGGGCACCCAAGGACCCTTTCCAGTAGCCACAGGGATTTTGGAATTCCTATCAGTATTCAAGAGCTGTCAGGCGTCGTCACCTTTTGAAGCAATGAACTCCGCGTGCCTCTCGAGGTGTCAACGGGATGTGAGGCATTCCGTCAAAATGAGGCAGGGACCTAGGGCTTTCTCTAAGGTCTCCACAGGGAATTCAGACATCCCTTCATGTTTTGAGATCAAAGACGAGCCTGTATTCAAGCCACTGCAAGGAAATCCGGCCTCCTTTCAAGTTAGGGCTTCTCGCAGTATATTCCACTTGAGGCAGTGAATTCGGGGTCCCTCCCACATACCTATTGCTGAGAGAAACCTCCTCCTGAGGTGCTTCTGGAAAGTTGGCATACGTCTTGAGCCTAAGCCAGGGAATCAGCTCTCATCTCGAGACGATTTGGGGTACACGGAGCATTCCTCGAGTTGCTGTGCTGAAGTTGGTGTTCCTCTAGCCTTGCGACAGTGTTCTCGGGGCATATCTGGAGTTGCCTGAAGGAAGTCGAGCCACCGGTCGTGTTGAATGGGGAACGGGGAATGGCTCTGGAGTCAATGCAGGGGAATCGGGCGTCATCTCGAGTTGATCTGGGGCACATGGAGGTGCTTTGCGTTGCTGGGGTGACTTCAGGGTCCGTCTAGACTGGTGACAGTGTTCTTGGGGACTGTCTCGAGATCCATTAAGCAAGTTGGAGCTCCTGACTTGTTTTATGGGGATCACCGAATAGCTCTGCATGCACTGCAGGGGAATTGGGCCTCATCTCGCCTCTAGGGGTAAGTCTCATGGTTTTTCTCGAGTTACGGCGGGGACCTGGGGTATGTTCTTGACTTACGGCGGGGATGGCTCTTCAAAACACGAGTTTCTTCAGTGACGTCAGGACTCCTGTCTAGTAACGAGGGACACCTCAGGAATCTCTTCGAAGCTTGGCAGCGCAAAAGGGATGCTTCTCGAAGTGAGGCAGGGCACCGAAGTACCCTTTCCAGTAGCCATAGGGATTTTGGGATTCCTATCAGTATTCAAGAGGAGTCAGGCATCGTCACCTTTTGAAGCAATGAACTCCGCGTGCCTCTCGAGGTGTCAACTGGATGTGAGGCATTCCGTCAAAATAAGGTAGGGACCTAGGGCTTTCTCTAAGTTCTCCACAGGGGATTCAGACATCCCTTCATGTTCTGAGATAAAAGACGAGCCGGTATTCAAGACACTGCAAGGAAACCCGGCCTCCTTTCAAGTTAGGGCTTCTCGCTGTATATTCCACTTGAGGCAGCGATCTCGGGGTCCCTCCCACATACCTATTGCTGAGAGAAGCCTCCTCCTGAGGTGCTTCTGGAAAGTTGGCATACGTCTTGAGCCTAAGCCAGGGAATTAGCTCTCATCTCGACACGATTTGGGGTACACGGAGCCGTCCTCGAGTTGCTGTGCTCAAGTTTGTGTTCCTCTAGACTTGGGACAGTGTTCTTGGCGCATCTCTGGAGTTGCCTGAAGGAAGTCGAGCCACAGGTCGTGTTGAATGGGGAACGGGAAATGGCTCTGGAGTCAATGCAGGGGAATCGGCCCTCATCTCGAGTTGATTTGGGCCACATGGAGCTGCCTTGCGTTGCTGGGGTGACCTCAGAGTCCGTCTAGACTGGTGACAGTGTTCTTGGGGACTGTCTCGAGATCCATTAAGCAAGTTGAAGCTCCTGACTTGTTTGATGGGGATCACCGAATAGCTCTGCATGCACTGCAGGGGAATGGGGCCTCATCTCGCCCCTAGGGGGAAGTCTCATGGTTTTTCTCGAGTTGCGGCGGGGACCTGGGGTATGTTCTCGACTTACGGCGGGGATGGCCCTTCAAAACACGAGTTTCTTCAGTGACGTCAGGACTCCTGTCTAGTAACGAGGGACACCTCAGGAATCTCTTCGAGGCTTGGCAGGGCAAAAGGGATGCTTCTCGAGGTCAGGCAGGGCACCCAAGGACCCTTTTCAGTAGCCACAGGGATTTTGGGATTCCTATCAGTATTCAAGAGGAGTCAGGCATCGTCACCTTTTGAAGCAATGAACTCCGCGTGCCTCTCGAGGTGTCAACGGGATGTGAGGCATTCCGTCAAAATGAGGCAGGGACCTAGGGCTTTCTCTAAGGTCTCCACAGGGGATTCAGACATCCCTTCATGTTTTGAGATCAAAGACGAGCCTGTATTCAAGCCACTGCAAGGAAATCCGGCCTCCTTTCAAGTTAGGGCTTCTCGCTGTATATTCTACTTGAGGCAGCGATCTCGGGGTCCCTCCCACATACCTATTGCTGAGAGAAGCCTCCTCCTGAGGTGCTTCTGGAAAGATGGCCTACGTCTTGAGCCTAAGCCAGGGAATCAGCTCTCATCTCGAGACGATTTGGGGTACACGGAGCATTCCTCGAGTTGCTGTGCTGAAGTTGGTGTTCCTCTAGACTTGGGATAGTGTTCTCGGGTCATCTCTGGAGTTGCCTGAAGGAAGTCGAGCCACCGGTCGTGTTGAATGGGGAACGGGGAATGGCTCTGGAGTCAATGCAGGGGAATCGAGCCTCATCTCGAATTGATTTGGGGCACGCTGCTTTGCGTTGCTGGGGTGACCTCAGGGTCCGTCTAGACTAGTGACAGTGTTCTTGGGTACTGTCTCAAGATCCATTAAGGAAGTCGAAGCTCCTGACTTGTTTGAATGGGATCACCGAATAGCTCTGCATGCACTGCAGTGGAATGGGGCCTCATCTCGCCTCTAGGGGGAAGTCTCATGGTTTTTCTCGAGTTGCGGCGGGGACCTGGGGTATGTTCTCGACTTACGGCGGGGATGGCCCTTCAAAACACGAGTTTCTTCAGTGACGTCAGGACTCCTGTCTAGTAACGAGGGACACCTCAGGAATCTCTTCGAGGCTTGGCAGGGCAAAAGGGACGCTTCTCGAAGTGAGGCAGGGCACCCAAGTACCCTTTCCAGTAGCCATAGGGATGTTGGGATTCCTATCAGTATTCAAGAGGAGTCAGGCATCGTCACCTTTTGAAGCAATGAACTCCGTGTGCCTCTCGAGGTGTCACCTGGATGTGAGGCATTCCGTCAAAATAAGGTAGGGTCCTAGGGCTTTCTCTAAGTTCTCCACAGGGGATTCAGACATCCCTTCATGTTTTGAGATCAAAGACGAGCCGGTATTCAAGACACTGCAAGGAAACCCGTCCTCCTTTCAAGTTAGGGCTTCTCGCTGTATATTCCACTTGAGGCAGCGATCTCGGGATCCCTCCCACATACCTATTGCTGAGAGCAGCTTCCTCCTGAGGTGCTTCTGGAAAGTTGGCATACGTCTTGAGCCTAAGCCAGGGAATCAGCTCTCATCTCGACACGATTTGGGGTACACGGAGCCGTCCTCGAGTTGCTGTGCTGAAGTTGGTGTTCCTCTAGCCTTGGGACAGTGATCTCGGGACATCTCTGGAGTTGCCTGAAGGAAGTCGAGCCACCGGTCGTGTTGAATGGGGAACGGGACATGGCTCTGGAGTCAATGCAGGGGAATCGGCCCTCATCTCGTGTTGATTTGGGCCACATGGTGCTGCCTTGCGTTGCTGGGGTGACCTCAGAGTCCGTCTAGACTGGTGACAGTGTTCTTGGGGACTGTCTCGAGATCCATTAAGCAAGTTGAAGCTCCTGACTTGTTTGATGGGGATCACCGAATAGCTCTGCATGCACTGCAGGGGAATGGGGCCTCATCTCGCCTCTAGGGGGAAGTCTCATGGTTTTTCTCGAGTTGCGGCGGGGACCTGGGGTATGTTCTCGACGTACGGCGGTTATGGCCCTTCAAAACACGAGTTTCTTCAGTGACGTCAGGACTCCTGTGTAGTAACGAGGGACACCTCAAGAATCTCTTCGAGGCTTGGCAGGGCAAAAGGGATGCTTCTCGAGGTCAGGCAGGGCACCCAAGGACCCTTTCCAGTAGCCACAGGGATTTTGGGATTCCTATCAGTATTCAAGAGCAGTCAGGCGTCATCACCTTTTGAAGCAATGAACTCCGCGTGCCTCTCGAGGTGTCAACGGGATGTGAGGCATTTCGTCAAAATGAGGCAGGGACCTAGGGCTTTCTCTAAGGTCTCCACAGGGAATTCAGACATCCCTTCATGTTTTGAGATCAAAGACGATTCTGTATTCAAGCCACTGCAAGGAAATCCGGCCTCCTTTCAAGATAGGGCTTCTCGCTGTATATTCCACTTGAGGCAGTGAACTCGGGGTCCCTCCCACATACCTATTGCTGAGAGAAGCCTCCTCCTGAGGTGCTTCTGGAAAGTTGGCATACGTCTTGAGCCTAAGCCAGGGAATCAGCTCTCATCTCGAGACGATTTGGGGTACACGGAGCATTCCTCGAGTTGCTGTGCTGAAGTTGGTGTTCCTCTAGCCTTGGGACAGTGATCTCGGGACATCTCTGGAGTTGCCTGAAGGAAGTCGAGCCACCGGTCGTGTTGAATGGGGAACGGGGAATGGCTCTGGAGTCAATGCAGGGGAATCGGGCCTCATCTCGAGTTGATTTGGGGCACATGGAGCTGCTTTGCGTTGCTGGGGTGACCTCATGGTCCGTCTAGACTGGTGACAGTGTTCCTGGGGACTGTCTCGAGATCCATTAAGCAAGTTGAATCTCCTGACTTGTTTTATGGGGATCACTGAATAGCTCTGCATGCACTGCAGGGGAATGGGGCCTCATCTCGCCTCTAGGGGGAAGTCTCATGGTATTTCTCGAGTTGCGGCGGGGACCTGGGGTATGTTCTCGACTTACGGCGTTGATGGCCCTTCAAAACACGAGTTTCTTCAGTGACGTCAGGACTCCTGTCTAGTAACGAGGGACACCTCAGGAATCTCTTCGAGGCTTGGCAGGGGAAAAGGGATGCTTCTCGAGGTCATGCAGGGCTCCCAAGGACCCTTTTCAGTAGCCACAGGGATTTTGGGATTCCTATCAGTATTCAAGCGGAGTCAGGCATCGTCACCTTTTTAAGCAATAAACTCCGCGTGCCTCTCCAGGTTTCAACGGGATGTGAGGCATTCCGTCAAAATGAGGCAGGGAACTAGGGCTTTCTCTAAGGTCTCCACAGGGGATTCAGACATCCCTTCATGTTTTTACATCAAAGACGAGCCTGTATTCAAGCCACTGCAAGGAAATCCGGCCTCCTTTCAAGTTAGGGCTTCTCGCTGTATATTCTACTTGAGGCAGCGATCTCGGGGTCCCTCCCACATACCTATTGCTGAGAGAAGCCTCCTCCTGAGGTGCTTCTGGAAAGTTGGCATACGTCTTGAGCCTAAGCCAGGTAATCAGCTCTCATCTCGAGACGATTTGGGGTACACGGAGCATTCCTCGAGTTGCTGTACTGAAGTTGGTGTTCCTCTAGCCTTGCGACAGTGATCTCGGGGCATCTCTGGAGTTGCCTGAAGGAAGTCGAGCCACCGGTCGTGTTGAATGGGGAACGGGGAATGGCTCTGGAGTCAATGCAGGGGAATCGGGCCTCATCTCGAGTTGATTTGGGGCACATGGAGCTGCTTTGCGTTGCTGGGGTGACCTCAGGGTCCGTCTAGACTGGTGACAGTGTTCTTGGGTACTGTCTCAAGATCCATTAAGCAAGTCGAAGCTCCTGACTTATTTGAATGGGATCACCGAATAGCTCTGCATGCACTGCAGTGGAATGGGGCCTCATCTCGCCTCTAGGGGGAAGTCTCATGGTTTTTCTCGATTTGCGGCCAGGACCTGGGGTATGTTCTCGACTTACGGCGGTTATGGCCCTTCAAAACACGAGTTTCTTCAGTGACGTCATGACTCCTGTCTAGTAACGAGGACCACCTCAAGAATCTCTTCGAGGCTTGGCAGGGCAAAAGGGATGCTTCTCGAGGTCAGGCAGGGCACCCAAGGACCCTTTCCAGTAGCCACAGGGATTTTGGGATTCCTATCAGTATTCAAGAGCTGTCAGGCGTCGTCACCTTTTGAAGCAATGAACTCCGCGTGCCTCTCGAGGTGTCAACGGGATGTGAGGCATTCCGTCAAAATGAGGCAGGGACCTAGGGCTTTCTCTAAGTTCTCCAAAGGGAATTCAGACATCCCTTCATGTTTTGAGATCAAAGACGAGCCTGTATTCAAGCCACTGCAAGGAAATCCGGCCTCCTTTCAAGTTAGGGCTTCTCGCAGTATATTCCACTTGAGGCAGTGAATTCGGGGTCCCTCCCACATACCTATTGCTGAGAGAAACCTTCTCCTGAGGTGCTTCTGGAAAGTTGGCATACGTCTTGAGCCTAAGCCAGGGAATCAGCTCTCATCTCGAGACGATTTGGGGTACACGGAGCATTCCTCGAGTTGCTGTGCTGAAGTTGGTGTTCCTCTAGACTTGGGACAGTGTTCTCGGGGCATCTCTGGAGTTGCCTGAAATAAGTCGAGCCACCGGTCGTGTTGAGTGGGGAACGGGGAATGGCTCTGGAGTCAATGCAGGGGAATCGGCCCTCATCTCGTGTTGATTTGGGCCACATGGAGCTGCCTTGCGTTGCTGGGGTGACCTCAGAGTCCGTCTAGACTGGTGACAGTGTTCTTGGGGACTGTCTCGAGATCCATTAAGCAAGTTGAAGCTCCTGACTTGTTTGATGGGGATCACCGAATAGCTCTGCATGCACTGCAGGGGAATGGGGCCTCATCTCGACTCTAGGGGGAAGTCTCATGGTTTTTCTCGAGTTGCGGCGGGGACCTGGGGTATGTTCTCGACGTACGGCGGTTATGGCCCTTCAAAACACGAGTTTCTTCAGTGACGTCAGGACTCCTGTGTAGTAACGAGGGACACCTCAAGAATCTCTTCGAGGCTTGGCAGGGCAAAAGGGATGCTTCTCGAGGTCAGGCAGGGCACCCAAGGACCCTTTCCAGTAGCCACAGGGATTTTGGGATTCCTATCAGTATTCAAGAGCAGTCAGGCGTCGTCACCTTTTGAAGCAATGAACTCCGCGTGCCTCTCGAGGTGTCAACGGGATGTGAGGCATTTCTTCAAAATGAGGCAGGGACCTAGGGCTTTCTCTAAGGTCTCCACAGGGAATTCAGACATCCCTTCATGTTTTGAGATCAAAGGCGATTCTGTATTCAAGCCACTGCAAGGAAATCCGGCCTCCTTTCAAGATAGGACTTCTCGCTGTATATTCCACTTGAGGCAGTGAACTCGGGGTCCCTCCCACGTACCTATTGCTGAGAGAAGCCTCCTCCTGAGGTGCTTCTGGAAAGTTGGCATACGTCTTGAGCCTAAGCCAGGGAATCAGCTCTCATCTCGAGACGATTTGGGGTACACGGAGCATTCCTCGAGTTGCTGTGCTGAAGTTGGTGTTCCTCTAGACTTGGGACAGTGTTCTCGGGGCATCTCTGGAGTTGCCTGAAATAAGTCGAGCCACCGGTCGTGTTGAGTGGGGAACGGGGAATGGCTCTGGAGTCAATGCAGGGGAATCGGGCGTCATCTCGAGTTGATTTGGGCCACATGGAGGTGCTTTGCGTTGCTGGGGTGACTTCAGGGTCCGTCTAGACTGGTGACAGTGTTCTTGGGGACTGTCTCGAGATCCATTAAGCAAGTTGGAGCTCCTGACTTGTTTTATGGGGATCACCGAATAGCTCTGCATGCACTGCAGGGGAATTGGGCCTCATCTCGCCTCTAGGGGTAAGTCTCATGGTTTTTCTCGAGTTACGGCGGGGACCTGGGGTATGTTCTTGACTTACGGCGGGGATGGCTCTTCAAAACACGAGTTTCTTCAGTGACGTCAGGACTCCTGTCTAGTAACGAGGGACACCTCAGGAATCTCTTCGACGCTTGGCAGCGCAAAAGGGATGCTTCTCGAAGTGAGGCAGGGCACCGAAGTACCCTTTCCAGTAGCCATAGGGATTTTGGGATTCCTATCAGTATTCAAGAGGAGTCAGGCATCGTCACCTTTTGAAGCAATGAACTCCGCGTGCCTCTCGAGGTGTCAACTGGATGTGAGGCATTCCGTCAAAATAAGGTAGGGACCTAGGGCTTTCTCTAAGTTCTCCACAGGGGATTCAGACATCCCTTCATGTTTTGAGATCAAAGACGAGCCGGTATTCAAGACACTGCAAGGAAACCCGGCCTCCTTTCAAGTTAGGGCTTCTCGCTGTATATTCCACTTGAGGCAGCGATCTCGGGGTCCCTCCCACATACCTATTGCTGAGAGAAGCCTCCTCCTGAGGTGCTTCTGGAAAGTTGGCAAACGTCTTGAGCCTAAGCCAGGGAATCAGCTCTCATCTCGACACGATTTGGGGTACACGGAGCATTCCTCGAGATTCTGTGCTGAAGTTGGTGTTCCTCTAGCCTTGGGACACTGTTCTCGGGGCATCTCAGGAGTTGCCTGAAGGAAGTCGAGCCACCGGTCGTGTTGAATGGGGAACGGGGAATGGCTCTGGAGTCAATGCAGGGGAATCGGGCCTCATCTCGAGTTGATTTGGGGCACACGGAGCTGCTTTGCGTTGCTGGGGTGACCTCAGGGTCCGTCTAGACTGGTGACAGTGTTCTTGGGGACTGTCTCGAGATCCATTAAGCAAGTTGGAGCTCCTGACTTGTTTGATGGGGATCACCGAATAGCTCTGCATGCACTGCAGGGGAATGGGGCCTCATCTCGCCTCTAGGGGGAAGTCTCATGGTTTTTCTCGAGTTGCGGCGGGGACCTGGGGTATGTTCTCGACTTACGGCGGGGATGGCCCTTCAAAACACGAGTTTCTTCAGTGACGTCAGGACTCCTGTCTAGTAACGAGGGACACCTCAGGAATCTCTTCGAGGCTTGGCAGGGCAAAAGGGATGCTTCTCGAGGTCAGGTAGGGCACCCAAGGACCCTTTTCAGTAGCCACAGGGATTTTGGGATTCCTATCAGTATTCAAGAGGAGTCAGGCATCGTCACCTTTTGAAGCAATGAACTCCGCGTGCCTCTCGAGGTGTCAACGGGATGTGAGGCATTCCGTCAAAATGAGGCAGGGACCTAGTGCTTTCTCTAAGGTCTCCACAGGGGATTCAGACATCCCTTTTTGTTTTGAGATCAAAGACGAGCCTGTATTCAAGCCACTGCAAGGAAATCCGGCCTCCTTTCAAGTTAGGGCTTCTCGCTGTATATTCTACTTGAGGCAGCGATCTGGGGGTCCCTCGCACATACCTATTGCTGAGAGAAGCCTCCTCCTGAGGTGCTTCTGGAAAGTTGGCATCCGTCTTGAGCCTAAGCCAGGGAATCAGCTCTCATCTCGAGACGATTTGGGGTACACGGAGCATTCCTCGAGTTGCTGTGCTGAAGTTGGTGTTCCTCTAGACTTGGGATAGTGTTCTCGGGTCATCTCTGGAGTTGCCTGAAGGAAGTCGAGCCACCGGTCGTGTTGAATGGGGAACGGGGAATGGCTCTGGAGTCAATGCAGGGGAATCGAGCCTCATCTCGAATTGATTTGGGGCACGGTGCTTTGCGTTGCTGGGGTGACCTCAGGGTCCGTCTAGACTAGTGACAGTGTTCTTGGGTACTGTCTCAAGATCCATTAAGCAAGTCGAAGCTCCTGACTTGTTTGAATGGGATCACCGAATAGCTCTGCATGCACTGCAAGGGAATGGGGCCTCATCTCGCCTCTAGGGGGAAGTCTCATGGTTTTTCTCGAGTTGCGGCGGGGACCTGGGGTATGTTCTCGACTTACGGCGGGGATGGCCCTTCAAAACACGAGTTTCTTCAGTGACGTCAGGACTCCTGTCTAGTAACGAGGGACACCTCAGGAATCTCTTCGAGGCTTGGCAGGGCAAAAGGGACGCTTCTCGAAGTGAGGCAGGGCACCCAAGTACCCTTTCCAGTAGCCATAGGGATGTTGGGATTCCTATCTGTATTCAAGAGGAGTCAGGCATCGTCACCTTTTGAAGCAATGAACTCCGCGTGCCTCTCGAGGTGTCACCTGGATGTGAGGCATTCCGTCAAAATAAGGTAGGGTCCTAGGGCTTTCTCTAAGTTCTCCACAGGGGATTCAGACATCCCTTCATGTTTTGAGAACAAAGACGAGCCGGTATTCAAGACACTGCAAGGAAACCCGGCCTCCTTTCAAGTTAGGGCTTCTCGCTGTATATTCCACATGAGGCAGCGATCTCGGGGTCCCTCCCACATACCTATTGCTGAGAGCAGCTTCCTCCTGAGGTGCTTCTGGAAAGTTGGCATACGTCTTGAGCCTAAGCCAGGGAATCAGCTCTCATCTCGACACGATTTGAGGTACACGGAGCCGTCCTCGAGTTGCTGTGCTGAAGTTGGTGTTCCTCTAGACTTGGGACAGTGTACTCGGGGCATCTCTGGAGTTGCCTGAAGGAAGTCGAGCCACCGGTCGTGTTGAATGGGGAACGGGACATGGCTCTGGAGACAATGCAGGGGAATCGGCCCTCATCTCGTGTTGATTTGGGCCACATGGAGCTGCCTTGCGTTGCTGGGGTGAACTCAGAGTCCGTCTAGACTGGTGACAGTGTTCTTGGGGACTGTCTCGAGATCCATTAAGCAAGTTGGAGCTCCTGACTTGTTTGATGGGGATCACCGAATAGCTCTGTATGCACTGCAGGAGAATGGGGCCTCATCTCGCCTCTAGGGGGAAGTCTCATGGTTTTTCTCGAGTTGCGGCGGGGAACTGGGGTATGTTCTCGACTTACGGCGGTTATGGCCCTTCAAAACACGAGTTTCTTCAGTGACGTCAGGACTCCTGTTTAGTAACGAGGGACACCTAAAGAATCTCTTCGAGGCTTGGCAGGGCAAAAGGGATGCTTCTCGAGGTCAGGCAGGGCACCCAAGGACCCTTTCCAGTAGCCACAGGGATTTTGGGATTCCTATCAGTATTCAAGAGGAGTCAGGCGTCGTCACCTTTTCAAGCAATGAACTCCGCGTGCCTCTCGAGGTGTCAACGGGATGTGAGGCATTCCCTCAAAATGAGGCAGCGACCTAGGGCTTTCTCTAAGGTCTCCACAGGGAATTCAACATCCCTTCATGTTTTGAGATCAAAGACGATCCTGTATTCAAGCCACTCCAAGGAAATCCGGCCTCCTTTCAAGATAGGGCTTCTCGCTGTATATTCCACTTGAGGCAGTGAACTCGGGGTCCCTCAAACATACCTATTGCTGAGAGAAGCCTCCTCCTGAGGTGCTTCTGGAAAGTTGGCATACGTCTTGAGCCTAAGCCAGGGAATCAGCTCTCATCTCGACACGATTTGGGGTACACGAAGCATTCCTCGAGTTGCTGTGCTGAAGTTGGTGTTCCTCTAGCCTTGGGACAGTGTTCTCGGGCCATCTCTGGAGTTGCCTGAAGGAAGTCGAGCCACCGGTCGTGTTGAATGGGGAACGGGGAATGGCTCTGGAGTCAATGCAGGGGATCGGGCCTCATCTCGAGTTGATTTGGGGCACATGGAGCTGCTTTGCGTTGCTGGGGTGACCTCAGGGTCCGTCTAGACTGGTGACAGTGTTCTTGGGGACTGTCTCGCGATCCATTAAGCAAGTTGAAGCTCCTGACTTGTTTTATGGGGATCACTGAATAGTTCTGCATGCACTGCAGTGGAATGGGGCCTCATCTCGCCTCTAGGGGGAAGTCTCATGGTTTTTCTCGAGTTGCGGCGGGGAACTGGGGTATGTTCTCGACTTACGGCGTTGATGGCCTTTCAAAACACGAGTTTCTTCAGTGACGTCAGGACTCCTGTCTAGTAACGAGGGACACCTCAGGAATCTCTTCGAGGCTTGGCAGGGGAAAAGGGATGCTTCTCGAGGTCATGCAGGGCTCCCAAGGACCCTTTTCAGTAGCCACAGGGATTTTGGGATTCCTATCAGTATTCAAGCGGAGTCAGGCATCGTCACCTTTTTAAGCAATGTATTCCGCGTGCCTCTCGAGGTGTCAACGGGATGTGAGGCATTCCGTCAAAATGAGGCAGGGAACTAGGGCTTTCTCTAAGGTCTCCACAGGGGATTCAGACATCCCTTCATGTTTTGAGATCAAAGACGAGCCTGTATTCAAGCCACTGCAAGGAAATCCGGCCTCCTTTCAAGTTAGGGCTTCTCGCTGTATATTCTACTTGAGGCAGCGATCTCGGGGTCCCTCCCACATACCTATTGCTTAGAGAAGCCTCCTCCTGAGGTGCTTCTGGAAAGTTGGCCTACGTCTTGAGCCTAAGCCAGGGAATCAGCTCTCATCTCGACACGATTTGGGGTACACGGAGCATTCCTCGAGTTGCTGTGCTGAAGTTGGTGTTCCTCTAGACTTGGGACAGTGTTCTCGGGTCATCTCTGGAGTTGCCTGAAGGAAGTCGAGCCACCGGTCTTGTTGAATGGGGAACGGGGAATGGCTCTGGAGTCAATGCAGGGGAATCGAGCCTCATCTCGAGTTGATTTGGGTCACATGGAGCTGCTTTGCGTTGCTGGGGTGACCTCAGGGTCCGTCTAGACTGGTTACAGTGTTCTTGGGTACTGTCTCAAGATCCATTAAGCAAGTCGAAGCTCCTGACTTGTTTGAATCGGATCACCGAAGAGCTCTGCATGCACTGCAGTGGAATGGGGCCTCATCTCGCCTCTAGGGGGAAGTCTCATGGTTTTTCTCGAGTTGCGGCGGGAACCTGGGGTATGTTCTCGACTTACGGCGGGGATGGCCCTTCAAAACACGAGTTTCTTCAGTGACGTCATGACTCCTGTCTAGTAACGAGGGACACCTCAGGAATCTCTTCGAGGCTTGACAGGGCAAAAGGGACGCTTCTCGAAGTGAGGCAGGGCACCCAAGTACTCTTTCCAGTAGCCATAGGGATTTTCGGATTCCTATCAGTATTCAAGAGGAGTCAGGCATCGTCACCTTTTGAAGCAATGAACTCCGCGTGCCTCTCGAGGTGTCAACTGGATGTGAGGCATTCCGTAAAAATGAAGCAGGGACCTAGGGCTTTCTCTAAGGTCTCCGCAGTGGATTCAGACATCCCTTCATGTTTTGAGATCAAAGACGAGCCTGTATTCAAGCCACTGCAAGGAAACTCGGCCTCCTTTCAAGTTAGGGCTTCTCGCTGTATATTCCACTGGAGGCAGCGAACTCGGGGTCCCTCCCACATACCTATTGCTGAGAGAAGCCTCCTCCTGAGGTGCTTCTGGAAAGTTGGCATACGTCTTGAGCCTAAGCCAGGGAATCAGCTCTCATCTCGAGACGATTTGGGGTACACGGAGCATTCCTCGAGTTGCTGTGCTGAAGTTGGTGTTCCTCTAGCCTTGGGACAGTGTTCTCCTGGCATCTCTGGAGTTGCCTGAAGGAAGTCGAGCCACCGGTCGTGTTGAATGGGGAACAGGGAATGGCTCTGGAGTCAATGCAGGGGAATCGGGCCTCATCTCGAGTTGATTTGGGGCACATGGAGGTGCTTTGCGTTGCTGGGGTGACCTCAGGGTCCGTCTAGACTGGTGACAGTGTTCTTGGGCACTGTCTTGAGATCCATTAAGCAAGTTGGAGCTCCTGACTTGTTTTATGGGGATCACCGAATAGCTCTGCATGCACTGCAGGGGAATGGGACCTCATCTCGCCTCTAGGGGGAAGTCTCATGGTTTTTCTCGATTTGCGGCGGGGACCTGGGGTATGTTCTCGACTTACGGCGGTTATGGCCCTTCAAAACACGAGTTTCTTCAGTGACGTCAGGACTCCTGTCTAGTAACGAGGGACACCTCAGGAATCTCTTCGAGGCTTGGCAGGGCAAAAGGGATGCTTCTCGAGGTCAGGCAGGGCACCCAAGGACCCTTTTCAGTAGCCACAGTGATTTTGCGATTCCTATCAGTATTCAAGAGCAGTCAGGCATCGTCACCTTTTGAAGCAATGAACTCCGCGTGCCTCTCGAGGTGTCAACGGGATGTGAGGCATTCCGTCAAAATGAGGCAGGGACCTAGGGCTTTCTCTAAGGTCTCCACAGGGGATTCAGACATCCCTTCATGTTTTGAGATCAAATACGAGCCTGTATTCAAGCCACTGCAAGGAAATCCGGCCTCCTTTCAAGTTAGGGCTTCTCGCTGTATATTCTACGTGAGGCAGCGATCTCGGGGTCCCTCCCACATACTTATTGCTGAGAGAAGCCTCCTCCTGAGGTGCTTCTGGAAAGTTGGCCTACGTCTTGAGCCTAAGCCAGGGAATCAGCTCTCATCTCGAGACGATTTGGGGTACACGGAGCATTCCTCGAGTTGCTGTGCTGAAGTTGGTGTTCCTCTAGACTTGGGACAGTGTTCTCAGGGCATCTCTGGAGTTGCCTGAAGGAAGTCGAGCCACCGGTCGTGTTGAATGGGGAACGGGGAATGGCTCTGGAGTCAATGCAGGGGAATCGAGCCTCATCTCGAGTTGATTTGGGGCACATGGAGCTGCTTTACGTTGCTGGGGTGACCTCAGGGTCCTTCTAGACTGGTGACAGTGTTCTTGGGTACTGTCTCAAGATCCATTAAGCAAGTCGAAGCTCCTGACTTGTTTGAATGGGATCACCGAATAGCTCTGCATGCACTGCAGTGGAATGGGGCCTCATCTCGCCTCTAGGGGGAAGTCTCATGGTTTTTCTCGATTTGCGGCCGGGACCTGGGGTATGTTCTCGACTTACGGCGGTTATGGCCCTTCAAAACACGAGTTTCTTCAGTGACGTCAGGACTCCTGTCTAGTAATGAGGAACACCTCAAGAATCTCTTCGAGGCTTGGCAGGGCAAAAGGGATGCTTCTCGAGGTCAGGCAGGGCACCCAAGGACCCTTTCCAGTAGCCACAGGGATTTTGGAATTCCTATCAGTATTCAAGAGCTGTCAGGCGTCGTCACCTTTTGAAGCAATGAACTCCGCGTGCCTCTCGAGGTGTCAACGGGATGTGAGGCATTCCGTCAAAATGAGGCAGGGACCTAGGGCTTTCTCTAAGGTCTCCACAGGGAATTCAGACATCCCTTCATGTTTTGAGATCAAAGACGAGCCTGTATTCAAGCCACTGCAAGGAAATCCGGCCTCCTTTCAAGTTAGGGCTTCTCGCAGTATATTCCACTTGAGGCAGTGAATTCGGGGTCCCTCCCACATACCTATTGGTGAGAGAAACCTCCTCCTGAGGTGCTTCTGGAAAGTTGGCATACGTCTTGAGCCTAAGCCAGGGAATCAGCTCTCATCTCGAGACGATTTGGGGTACACGGAGCATTCCTCGAGTTGCTGTGCTGAAGTTGGTGTTCCTCTAGCCTTGCGACAGTGTTCTCGGGGCATATCTGGAGTTGCCTGAAGGAAGTCGAGCCACCGGTCGTGTTGAATGGGGAACGGGGAATGGCTCTGGAGTCAATGCAGGGGAATCGGGCGTCATCTCGAGTTGATCTGGGGCACATGGAGGTGCTTTGCGTTGCTGGGGTGACTTCAGGGTCCGTCTAGACTGGTGACAGTGTTCTTGGGGACTGTCTCGAGATCCATTAAGCAAGTTGGAGCTCCTGACTTGTTTTATGGGGATCACCGAATAGCTCTGCATGCACTGCAGGGGAATTGGGCCTCATCTCGCCTCTAGGGGTAAGTCTCATGGTTTTTCTCGAGTTACGGCGGGGACCTGGGGTATGTTCTTGACTTACGGCGGGGATGGCTCTTCAAAACACGAGTTTCTTCAGTGACGTCAGGACTCCTGTCTAGTAACGAGGGACACCTCAGGAATCTCTTCGAAGCTTGGCAGCGCAAAAGGGATGCTTCTCGAAGTGAGGCAGGGCACCGAAGTACCCTTTCCAGTAGCCATAGGGATTTTGGGATTCCTATCAGTATTCAAGAGGAGTCAGGCATCGTCACCTTTTGAAGCAATGAACTCCGCGTGCCTCTCGAGGTGTCAACTGGATGTGAGGCATTCCGTCAAAATAAGGTAGGGACCTAGGGCTTTCTCTAAGTTCTCCACAGGGGATTCAGACATCCCTTCATGTTCTGAGATAAAAGACGAGCCGGTATTCAAGACACTGCAAGGAAACCCGGCCTCCTTTCAAATTAGGGCTTCTCGCTGTATATTCCACTTGAGGCAGCGATCTCGGGGTCCCTCCCACATACCTATTGCTGAGAGAAGCCTCCTCCTGAGGTGCTTCTGGAAAGTTGGCATACGTCTTGAGCCTAAGCCAGGGAATTAGCTCTCATCTCGACACGATTTGGGGTACACGGAGCCGTCCTCGAGTTGCTGTGCTCAAGTTTGTGTTCCTCTAGACTTGGGACAGTGTTCTTGGCGCATCTCTGGAGTTGCCTGAAGGAAGTCGAGCCACCGGTCGTGTTGAATGGGGAACGGGAAATGGCTCTGGAGTCAATGCAGGGGAATCGGCCCTCATCTCGAGTTGATTTGGGCCACATGGAGCTGCCTTGCGTTGCTGGGGTGACCTCAGAGTCCGTCTAGACTGGTGACAGTGTTCTTGGGGACTGTCTCGAGATCCATTAAGCAAGTTGAAGCTCCTGACTTGTTTGATGGGGATCACCGAATAGCTCTGCATGCACTGCAGGGGAATGGGGCCTCATCTCGCCCCTAGGGGGAAGTCTCATGGTTTTTCTCGAGTTGCGGCGGGGACCTGGGGTATGTTCTCGACTTACGGCGGGGATGGCCCTTCAAAACACGAGTTTCTTCAGTGACGTCAGGACTCCTGTCTAGTAACGAGGGACACCTCAGGAATCTCTTCGAGGCTTGGCAGGGCAAAAGGGATGCTTCTCGAGGTCAGGCAGGGCACCCAAGGACCCTTTTCAGTAGCCACAGGGATTTTGGGATTCCTATCAGTATTCAAGAGGAGTCAGGCATCGTGACCTTTTGAAGCAATGAACTCCGCGTGCCTCTCGAGGTGTCAACGGGATGTGAGGCATTCCGTCAAAATGAGGCAGGGAACTAGGGCTTTCTCTAAGGTCTCCACAGGGGATTCAGACATCCCTTCATGTTTTGAGATCAAAGACGAGCCTGTATTCAAGCCACTGCAAGGAAATCCGGCCTCCTTTCAAGTTAGGGCTTCTCGCTGTATATTCTACTTGAGGCAGCGATCTCGGGGTCCCTCCCACATACCTATTGCTGAGAGAAGCCTCCTCCTGAGGTGCTTCTGGAAAGATGGCCTACGTCTTGAGCCTAAGCCAGGGAATCAGCTCTCATCTCGAGACGATTTGGGGTACACGGAGCATTCCTCGAGTTGCTGTGCTGAAGTTGGTGTTCCTCTAGACTTGGGATAGTGTTCTCGGGTCATCTCTGGAGTTGCCTGAAGGAAGTCGAGCCACCGGTCGTGTTGAATGGGGAACGGGGAATGGCTCTGGAGTCAATGCAGGGGAATCGAGCCTCATCTCGAATTGATTTGGGGCACGCTGCTTTGCGTTGCTGGGGTGACCTCAGGGTCCGTCTAGACTAGTGACAGTGTTCTTGGGTACTGTCTCAAGATCCATTAAGGAAGTCGAAGCTCCTGACTTGTTTGAATGGGATCACCGAATAGCTCTGCATGCACTGCAGTGGAATGGGGCCTCATCTCGCCTCTAGGGGGAAGTCTCATGGTTTTTCTCGAGTTGCGGCGGGGACCTGGGGTATGTTCTCGACTTACGGCGGGGATGGCCCTTCAAAACACGAGTTTCTTCAGTGACGTCAGGACTCCTGTCTAGTAACGAGGGACACCTCAGGAATCTCTTCGAGGCTTGGCAGGGCAAAAGGGACGCTTCTCGAAGTGAGGCAGGGCACCCAAGTACCCTTTCCAGTAGCCATAGGGATGTTGGGATTCCTATCAGTATTCAAGAGGAGTCAGGCATCGTCACCTTTTGAAGCAATGAACTCCGTGTGCCTCTCGAGGTGTCACCTGGATGTGAGGCATTCCGTCAAAATAAGGTAGGGTCCTAGGGCTTTCTCTAAGTTCTCCACAGGGTATTCAGACATCCCTTCATGTTTTGAGATCAAAGACGAGCCGGTATTCAAGACACTGCAAGGAAACCCGTCCTCCTTTCAAGTTAGGGCTTCTCGCTGTATATTCCACTTGAGGCAGCGATCTCGGGATCCCTCCCACATACCTATTGCTGAGAGCAGCTTCCTCCTGAGGTGCTTCTGGAAAGTTGGCATACGTGTTGAGCCTAAGCCAGGGAATCAGCTCTCATCTCGACACGATTTGGGGTACACGGAGCCGTCCTCGAGTTGTTGTGCTGAAGTTGGTGTTCCTCTAGCCTTGGGACAGTGATCTCGGGACATCTCTGGAGTTGCCTGAAGGAAGTCGAGCCACCGGTCGTGTTGAATGGGGAACGGGACATGGCTCTGGAGTCAATGCAGGGGAATCGGCCCTCATCTCGTGTTGATTTGGGCCACATGGAGCTGCCTTGCGTTGCTGGGGTGACCTCAGAGTCCGTCTAGACTGGTGACAGTGTTCTTGGGGACTGTCTCGAGATCCATTAAGCAAGTTGAAGCTCCTGACTTGTTTGATGGGGATCACCGAATAGCTCTGCATGCACTGCAGGGGAATGGGGCCTCATCTCGCCTCTAGGGGGAAGTCTCATGGTTTTTCTCGAGTTGCGGCGGGGACCTGGGGTATGTTCTCGACGTACGGCGGTTATGGCCCTTCAAAACACGAGTTTCTTCAGTGACGTCAGGACTCCTGTGTAGTAACGAGGGACACCTCAAGAATCTCTTCGAGGCTTGGCAGGGCAAAAGGGATGCTTCTCGAGGTCAGGCAGGGCACCCAAGGACCCTTTCCAGTAGCCACAGGGATTTTGGGATTCCTATCAGTATTCAAGAGCAGTCAGGCGTCATCACCTTTTGAAGCAATGAACTCCGCGTGCCTCTCGAGGTGTCAACGGGATGTGAGGCATTTCGTCAAAATGAGGCAGGGACCTAGGGCTTTCTCTAAGGTCTCCACAGGGAATTCAGACATCCCTTCATGTTTTGAGATCAAAGACGATTCTGTATTCAAGCCACTGCAAGGAAATCCGGCCTCCTTTCAAGATAGGGCTTCTCGCTGTATATTCCACTTGAGGCAGTGAACTCGGGGTCCCTCCCACATACCTATTGCTGAGAGAAGCCTCCTCCTGAGGTGCTTCTGGAAAGTTGGCATACGTCTTGAGCCTAAGCCAGGGAATCAGCTCTCATCTCGAGACGATTTGGGGTACACGGAGCATTCCTCGAGTTGCTGTGCTGAAGTTGGTGTTCCTCTAGCCTTGGGACAGTGATCTCGGGACATCTCTGGAGTTGCCTGAAGGAAGTCGAGCCACCGGTCGTGTTGAATGGGGAACGGGGAATGGCTCTGGAGTCAATGCAGGGGAATCGGGCCTCATCTCGAGTTGATTTGGGGCACATGGAGCTGCTTTGCGTTGCTGGGGTGACCTCAGGGTCCGTCTAGACTGGTGACAGTGTTCTTGGGGACTGTCTCGAGATCCATTAAGCAAGTTGAATCTCCTGACTTGTTTTATGGGGATCACTGAATAGCTCTGCATGCACTGCAGGGGAATGGGGCCTCATCTCGCCTCTAGGGGGAAGTCTCATGGTATTCCTCGAGTTGCGGCGGGGACCTGGGGTATGTTCTCGACTTACGGCGTTGATGGCCCTTCAAAACACGAGTTTCTTCAGTGACGTCAGGACTCCTGTCTAGTAACGAGGGACACCTCAGGAATCTCTTCGAGGCTTGGCAGGGGAAAAGGGATGCTTCTCGAGGTCATGCAGGGCTCCCAAGGACCCTTTTCAGTAGCCACAGGGATTTTGGGATTCCTATCAGTATTCAAGCGGAGTCAGGCATCGCCACCTTTTTAAGCAATGAACTCCGCGTGCCTCTCCAGGTTTCAACGGGATGTGAGGCATTCCGTCAAAATGAGGCAGGGATCTAGGGCTTTCTCTAAGGTCTCCACAGGGGATTCAGACATCCCTTCATGTTTTGACATCAAAGACGAGCCTGTATTCAAGCCACTGCAAGGAAATCTGGCCTCCTTTCAAGTTAGGGCTTCTCGCTGTATATTCTACTTTAGGCAGCGATCTCGGGGTCCCTCCCACATACCTATTGCTGAGAGAAGCCTCCTCCTGAGGTGCTTCTGGAAAGTTGGCCTACGTCTTGAGCCTAAGCCAGGTAATCAGCTCTCATCTCGAGACGATTTGGGGTACACGGAGCATTCCTCGAGTTGCTGTACTGAAGTTGGTGTTCCTCTAGCCTTGGGACAGTGATCTCGGGGCATCTCTGGAGTTGCCTGAAGGAAGTCGAGCCACCGGTCGTGTTGAATGGGGAACGGGGAATGGCTCTGGAGTCAATGCAGGGGAATCGGGCCTCATCTCGAGTTGATTTGGGGCACATGGAGCTGCTTTGCGTTGCTGGGGTGACCTCAGGGTCCGTCTAGACTGGTGACAGTGTTCTTGGGTACTGTCTCAAGATCCATTAAGCAAGTCGAAGCTCCTGACTTGTTTGAATGGGATCACCGAATAGCTCTGCATGCACTGCAGTGGAATGGGGCCTCATCTCGCCTCTAGGGGGAAGTCTCATGGTTTTTCTCGATTTGCGGCCGGGACCTGGGGTATGTTCTCGACTTACGGCGGTTATGGCCCTTCAAAACACGAGTTTCTTCAGTGACGTCAGGACTCCTGTCTAGTAATGAGGAACACCTCAAGAATCTCTTCGAGGCTTGGCAGGGCAAAAGGGATGCTTCTCGAGGTCAGGCAGGGCACCCAAGGACCCTTTCCAGTAGCCACAGGGATTTTGGAATTCCTATCAGTATTCAAGAGCTGTCAGGCGTCGTCACCTTTTGAAGCAATGAACTCCGCGTGCCTCTCGAGGTGTCAACGGGATGTGAGGCATTCCGTCAAAATGAGGCAGGGACCTAGGGCTTTCTCTAAGGTCTCCACAGGGAATTCAGACATCCCTTCATGTTTTGAGATCAAAGACGAGCCTGTATTCAAGCCACTGCAAGGAAATCCGGCCTCCTTTCAAGTTAGGGCTTCTCGCAGTATATTCCACTTGAGGCAGTGAATTCGGGGTCCCTCCCACATACCTATTGCTGAGAGAAACCTCCTCCTGAGGTGCTTCTGGAAAGTTGGCATACGTCTTGAGCCTAAGCCAGGGAATCAGCTCTCATCTCGAGACGATTTGGGGTACACGGAGCATTCCTCGAGTTGCTGTGCTGAAGTTGGTGTTCCTCTAGCCTTGCGACAGTGTTCTCGGGGCATATCTGGAGTTGCCTGAAGGAAGTCGAGCCACCGGTCGTGTTGAATGGGGAACGGGGAATGTCTCTGGAGTCAATGCAGGGGAATTGGGCGTCATCTCGAGTTGATCTGGGGCACATGGAGGTGCTTTGCGTTGCTGGGGTGACTTCAGGGTCCGTCTAGACTGGTGACAGTGTTCTTGGTGACTGTCTCGAGATCCATTAAGCAAGTTGGAGCTCCTGACTTGTTTTATGGGGATCACCGAATAGCTCTGCATGCACTGCAGGGGAATTGGGCCTCATCTCGCCTCTAGGGGTAAGTCTCATGGTTTTTCTCGAGTTACGGCGGGGACCTGGGGTATGTTCTTGACTTACGGCGGGGATGGCTCTTCAAAACACGAGTTTCTTCAGTGACGTCAGGACTCCTGTCTAGTAACGAGGGACACCTCAGGAATCTCTTCGAAGCTTGGCAGCGCAAAAGGGATGCTTCTCGAAGTGAGGCAGGGCACCGAAGTACCCTTTCCAGTAGCCATAGGGATTTTGGGATTCCTATCAGTATTCAAGAGGAGTCAGGCATCGTCACCTTTTGAAGCAATGAACTCCGCGTGCCTCTCGAGGTGTCAACTGGATGTGAGGCATTCCGTCAAAATAAGGTAGGGACCTAGGGCTTTCTCTAAGTTCTCCACAGGGGATTCAGACATCCCTTCATGTTCTGAGATAAAAGACGAGCCGGTATTCAAGACACTGCAAGGAAACCCGGCCTCCTTTCAAGTTAGGGCTTCTCGCTGTATATTCCACTTGAGGCAGCGATCTCGGGGTCCCTCCCACATACCTATTGCTGAGAGAAGCCTCCTCCTGAGGTGCTTCTGGAAAGTTCGCATACGTCTTGAGCCTAAGCCAGGGAATTAGCTCTCATCTCGACACGATTTGGGGTACACGGAGCCGTCCTCGAGTTGCTGTGCTCAAGTTTGTGTTCCTCTAGACTTGGGACAGTGTTCTTGGCGCATCTCTGGAGTTGCCTGAAGGAAGTCGAGCCACCGGTCGTGTTGAATGGGGAACGGGAAATGGCTCTGGAGTCAATGCAGGGGAATCGGCCCTCATCTCGAGTTGATTTGGGCCACATGGAGCTGCCTTGCGTTGCTGGGGTGACCTCAGAGTCCGTCTAGACTGGTGACAGTGTTCTTGGGGACTGTCTCGAGATCCATTAAGCAAGTTGAAGCTCCTGACTTGTTTGATGGGGATCACCGAATAGCTCTGCATGCACTGCAGGGGAATGGGGCCTCATCTCGCCCCTAGGGGGAAGTCTCATGGTTTTTCTCGAGTTGCGGCGGGGACCTGGGGTATGTTCTCGACTTACGGCGGGGATGGCCCTTCAAAACACGAGTTTCTTCAGTGACGTCAGGACTCCTGTCTAGTAACGAGGGACACCTCAGGAATCTCTTCGAGGCTTGGCAGGGCAAAAGGGATGCTTCTCGAGGTCAGGCAGGGCACCCAAGGACCCTTTTCAGTAGCCACAGGGATTTTGGGATTCCTATCAGTATTCAAGAGGAGTCAGGCATCGTCACCTTTTGAAGCAATGAACTCCGCGTGCCTCTCGAGGTGTCAACGGGATGTGAGGCATTCCGTCAAAATGAGGCAGGGACCTAGGGCTTTCTCTAAGGTCTCCACAGGGGATTCAGACATCCCTTCATGTTTTGAGATCAAAGACGAGCCTGTATTCAAGCCACTGCAAGGAAATCCGGCCTCCTTTCAAGTTAGGGCTTCTCGCTGTATATTCTACTTGAGGCAGCGATCTCGGGGTCCCTCCCACATACCTATTGCTGAGAGAAGCCTCCTCCTGAGGTGCTTCTGGAAAGATGGCCTACGTCTTGAGCCTAAGCCAGGGAATCAGCTCTCATCTCGAGACGATTTGGGGTACACGGAGCATTCCTCGAGTTGCTGTGCTGAAGTTGGTGTTCCTCTAGACTTGGGATAGTGTTCTCGGGTCATCTCTGGAGTTGCCTGAAGGAAGTCGAGCCACCGGTCGTGTTGAATGGGGAACGAGGAATGGCTCTGGAGTCAATGCAGGGGAATCGAGCCTCATCTAGAATTGATTTGGGGCACGCTGCTTTGCGTTGCTGGGGTGACCTCAGGGTCCGTCTAGACTAGTGACAGTGTTCTTGGGTACTGTCTCAAGATCCATTAAGGAAGTCGAAGCTCCTGACTTGTTTGAATGGGATCACCGAATAGCTCTGCATGCACTGCAGTGGAATGGGGCCTCATCTCGCCTCTAGGGGGAAGTCTCATGGTTTTTCTCGAGTTGCGGCGGGGACCTGGGGTATGTTCTCGACTTACGGCGGGGATGGCCCTTCAAAACACGAGTTTCTTCAGTGACGTCAGGACTCCTGTCTAGTAACGAGGGACACCTCAGGAATCTCTTCGAGGCTTGGCAGGGCAAAAGGGACGCTTCTCGAAGTGAGGCAGGGCACCCAAGTACCCTTTCCAGTAGCCATAGGGATGTTGGGATTCCTATCAGTATTCAAGAGGAGTCAGGCATCGTCACCTTTTGAAGCAATGAACTCCGTGTGCCTCTCGAGGTGTCACCTGGATGTGAGGCATTCCGTCAAAATAAGGTAGGGTCCTAGGGCTTTCTCTAAGTTCTCCACAGGGGATTCAGACATCCCTTCATGTTTTGAGATCAAAGACGAGCCGGTATTCAAGACACTGCAAGGAAACCCGTCCTCCTTTCAAGTTAGGGCTTCTCGCTGTATATTCCACTTGAGGCAGCGATCTCGGGATCCCTCCCACATACCTATTGCTGAGAGCAGCTTCCTCCTGAGGTGCTTCTGGAAAGTTGGCATACGTCTTGAGCCTAAGCCAGGGAATCAGCTCTCATCTCGACACGATTTGGGGTACACGGAGCCGTCCTCGAGTTGCTGTGCTGAAGTTGGTGTTCCTCTAGCCTTGGGACAGTGATCTCGGGACATCTCTGGAGTTGCCTGAAGGAAGTCGAGCCACCGGTCGTGTTGAATGGGGAACGGGACATGGCTCTGGAGTCAATGCAGGGGAATCGGCCCTCATCTTGTGTTGATTTGGGCCACATGGTGCTGCCTTGCGTTGCTGGGGTGACCTCAGAGTCCGTCTAGACTGGTGACAGTGTTCTTGGGGACTGTCTCGAGATCCATTAAGCAAGTTGAAGCTCCTGACTTGTTTGATGGGGATCACCGAATAGCTCTGCATGCACTGCAGGGGAATGGGGCCTCATCTCGCCTCTAGGGGGAAGTCTCATGGTTTTTCTCGAGTTGCGGCGGGGACCTGGGGTATGTTCTCGACATACGGCGGTTATGGCCCTTCAAAACACGAGTTTCTTCAGTGACGTCAGGACTCCTGTGTAGTAACGAGGGACACCTCAAGAATCTCTTCGAGGCTTGGCAGGGCAAAAGGGATGCTTCTCGAGGTCAGGCAGGGCACCCAAGGACCCTTTCCAGTAGCCACAGGGATTTTGGGATTCCTATCAGTATTCAAGAGCAGTCAGGCGTCATCACCTTTTGAAGCAATGAACTCCGCGTGCCTCTCGAGGTGTCAACGGGATGTGAGGCATTTCGTCAAAATGAGGCAGGGACCTAGGGCTTTCTCTAAGGTCTCCACAGGGAATTCAGACATCCCTTCATGTTTTGAGATCAAAGACGATTCTGTATTCAAGCCACTGCAAGGAAATCCGGCCTCCTTTCAAGATAGGGCTTCTCGCTGTATATTCCACTTGAGGCAGTGAACTCGGGGTCCCTCCCACATACCTATTGCTGAGAGAAGCCTCCTCCTGAGGTGCTTCTGGAAAGTTGGCATACGTCTTGAGCCTAAGCCAGGGAATCAGCTCTCATCTCGAGACGATTTGGGGTACACGGAGCATTCCTCGAGTTGCTGTGCTGAAGTTGGTGTTCCTCTAGCCTTGGGACAGTGATCTCGGGACATCTCTGGAGTTGCCTGAAGGAAGTCGAGCCACCGGTCGTGTTGAATGGGGAACGGGGAATGGCTCTGGAGTCAATGCAGGGGAATCGGGCCTCATCTCGAGTTGATTTGGGGCACATGGAGCTGCTTTGCGTTGCTGGGGTGACCTCATGGTCCGTCTAGACTGGTGACAGTGTTCCTGGGGACTGTCTCGAGATCCATTAAGCAAGTTGAATCTCCTGACTTGTTTTATGGGGATCACTGAATAGCTCTGCATGCACTGCAGGGGAATGGGGCCTCATCTCGCCTCTAGGGGGAAGTCTCATGGTATTTCTCGAGTTGCGGCGGGGACCTGGGGTATGTTCTCGACTTTCGGCGTTGATGGCCCTTCAAAACACGAGTTTCTTCAGTGACGTCAGGACTCCTGTCTAGTAACGAGGGACACCTCAGGAATCTCTTCGAGGCTTGGCAGGGGAAAAGGGATGCTTCTCGAGGTCATGCAGGGCTCCCAAGGACCCTTTTCAGTAGCCACAGGGATTTTGGGATTCCTATCAGTATTCAAGCGGAGTCAGGCATCGTCACCTTTTTAAGCAATAAACTCCGCGTGCCTCTCCAGGTTTCAACGGGATGTGAGGCATTCCGTCAAAATGAGGCAGGGAACTAGGGCTTTCTCTAAGGTCTCCACAGGGGATTCAGACATCCCTTCATGTTTTTACATCAAAGACGAGCCTGTATTCAAGCCACTGCAAGGAAATCCGGCCTCCTTTCAAGTTAGGGCTTCTCGCTGTATATTCTACTTGAGGCAGCGATCTCGGGGTCCCTCCCACATACCTATTGCTGAGAGAAGCCTCCTCCTGAGGTGCTTCTGGAAAGTTGGCATACGTCTTGAGCCTAAGCCAGGTAATCAGCTCTCATCTCGAGACGATTTGGGGTACACGGAGCATTCCTCGAGTTGCTGTACTGAAGTTGGTGTTCCTCTAGCCTTGGGACAGTGATCTCGGGGCATCTCTGGAGTTGCCTGAAGGAAGTCGAGCCACCGGTCGTGTTGAATGGGGAACGGGGAATGGCTCTGGAGTCAATGCAGGGGAATCGGGCCTCATCTCGAGTTGATTTGGGGCACATGGAGCTGCTTTGCGTTGCTGGGGTGACCTCAGGGTCCGTCTAGACTGGTGACAGTGTTCTTGGGTACTGTCTCAAGATCCATTAAGCAAGTCGAAGCTCCTGACTTATTTGAATGTGATCACCGAATAGCTCTGCATGCACTGCAGTGGAATGGGGCCTCATCTCGCCTCTAGGGGGAAGTCTCATGGTTTTTCTCGATTTGCGGCCAGGACCTGGGGTATGTTCTCGACTTACGGCGGTTATGGCCCTTCAAAACACGAGTTTCTTCAGTGACGTCATGACTCCTGTCTAGTAACGAGGACCACCTCAAGAATCTCTTCGAGGCTTGGCAGGGCAAAAGGGATGCTTCTCGAGGTCAGGCAGGGCACCCAAGGACCCTTTCCAGTAGCCACAGGGATTTTGGGATTCCTATCAGTATTCAAGAGCTGTCAGGCGTCGTCACCTTTTGAAGCAATGAACTCCGCGTGCCTCTCGAGGTGTCAACGGGATGTGAGGCATTCCGTCAAAATGAGGCAGGGACCTAGGGCTTTCTCTAAGTTCTCCAAAGGGAATTCAGACATCCCTTCATGTTTTGAGATCAAAGACGAGCCTGTATTCAAGCCACTGCAAGGAAATCCGGCCTCCTTTCAAGTTAGGGCTTCTCGCAGTATATTCCACTTGAGGCAGTGAATTCGGGGTCCCTCCCACATACCTATTGCTGAGAGAAACCTTCTCCTGAGGTGCTTCTGGAAAGTTGGCATACGTCTTGAGCCTAAGCCAGGGAATCAGCTCTCATCTCGAGACGATTTGGGGTACACGGAGCATTCCTCGAGTTGCTGTGCTGAAGTTGGTGTTCCTCTAGACTTGGGACAGTGTTCTCGGGGCATCTCTGGAGTTGCCTGAAATAAGTCGAGCCACCGGTCGTGTTGAGTGGGGAACGGGGAATGGCTCTGGAGTCAATGCAGGGGAATCGGCCCTCATCTCGTGTTGATTTGGGCCACATGGAGCTGCCTTGCGTTGCTGGGGTGACCTCAGAGTCCGTCTAGACTGGTGACAGTGTTCTTGGGGACTGTCTCGAGATCCATTAAGCAAGTTGAAGCTCCTGACTTGTTTGATGGGGATCACCGAATAGCTCTGCATGCACTGCAGGGGAATGGGGCCTCATCTCGACTCTAGGGGGAAGTCTCATGGTTTTTCTCGAGTTGCGGCGGGGACCTGGGGTATGTTCTCGACGTACGGCGGTTATGGCCCTTCAAAACACGAGTTTCTTCAGTGACGTCAGGACTCCTGTGTAGTAACGAGGGACACCTCAAGAATCTCTTCGAGGCTTGGCAGGGCAAAAGGGATGCTTCTCGAGGTCAGGCAGGGCACCCAAGGACCCTTTCCAGTAGCCACAGGGATTTTGGGATTCCTATCAGTATTCAAGAGCCGTCAGGCGTCGTCACCTTTTGAAGCAATGAACTCCGCGTGCCTCTCGAGGTGTCAACGGGATGTGAGGCATTTCTTCAAAATGAGGCAGGGACCTAGGGCTTTCTCTAAGGTCTCCACAGGGAATTCAGACATCCCTTCAGGTTTTGAGATCAAAGGCGATTCTGTATTCAAGCCACTGCAAGGAAATCCGGCCTCCTTTCAAGATAGGACTTCTCGCTGTATATTCCACTTGAGGCAGTGAACTCGGGGTCCCTCCCACGTACCTATTGCTGAGAGAAGCCTCCTCCTGAGGTGCTTCTGGAAAGTTGGCATACGTCTTGAGCCTAAGCCAGGGAATCAGCTCTCATCTCGAGACGATTTGGGGTACACGGAGCATTCCTCGAGTTGCTGTGCTGAAGTTGGTGTTCCTCTAGACTTGGGACAGTGTTCTCGGGGCATCTCTGGAGTTGCCTGAAATAAGTCGAGCCACCGGTCGTGTTGAGTGGGGAACGGGGAATGGCTCTGGAGTCAATGCAGGGGAATCGGGCGTCATCTCGAGTTGATCTGGGGCACATGGAGGTGCTTTGCGTTGCTGGGGTGACTTCAGGGTCCGTCTAGACTGGTGACAGTGTTCTTGGGGACTGTCTCGAGATCCATTAAGCAAGTTGGAGCTCCTGACTTGTTTTATGGGGATCACCGAATAGCTCTGCATGCACTGCAGGGGAATTGGGCCTCATCTCGCCTCTAGGGGTAAGTCTCATGGTTTTTCTCGAGTTACGGCGGGGACCTGGGGTATGTTCTTGACTTACGGCGGGGATGGCTCTTCAAAACACGAGTTTCTTCAGTGACGTCAGGACTCCTGTCTAGTAACGAGGGACACCTCAGGAATCTCTTCGACGCTTGGCAGCGCAAAAGGGATGCTTCTCGAAGTGAGGCAGGGCACCGAAGTACCCTTTCCAGTAGCCATAGGGATTTTGGGATTCCTATCAGTATTCAAGAGGAGTCAGGCATCGTCACCTTTTGAAGCAATGAACTCCGCGTGCCTCTCGAGGTGTCAACTGGATGTGAGGCATTCCGTCAAAATAAGGTAGGGACCTAGGGCTTTCTCTAAGTTCTCCACAGGGGATTCAGACATCCCTTCATGTTTTGAGATCAAAGACGAGCCGGTATTCAAGACACTGCAAGGAAACCCGGCCTCCTTTCAAGTTAGGGCTTCTCGCTGTATATTCCACTTGAGGCAGCGATCTCGGGGTCCCTCCCACATACCTATTGCTGAGAGAAGCCTCCTCCTGAGGTGCTTCTGGAAAGTTGGCAAACGTCTTGAGCCTAAGCCAGGGAATCAGCTCTCATCTCGACACGATTTGGGGTACACGGAGCATTCCTCGAGATTCTGTGCTGAAGTTGGTGTTCCTCTAGCCTTGGGACAGTGTTCTCGGGGCATCTCAGGAGTTGCCTGAAGGAAGTCGAGCCACCGGTCGTGTTGAATGGGGAACGGGGAATGGCTCTGGAGTCAATGCAGGGGAATCGGGCCTCATCTCGAGTTGATTTGGGGCACACGGAGCTGCTTTGCGTTGCTGGGGTGACCTCAGGGTCCGTCTAGACTGGTGACAGTGTTCTTGGGGACTGTCTCGAGATCCATTAAGCAAGTTGGAGCTCCTGACTTGTTTGATGGGGATCACCGAATAGCTCTGCATGCACTGCAGGGGAATGGGGCCTCATCTCGCCTCTAGGGGGAAGTCTCATGGTTTTTCTCGAGTTGCGGCGGGGACCTGGGGTATGTTCTCGACTTACGACGGGGATGGCCCTTCAAAACACGAGTTTCTTCAGTGACGTCAGGACTCCTGTCTAGTAACGAGGGACACCTCAGGAATCTCTTCGAGGCTTGGCAGGGCAAAAGGGATGCTTCTCGAGGTCAGGTAGGGCACCCAAGGACCCTTTTCAGTAGCCACAGGGATTTTGGGATTCCTATCAGTATTCAAGAGGAGTCAGGCATCGTCACCTTTTGAAGCAATGAACTCCGCGTGCCTCTCGAGGTGTCAACGGGATGTGAGGCATTCCGTCAAAATGAGGCAGGGACCTAGGGCTTTCTCTAAGGTCTCCACAGGGGATTCAGACATCCCTTCATGTTTTGAGATCAAAGACGAGCCTGTATTCAAGCCACTGCAAGGAAATCCGGCCTCCTTTCAAGTTAGGGCTTCTCGCTGTATATTCTACTTGAGGCAGCGATCTGGGGGTCCCTCGCACATACCTATTGCTGAGAGAAGCCTCCTCCTGAGGTGCTTCTGGAAAGTTGGCATCCGTCTTGAGCCTAAGCCAGGGAATCAGCTCTCATCTCGAGACGATTTGGGGTACACGGAGCATTCCTCGAGTTGCTGTGCTGAAGTTGGTGTTCCTCTAGACTTGGGATAGTGTTCTCGGGTCATCTCTGGAGTTGCCTGAAGGAAGTCGAGCCACCGGTCGTGTTGAATGGGGAACGGGGAATGGCTCTGGAGTCAATGCAGGGGAATCGAGCCTCATCTCGAATTGATTTGGGGCACGGTGCTTTGCGTTGCTGGGGTGACCTCAGGGTCCGTCTAGACTAGTGACAGTGTTCTTGGGTACTGTCTCAAGATCCATTAAGCAAGTCGAAGCTCCTGACTTGTTTGAATGGGATCACCGAATAGCTCTGCATGCACTGCAAGGGAATGGGGCCTCATCTCGCCTCTAGGGGGAAGTCTCATGGTTTTTCTCGAGTTGCGGCGGGGACCTGGGGTATGTTCTCGACTTACGGCGGGGATGGCCCTTCAAAACACGAGTTTCTTCAGTGACGTCAGGACTCCTGTCTAGTAACGAGGGACACCTCAGGAATCTCTTCGAGGCTTGGCAGGGCAAAAGGGACGCTTCTCGAAGTGAGGCAGGGCACCCAAGTACCCTTTCCAGTAGCCATAGGGATGTTGGGATTCCTATCTGTATTCAAGAGGAGTCAGGCATCGTCACCTTTTGAAGCAATGAACTCCGCGTGCCTCTCGAGGTGTCACCTGGATGTGAGGCATTCCGTCAAAATAAGGTAGGGTCCTAGGGCTTTCTCTAAGTTCTCCACAGGGGATTCAGACATCCCTTCATGTTTTGAGAACAAAGACGAGCCGGTATTCAAGACACTGCAAGGAAACCCGGCCTCCTTTCAAGTTAGGGCTTCTCGCTGTATATTCCACATGAGGCAGCGATCTCGGGGTCCCTCCCACATACCTATTGCTGAGAGCAGCTTCCTCCTGAGGTGCTTCTGGAAAGTTGGCATACGTCTTGAGCCTAAGCCAGGGAATCAGCTCTCATCTCGACACGATTTGGGGTACACGGAGCCGTCCTCGAGTTGCTGTGCTGAAGTTGGTGTTCCTCTAGACTTGGGACAGTGTACTCGGGGCATCTCTGGAGTTGCCTGAAGGAAGTCGAGCCACCGGTCGTGTTGAATGGGGAACGGGACATGGCTCTGGAGACAATGCAGGGGAATCGGCCCTCATCTCGTGTTGATTTGGGCCACATGGAGCTGCCTTGCGTTTCTGGGGTGAACTCAGAGTCCGTCTAGACTGGTGACAGTGTTCTTGGGGACTGTCTCGAGATCCATTAAGCAAGTTGGAGCTCCTGACTTGTTTGATGGGGATCACCGAATAGCTCTGTATGCACTGCAGGGGAATGGGGCCTCATCTCGCCTCTAGGGGGAAGTCTCATGGTTTTTCTCGAGTTGCGGCGGGGACCTGGGGTATGTTCTCGACTTACGGCGGTTATGGCCCTTCAAAACACGAGTTTCTTCAGTGACGTCAGGACTCCTGTTTAGTAACGAGGGACACCTAAAGAATCTCTTCGAGGCTTGGCAGGGCAAAAGGGATGCTTCTCGAGGTCAGGCAGGGCACCCAAGGACCCTTTCCAGTAGCCACAGGGATTTTGGGATTCCTATCAGTATTCAAGAGCAGTCAGGCGTCGTCACCTTTTCAAGCAATGAACTCCGCGTGCCTCTCGAGGTGTCAACGGGATGTGAGGCATTCCCTCAAAATGAGGCAGCGACCTAGGGCTTTCTCTAAGGTCTCCACAGGGAATTCAACATCCCTTCATGTTTTGAGATCAAAGACGATCCTGTATTCAAGCCACTCCAAGGAAATCCGGCCTCCTTTCAAGATAGGGCTTCTCGCTGTATATTCCACTTGAGGCAGTGAACTCGGGGTCCCTCAAACATACCTATTGCTGAGAGAAGCCTCCTCCTGAGGTGCTTCTGGAAAGTTGGCATACGTCTTGAGCCTAAGCCAGGGAATCAGCTCTCATCTCGACACGATTTGGGGTACACGAAGCATTCCTCGAGTTGCTGTGCTGAAGTTGGTGTTCCTCTAGCCTTGGGACAGTGTTCTCGGGCCATCTCTGGAGTTGCCTGAAGGAAGTCGAGCCACCGGTCGTGTTGAATGGGGAACGGGGAATGGCTCTGGAGTCAATGCAGGGGATCGGGCCTCATCTCGAGTTGATTTGGGGCACATGGAGCTGCTTTGCGTTGCTGGGGTGACCTCAGGGTCCGTCTAGACTGGTGACAGTGTTCTTGGGGACTGTCTCGCGATCCATTAAGCAAGTTGAAGCTCCTGACTTGTTTTATGGGGATCACCGAAGAGCTCTGCATGCACTGCAGTGGAATGGGGCCTCATCTCGCCTCTAGGGGGAAGTCTCATGGTTTTTCTCGAGTTGCGGCGGGAACCTGGGGTATGTTCTCGACTTACGGCGGGGATGGCCCTTCAAAACACGAGTTTCTTCAGTGACGTCATGACTCCTGTCTAGTAACGAGGGACACCTCAGGAATCTCTTCGAGGCTTGACAGGGCAAAAGGGACGCTTCTCGAAGTGAGGCAGGGCACCCAAGTACTCTTTCCAGTAGCCATAGGGATTTTCGGATTCCTATCAGTATTCAAGAGGAGTCAGGCATCGTCACCTTTTGAAGCAATGAACTCCGCGTGCCTCTCGAGGTGTCAACTGGATGTGAGGCATTCCGTAAAAATGAAGCAGGGACCTAGGGCTTTCTCTAAGGTCTCCGCAGTGGATTCAGACATCCCTTCATGTTTTGAGATCAAAGACGAGCCTGTATTCAAGCCACTGCAAGGAAACTCGGCCTCCTTTCAAGTTAGGGCTTCTCGCTGTATATTCCACTGGAGGCAGCGAACTCGGGGTCCCTCCCACATACCTATTGCTGAGAGAAGCCTCCTCCTGAGGTGCTTCTGGAAAGTTGGCATACGTCTTGAGCCTAAGCCAGGGAATCAGCTCTCATCTCGAGACGATTTGGGGTACACGGAGCATTCCTCGAGTTGCTGTGCTGAAGTTGGTGTTCCTCTAGCCTTGGGACAGTGTTCTCCTGGCATCTCTGGAGTTGCCTGAAGGAAGTCGAGCCACCGGTCGTGTTGAATGGGGAACAGGGAATGGCTCTGGAGTCAATGCAGGGGAATCGGGCCTCATCTCGAGTTGATTTGGGGCACATGGAGGTGCTTTGCGTTGCTGGGGTGACCTCAGGGTCCGTCTAGACTGGTGACAGTGTTCTTGGGCACTGTCTTGAGATCCATTAAGCAAGTTGGAGCTCCTGACTTGTTTTATGGGGATCACCGAATAGCTCTGCATGCACTGCAGGGGAATGGGACCTCATCTCGCCTCTAGGGGGAAGTCTCATGGTTTTTCTCGAGTTGCGGCGGGGACCTGGGGTATGTTCTCGACTTACGGCGGTTATGGCCCTTCAAAACACGAGTTTCTTCAGTGACGTCAGGACTCCTGTTTAGTAACGAGGGACACCTAAAGAATCTCTTCGAGGCTTGGCAGGGCAAAAGGGATGCTTCTCGAGGTCAGGCAGGGCACCCAAGGACCCTTTCCAGTAGCCACAGGGATTTTGGGATTCCTATCAGTATTCAAGAGCAGTCAGGCGTCGTCACCTTTTCAAGCAATGAACTCCGCGTGCCTCTCGAGGTGTCAACGGGATGTGAGGCATTCCCTCAAAATGAGGCAGCGACCTAGGGCTTTCTCTAAGGTCTCCACAGGGAATTCAACATCCCTTCATGTTTTGAGATCAAAGACGATCCTGTATTCAAGCCACTCCAAGGAAATCCGGCCTCCTTTCAAGATAGGGCTTCTCGCTGTATATTCCACTTGAGGCAGTGAACTCGGGGTCCCTCAAACATACCTATTGCTGAGAGAAGCCTCCTCCTGAGGTGCTTCTGGAAAGTTGGCATACGTCTTGAGCCTAAGCCAGGGAATCAGCTCTCATCTCGACACGATTTGGGGTACACGAAGCATTCCTCGAGTTGCTGTGCTGAAGTTGGTGTTCCTCTAGCCTTGGGACAGTGTTCTCGGGCCATCTCTGGAGTTGCCTGAAGGAAGTCGAGCCACCGGTCGTGTTGAATGGGGAACGGGGAATGGCTCTGGAGTCAATGCAGGGGATCGGGCCTCATCTCGAGTTGATTTGGGGCACATGGAGCTGCTTTGCGTTGCTGGGGTGACCTCAGGGTCCGTCTAGACTGGTGACAGTGTTCTTGGGGACTGTCTCGCGATCCATTAAGCAAGTTGAAGCTCCTGACTTGTTTTATGGGGATCACCGAAGAGCTCTGCATGCACTGCAGTGGAATGGGGCCTCATCTCGCCTCTAGGGGGAAGTCTCATGGTTTTTCTCGAGTTGCGGCGGGAACCTGGGGTATGTTCTCGACTTACGGCGGGGATGGCCCTTCAAAACACGAGTTTCTTCAGTGACGTCATGACTCCTGTCTAGTAACGAGGGACACCTCAGGAATCTCTTCGAGGCTTGACAGGGCAAAAGGGACGCTTCTCGAAGTGAGGCAGGGCACCCAAGTACTCTTTCCAGTAGCCATAGGGATTTTCGGATTCCTATCAGTATTCAAGAGGAGTCAGGCATCGTCACCTTTTGAAGCAATGAACTCCGCGTGCCTCTCGAGGTGTCAACTGGATGTGAGGCATTCCGTAAAAATGAAGCAGGGACCTAGGGCTTTCTCTAAGGTCTCCGCAGTGGATTCAGACATCCCTTCATGTTTTGAGATCAAAGACGAGCCTGTATTCAAGCCACTGCAAGGAAACTCGGCCTCCTTTCAAGTTAGGGCTTCTCGCTGTATATTCCACTGGAGGCAGCGAACTCGGGGTCCCTCCCACATACCTATTGCTGAGAGAAGCCTCCTCCTGAGGTGCTTCTGGAAAGTTGGCATACGTCTTGAGCCTAAGCCAGGGAATCAGCTCTCATCTCGAGACGATTTGGGGTACACGGAGCATTCCTCGAGTTGCTGTGCTGAAGTTGGTGTTCCTCTAGCCTTGGGACAGTGTTCTCCTGGCATCTCTGGAGTTGCCTGAAGGAAGTCGAGCCACCGGTCGTGTTGAATGGGGAACAGGGAATGGCTCTGGAGTCAATGCAGGGGAATCGGGCCTCATCTCGAGTTGATTTGGGGCACATGGAGGTGCTTTGCGTTGCTGGGGTGACCTCAGGGTCCGTCTAGACTGGTGACAGTGTTCTTGGGCACTGTCTTGAGATCCATTAAGCAAGTTGGAGCTCCTGACTTGTTTTATGGGGATCACCGAATAGCTCTGCATGCACTGCAGGGGAATGGGACCTCATCTCGCCTCTAGGGGGAAGTCTCATGGTTTTTCTCGAGTTGCGGCGGGGACCTGGGGTATGTTCTCGACTTACGGCGGTTATGGCCCTTCAAAACACGAGTTTCTTCAGTGACGTCAGGACTCCTGTCTAGTAACGAGGGACACCTCAGGAATCTCTTCGAGGCTTGGCAGGGCAAAAGGGATGCTTCTCGAGGTCAGGCAGGGCACCCAAGGACCCTTTTCAGTAGCCACAGTGATTTTGGGATTCCTATCAGTATTCAAGAGCAGTCAGGCATCGTCACCTTTTGAAGCAATGAACTCCGCGTGCCTCTCGAGGTGTCAACGGGATGTGAGGCATTCCGTCAAAATGAGGCAGGGACCTAGGGCTTTCTCTAAGGTCTCCACAGGGGATTCAGACATCCCTTCATGTTTTGAGATCAAATACGAGCCTGTATTCAAGCCACTGCAAGGAAATCCGGCCTCCTTTCAAGTTAGGGCTTCTCGCTGTATATTCTACGTGAGGCAGCGATCTCGGGGTCCCTCCCACATACTTATTGCTGAGAGAAGCCTCCTCCTGAGGTGCTTCTGGAAAGTTGGCCTACGTCTTGAGGCTAAGCCAGGGAATCAGCTCTCATCTCGAGACGATTTGGGGTACACGGAGCATTCCTCGAGTTGCTGTGCTGAAGTTGGTGTTCCTCTAGACTTGGGACAGTGTTCTCAGGGCATCTCTGGAGTTGCCTGAAGGAAGTCGAGCCACCGGTCGTGTTGAATGGGGAACGGGGAATGGCTCTGGAGTCAATGCAGGGGAATCGAGCCTCATCTCGAGTTGATTTGGGGCACATGGAGCTGCTTTGCGTTGCTGGGGTGACCTCAGGGTCCTTCTAGACTGGTGACAGTGTTCTTGGGTACTGTCTCAAGATCCATTAAGCAAGTCGAAGCTCCTGACTTGTTTGAATGGGATCACCGAATAGCTCTGCATGCACTGCAGTGGAATGGGGCCTCATCTCGCCTCTAGGGGGAAGTCTCATGGTTTTTCTCGAGTTACGGCGGGGACCTGGGGTATGTTCTTGACTTACGGCGGGGATGGCCCTTCAAAACACGAGTTTCTTCAGTGACGTCAGGACTCCTGTCTAGTAACGAGGGACACCTCAGGAATCTCTTCGAGGCTTGGCAGGGCAAAAGGGACGCTTCTCGAAGTGAGGCAGGGCACCCAAGTACCCTTTCCAGTAGCCATAGGGATTTTGGGATTCCTATCAGTATTCAAGAGGAGTCAGGCATCGTCACCTTTTGAAGCAATGAACTCCGCGTGCCTCTCGAGGTGTCAACTGGATGTGAGGCATTCCGTCAAAATAACGTAGGGACCTAGGGCTTTCTCTAAGTTCTCCACAGGGGATTCAGACATCCCTTCATGTTTTGAGATCAAAGCCGAGCCGGTATTCAAGACACTGCAAGGAAACCCGGCCTCCTTTCAAGTTAGGGCTTCTCGCTGTATATTCCACTTGAGGCAGCGATCTCGGGGTCCCTCCCACATACCTATTGCTGAGAGAAGCCTCCTCCTGAGGTGCTTCTGGAAACTTGGCATACGTCTTGAGCCTAAGCCAGGGAATGAGCTCTCATCTGGACACGATTTGGGGTACACGGAGCCGTCCTCTAGTTGCTGTGCTCAAGTTGGTGTTCCTCTAGACTTGGGACAGTGTTCTCCGGGCATCTCTGGAGTTGCCTGAAGGAAGACGATCCACCGGTCGTGTTGAATGGGGAACGGGAAATGGCTCTGGAGTCAATGCAGGGGAATCGGCCCTCATCTCGAGTTGATTTGGGGCACATGGAGCTGCCTTGCGTTGCTGGGGTGACCTCAGAGTCCGTCTAGACTGGTGACAGTGTTCTTGGGGACTGTCTCGAGATCCATTAAGCAAGTTGAAGCTCCTGACTTGTTTGATGGGGATCACCGAATAGCTCTGCATGCACTGCAGGGGAATGGGGCCTCATCTCGCCAATAGGGGGAAGTCTCATGGTTTTTCTCGAGTTGCGGCGGGGACTTGGGGTATGTTCTCGACTTACGGCGGTTATGGCCCTTCAAAACACGAGTTTCTTCAGTGACGTCAGGACTCCTGTCTAGTAACGAGGGACACCTCAAGAATCTCTTCGAGGCTTGGCAGGGCAAAAGGGATGCTTCTCGAGGTCAGGCAGGGCACCCAAGGATCCTTTCCAGTAGCCACAGGGATTTTGGGATTCCTATCAGTATTCAAGAGCAGTCAGGCATCGTCACCTTTTGAAGCAATGAACTCCGCGTGCCTCTCGAGGTGTCAACGGGATGTGAGGCATTCCGTCAAAATGAGGCAGGGACCTAGGGCTTTCTCTAAGGTCTCCACAGGGGATTCAGACATCCCTTCATGTTTTGAGATCAAAGACGAGCCTGTATTCAAGCCACTGCAAGGAAATCCGGCCTCGTTTCAAGTTAGGGATTCTCGCTGTATATTCCACTTGAGGCAGTGAATTCGGGGTCCCTCCCACATACCTATTGCTGAGAGAAACCTCCTCCTGAGGTGCTTCTGGAAAGTTGGCATACGTCTTGAGCCTAAGCCAGGGAATCAGCTCTCATCTCGAGACGATTTGGGGTACACGGAGCATTCCTCGAGATGCTGTGCTGAAGTTGGTGTTCCTCTAGCCTTGGGACAGTGTTCTCGGGGCATCTCTGGAGTTGCCTGAAGGAAGTCGAGCCACCGGTCGTGTTGAATGGGGAACGGGGAATGGCTCTGGAGTCAATGCAGGGGAATCGGGCCTCATCTCGTGTTGATTTGGGGCACATGGAGCTGCTTTGCGTTGCTGGGGTGACCTCAGGGTCCGTCTAGACTGGTGACAGTGTTCTTGGGGACTGTCTCGAGATCCATTAAGCAAGTTGGAGCTCCTGACTTGTTTGATGCGGATCACCGCATAGCTCTGCATGCACTGCAGGGGAATGGGGCCTCATCTCGCCTCTAGGGGGAAATCTCATGGTTTTTCTCGAGTTGCGGCGGGGACCTGGGGTATGTTCTCGACTTACTGCGGGGATGGCCCTTCAAAACACGAGTTTCTTCAGTGACGTCAGGACTCCTGTCTAGTAACGAGGGACACCTCAGGAATCTCTTCGAGGCTTGGCAGGGCAAAAGGGATGCTTCTCGAGGTCAGGCAGGGCACCCAAGGACCCTTTTCAGTAGCCACAGGGATTTTGGGATTCCTATCAGTATTCAAGAGGAGTCAGGCATCGTCACCTTTTGAAGCAATGAACTCCGCGTGCCTCTCGAGGTGTCAACGGGATGTGAGGCATTCCGTCAAAATGAGGCAGGGACCTAGGGCTTTCTCTAAGGTCTCCACAGAGGATTCAGACATCCCTTCATGTTTTGAGATCAAAGACGAGCCTGTATTCAAGCCACTGCAAGGAAATCAGGCCTCCTTTCAAGTTAGGGCTTCTCGCTGTATATTCTACTTGAGGCAGCGATCTCGGGGTCCCTCCCACATACCTATTGCTGAGAGAAGCCTCCTCCTGAGGTGCTTCTGGAAAGTTGGCATACGTCTTGAGCCTAAGCCAGGCAATCAGCTCTCATCTCGAGACGATTTGGGGTACACGGAGCATTCCTCGAGTTGCTGTGCTGAAGTTGGTGTTCCTCTAGACTTGGGACAGTGTTCTCGGGTCATCTCTGGAGTTGCCTGAGGGAGTCGAGCCACCGGTCGTGTTGAATGGGGAACGGGGAATGGCTCTGGACTCAATGCAGGGGAATCGAGCCTCATCTCGAGTTGATTTGGGGCACATGGAGCTGCTTTGCGTTGCTGGGGTGACCTCAGGGTCCGTCTAGACTAGTGACAGTGTTCTTGGGTACTGTCTCAAGAACCATTAAGCAAGTCGAAGCTCCTGACTTGTTTGAATGGGATCACCGAATAGCTCTGCATGGACTGCAGTGGAATTGGGCCTCATCTCGCCTCTAGGGGGAAGTCTCATGGTTTTTCTCGAGTTGCGGCGGGGACCTGGGGTATGTTCTCGACTTACGGCGGGGATGGCCCTTCAAAACACGAGTTTCTTCAGTGACGTCAGGACTCCTGTCTAGTAACGAGGGACACGTCAGGAATCTCTTCGAGGCTTGACAGGGCAAAAGGGACGCTTCTCGAAGTGAGGCAGGTCACCCAAGTACCCTTTCCAGTAGCCATAGGGATTTTGGGATTCCTATCAGTATTCAAGAGGAGTCAGGCATCGTCACCTTTTGAAGCAATGAACTCCGCGTGCCTCTCGAGGTGTCAACTGGATGTGAGGCATTCCGTCAAAATGAGGTAGGGACCTAGGGCTTTCTCTAAGTTCTCCACAGGGGATTCAGACATCCCTTCATGTTTTGAGATCAAAGACGAGCCGGTTTTCAAGACACTGCAAGGAAACCCGGCCTCCTTTCAAGTTAGGGCTTCTCGCTGTATATTCCACTTGAGGCAGCGATCTCGGGGTCCCTCCCACATACCTATTGCTGAGAGAAGCCTCCTCCTGAGGTGCTTCTGGAAAGTTGGCATACGTCTTGAGCCTAAGCCAGGGAATCAGCTCTCATCTCGACACGATTTGGGGTACACGGAGCCGTCCTCGAGTTGCTGTGCTCAAGTTCGTGTTCCTCTAGACTTGGGACAGTGTTCTCGGGGCATCTCTGGAGTTGCCTGAAGCAAGTCGAGCGACCGGTCGTGTTGAATGGGGAACGGGAAATGGCTCTGGAGTCAACGCAGGGGAATCGGGCGTCATCTCGAGTTGATTTGGGGCACATGGAGGTGCTTTGCGTTGCTGGGGTGACTTCAGGGTCCGTCTAGACTGGTGACAGTGTTCTTGGGGACTGTCTCGAGATCCATTAAGCAAGTTGGAGCTCCTGACTTGTTTTATGGGGATCACCGAATAGCTCTGCATGCACTGCAGGGGAATGGGGCCTCATCTCGCCTCTAGGGGGAAGTCTCATGGTTTTTCTCGAGTTGCGGCAGGGACCTGGGGTATGTTCTTGACTTAAGGCGGGGATGGCCCTTCAAAACACGAGTTTCTTCAGTGACGTCAGGACTCCTGTCTAGTATCGAGGTACACCTCAGGAATCTCTTCGAGGCTTGGCAGGGCAACAGCGACGCTTCTCGAGGTGAGGCAGGGCAACCAAGGACCCTTTCCAGTAGCCACAGGGATTTTGGGATTCCTATCAGTATTCAAGAAGAGTCAGACGTCGTCACCTTTTGAAGCAATGAACTCCGCGTGCCTCTCGAGGTGTCAACGGGATGTGAGGCATTCCGTCAAAATGAGGCAGGGACCTAGGGCTTTCTCTAAGTTCTCCACAGGGGATTCAGACATCCCTTTATGTTTTGAGATCGAAGACGAGCCTGTATTCAAGGCACTGCAAGGAAATCCAGCCTCCTTTCAAGTTAGGGCTTCTCGCAGTATATTCTACTTGAGCCAGCTATCTCGGGGTCCCTCCCACATACCTATTGCTGAGAGAAGCCTCCTCGTGAGGTGCTTTTGGAAAGTTGGCATACGACTTGAGCCTAAGCCAGGGAATCAGCTCTCATCTCGAGACGATTTGGGGTACACGGAGCATTCCTCGAGTTGCTGTCCTGAAGTTGCTGTTCCCCTAGACTTGGGAAATTGTTCTCGGGGCATCTCAGGAGTTGCCTGAAGGAAGTCGAGCCACCGGTCGTGTTGAATGGGGAACGGGGAATGGCTCTGGATTCAATGCAGGGGAATCGGGCCTCATCTCGATTTGATTTGGGGCACATGGAGGTGCTTTGCGTTGCTGGGGTGACCTCAGGGTCCGTCTAGACTGGTGACAGTGTTCTTGGGGACTGTCTCGAGATCCATTAAGCAAGTTGAAGCTCCTGACTTGTTTTATGGGGATCACCGAATAGCTCTGCATGCACTGCAGGGGAATGGGGCCTCATCTCGCCTCTAGGGGGAAGTCTCATGGTTTTTCTCGAGTTGCGGCGGGGACCTGGGTTATGTTCTCGACTTACGGCGGTTATGGCCCTTCAAAACACGAGTTTCTTCAGTGACGTCAGGACTCCTGTCTAGTAACGAGGGACACCTCAGGAATCTCTTCGAGGCTTGGCAGGGCAAAAGGGATGCTTCTCGATGTCAGGCAGGGCACCCAAGGACCCTTTTCAGTAGCCACAGGGATTTTGGGATTCCTATCAGTATTCAAGCGGAGTCAGGCATCGTCACCTTTTTAAGCAATGTATTCCGCGTGCCTCTCGAGGTGTCAACGGGATGTGAGGCATTCCGTCAAAATGAGGCAGGGAACTAGGGCTTTCTCTAAGGTCTCCACAGGGGATTCAGACATCCCTTCATGTTTTGAGATCAAAGACGAGCCTGTATTCAAGCCACTGCAAGGAAATCCGGCCTCCTTTCAAGTTAGGGCTTCTCGCTGTATATTCTACTTGAGGCAGCGATCTCGGGGTCCCTCCCACATACCTATTGCTTAGAGAAGCCTCCTCCTGAGGTGCTTCTGGAAAGTTGGCCTACGTCTTGAGCCTAAGCCAGGGAATCAGCTCTCATCTCGACACGATTTGGGGTACACGGAGCATTCCTCGAGTTGCTGTGCTGAAGTTGGTGTTCCTCTAGACTTGGGACAGTGTTCTCGGGTCATCTCTGGAGTTGCCTGAAGGAAGTCGAGCCACCGGTCTTGTTGAATGGGGAACGGGGAATGGCTCTGGAGTCAATGCAGGGGAATCGAGCCTCATCTCGAGTTGATTTGGGGCACATGGAGCTGCTTTGCGTTGCTGGGGTGACCTCAGGGTCCGTCTAGACTGGTTACAGTGTTCTTGGGTACTGTCTCAAGATCCATTAAGCAAGTCGAAGCTCCTGACTTGTTTGAATGGGATCACCGAAGAGCTCTGCATGCACTGCAGTGGAATGGGGCCTCATCTCGCCTCTAGGGGGAAGTCTCATGGTTTTTCTCGAGTTGCGGCGGGAACCTGGGGTATGTTCTCGACTTACGGCGGGGATGGCCCTTCAAAACACGAGTTTCTTCAGTGACGTCATGACTCCTGTCTAGTAACGAGGGACACCTCAGGAATCTCTTCGAGGCTTGACAGGGCAAAAGGGACGCTTCTCGAAGTGAGGCAGGGCACCCAAGTACTCTTTCCAGTAGCCATAGGGATTTTCGGATTCCTATCAGTATTCAAGAGGAGTCAGGCATCGTCACCTTTTGAAGCAATGAACTCCGCGTGCCTCTCGAGGTGTCAACTGGATGTGAGGCATTCCGTAAAAATGAAGCAGGGACCTAGGGCTTTCTCTAAGGTCTCCGCAGTGGATTCAGACATCCCTTCATGTTTTGAGATCAAAGACGAGCCTGTATTCAAGCCACTGCAAGGAAACTCGGCCTCCTTTCAAGTTAGGGCTTCTCGCTGTATATTCCACTGGAGGCAGCGAACTCGGGGTCCCTCCCACATACCTATTGCTGAGAGAAGCCTCCTCCTGAGGTGCTTCTGGAAAGTTGGCATACGTCTTGAGCCTAAGCCAGGGAATCAGCTCTCATCTCGAGACGATTTGGGGTACACGGAGCATTCCTCGAGTTGCTGTGCTGAAGTTGGTGTTCCTCTAGCCTTGGGACAGTGTTCTCCTGGCATCTCTGGAGTTGCCTGAAGGAAGTCGAGCCACCGGTCGTGTTGAATGGGGAACAGGGAATGGCTCTGGAGTCAATGCAGGGGAATCGGGCCTCATCTCGAGTTGATTTGGGGCACATGGAGGTGCTTTGCGTTGCTGGGGTGACCTCAGGGTCCGTCTAGACTGGTGACAGTGTTCTTGGGCACTGTCTTGAGATCCATTAAGCAAGTTGGAGCTCCTGACTTGTTTTATGGGGATCACCGAATAGCTCTGCATGCACTGCAGGGGAATGGGACCTCATCTCGCCTCTAGGGGGAAGTCTCATGGTTTTTCTCGAGTTGCGGCGGGGACCTGGGGTATGTTCTCGACTTACGGCGGTTATGGCCCTTCAAAACACGAGTTTCTTCAGTGACGTCAGGACTCCTGTCTAGTAACGAGGGACACCTCAGGAATCTCTTCGAGGCTTGGCAGGGCAAAAGGGATGCTTCTCGAGGTCAGGCAGGGCACCCAAGGACCCTTTTCAGTAGCCACAGTGATTTTGGGATTCCTATCAGTATTCAAGAGCAGTCAGGCATCGTCACCTTTTGAAGCAATGAACTCCGCGTGCCTCTCGAGGTGTCAACGGGATGTGAGGCATTCCGTCAAAATGAGGCAGGGACCTAGGGCTTTCTCTAAGGTCTCCACAGGGGATTCAGACATCCCTTCATGTTTTGAGATCAAATACGAGCCTGTATTCAAGCCACTGCAAGGAAATCCGGCCTCCTTTCAAGTTAGGGCTTCTCGCTGTATATTCTACGTGAGGCAGCGATCTCGGGGTCCCTCCCACATACTTATTGCTGAGAGAAGCCTCCTCCTGAGGTGCTTCTGGAAAGTTGGCCTACGTCTTGAGGCTAAGCCAGGGAATCAGCTCTCATCTCGAGACGATTTGGGGTACACGGAGCATTCCTCGAGTTGCTGTGCTGAAGTTGGTGTTCCTCTAGACTTGGGACAGTGTTCTCAGGGCATCTCTGGAGTTGCCTGAAGGAAGTCGAGCCACCGGTCGTGTTGAATGGGGAACGGGGAATGGCTCTGGAGTCAATGCAGGGGAATCGAGCCTCATCTCGAGTTGATTTGGGGCACATGGAGCTGCTTTGCGTTGCTGGGGTGACCTCAGGGTCCTTCTAGACTGGTGACAGTGTTCTTGGGTACTGTCTCAAGATCCATTAAGCAAGTCGAAGCTCCTGACTTGTTTGAATGGGATCACCGAATAGCTCTGCATGCACTGCAGTGGAATGGGGCCTCATCTCGCCTCTAGGGGGAAGTCTCATGGTTTTTCTCGAGTTACGGCGGGGACCTGGGGTATGTTCTTGACTTACGGCGGGGATGGCCCTTCAAAACACGAGTTTCTTCAGTGACGTCAGGACTCCTGTCTAGTAACGAGGGACACCTCAGGAATCTCTTCGAGGCTTGGCAGGGCAAAAGGGACGCTTCTCGAAGTGAGGCAGGGCACCCAAGTACCCTTTCCAGTAGCCATAGGGATTTTGGGATTCCTATCAGTATTCAAGAGGAGTCAGGCATCGTCACCTTTTGAAGCAATGAACTCCGCGTGCCTCTCGAGGTGTCAACTGGATGTGAGGCATTCCGTCAAAATAACGTAGGGACCTAGGGCTTTCTCTAAGTTCTCCACAGGGGATTCAGACATCCCTTCATGTTTTGAGATCAAAGCCGAGCCGGTATTCAAGACACTGCAAGGAAACCCGGCCTCCTTTCAAGTTAGGGCTTCTCGCTGTATATTCCACTTGAGGCAGCGATCTCGGGGTCCCTCCCACATACCTATTGCTGAGAGAAGCCTCCTCCTGAGGTGCTTCTGGAAACTTGGCATACGTCTTGAGCCTAAGCCAGGGAATGAGCTCTCATCTGGACACGATTTGGGGTACACGGAGCCGTCCTCTAGTTGCTGTGCTCAAGTTGGTGTTCCTCTAGACTTGGGACAGTGTTCTCCGGGCATCTCTGGAGTTGCCTGAAGGAAGACGATCCACCGGTCGTGTTGAATGGGGAACGGGAAATGGCTCTGGAGTCAATGCAGGGGAATCGGCCCTCATCTCGAGTTGATTTGGGGCACATGGAGCTGCCTTGCGTTGCTGGGGTGACCTCAGAGTCCGTCTAGACTGGTGACAGTGTTCTTGGGGACTGTCTCGAGATCCATTAAGCAAGTTGAAGCTCCTGACTTGTTTGATGGGGATCACCGAATAGCTCTGCATGCACTGCAGGGGAATGGGGCCTCATCTCGCCAATAGGGGGAAGTCTCATGGTTTTTCTCGAGTTGCGGCGGGGACTTGGGGTATGTTCTCGACTTACGGCGGTTATGGCCCTTCAAAACACGAGTTTCTTCAGTGACGTCAGGACTCCTGTCTAGTAACGAGGGACACCTCAAGAATCTCTTCGAGGCTTGGCAGGGCAAAAGGGATGCTTCTCGAGGTCAGGCAGGGCACCCAAGGATCCTTTCCAGTAGCCACAGGGATTTTGGGATTCCTATCAGTATTCAAGAGCAGTCAGGCATCGTCACCTTTTGAAGCAATGAACTCCGCGTGCCTCTCGAGGTGTCAACGGGATGTGAGGCATTCCGTCAAAATGAGGCAGGGACCTAGGGCTTTCTCTAAGGTCTCCACAGGGGATTCAGACATCCCTTCATGTTTTGAGATCAAAGACGAGCCTGTATTCAAGCCACTGCAAGGAAATCCGGCCTCGTTTCAAGTTAGGGATTCTCGCTGTATATTCCACTTGAGGCAGTGAATTCGGGGTCCCTCCCACATACCTATTGCTGAGAGAAACCTCCTCCTGAGGTGCTTCTGGAAAGTTGGCATACGTCTTGAGCCTAAGCCAGGGAATCAGCTCTCATCTCGAGACGATTTGGGGTACACGGAGCATTCCTCGAGATGCTGTGCTGAAGTTGGTGTTCCTCTAGCCTTGGGACAGTGTTCTCGGGGCATCTCTGGAGTTGCCTGAAGGAAGTCGAGCCACCGGTCGTGTTGAATGGGGAACGGGGAATGGCTCTGGAGTCAATGCAGGGGAATCGGGCCTCATCTCGTGTTGATTTGGGGCACATGGAGCTGCTTTGCGTTGCTGGGGTGACCTCAGGGTCCGTCTAGACTGGTGACAGTGTTCTTGGGGACTGTCTCGAGATCCATTAAGCAAGTTGGAGCTCCTGACTTGTTTGATGCGGATCACCGCATAGCTCTGCATGCACTGCAGGGGAATGGGGCCTCATCTCGCCTCTAGGGGGAAATCTCATGGTTTTTCTCGAGTTGCGGCGGGGACCTGGGGTATGTTCTCGACTTACTGCGGGGATGGCCCTTCAAAACACGAGTTTCTTCAGTGACGTCAGGACTCCTGTCTAGTAACGAGGGACACCTCAGGAATCTCTTCGAGGCTTGGCAGGGCAAAAGGGATGCTTCTCGAGGTCAGGCAGGGCACCCAAGGACCCTTTTCAGTAGCCACAGGGATTTTGGGATTCCTATCAGTATTCAAGAGGAGTCAGGCATCGTCACCTTTTGAAGCAATGAACTCCGCGTGCCTCTCGAGGTGTCAACGGGATGTGAGGCATTCCGTCAAAATGAGGCAGGGACCTAGGGCTTTCTCTAAGGTCTCCACAGAGGATTCAGACATCCCTTCATGTTTTGAGATCAAAGACGAGCCTGTATTCAAGCCACTGCAAGGAAATCAGGCCTCCTTTCAAGTTAGGGCTTCTCGCTGTATATTCTACTTGAGGCAGCGATCTCGGGGTCCCTCCCACATACCTATTGCTGAGAGAAGCCTCCTCCTGAGGTGCTTCTGGAAAGTTGGCATACGTCTTGAGCCTAAGCCAGGCAATCAGCTCTCATCTCGAGACGATTTGGGGTACACGGAGCATTCCTCGAGTTGCTGTGCTGAAGTTGGTGTTCCTCTAGACTTGGGACAGTGTTCTCGGGTCATCTCTGGAGTTGCCTGAGGGAGTCGAGCCACCGGTCGTGTTGAATGGGGAACGGGGAATGGCTCTGGACTCAATGCAGGGGAATCGAGCCTCATCTCGAGTTGATTTGGGGCACATGGAGCTGCTTTGCGTTGCTGGGGTGACCTCAGGGTCCGTCTAGACTAGTGACAGTGTTCTTGGGTACTGTCTCAAGAACCATTAAGCAAGTCGAAGCTCCTGACTTGTTTGAATGGGATCACCGAATAGCTCTGCATGGACTGCAGTGGAATTGGGCCTCATCTCGCCTCTAGGGGGAAGTCTCATGGTTTTTCTCGAGTTGCGGCGGGGACCTGGGGTATGTTCTCGACTTACGGCGGGGATGGCCCTTCAAAACACGAGTTTCTTCAGTGACGTCAGGACTCCTGTCTAGTAACGAGGGACACGTCAGGAATCTCTTCGAGGCTTGACAGGGCAAAAGGGACGCTTCTCGAAGTGAGGCAGGTCACCCAAGTACCCTTTCCAGTAGCCATAGGGATTTTGGGATTCCTATCAGTATTCAAGAGGAGTCAGGCATCGTCACCTTTTGAAGCAATGAACTCCGCGTGCCTCTCGAGGTGTCAACTGGATGTGAGGCATTCCGTCAAAATGAGGTAGGGACCTAGGGCTTTCTCTAAGTTCTCCACAGGGGATTCAGACATCCCTTCATGTTTTGAGATCAAAGACGAGCCGGTTTTCAAGACACTGCAAGGAAACCCGGCCTCCTTTCAAGTTAGGGCTTCTCGCTGTATATTCCACTTGAGGCAGCGATCTCGGGGTCCCTCCCACATACCTATTGCTGAGAGAAGCCTCCTCCTGAGGTGCTTCTGGAAAGTTGGCATACGTCTTGAGCCTAAGCCAGGGTATCAGCTCTCATCTCGACACGATTTGGGGTACACGGAGCCGTCCTCGAGTTGCTGTGCTCAAGTTCGTGTTCCTCTAGACTTGGGACAGTGTTCTCGGGGCATCTCTGGAGTTGCCTGAAGCAAGTCGAGCGACCGGTCGTGTTGAATGGGGAACGGGAAATGGCTCTGGAGTCAACGCAGGGGAATCGGGCGTCATCTCGAGTTGATTTGGGGCACATGGAGGTGCTTTGCGTTGCTGGGGTGACTTCAGGGTCCGTCTAGACTGGTGACAGTGTTCTTGGGGACTGTCTCGAGATCCATTAAGCAAGTTGGAGCTCCTGACTTGTTTTATGGGGATCACCGAATAGCTCTGCATGCACTGCAGGGGAATGGGGCCTCATCTCGCCTCTAGGGGGAAGTCTCATGGTTTTTCTCGAGTTGCGGCAGGGACCTGGGGTATGTTCTTGACTTAAGGCGGGGATGGCCCTTCAAAACACGAGTTTCTTCAGTGACGTCAGGACTCCTGTCTAGTATCGAGGTACACCTCAGGAATCTCTTCGAGGCTTGGCAGGGCAACAGCGACGCTTCTCGAGGTGAGGCAGGGCAACCAAGGACCCTTTCCAGTAGCCACAGGGATTTTGGGATTCCTATCAGTATTCAAGAAGAGTCAGACGTCGTCACCTTTTGAAGCAATGAACTCCGCGTGCCTCTCGAGGTGTCAACGGGATGTGAGGCATTCCGTCAAAATGAGGCAGGGACCTAGGGCTTTCTCTAAGTTCTCCACAGGGGATTCAGACATCCCTTTATGTTTTGAGATCGAAGACGAGCCTGTATTCAAGGCACTGCAAGGAAATCCAGCCTCCTTTCAAGTTAGGGCTTCTCGCAGTATATTCTACTTGAGCCAGCTATCTCGGGGTCCCTCCCACATACCTATTGCTGAGAGAAGCCTCCTCGTGAGGTGCTTTTGGAAAGTTGGCATACGACTTGAGCCTAAGCCAGGGAATCAGCTCTCATCTCGAGACGATTTGGGGTACACGGAGCATTCCTCGAGTTGCTGTCCTGAAGTTGCTGTTCCCCTAGACTTGGGAAATTGTTCTCGGGGCATCTCAGGAGTTGCCTGAAGGAAGTCGAGCCACCGGTCGTGTTGAATGGGGAACGGGGAATGGCTCTGGATTCAATGCAGGGGAATCGGGCCTCATCTCGATTTGATTTGGGGCACATGGAGGTGCTTTGCGTTGCTGGGGTGACCTCAGGGTCCGTCTAGACTGGTGACAGTGTTCTTGGGGACTGTCTCGAGATCCATTAAGCAAGTTGAAGCTCCTGACTTGTTTTATGGGGATCACCGAATAGCTCTGCATGCACTGCAGGGGAATGGGGCCTCATCTCGCCTCTAGGGGGAAGTCTCATGGTTTTTCTCGAGTTGCGGCGGGGACCTGGGTTATGTTCTCGACTTACGGCGGTTATGGCCCTTCAAAACACGAGTTTCTTCAGTGACGTCAGGACTCCTGTCTAGTAACGAGGGACACCTCAGGAATCTCTTCGAGGCTTGGCAGGGCAAAAGGGATGCTTCTCGAGGTCAGGCAGGGCACCCAAGGACCCTTTTCAGTAGCCACAGGGATTTTGGGATTCCTATCAGTATTCAAGAGGAGTCAGGCATCGTCACCTTTTGAAGCAATGAACTCCGCGTGCCTCTCGAGGTGTCAACGGGATGTGAGGCATTCCGTCAAAATGAGGCAGGGACCTAGGGCTTACTCTAAGGTCTCCACAGGGGATTCAGACATCCCTTCATGTTTTGGTGATCAAAGACGAGCCTGTATTCAAGCCACTGCAAGGAAATCCGGCCTCCTTACAAGTTAGGGCTTCTCGTTGTATATTCTACGTGAGGCAGCGATCTCGGGTTCCCTCCCACATACTTATTGCTGAGAGAAGCCTCCTCCTGAGGTGCTTCTGGAAAGTTGGCCTACGTCTTGAGCCTAATCCAGGGAATCAGCTCTCATCTCGAGACGATTTGGGGTACACGGAGCATTCCTCTAGTTGCTGTGCTGAAGTTGGTGTTCCTCTAGACTTGGGACAGTGTTCTCGGGGCATCTCTGGAGTTGCCTGAAGGAAGTCGAGCCACTGGTAGTGTTGAATGGGGAACGGGGAATGGCTCTGGGGTCAATGCAGGGGAATCAAGCCTCATCTCGAGTTGATTTGGGGCACTTGGAGCTGCTTTGCGTTGCTGGGGTGAGCTCAGAGTCCGTCTAGACTGGTGACAGTGTTCTTGGGTACTGTCACAAGATCCATTAAGCAAGTCGAAGCTCCTGACTTGTTTGAATGAGATCACCGAATAGCTCTGCATGCACTGCAGTGGAATGGGGCCTCATCTCGCCTCTAGGGTGAAGTCTCATGGTTTTTCTCGAGTTGCGGCAGGGACCTGGGTTATGTTCTCGACTTACGGCGGGGATGGCCCTTCAAAACACGAGTTTCTTCAGTGACGTCATGACTCCTGCCTAGTAACGAGGGACACCTCAGGAATCTCTTCGAGGCTTGACAGGGCAAAAGGGACGCTTCTCGAAGTGAGGCAGGGCACCCAAGTACTCTTTCCAGTAGCCATAGGGATTTTCGGATTCCTATCAGTATTCAAGAAGAGTCAGGCATCGTCACCTTTTGAAGCAATGAACTCCGCGTGCCTCTCGAGGTGTCAACTGGATGTGAGGCATTCCGTCAAAATGAGGTAGGGACCTAGGGCTTTCTCTAAGTTCTCCACAGGGGATTCAGACATCCCTTCATGTTTTGAGATCAAAGACGAGCCGGTATTCAAGACACTGCAAGGAAACCTGGCCTCGTTTCAAGTTAGGTCTTCTCGCTGTATATTCCACTTGAGGCAGCGATCTCGGGGTCCCTCCCACATACCTATTGCTGAGAAAAGCCTCCTCCTGAGGTGCTTCTGGAAAGTTGGCATACGTCTTGAGCCTAAGCCAGGGAATCAGCTCTCATCTCGACACGATTTGGGGTACACGGAGCCGTCGTCGAGTTGCTGTGCTGAAGTTGGTGTTCCTCTAGCCTTGGGACAGTGTTCTCGGGGCATCTCTGGAGTTGCCTGAAGGAAGTCCAGCGACCGGTCATCTTGAATGGGGAACGGGGAATGGCTCTGGAGTCAATGCAGGGGAATCGGGCCTCATCTCGAATTGATTTGGGGCACATGGAGCTGCTTTGCGTTGCTGGGGTGACCTCAGGGTCCTTCTAGACTGGTGACAGTGTTCTTGGGGACTGTCTCGAGATCCATTAAGCAAGTTGAATCTCCTGACTTGTTTGATGGGGATCACCGAATAGCTCTGCATGCACTGCAGGGGAATGGGGCCTCATCTCGCCTCTAGGGGGAAGTCTCATGGTTTTTCTCGAGTTGCGGCGGGGACCTGGGGTATGTACTCGACTTACGGCGTTGATGGCCCTTCAAAACACGAGTTTCTTCAGTGACGTCAGGACTCCTGTCTAGTAACGTGGGACACGTCAGAAATCACTTCGAGGCATGGGAGGGCAAAAGGGAGGCTTCTCGCGATGAGGCAGGGCACCCAAGGACCCTTTCCAGTAGCCACAGGGATTTTGGGATTCCTATCAGTATTCAAGAGGAGTCAGGCATCGTCACCTTTTGAAGCAATGAACTCCGCGTGCCTCTCGAGGTGTCAACGGGATGTGAGGCATTCCGTCAAAATGAGGCAGGGACCTAGGGCTTTCTCTAAGGTCTCCACAGGGGATTCACACATCCCTTCATGTTTTGAGATCAAAGACGAGCCTGTATTCAAGCCACTGCAAGGAAATCCGGCCTCCTTTCAAGATAGGGCTTCTCGCAGTATATTCTACTTGAGGCAGCGATCTCGGGGTCCCTCCCACATACCTATTGCTGAGAGAAGCCTCCTCCTGAGGTGCTTCTGGAAAGTTGGCCTACGTCTTGAGCCTAAGCCAGGTAATCAGCTCTCATCTCGAGACGATTTGGGGTACACGGAGGATTCCTCGAGTTGCTGTACTGAAGTTGGTGTTCCTGTAGACTTGGGACAGTGTTCTCGGGGCATCTCTGGAGTTGCCTGAAGGACGTCGAGCCACCGGTCGTGTTGAATGGGGAACGGGGAATGGCTCTGGAGTCAATGCAGGGGAATCGGGCCTCATCTCGAGTTGATTTGGGGCACATGGAGGTGCTTTGCGTTGCTGGGGTGACCTCAGGGTCCGTCTAGACTGGTGACAGTGTTCTTGGGGACTGTCTTGAGATCCATTAAACAAGTTGGAGCTCCTGACTTGTTTTATGGGGATCACCGAATAGCTCTGCATGCACTGCAGGGGAATGGGGCCTCATCTCGCCTCTAGGGGGAAGTCTCATGGTTTTTCTCGAGTTGCGGCGGGGACCTGGGGTATGTTCTCGACTTACGGCGGTTATGGCCCTTCAAAACACGAGTTTCTTCAGTGACGTCAGGACTCCTGTCTAGTAACGAGGGACACCTCAGGAATCTCTTCGAGGCTTGGCAGGGCAAAAGGGATGCTTCTCGAGGTCAGGCAGGGCACCCAAGGACCCTTTTCAGTAGCCACAGTGATTTTGGGATTCCTATCAGTATTCAAGAGCAGTCAGGCATCGTCACCTTTTGAAGCAATGAACTCCGCGTGCCTCTCGAGGTGTCAACGGGATGTGAGGCATTCCGTCAAAATGAGGCAGGGACCTAGGGCTTTCTCTAAGGTCTCCACAGGGGATTCAGACATCCCTTCATGTTTTGAGATCAAAGACGAGCCTGTATTCAAGCCACTGCAAGGAAATCCGGCCTCGTTTCAAGTTAGGGATTCTCGCTGTATATTCCACTTGAGGCAGTGAATTCGGGGTCCCTCCCACATACCTATTGCTGAGAGAAACCTCCTCCTGAGGTGCTTCTGGAAAGTTGGCATACGTCTTGAGCCTAAGCCAGGGAATCAGCTCTCATCTCGAGACGATTTGGGGTACACGGAGCATTCCTCGAGATGCTGTGCTGAAGTTGGTGTTCCTCTAGCCTTGGGACAGTGTTCTCGGGGCATCTCTGGAGTTGCCTGAAGGAAGTCGAGCCACCGGTCGTGTTGAATGGGGAACGGGGAATGGCTCTGGAGTCAATGCAGGGGAATCGGGCCTCATCTCGTGTTGATTTGGGGCACATGGAGCTGCTTTGCGTTGCTGGGGTGACCTCAGGGTCCGTCTAGACTGGTGACAGTGTTCTTGGGGACTGTCTCGAGATCCATTAAGCAAGTTGGAGCTCCTGACTTGTTTGATGCGGATCACCGCATAGCTCTGCATGCACTGCAGGGGAATGGGGCCTCATCTCGCCTCTAGGGGGAAATCTCATGGTTTTTCTCGAGTTGCGGCGGGGACCTGGGGTATGTTCTCGACTTACTGCGGGGATGGCCCTTCAAAACACGAGTTTCTTCAGTGACGTCAGGACTCCTGTCTAGTAACGAGGGACACCTCAGGAATCTCTTCGAGGCTTGGCAGGGCAAAAGGGATGCTTCTCGAGGTCAGGCAGGGCACCCAAGGACCCTTTTCAGTAGCCACAGGGATTTTGGGATTCCTATCAGTATTCAAGAGGAGTCAGGCATCGTCACCTTTTGAAGCAATGAACTCCGCGTGCCTCTCGAGGTGTCAACGGGATGTGAGGCATTCCGTCAAAATGAGGCAGGGACCTAGGGCTTTCTCTAAGGTCTCCACAGAGGATTCAGACATCCCTTCATGTTTTGAGATCAAAGACGAGCCTGTATTCAAGCCACTGCAAGGAAATCAGGCCTCCTTTCAAGTTAGGGCTTCTCGCTGTATATTCTACTTGAGGCAGCGATCTCGGGGTCCCTCCCACATACCTATTGCTGAGAGAAGCCTCCTCCTGAGGTGCTTCTGGAAAGTTGGCATACGTCTTGAGCCTAAGCCAGGCAATCAGCTCTCATCTCGAGAAGATTTGGGGTACAGGGAGCATTCCTCGAGTTGCTGTGCTGAAGTTGGTGTTCCTCTAGACTTGGGACAGTGTTCTCGGGTCATCTCTGGAGTTGCCTGAGGGAGTCGAGCCACCGGTCGTGTTGAATGGGGAACGGGGAATGGCTCTGGACTCAATGCAGGGGAATCGAGCCTCATCTCGAGTTGATTTGGGGCACATGGAGCTGCTTTGCGTTGCTGGGGTGACCTCAGGGTCCGTCTAGACTAGTGACAGTGTTCTTGGGTACTGTCTCAAGAACCATTAAGCAAGTCGAAGCTCCTGACTTGTTTGAATGGGATCACCGAATAGCTCTGCATGGACTGCAGTGGAATTGGGCCTCATCTCGCCTCTAGGGGGAAGTCTCATGGTTTTTCTCGAGTTGCGGCGGGGACCTGGGGTATGTTCTCGACTTACGGCGGGGATGGCCCTTCAAAACACGAGTTTCTTCAGTGACGTCAGGACTCCTGTCTAGTAACGAGGGACACGTCAGGAATCTCTTCGAGGCTTGACAGGGCAAAAGGGACGCTTCTCGAAGTGAGGCAGGTCACCCAAGTACCCTTTCCAGTAGCCATAGGGATTTTGGGATTCCTATCAGTATTCAAGAGGAGTCAGGCATCGTCACCTTTTGAAGCAATGAACTCCGCGTGCCTCTCAAGGTGTCAACTGGATGTGAGGCATTCCGTCAAAATGAGGTAGGGACCTAGGGCTTTCTCTAAGTTCTCCACAGGGGATTCAGACATCCCTTCATGTTTTGAGATCAAAGACGAGCCGGTTTTCAAGACACTGCAAGGAAACCCGGCCTCCTTTCAAGTTAGGGCTTCTCGCTGTATATTCCACTTGAGGCAGCGATCTCGGGGTCCCTCCCACATACCTATTGCTGAGAGAAGCCTCCTCCTGAGGTGCTTCTGGAAAGTTGGCATACGTCTTGAGCCTAAGCCAGGGAATCAGCTCTCATCTCGACACGATTTGGGGTACACGGAGCCGTCCTCGAGTTGCTGTGCTCAAGTTCGTGTTCCTCTAGACTTGGGACAGTGTTCTCGGGGCATCTCTGGAGTTGCCTGAAGCAAGTCGAGCGACCGGTCGTGTTGAATGGGGAACGGGAAATGGCTCTGGAGTCAACGCAGGGGAATCGGGCGTCATCTCGAGTTGATTTGGGGCACATGGAGGTGCTTTGCGTTGCTGGGGTGACTTCAGGGTCCGTCTAGACTGGTGACAGTGTTCTTGGGGACTGTCTCGAGATCCATTAAGCAAGTTGGAGCTCCTGACTTGTTTTATGGGGATCACCGAATAGCTCTGCATGCACTGCAGGGGAATGGGGCCTCATCTCGCCTCTAGGGGGAAGTCTCATGGTTTTTCTCGAGTTGCGGCAGGGACCTGGGGTATGTTCTTGACTTAAGGCGGGGATGGCCCTTCAAAACACGAGTTTCTTCAGTGACGTCAGGACTCCTGTCTAGTATCGAGGTACACCTCAGGAATCTCTTCGAGGCTTGGCAGGGCAACAGCGACGCTTCTCGAGGTGAGGCAGGGCAACCAAGGACCCTTTCCAGTAGCCACAGGGATTTTGGGATTCCTATCAGTATTCAAGAAGAGTCAGACGTCGTCACCTTTTGAAGCAATGAACTCCGCGTGCCTCTCGAGGTGTCAACGGGATGTGAGGCATTCCGTCAAAATGAGGCAGGGACCTAGGGCTTTCTCTAAGTTCTCCACAGGGGATTCAGACATCCCTTTATGTTTTGAGATCGAAGACGAGCCTGTATTCAAGGCACTGCAAGGAAATCCAGCCTCCTTTCAAGTTAGGGCTTCTCGCAGTATATTCTACTTGAGCCAGCTATCTCGGGGTCCCTCCCACATACCTATTGCTGAGAGAAGCCTCCTCGTGAGGTGCTTTTGGAAAGTTGGCATACGACTTGAGCCTAAGCCAGGGAATCAGCTCTCATCTCGAGACGATTTGGGGTACACGGAGCATTCCTCGAGTTGCTGTCCTGAAGTTGCTGTTCCCCTAGACTTGGGAAATTGTTCTCGGGGCATCTCAGGAGTTGCCTGAAGGAAGTCGAGCCACCGGTCGTGTTGAATGGGGAACGGGGAATGGCTCTGGATTCAATGCAGGGGAATCGGGCCTCATCTCGATTTGATTTGGGGCACATGGAGGTGCTTTGCGTTGCTGGGGTGACCTCAGGGTCCGTCTAGACTGGTGACAGTGTTCTTGGGGACTGTCTCGAGATCCATTAAGCAAGTTGAAGCTCCTGACTTGTTTTATGGGGATCACCGAATAGCTCTGCATGCACTGCAGGGGAATGGGGCCTCATCTCGCCTCTAGGGGGAAGTCTCATGGTTTTTCTCGAGTTGCGGCGGGGACCTGGGTTATGTTCTCGACTTACGGCGGTTATGGCCCTTCAAAACACGAGTTTCTTCAGTGACGTCAGGACTCCTGTCTAGTAACGAGGGACACCTCAGGAATCTCTTCGAGGCTTGGCAGGGCAAAAGGGATGCTTCTCGAGGTCAGGCAGGGCACCCAAGGACCCTTTTCAGTAGCCACAGGGATTTTGGGATTCCTATCAGTATTCAAGAGGAGTCAGGCATCGTCACCTTTTGAAGCAATGAACTCCGCGTGCCTCTCGAGGTGTCAACGGGATGTGAGGCATTCCGTCAAAATGAGGCAGGGACCTAGGGCTTACTCTAAGGTCTCCACAGGGGATTCAGACATCCCTTCATGTTTTGGTGATCAAAGACGAGCCTGTATTCAAGCCACTGCAAGGAAATCCGGCCTCCTTACAAGTTAGGGCTTCTCGTTGTATATTCTACGTGAGGCAGCGATCTCGGGTTCCCTCCCACATACTTATTGCTGAGAGAAGCCTCCTCCTGAGGTGCTTCTGGAAAGTTGGCCTACGTCTTGAGCCTAATCCAGGGAATCAGCTCTCATCTCGAGACGATTTGGGGTACACGGAGCATTCCTCTAGTTGCTGTGCTGAAGTTGGTGTTCCTCTAGACTTGGGACAGTGTTCTCGGGGCATCTCTGGAGTTGCCTGAAGGAAGTCGAGCCACTGGTAGTGTTGAATGGGGAACGGGGAATGGCTCTGGGGTCAATGCAGGGGAATCAAGCCTCATCTCGAGTTGATTTGGGGCACTTGGAGCTGCTTTGCGTTGCTGGGGTGAGCTCAGAGTCCGTCTAGACTGGTGACAGTGTTCTTGGGTACTGTCACAAGATCCATTAAGCAAGTCGAAGCTCCTGACTTGTTTGAATGAGATCACCGAATAGCTCTGCATGCACTGCAGTGGAATGGGGCCTCATCTCGCCTCTAGGGTGAAGTCTCATGGTTTTTCTCGAGTTGCGGCAGGGACCTGGGTTATGTTCTCGACTTACGGCGGGGATGGCCCTTCAAAACACGAGTTTCTTCAGTGACGTCATGACTCCTGCCTAGTAACGAGGGACACCTCAGGAATCTCTTCGAGGCTTGACAGGGCAAAAGGGACGCTTCTCGAAGTGAGGCAGGGCACCCAAGTACTCTTTCCAGTAGCCATAGGGATTTTCGGATTCCTATCAGTATTCAAGAAGAGTCAGGCATCGTCACCTTTTGAAGCAATGAACTCCGCGTGCCTCTCGAGGTGTCAACTGGATGTGAGGCATTCCGTCAAAATGAGGTAGGGACCTAGGGCTTTCTCTAAGTTCTCCACAGGGGATTCAGACATCCCTTCATGTTTTGAGATCAAAGACGAGCCGGTATTCAAGACACTGCAAGGAAACCTGGCCTCGTTTCAAGTTAGGTCTTCTCGCTGTATATTCCACTTGAGGCAGCGATCTCGGGGTCCCTCCCACATACCTATTGCTGAGAAAAGCCTCCTCCTGAGGTGCTTCTGGAAAGTTGGCATACGTCTTGAGCCTAAGCCAGGGAATCAGCTCTCATCTCGACACGATTTGGGGTACACAGAGCCGTCGTCGAGTTGCTGTGCTGAAGTTGGTGTTCCTCTAGCCTTGGGACAGTGTTCTCGGGGCATCTCTGGAGTTGCCTGAAGGAAGTCCAGCGACCGGTCATCTTGAATGGGGAACGGGGAATGGCTCTGGAGTCAATGCAGGGGAATCGGGCCTCATCTCGAATTGATTTGGGGCACATGGAGCTGCTTTGCGTTGCTGGGGTGACCTCAGGGTCCTTCTAGACTGGTGACAGTGTTCTTGGGGACTGTCTCGAGATCCATTAAGCAAGTTGAATCTCCTGACTTGTTTGATGGGGATCACCGAATAGCTCTGCATGCACTGCAGGGGAATGGGGCCTCATCTCGCCTCTAGGGGGAAGTCTCATGGTTTTTCTCGAGTTGCGGCGGGGACCTGGGGTATGTACTCGACTTACGGCGTTGATGGCCCTTCAAAACACGAGTTTCTTCAGTGACGTCAGGACTCCTGTCTAGTAACGTGGGACACGTCAGAAATCACTTCGAGGCATGGGAGGGCAAAAGGGAGGCTTCTCGCGATGAGGCAGGGCACCCAAGGACCCTTTCCAGTAGCCACAGGGATTTTGGGATTCCTATCAGTATTCAAGAGGAGTCAGGCATCGTCACCTTTTGAAGCAATGAACTCCGCGTGCCTCTCGAGGTGTCAACGGGATGTGAGGCATTCCGTCAAAATGAGGCAGGGACCTAGGGCTTTCTCTAAGGTCTCCACAGGGGATTCACACATCCCTTCATGTTTTGAGATCAAAGACGAGCCTGTATTCAAGCCACTGCAAGGAAATCCGGCCTCCTTTCAAGATAGGGCTTCTCGCAGTATATTCTACTTGAGGCAGCGATCTCGGGGTCCCTCCCACATACCTATTGCTGAGAGAAGCCTCCTCCTGAGGTGCTTCTGGAAAGTTGGCCTACGTCTTGAGCCTAAGCCAGGTAATCAGCTCTCATCTCGAGACGATTTGGGGTACACGGAGGATTCCTCGAGTTGCTGTACTGAAGTTGGTGTTCCTGTAGACTTGGGACAGTGTTCTCGGGGCATCTCTGGAGTTGCCTGAAGGACGTCGAGCCACCGGTCGTGTTGAATGGGGAACGGGGAATGGCTCTGGAGTCAATGCAGGGGAATCGGGCCTCATCTCGAGTTGATTTGGGGCACATGGAGGTGCTTTGCGTTGCTGGGGTGACCTCAGGGTCCGTCTAGACTGGTGACAGTGTTCTTGGGGACTGTCTTGAGATCCATTAAACAAGTTGGAGCTCCTGACTTGTTTTATGGGGATCACCGAATAGCTCTGCATGCACTGCAGGGGAATGGGGCCTCATCTCGCCTCTAGGGGGAAGTCTCATGGTTTTTCTCGAGTTGCGGCGGGGACCTGGGGTATGTTCTCGACTTACGGCGGTTATGGCCCTTCAAAACACGAGTTTCTTCAGTGACGTCAGGACTCCTGTCTAGTAACGAGGGACACCTCAGGAATCTCTTCGAGGCTTGGCAGGGCAAAAGGGATGCTTCTCGAGGTCAGGCAGGGCACCCAAGGACCCTTTTCAGTAGCCACAGTGATTTTGGGATTCCTATCAGTATTCAAGAGGAGTCAGGCATCGTCACCTTTTGAAGCAATGAACTCCGCGTGCCTCTCGAGGTGTCAACGGGATGTGAGGCATTCCGTCAAAATGAGGCAGGGACCTAGGGCTTTCTCTAAGGTCTCCACAGGGGATTCAGACATCCCTTCATGTTTTGAGATGAAAGACGATCCTGTATTCAAGCCACTGCAAGGAAATCCGGCCTCCTTTCAAGTTAGGGCTTCTCGCTGTATATTCCACTTGAGGCAGCGATCTCGGGGTCCCTCCCACATAACTATTGCTGAGAGAAGCCTCCTCCTGAGGTGCTTCTGGAAAGTTGGCCTACGTCTTGAGCCTAAGCCAGGGAATCAGCTCTCATCTCGAGACGATTTGGGGTACACGGAGCATTCCTCGAGTTGCTGTGCTGAAGTTGGTGTTCCTCTAGACTTGGGACAGTGTTCTCGGGTCATCTCTGGAGTTGCCTGAGGGAGTCGAGCCACCGGTCGTGTTGAATGGGGAACGGGGAATGGCTCTGGAGTCAATGCAGGGGAATCGAGCCTCATCTCGAGTTGATTTGGGGCACATGGAGCTGCTTTGCGTGGCTGGGGTGACCTCAGGGTCCGTCTAGACTAGTGACAGTGTTCTTGGGTACTGTCTCAAGATCCATTAAGCAAGTCGAAGCTCCTGACTTGTTTGAATGGGATCACCGAATAGCTCTGCATGCACTGCAGTGGAATGGGGCCTCATCTCGCCTCTAGGGGGAAGTCTCATGGTTTTTCTCGAGTTGCGGCGGGGACCTGGGGTATGTTCTCGACTTACGGCGGGGATGGCCCTTCAAAACACGAGTTTCTTCAGTGACGTCAGGTCTCCTGTCTAGTAACGAGGGACACCTCAGGAATCTCTTCGAGGCTTGACAGGGCAAAAGGGACGCTTCTCGAAGTGAGGCAGGTCACCCAAGTACCCTTTCCAGTAGCCATAGGGATTTTGGGATTCCTATCAGTATTCAAGAAGAGTCAGGCATCGTCACCTTTTGAAGCAATGAACTCCGCGTGCCTCTCGAGGTGTCAGCGGGATGTGAGGCATTCCGTCAAAATGAGGTAGGGACCTAGGGCTTTCTCTAAGTTCTCCACAGGGGATTCAGACATCCCTTCATGTTTTGAGATCAAAGACGAGCCGGTTTTCAAGACACTGCAAGGAAACCCGGCCTCCTTTCAAGTTAGGGCTTCTCGCTGTATATTCCACTTGAGGCAGCGATCTCGGGGTCCCTCCCACATACCGATTGCTGAGAGAAGCCTCCTCCTGAGGTGCTTCTGGAAAGTTGGCATACGTCTTGAGCCTAAGCCAGGGAATCAGCTCTCATCTCGACACGATTTGGGGTACACGGAGCCGTCCTCGAGTTGCTGTGCTCAAGTTCGTGTTCCTCTAGACTTGGGACAGTGTTCTCGGGGCATCTCTGGAGTGGCCTGAAGGAAGTCGAGCGACCGGTCGTGTTGAATGGGGAACGGGAAATGGCTCTGGAGTCAATGCAGGGGAATCGGCCCTCATCTCGAGTTGATTTGGGCCACATGGAGCTGCCTTGCGTTGCTGGGGTGACCTCAGAGTCCGTCTAGACTGGTGACAGTGTTCTTGGGGACTGTCTCGAGATCGATTAAGCAAGTTGAAGCTCCTGACTTGTTTGATGGGGATCACCGAATAGCTCTGCATGCACTGCAGGGGAATGGGGCCTCATCTCGCCTCTAGGGGGACGTCTCATGGTTTTTCTCGAGTTGCGGCGGGGACCTGGGGTATGTTCTCGACTTACGGCGGTTATGGCCCTTCAAAACACGAGTTTCTTCAGTGACGTCAGGACTCCTGTCTAGTAACGAGGGACACCTCAGGAATCTCTTCGAGGCTTGGCAGGGCAAAAGTGATGCTTCTCGAGGTCAGGCAGGGCACCCAAGGACCCTTTCCAGTAGCCACAGGGATTTTGGGATTCCTATCAGTATTCAAGAGGAGTCAGGCGTCGTCACCTTTTGAAGCAATGAACTCCGCGTGCCTCTCGAGGTGTCAACTGGATGTGAGGCATTCCGTCAAAATGAGGCAGGGACCTAGGGCTTTCTCTAAGGTCTCCACAGGGAATTCAGACATCCCTTCATGTTTTGAGATCAAAGACGAGCCTGTATTCAAGCCACTGCAACTAAACCCGGCCTCCTTTCAAGTTAGGGCTTCTCGCTGTATATTCCACTTGAGGCAGTGAATTCGGGGTCCCTCCCTCATACCTATTGCTGAGAGAAGCCTCCTCCTGAGGTGCTTCTGGAAAGTTGGCATACGTCTTGAGCCTAAGCCAGGGAATCAGCTCTCATCTCGAGACGATTTGGGGTACACGGAGCATTCCTCGAGTTGCTGTGCTGAAGTTGGTGTTTCTCTAGCCTTGGGACAGTGTTCTCGGGGCATCTCTGGAGTTGCCTGAAGGAAGTCGAGCCACCGGTCGTGTTGAATGGGGAACGGGGAATGGCTCTGGAGTCAATGCAGGGGAATCGGGCGTCATCTCGAGTTGATTTGGGGCACATGGAGGTGCTTTGCGTTGCTGGGGTGACTTCAGGGTCCGTCTAGACTGGTGACAGTGTTCTTGGGGACTGTCTCGAGATCCATTAAGCAAGTTGGAGCTCCTGACTTGTTTTATGGGGATCACCGAATAGCTCTGCATGCACTGCAGGGGAATGGGGCCTCATCTCGCCTCTAGGGGGAAGTCTCATGGTTTTTCTCGAGTTGCGGCCGGGACCTGGGGTATGTTCTTGACTTAAGGCGCGGATGGCCCTTCAAAACACGAGTTTCTTCAGTGACGTCAGGACTCCTGTCTAGTAACGAGGGACACCTCAGGAATCTCTTCGATGCTTGGCAGGGCAAAAGCGACGCTTCTCGAGGTGAGGTAGGGCACCCAAGGACCCTTTCCAGTAGCCACAGGGATTTTGGGATTCCTATCAGTATTCAAGAGGAGTCAGGCGTCGTCACCTTTTGAAGCAATGAACTCCGCGTGCCTCACGAGGTGTCAACGGGATGTGAGGCATTCCGTCAAAATGAGGCAGGGACCTAGGGCTTTCTCTAAGGTCTCCACAGGGAATTCAGACATCCCTTCATGTTTTGAGATCAAAGACGAGCCTGTATTCAAGGCACTGCAAGGAAATCCAGCCTCCTTTCAAGTTAGGGCTTCTCGCAGTATATTCTACTTGAGGCAGCGATCTCGGGGTCCCTCCCACATACCTATTGCTGAGAGAAGCCTCCTCGTGAGGTGCTTTTGGAAAGTTGGCATACGTCTTGAGCCTAAGCCAGGGAATCAGCTCTCATCTCGAGACGATTTGGGGTACACGGAGCATTCCTCTAGTTGCTGTCCTGAAGTTGCTGTTCCTCTAGACTTGGGAAAATGTTCTCGGGGCATCTCTGGAGTTGCCTGAAGGAAGTCGAGCCACCGGTCGTGTTGAATGGGGAACGGGGAATGACTCTGGAGTCAATGCAGGGGAATCGGGCCTCATTTCGATTTGATTTGGGGCACATGGAGGTGCTTTGCGTTGCTGGGGTGACCTCAGGGTCCGTCTGGACTGGTGACAGTGTTCTTGGGGACTGTCTCGAGATCCATTAAGCAAGTTGAAGCTCCTGACTTGTTTTATGGGGATCACGGAATAGCTCTGCATGCACTGCAGGGGAATGGGTCCTCATCTCGCCTCTAGGGGGAAGTCTCATGGTTTTTCTCGAGTTGCGGCGGGGACCTGGGGTATGTTCTTCACTTACGGCGGGGATGGCCCTTCAAAACACGAGTTTCTTCAGTGACGTCAGGACTCCTGTCTAGTAATGAGGGACACCTCAGGAATCTCTTCGAGGCTTGGCAGGGCAAAAGGGACGCTTCTCGAAGTGAGGCAGGGCACCCAAGTACCCTTTCCAGTAGCCATAGGGATTTTGGGATTCCTATCAGTATTCAAGGGGAGTCAGGCATCGTCACCTTTTGAAGCAATGAACTCGGCGTGCCTCTCGATTTGTCAACTGGATGTGAGGCATTCCGTCAAAATAAGGTAGGGACCTAGGGCTTTCTCTAAGTTCTGCACAGGGGATTCAGACATCCCTTCATGTTTTGAGATCAAAGACGAGCCGGTATTCAAGACACTGCAAGGAAACCCGGCCTCCTTTCAAGTTAGGGCTTCTCGCTGTATATTCCACTTGAGGCAGCGATCTCGGGGTCCCTCCCACATACCTATTGCTGAGAGAAGCCTCCTCCTGAGGTGCTTCTGGAAACTTGGCATACGTCTTGAGCCTAAGCCAGGGAATTAGCTCTCATCTCGACTCGATTTGGGGTACACGGAGCCGTCCTCGAGTTGCTGTGCTCAAGTTGGTGTTCCTCTAGACTTGGGACAGTGTTCTCGGGGCATCTCTGGAGTTGCCTGAAGGAAGTCGAGCCACCGGTCGTGTTGAATGGGGAACGGGAAATGGCTCTGGAGTCAATGCAGGGGAATTGGCCCTCATCTCGAGTTGATTTGGGCCACATGGAGCTGCCTTGCGTTGCTGGGGTGACCTCAGACTCCGTCTAGACTGGTGACAGTGTTCTTGGGGACTGTCTCGAGATCCATTAAGCAAGTTGAAGCTCCTGACTTGTTTGATGGGGATCACCGAATAGCTCTGCATGCACTGCAGGGGAATGGGGCCTCATCTCGCCTCTAGGGGGAAGTCTCATGGTTTTTCTCGAGTTGTGGCGGGGACCTGGGTTATGTTCTCGACTTACGGCGGTTATGGCCCTTCAAAACACGAGTTTCTTCAGTGACGTCAGGACTCCTGTCTAGTAACGAGGAACACCTCAAGAATCTCTTCGAGGCTTGGCAGGGCAAAAGGGATGCTTCTCGAGGTCAGGCAGGGCACCCAAGGACCCTTTCCAGTAGCCACAGGGATTTTGGGATTCCTGTCAGTATTCAAGAGCAGTCAGGCGTCGTCACCTTTTGAAGCAATGAACTCCGCGTGCCTCTCGAGGTGTCAACGGGATGTGAGGCATTCCGTCAAAATGAGGCAGGGACCTAGGGCTTTCTCTAAGGTCTCCACAGGGAATTCAGACATCCCTTCATGTTTTGAGATCAAAGACGAGCCTGTATTCAAGCCACTGCAAGGAAACACGGCCTCCTTTCAAGTTAGGGCTTCTCGCTGTATATTCCACTTGAGGCAGTGAGTTCGGGGTCCCTCCCACATAACTATTGCTGAGAGAAACCTCCTCCTGAGGTGCTTCTGGAAAGTTGGCCTACGTCTTGAGCCTAAGCCAGGGAATCAGCTCTCATCTCGACATGATTTGGGGTACACGGAGCATTCCTCGAGTTGCTGTGCTGAAGTTGGTGTTTCTCTAGCCTTGGGACAGTGTTCTCGGGGCATCTCTGGAGTTGCCTGAAGGAAGTCGAGCCACCGGTCGTGTTGAATGGGGAACGGGGAATGGCTCTGGAGTCAATGCAGGGGAATCGGGCGTCATCTCGAGTTGATTTGGGGCACATGGAGGTGCTTTGCGTTGCTGGGGTGACTTCAGGGTCCGTCTAGACTGGTGACAGTGTTCTTGGGGACTGTCTCGAGATCCATTAAGCAAGTTGGAGCTCCTGACTTGTTTTATGGGGATCACCGAATAGCTCTGCATGCACTGCAGAAGAATGGGGCCTCATCTCGCCTCTAGGGGGAAGTCTCATGGTTTTTCTCGAGTTGCGGCGGGGACCTGGGGTATGTTCTCGACTTACGGCGGGGATGGCCCTTCAAAACACGAGTTTCTTCAGTGACGTCAGGAGTCCTGTCTAGTAATGAGGGACACCTCAGGAATCTCTTCGAGGCTTGACTGGGCAAAAGGGACGCTTCTCGAAGTGAGGCAGGTCACCCAAGTACACTTTCCAGTAGCCATAGGGATTTTGGGATTCCTATCAGTATTCAAGAGGAGTCAGGCATCGTCACCTTTTGAAGCAATGAACTCCGCGTGCCGCTCGAGGTGTCAACTGCATGTGAGGCATTCCGTCAAAATGATGTAGGGACCTTTGGCTTTCTCTAAGTTCTCCACACTGGATCCAGACATCCCTTCATGTTTTGCGATCAAAGACGAGCCGGTTTTCAAGACACTGCAAGGAAACCCGGCCTCCTTTCAAGTTAGGGCTTCTCGCTGTATATTCCACTTGAGGCAGTGATCTAGGGGTCCCTCCCACATACCTATTGCTGAGAGAAGCCTCCTCCTGAGGTGCTTCTGGAAAGTTGGCATACGTCTTGAGCCTAAGCCAGGGAATCAGCTCTCATCTCGACATGATTTGGGGTACACGGAGCCGTCCTCGAGTTGCTGTGCTCAAGTTCGTGTTCCTCTAGACTTGGGACAGTGTTCTCGGGGCATCTCTGGAGTTGCCTGAAGGAAGTCGAGCCACCGGTCGTGTTGAATGGGGAACGGGAAATGGCTCTGGAGTCAATGCAGGGGAATCGGCCCTCATCTCGAGTTGATTTGGGCCACATGGAGCTGCCTTGCGTTGCTCGGGTGACCTCAGAGTCCGTCTAGACTGGTGACAGTGTTCTTGGGGACTGTCTCGAGATCCATTAAGCAAGTTGAATCTCCTGACTTGTTTGATGGGGATCACCGAATAGCTCTGCATGCACTGCAGGGGAATGGGGCCTCATCTCGCCTCTAGGGGGAAGTCTCATGGTTTTTCTCGAGTTGCGGCGGGGACCTGGGGTATGTTCTCGACTTACGGCGTTGATGGCCCTTCAAAACACGAGTTTCTTCAGTGACGTCAGGACTCCTGTCCAGTAACGAGGGACACGTCAGAAATCACTTCGAGGCATGGGAGGGCAAAAGGGAGGCTTCTCGCGATGAGGCAGGGCACCCAAGGACCCTTTCCAGTAGCCACAGGGATTTTGGGATTCCTATCAGTATTCAAGAGGAGTCAGGCATCGTCACCTTTTGAAGCAATGAACTCCGCGTGCCTCTCGAGGTGTCAACGGGATGTGAGGCATTCCGTCAAAATGAGGCAGGGACCTAGGGCTTTCTCTAAGGTCTCCACAGGGGATTCACACATCCCTTCATGTTTTGAGATCAAAGACGAGCCTGTATTCAAGCCACTGCAAGGAAATCCGGCCTCCTTTCAAGATAGGGCTTCTCGCAGTATATTCTACTTGAGGCAGCGATCTCGGGGTCCCTCCCACATACCTATTGCTGAGAGAAGCCTCCTCCTGAGGTGCTTCTGGAAAGTTGGCCTACGTCTTGAGCCTAAGCCAGGGAATCAGCTCTCATCTCGAGACGATTTGGGGTACACGGAGCATTCCTCGAGTTGCTGTGCTGAAGTTGGTGTTCCTCTAGACTTGGGACAGTGTTCTCGGGTCATCTCTGGAGTTGCCTGAGGGAGTCGAGCCACCGGTCGTGTTGAATGGGGAACGGGGAATGGCTCTGGAGTCAATGCAGGGGAATCGAGCCTCATCTCGAGTTGATTTGGGGCACATGGAGCTGCTTTGCGTGGCTGGGGTGACCTCAGGGTCCGTCTAGACTAGTGACAGTGTTCTTGGGTACTGTCTCAAGATCCATTAAGCAAGTCGAAGCTGCTGACTTGTTTGAATGGGATCACCGAATAGCTCTGCATGCACTGCAGTGGAATGGGGCCTCATCTCGCCTCTAGGGGGAAGTCTCATGGTTTTTCTCGAGTTGCGGCGGGGACCTGGGGTATGTTCTCGACTTACGGCGGGGATGGCCCTTCAAAACACGAGTTTCTTCAGTGACGTCAGGACTCCTGTCTAGTAACGAGGGACACCTCAGGAATCTCTTCGAGGCTTGACAGGGCAAAAGGGACGCTTCTCGAAGTGAGGCAGGTCACCCAAGTACCCTTTCCAGTAGCCATAGGGATTTTGGGATTCCTATCAGTATTCAAGAAGAGTCAGGCATCGTCACCTTTTGAAGCAATGAACTCCGCGTGCCTCTCGAGGTGTCAACTGGATGTGAGGCATTCCGTCAAAATGAGGTAGGGACCTAGGGCTTTCTCTAAGTTCTCCACAGGGGATTCAGACATCCCTTCATGTTTTGAGATCAAAGACGAGCCGGTTTTCAAGACACTGCAAGGAAACCCGGCCTCCTTTCAAGTTAGGGCTTCTCGCTGTATATTCCACTTGAGGCAGCGATCTCGGGGTCCCTCCCACATACCGATTGCTGAGAGAAGCCTCCTCCTGAGGTGCTTCTGGAAAGTTGGCATACGTCTTGAGCCTAAGCCAGGGAATCAGCTCTCATCTCGACACGATTTGTGGTACACGGAGCCGTCCTCGAGTTGCTGTGCTCAAGTTCGTGTTCCTCTAGACTTGGGACAGTGTTCTCGGGGCATCTCTGGAGTGGCCTGAAGGAAGTCGAGCCACCGGTCGTGTTGAATGGGGAACGGGAAATGGCTCTGGAGTCAATGCAGGGGAATCGGCCCTCATCTCGAGTTGATTTGGGCCACATGGAGCTGCCTTGCGTTGCTGGGGTGACCTCAGAGTCCGTCTAGACTGGTGACAGTGTTCTTGGGGACTGTCTCGAGATCGATTAAGCAAGTTGAAGCTCCTGACTTGTTTGATGGGGATCACCGAATAGCTCTGCATGCACTGCAGGGGAATGGGGCCTCATCTCGCCTCTAGGGGGACGTCTCATGGTTTTTCTCGAGTTGCGGCGGGGACCTGGGGTATGTTCTCGACTTACGGCGGTTATGGCCCTTCAAAACACGAGTTTCTTCAGTGACGTCAGGACTCCTGTCTAGTAACGAGGGACACCTCAGGAATCTCTTCGAGGCTTGGCAGGGCAAAAGTGATGCTTCTCGAGGTCAGGCAGGGCACCCAAGGACCCTTTCCAGTAGCCACAGGGATTTTGGGATTCCTATCAGTATTCAATAGGAGTCAGGCGTCGTCACCTTTTGAAGCAATGAACTCCGCGTGCCTCTCGAGGTGTCAACTGGATGTGAGGCTTTCCGTCAAAATGAGGCAGGGACCTAGGGCTTTCTCTAAGGTCTCCACAGGGAATTCAGACATCCCTTCATGTTTTGAGATCAAAGACGAGCCTGTATTCAAGCCACTGCAACTAAACCCGGCCTCCTTTCAAGTTAGGGCTTCTCGCTGTATATTCCACTTGAGGCAGTGAATTCGGGGTCCCTCCCACATACCTATTGCTGAGAGAAGCCTCCTCCTGAGGTGCTTCTGGAAAGTTGGCATACGTCTTGAGCCTAAGCCAGGGAAACAGCTCTCATCTCGAGACGATTTGGGGTACATGGAGCATTCATCGAGTTGCTGTGCTGAAGTTGGTGTTTCTCTAGCCTTGGGACAGTGTTCTCGGGGCATCTCTGGAGTTGCCTGAAGGAAGTCGAGCCACCGGTCGTGTTGAATGGGGAACGGGGAATGGCTCTGGAGTCAATGCAGGGGAATCGGGCGTCATCTCGAGTTGATTTGGGGCACATGGAGGTGCTTTGCGTTGCTGGGGTGACTTCAGGGTCCGTCTAGACTGGTGACAGTGTTCTTGGGGACTGTCTCGAGATCCATTAAGCAAGTTGGAGCTCCTGACTTGTTTTATGGGGATCACCGAATAGCTCTGCATGCACTGCAGGGGAATGGGGCCTCATCTCGCCTCTAGGGGGAAGTCTCATGGTTTTTCTCGAGTTGCGGCAGGGACCTGGGGTATGTTCTTGACTTAAGGCGGGGATGGCCCTTCAAAACACGAGTTTCTTCAGTGACGTCAGGACTCCTGTCTAGTAACGAGGGACACCTCAGGAATCTCTTCGAGGCTTGGCAGGGCAAAAGCGACGCTTCTCGAGGTGAGGTAGGGCACCCAAGGACCCTTTCCAGTAGCCACAGGGATTTTTGGATTCCTATCAGTATTCAAGAGGAGTCAGGCGTCGTCACCTTTTGAAGCAATGAACTCCGCGTGCCTCACGAGGTGTCAACGGGATGTGAGGCATTCCGTCAAAATGAGGCAGGGACCTAGGGCTTTCTCTAAGGTCTCCACAGGGAATTCAGAGATCCCTTCATGTTTTGAGATCAAAGACGAGCCTGTATTCAAGGCACTGGAAGGAAATCCAGCCTCCTTTCAAGTTAGGGCTTCTCGCTGTATATTCCACTTGAGGCAGCGATCTCGGGGTCCCTCCCACATACCTATTGCTGAGAGAAGCCTCCTCCTGAGGTGCTTCTGGAAACTTGGCATACGTCTTGAGCCTAAGCCAGGGAATTAGCTCTCATCTCGACTCGATTTGGGGTACACGGAGCCGTCCTCGAGTTGCTGTGCTCAAGTTGGTGTTCCTCTAGACTTGGGACAGTGTTCTCGGGGCATCTCTGGAGTTGCCTGAAGGAAGTCGAGCCACCGGTCGTGTTGAATGGGGAACGGGAAATGGCTCTGGAGTCAATGCAGGGGAATTGGCCCTCATTTCGAGTTGATTTGGGCCACATGGAGCTGCCTTGCGTTGCTGGGGTGACCTCAGAGTCCGTCTAGACTGGTGACAGTGTTCTTGGGGACTGTCTCGAGATCCATTAAGCAAGTTGAAGCTCCTGACTTGTTTGATGGGGATCACCGAATAGCTCTGCATGCACTGCAGGGGAATGGGGCCTCATCTCGCCTCTAGGGGGAAGTCTCATGGTTTTTCTCGAGTTGTGGCGGGGACCTGGGTTATGTTCTCGACTTACGGCGGTTATGGCCCTTCAAAACACGAGTTTCTTCAGTGACGTCAGGACTCCTGTCTAGTAACGAGGAACACCTCAAGAATCTCTTCGAGGCTTGGCAGGGCAAAAGGGATGCTTCTCGAGGTCAGGCAGGGCACCCAAGGACCCTTTCCAGTAGCCACAGGGATTTTGGGATTCCTGTCAGTATTCAAGAGCAGTCAGGCGTCGTCACCTTTTGAAGCAATGAACTCCGCGTGCCTCTCGAGGTGTCAACGGGATGTGAGGCATTCCGTCAAAATGAGGCAGGGACCTAGGGCTTTCTCTAAGGTCTCCACAGGGAATTCAGACATCCCTTCATGTTTTGAGATCAAAGACGAGCCTGTATTCAAGCCACTGCAAGGAAACCCGGCCTCCTTTCAAGTTAGGGCTTCTCGCTGTATATTCCACTTGAGGCAGTGAGTTCGGGGTCCCTCCCATATACCTATTGCTGAGAGAAACCTCCTCCTGAGGTGCTTCTGGAAAGTTGGCATACGTCTTGAGCCTAAGCCAGGGAATCAGCTCTAATCTCGAGACGATTTGGGGTACACGGAGCATTCCTCGAGATGCTGTGCTGAAGTTGGTGTTCCTCTAGACTTAGGACAGTGTTCTCGGGGCATCTCTGGAGTTGCCTGAAGGAAGTCGAGCCACCGGTCGTGTTGAATGGGGAACGGGGAATGGCTCTGGAGTCAATGCAGGGGAATCGGGCCTCATCTCGTGTTGATTTGGGGCACATGGAGCTGCTTTGCGTTGCTGGGGTGACCTCAGGGTCCGTCTAGACTGGTGACAGTGTTCTTGGGGACTGTCTCGAGATCCATTAAGCAAGTTGGAGCTCCTGACTTGTTTGATGGGGATCACCGAATAGCTCTGCATGCACTGCAGGGGAATGGGGCCTCATCTCGCCTCTAAGGGGAAGTCTCATGGTTTTTCTCGAGTTGCGGCGGGGACCTGTGGTATGTTCTCGACTTACGGCGGGGATGGCCCTTAAAAACACGAGTTTCTTCAGTGACGTCAGGACTCCTGTCTAGTAACGAGGGACACCTCAGGAATTTCTTCGAGGTTTGGCAGGGCAAAAGGGACGCCTCTCGAAGTGAGGCAGGTCACCCAAGTACCCTTTCCAGTAGCCACAGGGATTTTGGGATTCCTATCAGTATTCAAGAGGAGTCAGGCATCGTCACCTTTTGAAGCAATGAACTCCGCGTGCCTCTCGAGGTTTCAACTGCATGTGATGCATTCCGTCAAAATGAGGTAGGGACCTAGGGCTTTCTCTAAGTTCTCCACAGGGGATTCAGACATCCCTTCATGTTTTGAGGTCAAAGACGAGCCGGTTTTCAAGAAACTGCAAGGAAACCTGGCCTCCTTTCAAGTTAGGGCTTCTCGTGTATATTCCACTTGAGGCAGCGATCTCGGGGTCCCTCCCACATACTTTTTGCTGAGAGAAGCCTCCTCCTGAGGTGCTTCTGGAAAGTTGGCATACGTCTTGAGCCTAAGCCAGGGAATCAGCTCTCATCTCGACACGATTTGGGGTACACGGAGCCATCCTCGAGTTGCTGTGCTCAAGTTCGTGTTCCTCTAGACTTGGGCCAGTGTTCTCGGGGCATCTTTGGAGTTGCCTGAAGGAAGCCGAGCCACCGGTAGTGTTGAATGGGGAACGGGAAATGGCTCTGGAGTCAATGCAGGGGAATCGGCTCTCATCTCGAGTTGATTTGGGCCACATGGAGCTGCCTTGCGTTGCTGGGGTGACCTCAGAGTCCGTCTAGACTGGTGACAGTGTTCTTGGGGACTGTCTCGAGACCCATTAAGCAAGTTGAAGCTCCTGACTTGTTTGATGGGGATCACCGAATAGCTCTGCATGCACTGCAGGGGAATGGGGCCTCATCTCGCCTCTAGGGGGAAGTCTCATGGTTTTCCTCGAGTTGCGGCGGGGACCTGGGGTATGTTCTCGACTTACGGCGGTTATGGCCCTTCAAAACACGAGTTTCTTCAGTGACGTCAGGACTCCTGTCTAGTAACGAGGGACACCTCAGGAATCTCTTCGAGGCTTGGCAGGGCAAAAGGGATGCTTCTCGAGGTCAGGCAGGGCACCCAAGGACCCTTTCCAGTAGCCACAGGGATTTTGGGATTCCTATCAGTATTCAAGCGGAGTCAGGCGTCGTCACCTTTTGAAGCAATGAACTCCACGTGCCTCTCGAGGTGTCAACGGGATGTGAGGCATTCCGTCAAAATGAGGCAGGGACCTAGGGCTTTCTCTTAGGTCTCCACAGGGGATTCAGACATCCCTTCATGTTTTGAGATCAAAGACGAGCCTGTATTCAAGCCACTGCAAGGAAATCCGGCCTCCTTTCAAGTTAGGGCTTCTCGCTGTATATTCCACTTGAGGCAGTGAATTCGGGGTCCCTCCCACATACCTATTGCTGAGAGAAACCTCCTCCTGAGGTGCTTCTGGAAAGTTGGCCTACGTCTTGAGCCTAAGCCAGGGAATCAGCTCTCATCTCGAGACGATTTGGTGTACACGGAACATTCCTCGAGATGCTGTGCTCAAGTTGGTGTTCCTCTAGCCTTGGGACAGTGTTCTCGGGGCATCTCTGGAGTTGCCTGAAGGAAGTCGAGCCACCGGTCGTGTTGAATGGGGAACGGGGAATGGCTCTGGAGTAAATGCAGGGGAATCGGGCGACATCTCGAGTTGATTTGGGGCACATGGAGCTGTTTTGCGTTGCTGGGGTGACCTCAGGGTCCGTCTAGACTGGTAACAGTGTTCTTGGGGACTGTCTCGAGATCCATTCAGCAAGTTGGAGCTCCTGACTTGTTTGATGGGGATCACCGAATAGCTCTGCATGCACTGCAGGGGAATGGGGCCTCATCTCGCCTCTAGGGGGAAGTCTCATGGTTTTTCTCGAGTTTCGGCGGGGACCTGGGGTATGTTCTCGACTTACGGCGGGGATGGCCCTTCAAAACACGAGTTTCTTCAGTGACGTCAGGACTCCTGTCTAGTAACGAGGGACACCTTAGGAATCTCTTTGAGGCTTGGCAGGGCAAAAGGGATGCTTCTCGAGGTCAGGCAGGGCACCCAAGGACCCTTTTCAGTAGCCACAGGGATTTTGGGATTCCTATCAGTATTCAAGAGGAGTCAGGCATCGTCACCTTTTGAAGCAATGAACTCCGCGTGCCTCTCGAGGTGTCCACTGGATGCGAGGCATTCCGTCAAAATAAGGTAGGTACCTAGGGCTTTCTCTAAGTTCTCCACAGGGGATTCAGACATCCCTTCATGTTTTGAGATCAAAGACGAGCCGGTATTCAAGACACTGCAAGGAAACCCGGCCTCCTTTCAAGTTAGGGCTTCTCGCTGTATATTCCACTTGAGGCAGCGATCTCGGGGTCCCTCCCACATACCTATTGCTGAGAGAAGCCTCCTCCTGAGGTGCTTCTGGAAAGTTGGCATACGTCTTGAGCCTAAGCCAGGGAATTAGCTCTCATCTCGACACGATTTGGGGTACACGGAGCCGTCCTCGAGTTGCTGTGCTCAAGTTGGTGTTCCTCTAGACTTGGGACAGTGATCTTGGCGCATCTCTGGAGTTGCCTGAAGGAAGTCGAGCCACCGGTCGTGTTGAATGGGGAACGGGAAATGGCTCTGGAGTCAATGCAGGGGAATCGGCCCTCATCTCGAGTTGATTTGGGCCACATGGAACTGCCTTGCGTTGCTGGGGTGACCTCAGAGTCCGTCTAGACTGGTGACAGTGTTCTTGGGGACTGTCTCGAGATCCATTAAGCAAGTCGAAGCTCCTGACTTGTTTGATGGGGATCACCGAATAGCTCTGCATGCACTGCAGGGGAATGGGGCCTCATCTCTCCCCTAGGGGGAAGTCTCATGGTTTTTCTCGAGTTGCGGCGGGGACCTGGGGTATGTTCTCGACTTACGGCGGTTATGGCCCTTCAAAACACGAGTTTCTTCAGTGACGTCAGGACTCGTGTCTAGTAACGAGGGACACCTCAAGAATCTCTTTGAGGCTTGGCAGGGCAAAAGGGATGCTTCTCGAAGTCAGGCAGGGCACCCAAGGACCCTTTCCAGTAGCCACAGGGATTTTGGGATTCCTATCAGTATTCAAGAGGAGTCAGGCGTCGTCACCTTTTGAAGCAATGAACTCCGCGTGCCTCTCGAGGTGTCAACGGGATGTGAGGCATTCCGTCAAAATGAGGCAGGGACCTAGGGCTTTCTCTAAGTTCTCCACAGGGGATTCAGACATCCCTTCATGTTTTGAGATCAAAGACGAGCCTGTATTCAAGCCACTGCAAGGAAACCCGGCCTCCTTTCAAGTTAGGGCTTATCGCTGTATATTCCACTTGAGGCAGCGATCTCGGGGTCCCTCCCACATACCTATTGCTGAGAGAAACCTCCTCCTCAGGTGCTTCTGGAAAGTTGGCATACGTCTTGAGCCTAAGCCAGGGAATCAGCTCTCATCTCGAGACGATTTGGGGTACACGGAGCATTCCTCGAGTTGCTGTGCTCAAGTTGGTGTTTCTCTAGACTTGGGACAGTGTTCTCGGGGCATCTCTGGAGTTGCCTGAAGGAAGTCGAGCCACCGGTCGTGTTGAATGGGGAACGGGGAATGGCTCTGGAGTCAATGCAGGGGAATCGGCCCTCATCTCGAGTTGATTTGGGCCACTTGGAGCTGCCTTGCGCTGCTGGGGTGACCTCAGAGTCCGTCTAGACTGGTGACAGTGTTCTTGGGGACTGTCTCGAGATCCATTAAGCAAGTTGAAGCTCCTGACTTGTTTGATGGGGATCACCGAATAGCTCTGCATGCACTGCAGTGGAATGGGGCCTCATCTCGCCTCTAGGGGGAAGTCTCATGGTTTTTCTCGAGTTGCGGCGGGGACCTGGGGTATGTTCTCGACTTACGGCGGGATGGCCCTTCAAAACATGAGTTTCTTCAGTGACGTCAGGACTCCTGTCTAGTAACGAGGGACACCTCAAGAATCTCTTCGATGCTTGACAGGGCAAAAGGGACGCTTCTCGAGGTCAGGCAGGGCACCCAAGTACCCTTTCCAGTAGCCACAGGGATTTTGGGATTCCTATCAGTATTCAAGAGGAGGCAGGCATTGTCACCTTTTGAAGCAATGAACTCCGCGTGCCTCTCGAGGTGTCAGCGGGATGTGAGGCATTCCGTCAAAATGAGGCAGGGACCTAGGGCTTTCTCTAAGGTCTGCACAGGGAATTCAGACATCCCTTCATGTTTTGAGATCAAAGACGAGCCTGTATTCAAGCCACTGCAAGAAAATCCGGCCTCCTTTCAAGTTAGGGCTTCTCGCTGTATATTCCACTTGAGGCAGTGAATTCGGGGTCCCTCCCACATACCTATTGCTGAGAGAAACCTCCTCCTGAGGTGCTTCTGGAAAGTTGGCATACGTCTTGAGCCTAAGCCAGGGAATCAGCTCTCATCTCGAGACGATTTGGTGTACACGGAGCATTCCTCGAGATGCTGTGCTAAAGTTGGTGTTCCTCTAGCCTTGGGACAGTGTTCTCGGGGCATCTCTGGAGTTGCCTGAAGGAAGTCGAGCCACCGGTCGTGTTGAATGGGGAACGGGGAATGGCTCTGGAGTCAATGCAGGGCAATAGGACCTCATCTCGAGTTGATTTGGGGCACATGGAGCTGCTTTGCGTTGCTGGGGTGACCTCAGGGTCCGTCTAGACTGGTGACAGTGTTCTTGGGGACTGTCTCGAGATCCATTACGCAAGTTGGAGCTCCTGACTTGTTTTATGGGGATCACCGAATAGCTCTGCATGCACTGCAGGGGAATGGGGCCTCATCTCGCCTCTAGGGGGAAGTCTCATGGTTTTTCTCGAGTTGCGGCGGGGACCTGGGGTATGTTCTCGACTTACGGCGGGGATGGCCCTTCAATACACGAGTTTCTTCAGTGACGTCAGGACTCCTGTCTAGTAACGAGGGACACCTCAGGAATCTCTTCGAGGCTTGGCATGGCAAAAGGGATGCTTCTCGAGGTCAGGCAGGGCACCCAAGACCCTTTTCAGTAGCCACAGGGATTTTGGGATTCCTATCAGTATTCAAGAGGAGTCAGGCATCGTCACCTTTTGAAGCAATGAAATCCGCGTGCCTCTCGAGGTGTCAACGGGATGTGAGGCATTCCCTCAAAATGAGGCAGTTACCTAGGGCTTTCTCTAAGGTCTCCACAGGGGATTCAGACATCCCTTCATGTTTTGAGATCAAAGACGAGCCTGTATTCAAGCCACTGCAAGGAAATCCGGCCTCCTTTCAAGTTAGGGCTTCTCGCTGTATATTCCACTTGAGGCAGTGAATTCGGGGTCCCTCCCACATACCTATTGCTGAGAGAAACCTCCTCCTGAGGTGCTTCTGGAAAGTTGGCATACGTCTTGAGCCTAAGCCAGGGAATTAGCTCTCATCTCGACACGATTTGGGGTACACGGAGCCGTCCTCGAGTTGCTGTGCTCAAGTTGGTGTTCCTCTAGACTTAGGACAGTGATCTTGGCGCATCTCTGGAGTTGCCTGAAGGAAGTCGAGCCACCGGTCGTGTTGAATGGGGAACGGGAAATGGCTCTGGAGTCAATGCAGGGGAATCGGCCCTCATCTCGAGTTGATTTGGGCCACATGGAACTGCCTTGCGTTGCTGGGGTGACCTCAGAGTCCGTCTAGACTGGTGACAGCGTTCTTGGGGACTGTCTCGAGATCCATTAAGCAAGTCGAAGCTCCTGACTTGTTTGATGGGGATCACCGAATAGCTCTGCATGCACTGCAGGGGAATGGGGCCTCATCTCTCCCCTAGGGGGAAGTCTCATGGTTTTTCTCGAGCTGCGGCGGGGACCTGGGGTATGTTCTCGACTTACGGCGGTTATGGCCCTTCAAAACACGAGTTTCTTCAGTGACGTCAGGACTCGTGTCTAGTAACGAGGGACACCTCAAGAATCTCTTTGAGGCTTGGCAGGGCAAAAGGGATGCTTCTCGAAGTCAGGCAGGGCACCCAAGGACCCTTTCCAGTAGCCACAGGGATTTTGGGATTCCTATCAGTATTCAAGAGGAGTCAGGCGTCGTCACCTTTTGAAGCAATGAACTCCGCGTGCCTCTCGAGGTGTCAACGGGATGTGAGGCATTCCGTCAAAATGAGGCAGGGACCTAGGGCTTTCTCTAAGGTCTCTACAGGGAATTCAGACATCCCTTCATGTTTTGAGATCAAAGACGAGCCTGTATTCAAGCCACTGCAAGGAAACCCGGCCTCCTTTCAAGTTAGGGCTTCTCGCTGTATATTCCACTTGAGGCAGTGAATTCGGGGTCCCTCCCACATACCTATTGCTGAGAGAAACCTCCTCCTGAGGTGCTTCTGGAAAGTTGGCATACGTCTTGAGCCTAAGCCAGGGAATCATCTCTCATCTCGAGAAGATTTGGTGTACACGGAGCATTCCTCAAGATGCTGTGCTAAAGTTGGTGTTCCTCTAGCCTTGGGACAGTGTTCTCGGGACATCTCTGGAGTTGCCTGAAGGAAGTCGAGCCACCGGTCGTGTTGAATGGGGAACGGGGAATGGCTCTGGAGTCAATGCAGGGGAATAGGACCTCATCTCGAGTTGATTTGGGGCACATGGAGCTGCTTTGCGTTGCTGGGGTGACCTCAGGGTCCGTCTAGACTGGTGACAGTGTTCTTGGGGACTGTCTCGAGATCCATTACGCAAGTTGAAGCTCCTGACTTGTTTTATGGGGATCACCGAATAGCTCTGCATGCACTGCAGGGGAATGGGGCCTCATCTCGCCTCTAGGGGGAAGTCTCATGGTTTTTCTCGAGTTTCGGCGGGGACCTGGGGTATGTTCTCGACTTACGGCGGGGATGGCCCTTCAATACACGAGTTTCTTCAGTGACGTCAGGACTCCTGTCTAGTAACGAGGGACACCTCAGGAATCTCTTCGAGGCTTGGCATGGCAAAAGGGATGCTTCTCGAGGTCAGGCAGGGCACCCAAGACCCTTTTCAGTAGCCACAGGGATTTTGGGATTCCTATCAGTATTCAAGAGGAGTCAGGCATCGTCACCTTTTGAAGCAATGAACTCCGCGTGCCTCTCGAGGTGTCAACGGGATGTGAGGCATTCCCTCAAAATGAGGCAGAGACCTAGGGCTTTCTCTAAGGTCTCCACAGGGGATTCAGACATCACTTCATGTTTTGAGATCAAAGACGAGCCTGTATTCAAGCCACTGCAAGGAAATCCGGCCTCCTTTCAAGTTAGGGCTTCTCGCTGTATATTCCACTTGAGGCAGCGATCTCGGGGTCCCTCCCGCATACCTATTGCTGAGAGAAGCCTCCTCCTGAGGTGCTTCTGGAAAGTTGGCCTACGTCTTGAGCCTAAGCCAGGGAATCAGCTCTCATCTCGACACGATTTGGGGTACACGGAGCATTCCTCGAGTTGCTGTGCTGAAGTTGGTGTTCCTCTAGACTTGGGACAGTGTTCTCGGGGCATCTCTGGAGTTGCCTGAAGGAAGTCGAGCAACCGGTCTTGTTGAATGGGGAACGGGGAATGGCTCTGAACTCAATGCAGGGGAATCGAGCCTCATCTCGAGTTGATTTGGGGCACATGGAGCTGCTTTGCGTTGCTGGGTTGACCTCAGAGTCCGTCTAGACTGGTGACAGTGTTCTTGGGGACTGTCTCGAGATCCATTAAGCAAGTCGAAGCTCCTGACTTGTTTGATGGGGATCACCGAATAGCTGTGCATGTACTGCAGGGGAATGGGGCCTCATCTCTCCCCTAGGGGGAAGTCTCATGGTTTTTCTCGAGTTGCGGCGGGGACCTGGGGTATGTTCTCGACTTACGGCGGTTATGGCCCTTCAAAACACGAGTTTCTTCAGTGACGTCAGGACTCCTGTCTAGTAACGAGGGACACCTCAAGAATCTCTTCGAGGCTTGGCTGGGCAAAAGGGATGCTTCTCGAGGTCAGGCAGGGCACCCAAGGACCCTTTCCAGTAGCCACAGGGATTTTGGGATTCCTATCAGTATTCAGGAGCAGTCAGGCATCGTCACCTTTTGAAGCAATGAACTCCGCGTGCCTCTCGAGGTGTCAACGGGATGTGAGGCATTCCGTCAAAATGAGGCAGGGACCTAGGGCTTTCTCTAAGGTCTCCACAGGGAATTCAGACATCCCTTCATGTTTTGAGATCAAAGACGAGCCTGTATTCAAGCCACTGCAAGGAAATCCGGCCTCCTTTCAAGTTAGGGCTTCTCGCTGTATATTCCACTTGAGGCAGTGAATTCGGGGTCCCTCCCACATACCTATTGCTGAGAGAAACCTCCTCCTGAGGTGCTTCTGGAAAGTTGGCATACGTCTTGAGCCTAAGCCAGGGAATCAGCTCTCATCTCGAGACGATTTGGTGTACACGGAGCATTCCTCGAGATGCTGTGCTGAAGTTGGTGTTCCTCTAGCCTTGGGACAGTGTTTTCGGGGCATCTCTGGAGTTGCCTGAAGGAAGTCGAGCCACCGGTCGTGTTGAATGGGGAACGGGGAATGGCTCTGGAGTAAATGCAGGGGAATCGGGCCTCATCTCGAGTTGATTTGGGGCACATGGAGCTGCTTTGCGTTGCTGGGGTGACCTCAGGGTCCGTCTAGACTGGTAACAGTGTTCTTGGGGACTGTCTCGAGATCCATTCAGCAAGTTGGAGCTCCTGACTTGTTTGATGGGGATCACCGAATAGCTCTGCATGCACTGCAGGGGAATGGGGCCTCATCTCGCCTCTAGGGGGAAGTCTCATGGTTTTTCTCGAGTTTCGGCGGGGACCTGGGGTATGTTCTCGACTTACGGCGGGGATGGCCCTTCAAAACACGAGTTTCTTCAGTGACGTCAGGACTCCTGTCTAGTAACGAGGGACACCTTAGGAATCTCTTTGAGGCTTGGCAGGGCAAAAGGGATGCTTCTCGAGGTCAGGCAGGGCACCCAAGGACCCTTTTCAGTAGCCACAGGGATTTTGGGATTCCTATCAGTATTCAAGAGGAGTCAGGCATCGTCACCTTTTGAAGCAATGAACTCCGCGTGCCTCTCGAGGTGTCAGCGGGATGTGAGGCATTCCGTCAAAATGAGGCAGGGACCTAGGGCTTTCTCTAAGGTCTCCACAGGGGATTCAGACATCCCTTCATGTTGTGAGATGAAAGACGAGCCTGTATTCAAGCCACTGCAAGGAAATCCGGCCTCCTTTCAAGTTAGGGCTTCTCGCTGTATATTCCCCTTGAGGCAGGAAACTCGGGGTCCCTCCCACATACCTATTGCTGAGAGAAGCCTCCTCCTGAGGTGCTTCTGGGAAGTTGGCATACGTCTTGAGCCTAAGCCAGGGAATCAGCTCTCATCTCGAGACGATTTGGGGTACACGGAGCATTCCTCGAGTTGCTGTGCTGAAGTTGGTGTTCCTCTAGACTTGGGACAGTGTTCTCGGGGCATCTCTGGAGTTGCCTGAAGGAAGTCGAGCCACCGGTCGTGTTGAATGGGGAACGGGGAATGGCTCTGGAGTCAATGCAGGGGAATCGGGCGTCATCTCGAGTTGATTTGGGGCACATGGACGTGCTTTGCGCTGCTGGGGTGACTTCAGGGTCCGTCTAGACTGGTGACAGTGTTCTTGGGTACTGTCTCAAGATCCATTAAGCAAGTCGAAGCTCCTGACTTGTTTGAATGGGATCACCGAATAGCTCTGCATGCACTGCAGTGGAATGGGGCCTCATCTCGCCTCTAGGGGGAAGTCTCATGGTTTTCCTCGAGTTGCGGCGGCGACCTGGGGTATGTTCTCGACTTACGGCGGGGATGGCCCTTCAAAACACGAGTTTCTTCAGTGACGTCAGGACTCCTGTCTAGTAACGAGGGACACCTCAGGAATCTCTTCGATGCTTGACAGGGCAAAAGGGACGCTTCTCGAAGTGAGGCAGGGCACCCAAGTACCCTTTCCAGTAGCCATAGGGATTTTGGGATTCCTATCAGTATTCAAGAGGAGTCAGGCATCGTCACCTTTTGAAGCAATGAACTCCGCGTGCCTCTCGAGGTGTCAACTGAATGTGAGGCATTCCGTCAAAATGAGGTAGGGACCTAGGGCTTTCTCTAAGTTCTCCACAGGGGATTCAGACATCCCTTCAGGTTTTGAGATCAAAGACGAGCCGGTTTTCAAGACACTGCAAGGAATCCCGGCCTCCTTTCAAGTTAGGGCTTCTCGCTGTATATTCCACTTGAGGCAGCGATCTCGGGGTCCCTCCCACATACCTATTGCTGAGAGAAGCCTCCTCCTCAGGTGCTTCTGGAAAGTTGGCATACGTCTTGAGCCTAAGCCAGGGAATCAGCTCTCATCTCGACACGATTTGGGGTACACGGAGCCGTCCTCGAGTTGCTGTGCTCAAGTTGGTGTTCCTCTAGACTTGGGACAGTGTTCTCGGGGCATCTCTGGAGTTGCCTGAAGGAAGTCGAGCCACCGGTCGTGTTGAATGGGGAACGGGAAATGGCTCTGGAGTCAATGCAGGGGAATCGGCCCTCATCTCGAGTTGATTTGGGCCACATGGAGCTGCCTTGCGTTGCTGGGGTGACCTCAGAGTCCGTCTAGACTGGTGACAGTGTTCTTGGGGACTGTCTCGAGATCCATTAAGCAAGTTGAAGCTCCTGACTTGTTTGATGGGGATCACCGAATAGCTCTTCATGCACTGCAGGGGAATGGGGCCTCATCTCGCCTCTAGGGGGAAGTCTCATGGTTTTTCTCGAGTTGCGGCGGGGACCTGGGGTATGTTCTCGACTTACGGCGGTTATGGCCCTTCAAAACACGAGTTTCTTCAGTGACGTCAGGACTCCTGTCTAGTAACGAGGGACACCTCAAGAATCTCTTCGAGGCTTGGCAGGGCAAAAGGGATGCTTCTCGAGGTCAGGCAGGGCACCCAAGGACCCTTTCCAGTAGCCACAGGGATTTTGGGATTCCTATCAGTATTCAAGAGCAGTCAGGCGTCGTCACCTTTTGAAGCAATGAACTCCGCGTGCCTCTCGAGGTGTCAACGGGATGTGAGGCATTCCGTCAAAATGAGGCAGGGACCTAGGGCTTTCTCTAAGGTCTCCACAGGGAATTCAGACATCCCTTCATGTTTTGAGATCACAGACGAGCCTGTATTCAAGCCACTGCAAGAAAATCCGGCCTCCTTTCAAGTTAGGGCTTCTCGCTGTTTATTCCACTTGAGGCAGTGAATTCGGGGTCCCTCCCACATACCTATTGCTGAGAGAAACCTCCTCCTGAGGTGCTTCTGGAAAGTTGGCATACGTCTTGAGCCTAAGCCAGGGAATCATCTCTCATCTCGAGACGATTTGGTGTACACGGAGCATTCCTCGAGATGCTGTGCTAAAGTTGGTGTTCCTCTAGCCTTGGGACAGTGTTCTCGGGGCATCTCTGGAGTTGCCTGAAGGAAGTCGAGCCACCGGTCGTGTTGAATGGGGAACGGGGAATGGCTCTGGAGTCAATGCAGGGGAATAGGGCCTCATCTCGAGTTGATTTGGGGCACATGGAGCTGCTTTGCGTTGCTGGGGTGACCTCAGGGTCCGTCTAGACTGGTGACAGTGTTCTTCGGGACTGTCTCGAGATCCATTACGCAAGTTGGAGCTCCTGACTTGTTTTATGGGGATCACCGTATATCTCTGCATGCACTGCAGGGGAATGGGGCCTCATCTCGCCTCTAGGGGGAAGTCTCATGGTTTTTCTCGAGTTGCGGCGGGGACCTGGGGTATGTTCTCGACTTACGGCGGGGATGGCCCTTCAATACACGAGTTTCTTCAGTGACGTCAGGACTCCTGTCTAGTAACGAGGGACACCTCAGGAATCTCTTCGAGGCTTGGCATGGCAAAAGGGATGCTTCTCGAGGTCAGGCAGGGCACCCAAGACCCTTTTCAGTAGCCACAGGGATTTTGGGATTCCTATCAGTATTCAAGAGGAGTCAGGCATCGTCACCTTTTGAAGCAATGAACTCCGCGTGCCTCTCGAGGTGTCAACGGGATGTGAGGCATTCCCTCAAAATGAGGCAGGGACCTAGGGCTTTCTCTAAGGTCTCCACAGGGGATTCAGACATCCCTTCATGTTTTGAGATCAAAGACGAGCCTGTATTCAAGCCACTGCAAGGAAATCCGGCCTCCTTTCAAGTTAGGGCTTCTCGCTGTATATTCCACTTGAGGCAGCGATCTCGGGGTCCCTCCCGCATACCTATTGCTGAGAGAAGCCTCCTCCTGAGGTGCTTCTGGAAAGTTGGCCTACGTCTTGAGCCTAAGCCAGGGAATCAGCTCTCATCTAGACACGATTTGGGGTACACGGAGCATTCCTCGAGATGCTGTGCTGAAGTTGGTGTTCCTCTAGCCTTGGGACAGTGTTCTCCGGTCATCTCTGTAGTTGCCTGAAGGAAGTCGAGCCACCGGTCGTGTTGAATGGGGAACGGGGAATGGCTCTGGAGTAAATGCAGGGGAATCGGGCCTCATCTCGAGGTGATTTGGGCCACATGGAGCTGCTTTGCGTTGCCGGGGTGACCTCAGGGTCCGTCTAGACTGGTAACAGTGTTCTTGGGGACTGTCTCGAGATCCATTCAGCAAGTTGGAGCTCCTGACTTGTTTGATGGGGATCACCGAATAGCTCTGCATGCATTGCAGGGGAATGGGGCCTCATCTCGCCTCTAGGGGGAAGTCTCATGGTTTTTCTCGAGTTTCGGCGGGGAACTGGGGTATGTTTTCGACTTACGGCGGGGATGGCTCTTCAAAACACGAGTTTCTTCAGTGACGTCAGGACTCCTGTCTAGTAACGAGGGACACCTTAGGAATCTCTTTGAGGCTTGGCAGGGCAAAAGGGATGCTTCTCGAGGTCAGGCAGGGCACCCAAGGACCCTTTTCAGTAGCCACAGGGATTTTGGGATTCCTATCAGTATTCAAGAGGAGTCAGGCATCGTCACCTTTTGAAGCAATGAACTCCGCGTGCCTCTCGAGGTGTCCACTGGATGTGAGGCATTCCGTCAAAATAAGGTAGGGACCTAGGGCTTTCTGTAAGTTCTCCACAGGGGATTCAGACATCCCTTCATATTTTGAGATCAAAGACGAGCCGGTATTCAAGACACTGCAAGGAAACCCGGCCTCCTTTCAAGTTACGGCTTCTCGCTGTATATTCCACTTGAGGCAGCGATCTCGGGGTCCCTCCCACATACCTATTGCTGAGAGAAGCCTCCTCCTGAGGTGCTTCTGGAAAGTTGGCATACGTCTTGAGCCTAAGCCAGGGAATTAGCTCTCATCTCGACACGATTTGGGGTACACGGAGCCGTCCTCGAGTTGCTGTGCTCAAGTTGGTGTTCCTCTAGACTTGGGACAGTGATCTTGGCGCATCTCTGGAGTTGCCTGAAGGAAGTCGAGCCACCGGTCGTGTTGAATGGGGAACGGGAAATGGCTCTGGAGTCAATGCAGGGGAATCAGCCCTCATCTCGAGTTGATTTGGGCCACATGGAACTTCCTTGCGTTGCTGGGGTGACCTCAGAGTCCGTCTAGACTGGTGACAGTGTTCTTGGGGACTGTCTCGAGATCCATTAAGCAAGTCGAAGCTCCTGACTTGTTTGATGGGGATCACCGAATAGCTCTGCATGCACTGCAGGGGAATGGGGCCTCATCTCTCCCCTAGGGGGAAGTCTCATGGTTTTTCTCGAGTTGCGGCGGGGACCTGGGGTATGTTCTCGACTTACGGCGGTTATGGCCCTTCAAAACACGAGTTTCTTCAGTGACGTCAGGACTCGGGTCTAGTAACGAGGGACACCTCAAGAATCTCTTTGAGGCTTGGCAGGGCAAAAGGGATGCTTCTCGAAGTCAGGCAGGGCACCCAAGGACCCTTTCCAGTAGCCACAGGGATTTTGTGATTCCTATCAGTATTCAAGAGGAGTCAGGCGTCGTCACCTTTTGAAGCAATGAACTCCGCGTGCCTCTCGAGGTGTCAACGGCATGTGAGGCATTCCGTCAAAATGAGGCAGGGACCTAGGGCTTTCTCTAAGGTCTCCACAGGGAATTCAGACATCCCTTCATGTTTTGAGATCAAAGACGAGACTGTATTCAAGCCATTGCAAGGAAATCCGGCCTCCTTTCAAGTTAGGGCTTCTCGCTGTATATTCTACTTGAGGCAGCGATTTCGGGGTCGCTCCCACATACCTATTGCTGAGAGAAGCCTCCTCCTGAGGTGCTTCTGGAAAGTTAGCCTACGTCTTGAGCCTAAGCCAGGGTATCAGCTCTCATCTTGAGACGATTTGGGGTACAGGGAGCATTCCTCGAGTTGCTGTGCTGAAGTTGGTGTTCCTCTAGACTTGGGACAGTGTTCTCGGGTCATCTCTGGAGTTGCCTGAAGGAAGTCGAGCAACCGGTCTTGTTGAATGGGGAACGGGGAATGGCTCTGGACTCAATGCAGGGGAATCGAGCCTCATCTCGAGTTGATTTGGGGCACATGGAGCTGCTTTGCGTTGCTGGGGTGACCTCAGGGTCCGTCTAGACTGGTGACAGTGTTCTTGGGGACTGTCTCGAGATCCATTAAGCAAGTTGAAGCTCCTGACTTGTTTGATGGGGATCACCGAATAGCTCTGCATGCACTGCAGGGGAATGGGGCCTCATCTCGCCTCTAGGGGGAAGTCTCATGGTTTTTCTCGAGTTGCGGCGGGGACCTGGGGTATGTTCTCGACTTACGGCGGGGATGGCCCTTCAAAACACGAGTTTCTTCAGTGACGTCAGGACTCCTGTCTAGTAACGAGGGACACCTCAGGAATCTCTTCGAGGCTTGACAGGGCAAAAGGGACGCTTCTCGAGGTGAGGCAGGGCACCCAAGTACCCTTTCCAGTAGCCATGGGGATTTTGGGATTCCTATCAGTATTCAAGAGGAGTCAGGCATCGTCACCTTTAGAAGCAATGAACTCCGCGTGCCTCTCGAGGTGTCAACTGGATGTGAGGCATTCCGTCAAAATGAGGTAGGGACCTAGGGCTTTCTCTAAGTTCTCCACAGGGGATTCAGAGATCCCTTCAGGTTTTGAGATCAAAGACGAGCCGGTTTTCAAGACACTGCAAGGAAACCCGGCCTCCTTTCAAGTTAGGGCTTCTCGCTGTATATTCCACTTGAGGCAGCGATCTCGGGGTCCCTCCCACATACCTATTGCTGAGAGAAGCCTCCTCCTGAGGTGCTTCTGGAAAGTTGGCATACGTCTTGAGCCTAAGCCAGGGAATCAGCTCTCATCTCGACACGATTTGGGGTACACGGAGCCGTCCTCGAGTAGCTGTGCTCAAGTTGGTGTTTCTCTAGACTTGGGACAGTGTTCTCGGGGCATCTCTGGAGTTGCCTGAAGGAAGTCGAGCCACCGGTCCTGTTGAATGGGGAACGGGAAATGGCTCTGGAGTCAATGCAGGGGAATCGGGCCTCATCTCGAGTTGATTTGGGCCACATGGAGCTGCCTTGCGTTGCTGGGGTGACCTCAGAGTCCGTCTAGACTGGTGACAGTGTTCTTGGGGACTGTCTCGAGATCCATTAAGCAAGTTGAAGCTCCTGACTTGTTTGATGGGGATCACCGAATAGCTCTGCATGCACTGCAGGGGAATGGGGCCTCATCTCGCCTCTAGGGGGAAGTCTCATGGTTTTTCTCGAGTTGCGGCGGGGACCTGGGGTATGTTCTCGACTTAAGGCGGTTATGGCCCTTCAAAACACGAGTTTCTTCAGTGACGTCAGGACTCCTGTCTAGTAACGAGGGACACCTCAGGAATCTCTTCGAGGCTTGGCAGGGCAAAAGGGATGCTTCTCGAGGTCAGGCAGGGCACCCAAGGACCCTTTCCAGTAGCCACAGGGATTTTGGGATTCCTATCAGTATTCAAGAGGAGTCAGGCGTCGTCACCTTTTGAAGCAATGAACTCCGCGTGCCTCTCGAGGTGTCAACGGGATGTGAGGCATTCCGTCAAAATGAGGCAGGGACCTAGGGCTTTCTCTAAGGTCTCCACAGGGGATTCAGACATCCCTTCATGTTTTGAGATCAAAGACGAGCCTGTATTCAAGCCACTGCAAGGAAATCCGGCCTCCTTTCAAGTTAGGGCTTCTCGCTGTATATTCCACTTGAGGCAGCGATCTCGGGGTCCCTCCCGCATACCTATTGCTGAGAGAAGCCTCCTCCTGAGGTGCTTCTGGAAAGTTTGCCTACGTCTTGAGCCTAAGCCAGGGAATCAGCTCTCATCTCGAGACGATTTGGGGTACACGGAGCATTCCTCGAGTTGCTGTGCTGAAGTTGGTGTTCCTCTAGTCTTGGGACAGTGTTCTTGGGTCATCTATGGAGTTGCCTGAAGGAAGTCGAGCCACCGGTCGTGTTGAATGGGAACGGGGAATGGCTCTGGAGTCAATGCAGGGGAATCGAGCCTCATCTCGAGTTGATTTGGGGCACATGGAGCTGCTTTGCGTTGCTGGGGTGACCTCAGGGTCCGTCTAGACTGGTGACAGTGTTCTTGGGTACTGTCTCAAGATCCATTAAGCAAGTCGAAGCTCCTGACTTGTTTGAATGGGATCACCGAATAGCTCTGCATGCACTGCAGTGGAATGGGGCCTCATCTCGCCTCTAGGGGGAAGTCTCATGGTTTTTCTCGAGTTGCGGCGGGGACCTGGGGTATGTTCTCGACTTACGGCGGGGATGGCCCTTCAAAACACGAGTTTCTTCAGTGACGTCAGGACTCCTGTCTAGTAACGAGGGACACCTCAGGAATCTCTTCGAGGCTTGACAGGGCAAAAGGGACGCTTCTCGAGGTGAGGCAGGGCACCCAAGTACCCTTTCCAGTAGCCATAGGGATTTTGGGATTCCTATCAGTATTCAAGAGGAGTCAGGCATCGTCACCTTTTGAAGCAATGAACTCCGCGTGCCTCTCGAGGTGTCAACTGGATGTGAGGCATTCCGTCAAAATGAGGTAGGGACCTAGGGCTTTCTCTAAGTTCTCCACAGGGGATTCAGAGATCCCTTCAGGTTTTGAGATCAAAGACGAGCCGGTTTTCAAGACACTGCAAGGAAACCCGGCCTCCTTTCAAGTTAGGGCTTCTCGCTGTATATTCCACTTGAGGCAGCGATCTCGGGGTCCCTCCCACATACCTATTGCTGAGAGAAGCCTCCTCCTGAGGTGCTTCTGGAAAGTTGGCATACGTCTTGAGCCTAAGCCAGGGAATCAGCTCTCATCTCGACACGATTTGGGGTACACGGAGCCGTCCTCGAATAGCTGTGCTCAAGTTGGTGTTCCTCTAGACTTGGGACAGTGTTCTCGGGGCATCTCTGGAGTTGCCTGAAGGAAGTCGAGCCACCGGTCCTGTTGAATGGGGAACGGGAAATTGCTCTGGAGTCAATGCAGGGGAATCGGGCCTCATCTCGAGTTGATTTGGGCCACATGGAGCTGCCTTGCGTTGCTGGGGTGACCTCAGAGTCCGTCTAGACTGGTGACAGTGTTCTTGGGGACTGTCTCGAGATCCATTAAGCAAGTTGAAGCTCCTGACTTGTTTGATGGGGATCACCGAATAGCTCTGCATGCACTGCAGGGGAATGGGGCCTCATCTCGCCTCTAGGGGGAAGTCTCATGGTTTTTCTCGAGTTGCGGCGGGGACCTGGGGTATGTTCTCGACTTAAGGCGGTTATGGCCCTTCAAAACACGAGTTTCTTCAGTGACGTCAGGACTCCTGTCTAGTAACGAGGGACACCTCAGGAATCTCTTCGAGGCTTGGCAGGGCAAAAGGGATGCTTCTCGAGGTCAGGCAGGGCACCCAAGGACCCTTTCCAGTAGCCACAGGGATTTTGGGATTCCTATCAGTATTCAAGAGGAGTCAGGCGTCGTCACCTTTTGAAGCAATGAACTCCGCGTGCCTCTCGAGGTGTCAACGGGATGTGAGGCATTCCGTCAAAATGAGGCAGGGACCTAGGGCTTTCTCTAAGGTCTCCACAGGGGATTCAGACATCCCTTCATGTTTTGAGATCAAAGACGAGCCTGTATTCAAGCCACTGCAAGGAAATCCGGCCTCCTTTCAAGTTAGGGCTTCTCGCTGTATATTCCACTTGAGGCAGCGATCTCGGGGTCCCTCCCGCATACCTATTGCTGAGAGAAGCCTCCTCCTGAGGTTCTTCTGGAAAGTTGGCATATGTCTTGAGCCTAAGCCAGGGAATTAGCTCTCATCTCGACACGATTTGGGGTACACGGAGCCGTCCTCGAGTTGCTGTGCTCAAGTTGGTGTTCCACTAGAGTTGGGACAGTGTTCTCGGGGCATCTCTGGAGTTGCCTGAAGGAAGTCGAGCCACCAGTCGTGTTGAATGGGGAACGGGAAATGGCTCTGGAGTCAATGCAGGGGAATCGGCCCTCATCTCGAGTTGATTTGGGCCACATGGAGCTGCCTTGCGTTGCTGGGGTGACCTCAGAGTCCGTCTAGACTGGTGACAGTGTTCTTGGGGACTGTCTCGAGATCCATTAAGCAAGTTGAAGCTCCTGACTTGTTTGATGGGGATCACCGAATAGCTCTGCATGCACTGCAGGGGAATGGGGCCTCATCTCGCCTCTAGGGGGAAGTCTCATGGTTTTTCTCGAGTTGCGGCGGGGACCTGGGGTATGTTCTCGACTTACGGCGGGGATGGCCCTTCAAAACACGAGTTTCTTCAGTGACGTCAGGTCTCCTGTCTAGTAACGAGGGACACCTTAGGAATCTCTTTGAGGCTTGGCAGGGCAAAAGGGATGCTTCTCGAGGTCAGGCAGGGCACCCAAGGACCCTTTTCAGTAGCCACAGGGATTTTGGGATTCCTATCAGTATTCAAGAGGAGTCAGGCATCGTCACCTTTTGAAGCAATGAACTCCGCGTGCCTCTCGAGGTGTCAACGGGATGTGAGGCATTCCGTCAAAATGAGGCAGGGACCTAGGACTTTCTCTAAGGTCTCCACAGGGGATTCAGACATCCCTTCATGTTTTGAGATCAAAGACGAGCCTGTATTCAAGCCACTGCAAGGAAATCCGGCCTCCTTTCAAGTTAGGTCTTCTCGCTGTATATTCTACTTGAGGCAGCGATCTCGAGGTCCCTCCCACATACCTATTGCTGAGAGAAGCCTCCTCCTGAGGTGCTTCTGTAAAGTTGGCCTACGTCTTGAGCCTAAGCCAGGGAATCAGCTCTCATCTCGAGACGATTTGGGGTACACGGAGCATTCCTCGAGTTGCTGTGCTGAAGTTGGTGTTCCTCTAGACTTGGGACAGTGTTCTTGGGTCATCTCTGGAGTTGCCTGAAGGAAGTCGAGCCACCGGTCGTGTTGAATGGGAACGGGGAATGGCTCTGGAGTCAATGCAGGGGAATAGGGCCTCATCTCGAGTTGATTTGGGGCACATGGAGCTGCTTTGCGTTGCTGGGGTGACCTCAGGGTCCGTCTAGACTGGTGACAGTGTTCTTGGGTACTGTCTCAAGATCCATTAAGCAAGTCGAAGCTCCTGACTTGTTTGAATGGGATCACCGAATAGCTCTGCATGCACTGCAGTGGAATGGGGCCTCATCTCGCCTCTAGGGGGAAGTCTCATGGTTTTTCTCGAGTTGCGGCGGGGACCTGGGGTATGTTCTCGACTTACGGCGGGGATGGCCTTTCAAAACACGAGTTTCTTCAGTGACGTCAGGACTCCTGTCTAGTAACGAGGGACAGCTCAGGAATCTCTTCGAGGCTTGACAGGGCAAAAGGGACGCTTCTCGAAGTGAGGCAGGGCACCCAAGTACCCTTTCCAGTAGCCATAGGGATTTTGGGATTCCTATCAGTGTTCAAGAGGAGTCAGGCATCGTCACCTTTTGAAGCAATGAACTCCGCGTGCCTCTCGAGGTGTCAACTGGATGTGAGGCATTCCGTCAAAATGAGGTAGGGACCTAGGGCTTTCTCTAAGTTCTCCACAGGGGATTCAGAGATCCCTTCAGGTTTTGAGATCAAAGACGAGCCGGTTTTCAAGACACTGCAAGGAAACCCGGCCTCCTTTCAAGTTAGGGCTTCTCGCTGTATATTCCACTTGAGGCAGCGATCTCGGGGTCCCTCCCACATACCTATTGCTGAGAGAAGCCTCCTCCTGAGGTGCTTCTGGAAAGTTGGCATACGTCTTGAGCCTAAGTCAGGGAATCAGCTCTCATCTCGACACGATTTGGGGTACACGGAGCCGTCCTCGAGTAGCTGTGCTCAAGTTGGTGTTCCTCTAGACTTGGGACAGTGTTCTCGGGGCATCTCTGGAGTTGCCTGAAGGAAGTCGAGCCACCGGTCCTGTTGAATGGGGAACGGGAAATGGCTCTGGAGTCAATGCAGGGGAATCGGGCCTCATCTCGAGTTGATTTGGGCCACATGGAGCTGCCTTGCGTTGCTGGGGTGACCTCAGAGTCCATCTAGACTGGTGACAGTGTTCTTGGGGACTGTCTCGAGATCCATTAAGCAAGTTGAAGCTCCTGACTTGTTTGATGGGGATCACCGAATAGCTCTGCATGCACTGCAGGGGAATGGGGCCTCATCTCGCCTCTAGGGGGAAGTCTCATGGTTTTTCTCGAGTTGCGGCGGGGACCTGGGGTATGTTCTCGACTTAAGGCGGTTATGGCCCTTCAAAACACGAGTTTCTTCAGTGACGTCAGGACTCCTGTCTAGTAACGAGGGACACCTCAGGAATCTCTTCGAGGCTTGGCAGGGCAAAAGGGATGCTTCTCGAGGTCAGGCAGGGCACCCAAGGACCCTTTCCAGTAGCCACAGGGATTTTGGGATTCCTATCAGTATTCAAGAGGAGTCAGGCATCGTCACCTTTTGAAGCAATGAACTCCGCGTGCCTCTCGAGGTGTCAACGGGATGTGAGGCATTCAGTCAAAATGAGGCAGGGACCTAGGACTTTCTCTAAGGTCTCCACAGGGGATTCAGACATCCCTTCATGTTTTGAGATCAAAGACGAGCCTGTATTCAAGCCACTGCAAGGAAATCCGGCCTCCTTTCAAGTTAGGTCTTCTCGCTGTATATTCTACTTGAGGCAGCGATCTCGAGGTCCCTCCCACATACCTATTGCTGAGAGAAGCCTCCTCCTGAGGTGCTTCTGTAAAGTTGGCCTACGTCTTGAGCCTAAGCCAGGGAATCAGCTCTCATCTCGAGACGATTTGGGGTACACGGAGCATTCCTCGAGTTGCTGTGCTGAAGTTGGTGTTCCTCTAGACTTGGGACAGTGTTCTTGGGTCATCTTTGGAGTTGCCTGAAGGAAGTCGAGCCACCGGTCGTGTTGAATGGGAACGGGGAATGGCTCTGGAGTCAATGCAGGGGAATAGGTCCTCATCTCGAGTTGATTTGGGGCACATGGAGCTGCTTTGCGTTGCTGGGGTGACCTCAGGGTCCGTCTAGACTGGTGACAGTGTTCTTGGGTACTGTCTCAAGATCCATTAAGCAAGTCGAAGCTCCTGACTTGTTTGAATGGGATCACCGAATAGCTCTGCATGCACTGCAGTGCAATGGGGCCTCATCTCGCCTCTAGGGGGAAGTCTCATGGTTTTTCTCGAGTTGCGGCGGGGACCTGGGGTATGTTCTCGACTTACGGCGGGGATGGCCTTTCAAAACACGAGTTTCTTCAGTGACGTCAGGACTCCTGTCTAGTAACGAGGGACACCTCAGGAATCTCTTCGAGGCTTGACAGGGCAAAAGGGACGCTTCTCGAAGTGAGGCAGGGCACCCAAGTACCCTTTCCAGTAGCCATAGGGATTTTGGGATTCCTTTCAGTGTTCAAGAGGAGTCAGGCATCGTCACCTTTTGAAGCAATGAACTCCGCGTGCCTCTCGAGGTGTCAACTGGATGTGAGGCATTCCGTCAAAATGAGGTAGGGACCTAGGGCTTTCTCTAAGTTCTCCACAGGGGATTCAGAGATCCCTTCAGGTTTTGAGATCAAAGACGAGCCGGTTTTCAAGACACTGCAAGGAAACCCGGCCTCCTTTCAAGTTAGGGCTTCTCGCTGTATATTCCACTTGAGGCAGCGATCTCGGGGTCCCTCCCACATACCTATTGCTGAGAGAAGCCTCCTCCTGAGGTGCTTCTGGAAAGTTGGCATACGTCTTGAGCCTAAGCCAGGGAATCAGCTCTCATCTCGACACGATTTGGGGTACACGGAGCCGTCCTCGAGTAGCTGTGCTCAAGTTGGTGTTCCTCTAGACTTGGGACAGTGTTCTCGGGGCATCTCTGGAGTTGCCTGAAGGAAGTCGAGCCACCGGTCCTGTTGAATGGGGAACGGGAAATGGCTCTGGAGTCAATGCAGGGGAATCGGGCCTCATCTCGAGTTGATTTGGGCCACATGGAGCTGCCTTGCGTTGCTGGGGTGACCTCAGAGTCCGTCTAGACTGGTGACAGTGTTCTTGGGGACTGTCTCGAGATCCATTAAGCAAGTTGAAGCTCCTGACTTGTTTGATGGGGATCACCGAATAGCTCTGCATGCACTGCAGGGGAATGGGGCCTCATCTCGCCTCTAGGGGGAAGTCTCATGGTTTTTCTCGAGTTGCGGCGGGGACCTGGGGTATGTTCTCGACTTAAGGCGGTTATGGCCCTTCAAAACACGAGTTTCTTCAGTGACGTCAGGACTCCTGTCTAGTAACGAGGGACACCTCAGGAATCTCTTCGAGGCTTGGCAGGGCAAAAGGGATGCTTCTCGAGGTCAGGCAGGGCACCCAAGGACCCTTTCCAGTAGCCACAGGGATTTTGGGATTCCTATCAGTATTCAAGAGGAGTCAGGCATCGTCACCTTTTGAAGCAATGAACTCCGCGTGCCTCTCGAGGTGTCAACGGGATGTGAGGCATTCCGTCAAAATGAGGCAGGGACCTAGGACTTTCTCTAAGGTCTCCACAGGGGATTCAGACATCCCTTCATGTTTTGAGATCAAAGACGAGCCTGTATTCAAGCCACTGCAAGGAAATCCGGCCTCCTTTCAAGTTAGGTCTTCTCGCTGTATATTCTACTTGAGGCAGCGATCTCGAGGTCCCTCCCACATACCTATTGCTGAGAGAAGCCTCCTCCTGAGGTGCTTCTGGAAAGTTGGCCTACGTCTTGAGCCTAAGCCAGGGAATCAGCTCTCATCTCGAGACGATTTGGGGTACACGGAGCATTCCTCGAGTTGCTGTGCTGAAGTTGGTGTTCCTCTAGACTTGGGACAGTGTTCTTGGGTCATCTCTGGAGTTGCCTGAAGGAAGTCGAGCCACCGGTCGTGTTGAATGGGAACGGGGAATGGCTCTGGAGTCAATGCAGGGGAATAGGGCCTCATCTCGAGTTGATTTGGGGCACATGGAGCTGCTTTGCGTTGGTGGGGTGACCTCAGGGTCCGTCTAGACTGGTGACAGTGTTCTTGGGTACTGTCTCAAGATCCATTAAGCAAGTCGAAGCTCCTGACTTGTTTGAATGGGATCACCGAATAGCTCTGCATGCACTGCAGTGCAATGGGGCCTCATCTCGCCTCTAGGGGGAAGTCTCATGGTTTTTCTCGAGTTGCGGCGGGGACCTGGGGTATGTTCTCGACTTACGGCGGGGATGGCCTTTCAAAACACGACTTTCTTCAGTGACGTCAGGACTCCTGTCTAGTAACGAGGGACACCTCAGGAATCTCTTCGAGGCTTGACAGGGCAAAAGGGACGCTTCTCGAAGTGAGGCAGGGCACCCAAGTACCCTTTCCAGTAGCCATAGGGATTTTGGGATTCCTATCAGTGTTCAAGAGGAGTCAGGCATCGTCACCTTTTGAAGCAATGAACTCCGCATGCCTCTCGAGGTGTCAACTGGATGTGAGGCATTCCGTCAAAATGAGGTAGGGACCTAGGGCTTTCTCTAAGTTCTCCACAGGGGATTCAGAGATCCCTTCAGGTTTTGAGATCAAAGACGAGCCGGTTTTCAAGACACTGCAAGGAAACCCGGCCTCCTTTCAAGTTAGGGCTTCTCGCTGTATATTCCACTTGAGGCAGCGATCTCGGGGTCCCTCCCACATACCTATTGCTGAGAGAAGCCTCCTCCTGAGGTGCTTCTGGAAAGTTGGCATACGTCTTGAGCCTAAGCCAGGGAATCAGCTCTCATCTCGACACGATTTGGGGTACACGGAGCGGTCCTCGAGTAGCTGTGCTCAAGTTGGTGTTCCTCTAGACTTGGGACAGTGTTCTCGGGGCATCTCTGGAGTTGCCTGAAGGAAGTCGAGCCACCGGTCCTGTTGAATGGGGAACGGGAAATGGCTCTGGAGTCAATGCAGGGGAATCGGGCCTCATCTCGAGTTGATTTGGGCCACATGGAGCTGCCTTGCGTTGCTGGGGTGACCTCAGAGTCCGTCTAGACTGGTGACAGTGTTCTTGGGGACTGTCTCGAGATCCATTAAGCAAGTTGAAGCTCCTGACTTGTTTGATGGGGATCACCGAATAGCTCTGCATGCACTGCAGGGGAATGGGGCCTCATCTCGCCTCTAGGGGGAAGTCTCATGGTTTTTCTCGAGTTGCGGCGGGGACCTGGGGTATGTTCTCGACTTAAGGCGGTTATGGCCCTTCAAAACACGAGTTTCTTCAGTGACGTCAGGACTCCTGTCTAGTAACGAGGGACACCTCAGGAATCTCTTCGAGGCTTGGCAGGGCAAAAGGGATGCTTCTCGAGGTCAGGCAGGGCACCCAAGGACCCTTTCCAGTAGCCACAGGGATTTTGGGATTCCTATCAGTATTCAAGAGGAGTCAGGCGTCGTCACCTTTTGAAGCAATGAACTCCGCGTGCCTCTCGAGGTGTCAACGGGATGTGAGGCATTCCGTCAAAATGAGGCAGGGACCTAGGGCTTTCTCTAAGGTCTCCACAGGGGATTCAGACATCCCTTCATGTTTTGAGATCAAAGACGAGCCTGTATTCAAGCCACTGCAAGGAAATCCGGCCTCCTTTCAAGTTAGGCCTTCTCGCTGTATATTCCACTTGAGGCAGCGATCTCGGGGTCCCTCCCGCATACCTATTGCTGAGAGAAGCCTCCTCCTGAGGTGCTTCTGGAAAGTTGGCATATGTCTTGAGCCTAAGCCAGGGAATTAGCTCTCATCTCGACACGATTTGGGGTACACGGAGCCGTCCTCAAGTTGCTGTGCTGAAGTTGGTGTTCCACTAGAGTTGGGACAGTGTTCTCGGGGCATCTCTGGAGTTGCCTGAAGGAAGTCGAGCCACCAGTCGTGTTGAATGGGGAACGGGAAATGGCTCTGGAGTCAATGCAGGGGAATCGGCCCTCATCTCGAGTTGATTTGGGCCACATGGAGCTGCCTTGCGTTGCTGGGGTGACCTCAGAGTCCGTCTAGACTGGTGACAGTGTTCTTGGGGACTGTCTCGAGATCCATTAAGCAAGTTGAAGCTCCTGACTTTTTTGATGGGGATCACCGAATAGCTCTGCATGCACTGCAGTGGAATGGGGCCTCATCTCGCCTCTAGGGGGAAGTCTCATGGTTTTCCTCGAGTTGCGGCGGGGACCTGGGGTATGTTCTCGACTTACGGCGGGGATGGCCCTTCAAAACACGAGTTTCTTCAGTGACGTCAGGACTCCTGTCTAGTAACGAGGGACACCTCAGGAATATCTTCGATGATTGAGAGGGCAAAAGGGACGCTTCTCGAAGTGAGGCAGGGCACCCAAGTACCCTTTCCAGTAGCCATAGGGATTTTGGGATTCCTATCAGTATTCAAGAGGAGTCAGGCATCGTCACCTTTTGAAGCAATGAACTCCGCGTGCCTCTCGAGGTGTCAACTGGATGTGAGGCATTCCGTCAAAATGAGGTAGGGACCTAGGGCTTTCTCTAAGTTCTCCACAGGGGATTCAGACATCCCTTCAGGTTTTGAGATCAAAGACGAGCCGGTTTTCAAGACACTGCAAGGAAACCCGGCCTCCTTTCAAGTTAGGGCTTCTCGCTGTATATTCCACTTGAGGCAGCGATCTCGGGGTCCCTCCCACATACCTATTGCTGAGAGAAGCCTCCTCCTGAGGTGCTTCTGGAAAGTTGGCATACGTGTTGAGCCTAAGCCAGGGAATCAGCTCTCATCTCGACACGATTTGGGGTACACGGAGCCGTCCTCGAGTTGCTGTGCTCAAGTTGGTGTTCCTCTAGACTTGGGACAGTGTTCTCGGGGCATCTCTGGAGTTGCCTGAAGGAAGTCGAGCCACCGGTCGTGTTGAATGGGGAACGGGAAATGGCTCTGGAGTCAATGCAGGGGAATCGGCCCTCATCTCGAGTTGATTTGGGCCACATGGAGCTGCCTTGCGTTGCTGGGGTGACCTCAGAATCCGTCTAGACTGGTGACAGTGTTCTTGGGGACTGTCTCGAGATCCATTAAGCAAGTTGAAGCTCCTGACTTGTTTGATGGGGATCACCGAATAGCTCTGCATGCACTGCAGGGGAATGGGGCCTCATCTCGCCTCTAGGGGGAAGTCTCATAGTTTTTCTTGAGTTGCGGCGGGAACCTGGGGTATGTTCTCGACTTACGGCGGTTATGGCCCTTCAAAACACGAGTTTCTTCAGTGACGTCAGGACTCCTGTCTAGTAACGAGGGACACCTCAAGAATCTCTTCGAGGCTTGGCAGGGCAAAAGGGATGCTTCTCGAGGTCAGGCAGGGCACCCAAGGACCCTTTCCAGTAGCCACAGGGATTTTGGGATTCCTATCAGTATTCAAGAGAAGTCAGGCGTCGTCACCTTTTGAAGCAATGAACTCCGCGTGCCTCTCGAGGTGTCAACGGGATGTGAGGCATTCCGTCAAAATGAGGCAGGGACCTAGGGCTTTCTCTAAGGTCTCCACAGGGAATTCAGACATCCCTTCATGTTTTGAGATCAAAGACGAGCCTGTATTCAAGCCACTGCAAGGAAATCCGGCCTCCTTTCAAGTTAGGGCTTCTCGCTGTATATTCCACTTGAGGCAGTGAATTCGGGGTCCCTCCCACATACCTATTGCTAAGAGAAACCTCCTCCTGAGGTGCTTCTGGAAAGTTGGCATACGTCTTGAGCCTAAGCCAGGGAATCATCTCTCATCTCGAGACGATTTGGGGTACACGGAGCATTCCTCGAGTTGCTGTGCTGAAGTTGGTGTTCCTCTAGACTTGGGACAGTGTTCTCGGGGCATCTCTGGAGTTGCCTGAAGGAAGTCGAGCCACCGGTCGTGTTGAATGGGGAAAGGGGAATTGCTCTGGAGTCAATGCAGGGGAATAGGGCCTCATCTCGAGTTGATTTGGGGCACATGGAGCTGCTTTGCGTTGCTGGGGTGACCTCAGGGTCCGTCTAGACTGGTGACAGTGTTCTTGGGGACTGTCTCGAGATCCATTAAGCAAGTTGGAGCTCCTGACTTGTTTTATGGGGATCACCGAATAGCTCTGCATGCACTGCAGGGGAATGGGGCCTCATCTCGCCTCTAGGGGGAAGTCTCATGGTTTTTCTCGAGTTGCGGTGGGGACCTGGGGTATGTTCTCGACACTCGGCGGGGATGGCCCTTCAAAACACAAGTTTCTTCAGTGACGTCAGGACTCCTGTCTAGTAACGAGGGACACCTCAGGAATCTCTTCGAGGCTTGGCATGGCAAAAGGGATGCTTCTCGAGGTCAGGCAGGGCACCCAAGACACTTTTCATTAGCCACAGGGATTTTGGGATTCCTATCAGTATTCAAGAGGAGTCAGGCATCGTCAGCTTTTGAAGCAATGAACTCCGCGTGCCTCTCGAGTTGTCAACGGGATGTGAGGCATTCCCTCAAAATGAGGCAGGGAACTAGGGCTTTCTCTAAGGTCTCCACAGGGGATTCAGACATCCCTTCATGTTTTGAGATCAAAGACGAGCCTGTATTCAAGCCACTGCAAGGAAATCCGGCCTCCTTTCAAGTTAGGGTTTCTCGCTGTATATTCTACTTGAGGCAGCGATCTCGGGGTCCCTCCCACATACCTATTGCTGAGAGAAGCCTCCTCCTGAGGTGCTTCTGGAAAGTTGGCCTACGTCTTGAGCCTAAGCCAGGGAATCAGCTCTCATCTCGAGACGATTTGGGGTACACGGAGCATTCCTCGAGTTGCTGTGCTGAAGTTGGTGTTCCTCTAGACTTGGGACAGTGTTCTCGGGTCATCTCTGGAGTTGCCTGAAGGAAGTCGAGCAACCGGTCTTGTTGAATGTGGAACGGGGAATGGCTCTGGACTCAATGCAGGGGAATCGAGCCTCATCTCGAGTTGATTTGGGGCACATGGAGCTGCTTTGCGTTGCTGGGGTGACCACAGGGTCCGTCTAGACTGGTGACAGTGTTCTTGGGTACTGTCTCAAGATCCATTAAGCAAGTCGAAGCTCCTGACTTGTTTGAATGGGACCACCGAATAGCTCTGCATGCACTGCAGTGGAATCGGGCCTCATCTCGCCTCTAGGGGGAAGTCTCATGGTTTTCCTCGAGTTGCGGCGGGGACCTGGGGTATGTTCTCGACTTACGGCGGGGATGGCCCTTCAAAACACGAGTTTCTTCAGTGACGTCAGGACACCTGTCTAGTAACGAGAGACACCTCAGGAATCTCTTCGAGGCTTGGCAGGGCAAAAGGGACGCTTCTCGAGGTGAGGCAGGGCACCCAAGGACCCTTTCCAGTAGCCACAGGGATTTTGGGATTCCTATCAGTATTCAAGAGGAGTCAGGCATCGTCACCTTTTGAAGCAATGAACTCCGCGTGCCTCTGGAGGTGTCAACTGGATGTGAGGCATTCCGTCAAAATGAAGTAGGGACCTAGGGCTTTCTCTAAGTTCTCCACAGGGGATTCAGACATCCCTTCAGGTTCTGAGATCAAAGACGAGCCGGTTTTCAAGACACTGCAAGGAAACCCGGCCTCCTTTCAAGTTAGGGCTTCTCGCTGTATATTCCACTTGAGGGAGCGATCTCGGGGTCCCTCCCACATACCTATTGCTGAGAGAAGCCTCCTCCTGAGGTGCTTCTGGAAAGTTGGCATACGTCTTGAGCCTAAGCCAGGGAATCAGCTCTCATCTCGACACGATTTGGGGTACACGGAGCCGTCCTCGAGTTGCTGTGCTCAAGTTGGTGTTCCTCTAGACTTGGGACAGTGTTCTCGGGGCATCTCTGGAGTTGCCTGAAGGAAGTCGAGCCACCGGTCGTGTTGAATGGGGAACGGGAAATGGCTCTGGAGTCAATGCAGGGGAATCGGCCCTCATCTCGAGTTGATTTGGGCCACATGGAGCTGCCTTGCGTTGCTGGGGTGACCTCAGAGTCCGTCTAGACTGGTGACAGTGTTCTTGGGGACTGTCTCGAGATCCATTAAGCAAGTTGAAGCTCCTGACTTGTTTGATGGGGATCACGGAATAGCTCTGCATGCACTGCAGGGGAATGGGGCCTCATCTCGCCTCTAGGGGGAAGTCTCATGTTTTTTCTCGAGTTGCGGCGGGGACCTGGGGTATGTTCTCGACTTACGGCGGTTATGGCCCTTCAAAACACGAGTTTCTTCAGTGACGTCAGGACTCCTGTCTAGTAACGAGGGACACCTCAAGAATCTCTTCGAGGCTTGGCAGGGCAAAAGGGATGCTTCTCGAGGTCAGGCAGGGCACCCAAGGACCCTTTCCAGTAGCCACAGGGATTTTGGGATTCCTATCAGTATTCATGAGCAGTCAGGCGTCGTCACCTTTTGAAGCAATGAACTCCGCGTGCCTCTCGAGGTTTCAACGGGATGTGAGGCATTCCGTCAAAATGAGGCAGGGACCTAGGGCTTTCTCTAAGGTCTCCACAGGGAATTCAGACATCCCTTCATGTTTTGAGATCAAAGACGAGCCTGTATTTAAGCCACTGCAAGGAAATCCGGCCTCCTTTCAAGTTAGGGCTTCTCGCTGTTTATTCCACTTGAGGCAGTGAATTCGGGGTCCCTCCCACATACCTATTGCTGAGAGAAACCTCCTCCTGAGGTGCTTCTGGAAAGTTGGCATACGTCTTGAGCCTAAGCCAGGGAATCAGCTCTCATCTCGAGACGATTTGGGGTACACGGAGCATTCCTCGAGTTGCTGTGCTGAAGTTGGTGTTCCTCTAGACTTGGGACAGTGTTCTCGGGTCATCTCTGGAGTTGCCTGAAGGAAGTCGAGCAACCGGTCTTGTTGAATGGGGAACGGGGAATGGCTCTGGACTCAATGCAGGGGAATCGAGCCTCATCTCGAGTTGATTTGGGGCACATGGAGCTGCTTTGCGTTGCTGGGGTGACCTCAGGTTCCGTCTAGACTGGTGACAGTGTTCTTGGGTACTGTCTCAAGATCCATTAAGCAAGTCGAAGCTCCTGACTTGTTTGAATGGGATCACCGAATAGCTCTGCATGCACTGCAGTGGAATGGGGCCTCATCTCGCCTCTAGGGGGAAGTCTCATGGTTTTTCTCGAGTTGCGGCGGGGACCTGGGGTATGTTCTCGACTTACGGCGGGGATGGCCCTTCAAAACACGAGTTTCTTCAGTGACGTCAGGACTACTTTCTAGTAACGAGGGACACCTCTGGAGTCTCTTCGATGCTTGACAGGGCAAAAGGGTCGCTTCTCGAAGTGAGGCAGGGCACCCAAGTACCCTTTCCAGTAGCCATAGGGATTTTGGGATTCCTATCAGTATTCAAGAGGAGTCAGGCATCGTCACCTTTTGAAGCAATGAACTCCGGGTGCCTCTCGAGGTGTCAACTGGATGTGAGGCATTCCGTCAAAATGAGGTAGGGTCCTAGGGCTTTCTCTAAGTTCTCCACAGGGGATTCAGAGATCCCTTCAGGTTTTGAGATCAAAGACGAGCCGGTTTTCAAGACACTGCAAGGAAACCCGGCCTCCTTTCAAGTTAGGGCTTCTCGCTGTATATTCCACTTGAGGCAGCGATCTCGGGGTCACTCCCACATACCTATTGCTGAGAGAAGCCTCCTCCTGAGGTGCTTCTGGAAAGTTGGCATACGTCTTGAGCCTAATCCAGGGAATCAGCTCTAATCTCGACACGATTTGGGGTACAAGGAGCCGTCCTCGAGTTGCTGTGCTCAAGTTGGTGTTCCTCTAGACTTGGGACAGTGTTCTCCGGGCATCTCTGGAGTTGCCTGAAGGAAGTCGAGCCACCGGTCCTGTTGAATGGGGAACGGGAAATGGCTCTGGAGTCAATGCAGGGGAAACGGCCCTCATCTCGAGTTGATTTGGGCCACATGGAGCTGCCTTGCGTTGCTGGGGTAACCTCAGAGTCCGTCTAGACTGGTGACAGTGTTCTTGGGGACTGTCTCGAGATCCATTAAGCAAGTTGAAGCTCCTGACTTGTTTGATGGGGATCACCGAATAGCTCTGCATGCACTGCAGGGGAATGGGGCCTCATCTCGCCTCTAGGGGGAAGTCTCATGGTTTTTCTCGAGTTGCGGCAGGGACCTGGGGTATGTTCTCGACTTACGGCGGTTATGTCCCTTCAAAACACGAGTTTCTTCAGTGACGTCAGGACTCCTGTCTAGTAACGAGGGACACCTCAAGAATCTCTTCGAGGCTTGGCAGGGCAAAAGGGATGCTTCTCGAGGTCAGGCAGGGCACCCAAGGACACTTTCCAGTAGCCACAGGGATTTTGGGATTCCTATCAGTATTCAAGAGCAGTCAGGCATCGTCACCTTTTGAAGCAATGAACTCCGCGTGCCTCTCGAGGTGTCAACGGGATGTGAGGCATTCCGTCAAAATGAGGCAGGGACCTAGGGCTTTCTCTAAGGTCTCCACAGGGAATTCAGACATCCCTTCATGTTTTGAGATCAAAGACGAGCCTGTATTCAAGCCACTGCAAGGAAATCCGGCCTCCTTTCAAGTTAGGGCTTCTCGCTGTATACTCCACTTGAAGCAGTGAATTCGGGGTCCCTCCCACATACCTATTGCTGAGAGAAGCCTCCTCCTGAGGTGCTTCTGGGAAGTTGGCATACGTCTTGAGCCTAAGCCAGGGAATCAGCTCTCATCTCGAGACGATTTGGGGTACATGGAGCATTCCTCGGGTTGCTGTGATGAAGTTGGTGTTCCTCTAGACTTGGAACAGTGATCTCTGGGCATCTCTGGAGTTGCCTGAAGGAAGTCGAGCCACCGGTCGTGTTGAATGGGGAACGGGGAATGGCTCTGGAGTCAATGCAGGGGAATCGGGCCTCATCTCGAGTTGATTTGGGGCACATGGAGCTGCTTTGCGTTGCTGGGGTGACCTCAGGGTCCGTCTAGACTGGTGAGAGTGTTCTTGGGGACTCTCTCGAGATCCATTAAGCAAGTCGAAGCTCCTGACTTGTTTGAGTGGGATCACGGAATAGCTTTGCATGCACTGCAGGGGAATGGGGCCTCATCTCGCCTCTAGGGGGAAGTCTCATGGTTTTTCTCGAGTTGCAGCGGGGACCTGGGGTATGTTCTCGACTTAAGGCGGGGATGGCCCTTCAAAACACGAGTTTCTTCAGTGACGTCAGGACTCCTGTCTAGTAACGAGGGACACCTCAGGAATCTCTTCGAGGCTTGGCAGGGCAAAAGGGAGGCTTCTCGAGGTGAGGCAGGGCACCCAAGGACCCTTTCCAGTAGCCACAGGGATTTTGGGAATCCTATCAGTATTCAAGAGGAGTCAGGCATCGTCACCTTTTGAAGCAATGAACTCCGCGTGCCTCTCGAGGTGTCAGCGGGATGTGAGGCATTCCGTCAAAATGAGGCATGGACCTAGGGCGTTCTCTAAGGTCTCCACAGGGGATTCAGACATCCCTTCATGTTGTGAGATGAAAGACGAGCCTGTATTCAAGCCACTGCAAGGAAATCCGGGCTCCTTTCAAGATAGGGCTTCTCGCTGTATATTCCCCTTGAGGCAGCAAACTCGGGGTCCCTCCCACATACCTATTGTTGAGAGAAGCCTCCTCCTGAGGTGCTTCTGGGAAGTTGGCATATGTCTTTAGCCTAAGCCAGGGAATCAGCTCTCATCTCGAGACGATTTGGGGTACACGGAGCATTCCTCGAGTTGCTGTGCTGAAGTTGGTCTTCCTCTAGACTTGGGACAGTGTTCTCGGGGCATCTCTGGAGTTGCCTGAAGGAAGTCGAGCCACCGGTCGTGTTGAATGGGGAACGGGGAATGGCTCTGGAGTCAACGCAGGGGAATCGGGCCTCATCTCGAGTTGATTTGGGGCACATGAAGCTGCTTTGCATTGCTGGGGTGACCTCAGGGTCCGTCTAGACTGGTGACAGTGTTCTTGGGGACTGTCTCGAGATCCATTAAGCAAGTCGAAGCTCCTGACTTGTTTGAATGGGATCACGGAATAGCTGTGCATGCACTGCAGGGGAATGGGGCCTCATCTCGCCTCTAGGGGAAAGTCTCATGGTTTTTCTCGAGTTGCGGCGGGGACCTGGGGTATGTTCTCGACTTACGGCGGGGATGGCCCTTCAAAACACGAGTTTCTTCAGTGACGTCAGGACTCCTGTCTAGTAACGAGGGACACCTCAGGAATCTCTTCGAGGCTTGGCAGGGCAAAAGGGAAGCTTCTCGAGGTGAGGCAGCGCACCCAAGGACCCTTTCCAGTAGCCACAGGGATTTTGGGATTCCTATCAGTATTCAAGAGGAGTCAGGCATCGTCACCTTTTGAAGCAATGAACTCCGCGTGCCTCTCGAGGTGTCAGCGGGATGTGGGGCATTACGTCAAAATGAGGCAGGGACCTAGGGCTTTCTCTAAGGTCTCCACAGGGGATTCAGTCATCCCTTCATGTTGTGAGATGAAAGACGAGCCTGTATTCAAACCACTGCAAGGAAATCCGGCGTCCTTTCAAGTTAGGGCCTCTCGCTGTATATTCCCCTTGTGGCAGCAAACTCGGTGTCCCTCGCACATACCTATTGCTGAGAGAAGCCTCCTCCTGAGGTGCTTCTGGAAAGTTGGCATACTTCTTGAGCCTAAGCCAGGGAATCAGCTCTCATTTCGAGACGATTTGGGGTACACGGAGCATTCCTAGAGTTGCTGTGCTGAAGTTGGTGTTCCTCTAGACTTGGAACAGTGATCTCTGGGCATCTCTGGAGTTGCCTGAAGGAAGTCGAGCCACCGGTCGTGTTGAATGGGGAACGGGGAATGGCTCTGGAGTCAATGCAGGGGAATCGGGCCTCATCTGGAGTTGATTTGGGGCACATGGAGCTGCTTTGCGTTGCTGGGGTGACCTCAGGGTCCGTCTAGACTGGTGAGAGTGTTCTTGGGGACTGTCTCGAGATCCATTAAGCAAGTCGAAGCTCCTGACTTGTTTGAATGGGATCACGGAATAGCTTTGCATGCACTGCAGGGGAATGGGGCCTCATCTCGCCTCTAGGGGGAAGTCTCATGGTTTTTCTCGAGTTGCAGCGGGGACCTGGGGTATGTTCTCGACTTACGGCGGGGATGGCCCTTCAAAACACGAGTTTCTTCAGTGACGTCAGGACTACTGTCTAGTAACGAGGGACACCTCAGGAATCTCTTCGAGGCTTGGCAGGGCAAAAGGGACCCTTCTCGAGGTGAGGCAGGGCACCCAAGGACCCTTTCCAGTAGCCACAGGGATTTTGGGATTCCTATGAGTATTCAAGAGGGGTCAGGCATCGTCACCTTTTGAAGCAATGAACTCCCCGTGCCTCTCGAGGTGTCAGCGGGATGTGAGGCATTCCGTCAAAATGAGGCAGGGACCTAGGGCTTTCTCTAAGGTCTCCACAGGGGATTCAGACATCCCTTCATGTTGTGAGATGAAAGACGAGCCTGTATTCAAGCCACTGCAAGGAAATCCGGCCTCCTTTCAAGTTAGGGCTTCTCGCTGTATATTCCCCTTGACGCAGCAAACTCGGGGTCCCTCCCACATAACTATTGCTGAGAGAAGCCTCCTCCTGAGGTGCTTCTGGGAAGTTGGCATACGTCTTGAGCCTAAGCCAGGGAATCAGCTCCCATCTCGAGACGATTTGGGGTACATGGAGCATGCCTCGAGTTGCTGTGCTGAAGTTGGTGTTCCTCGAGACTTGGGACAGTGTTCTCGGGGCATCTCTTGAGTTGCCTGAAGGAAGTCGAGCCACCCGTCGTGTTGAATGGGGAACGGGGAATGGCTCTGGAGTCAATGCAGGGGAATCGGGCCTCATCTCGAGTTGATTTGGGGCACATGGAGCTGCTTTGCGTTGCTGGGGTGACCTCAGGGTCCGTCTAGACTGGTGACAGTGTTCTTGGGGACTGTCTCGAGATCCATTAAGCAAGTCGAAGCTCCTGACTTGTTTGAATGGGATCACGGAATAGCTCTGCATGCACTGCACGGGAATGGGGCCTCATCTCGCCTCTAGGGGGAAGTCTCATTGTTTTTCTCGAGTTGCGGCGGGGACCTGGGGTATGTTCTCGACTTATGGCGGGGATGGCCCTTCAAAACACGAGTCTCTTCAGTGACATCAGGACTCCTATCTAGCAACGAGGGACACCTCAGGAATCTCTTCGAGGCTTGGCAGGGCAAAAGGGACGCTTCTCGAGGTGAGGCAGGGCACCCAAGGACCCTTTCCAGTAGCCACAGGGATTTTGGGATTCCTATCAGTATTCAAGAGGAGTCAGGCATCGTCACCTTTTGAAGCAATGAACTCCGCGTGCCTCTCGAGGTCTCAACGGGATGTGGGGCATTCCGTCAAAATGAGGCAGGGAACTAGGGCTTTCTCTAAGGTCTCCACAGGGGATTCAGACATCCCTTCATGTTGTGAGATGAAAGACGAGCCTGTATTCAAGCCACGGCAAGAAAATCCGGCCTCCTTTCAAGTTAGGGCTTCTCGCTGTATATTCCCCTTGAGGCAGCAAACTCGGGGTCCCTCCAACATAACTATTGCTGAGAGAAGCCTCCTCCTGAGGTGATTCTGGGAAGTTGGCATACGTCTTGAGCCTAAGCCAGGGAATCAGCTCTCATCTCGAGACGATTTGGGGTACATGGAGCATTCCTCGAGTTGCTGTGCTGAAGTTGGTGTTCCTCTAGACTTGGGACAGTGATCTCAGGGCATCTCTGGAGTTGCCTGAAGGAAGTCGAGCCACCGGTCGTGTTGAATGGGGAACGGGGAATGGCTCTGGAGTCAATGCAGGGGAATCGGGCCTCATCTCGAGTTGATTTGGGGCACATGGAGCTGCTTTGCGTTGCTGGATTGACCTCAGGGTCCATCTAGAGTGGTGACAGTGTTCTTGGGGACTGTCTCGAGATCCATTAAGCAAGTGGAAGCTCCTGACTTGTTTGAATGGGATCACGGAATATCTCTGCATGCACTGCAGGGGAATGGGGCCTCATCTCGCCTCTAGGGGGAAGTCTCATGGTTTTTCTCGAGTTGCGGCGGGGACCTGGGATATGTTCTCGACTTACGGCGGGGATGGCCCTTCAAAACACGAGTTTCTTCAGTGACGTCAGGACTCCTGTCTAGTAACGAGGGACACCTCAGGAATCTCTTCGAGGCTTGGCAGGGCAAAAGGGACGCTTCTCGAGGTGAGGCAGGGTACCCAAGGACCCTTTCCAGTAGCCACAGGGATTTTGGGATTCCTATCAGTATTCAAGAGGAGGCAGGCATCGTCACCTTTTGAAGCAATGAACTCCGCGTGCCTCTCGAGGTGTCAGCGGGATGTGAGGCATTCCGTCAAAATGAGGCAGGGACCTAGGGCTTTCTCTAAGGTCTCCACAGGGGATTCAGACATCCCTTCATGTTGTGAGATGAAAGACGAGCCTGTATTCAAGCCACTGCAAGGAAATCCGGGCTCCTTTCAAGTTAGGGCTTCTCGCTGTATATTCCCCTTGAGGCAGCAAACTCGGGGTCCCTCCCACATACCTATTGCTGAGAGAAGCCTCCTCCTGAGGTGCTTCTGGGAAGTTGGCATATGTCTTTTGCCTAAGCCAGGGAATCAGCTCTCATCTCGAGACGATTTGGGGTACACGGAGCATTCCTCGAGTTGCTGTGCTGAAGTTGGTGTTCCTCTAGACTTGGGACAGTGTTCTCGGGGCATCTCTGGAGTTGCCTGAAGGAAGTCGAGCCACCGGTCGTGTTGAATGGGGAACGTGGAATGGCTCTGGAGTCAACGCAGGGGAATCGGGCCTCATCTCGAGTTGATTTGGGGCACATGAAGCTGCTTTGCATTGCTGGGGTGACCTCAGGGTCCGTCTAGACTGGTGACAGTGTTCTTGGGGACTGTCTCGAGATCCATTAAGCAAGTCGAAGCTCCTGACTTGTTTGAATGGGATCACGGAATAGCTGTGCATGCACTGCAGGGGAATGGGGCCTCATCTCGCCTCTAGGGGAAAGTCTCATGGTTTTTCTCGAGTTGCGGCGGGGACCTGGGGTATGTTCTCGACTTACGGCGGGGATGGCCCTTCAAAACACGAGTTTCTTCAGTGACGTCAGGACTCCTGTCTAGCAACGAGGGACACCTCAGGAATCTCTTCGAGGCTTGGCAGGGCAAAAGGGAAGCTTCTCGAGGTGAGGCAGCGCACCCAAGGACCCTTTCCAGTAGCCACAGGGATTTTGGGATTCCTATCAGTATTCAAGAGGAGTCAGGCATCGTCACCTTTTGAAGCAATGAACTCCGCGTGCCTCTCGAGGTGTCAGCGGGATGTGAGGCATTCCGTCAAAATGAGGCAGGGACCTAGGGCTTTCTCTAAGGTCTCCACAGGGGATTCAGACATCCCTTCATGTTGTGACATGAAAGACGAGCCTGTATTCAAGCCACTGCAAGGAAATCCGGCCTCCTTTCAAGTTAGGGCTTCTCGCTGTATATTCCCCTTGAGGCAGCAAACTCGGGGTCCCTCCCACATAACTATTGCTGAGAGAAGCCTCCTCCTGAGGTGCTTCTGGGAAGTTGGCATACGTCTTGAGCCTAAGCCAGGGAATCAGCTCTCATCTCGAGACGATTTGGGGTACATGGAGCATGCCTCGAGTTGCTGTGCTGAAGTTGGTGTTCCTCTAGACTTGGGACAGTGTTCTCGGGGCATCTCTGTAGTTGCCTGAAGGAAGTCGAGCCACCGGTCGTGTTGAATGGGGAACGGGGAATGGCTCTGGAGTCAATGCAGGGGAATCGGGCCTCATCTCGAGTTGATTTGGGGCACATGGAGCTGCTTTGCGTTTCTGGGGTGACCTCAGGGTCCGTCTAGACTGGTGACAGTGTTCTTGGGGACTGTCTCGAGATCCATTAAGCAAGTCGAAGCTCCTGACTTGTTTGAATGGGATCACGGAATAGCTCTGCATGCACTGCAGGGGAATGGGGCCTCATCTCGCCTCTAGGGGGAAGTCTCATGGTTTTTCTCGAGTTGCGGCGGGGACCTGGGGTATGTTCTCGACTTACGGCGGGGATGGCCCTTCAAAACACGAGTTTCTTCAGTGACGTCAGGACTCCTGTCTAGTAACGAGGGACACCTCAGGAATCTCTTCGAGGCTTGGCAGGGCAAAAGGGACACTTCTCGAGATGAGGCAGGGCACCCAAGGACCCTTTCCAGTAGCCACAGGGATTTTGGGATTCCTATCAGTATTCAAGAGGAGGCAGGCATTGTCACCTTTTGAAGCAATGAACTCCGCGTGCCTCTCGAGGTGTCAGCGGGATGTGAGGCATTCCGTCAAAATGAGGCAGGGACCTAGGGCTTTCTCTAAGGTCTCCACAGGGGATTCAGACATCCCTTCATGTTGTGAGATGAAAGACGAGCCTGTATTCAAGCCACTGCAAGGAAATCCGGGCTCCTTTCAAGTTAGGGCTTCTCGCTGTATATTCCCCTTGAGGCAGCAAACTCGGGGTCCCTCCCACATACCTATTGCTGAGAGAAGCCTCCTCCTGAGGTGCTTCTGGGAAGTTGGCATATGTCTTGAGCCTAAGCCAGGGAATCAGCTCTCATCTCGAGACGATTTGGTGTACACGGAGCATTCCTCGAGTTGCTGTGCTGAAGTTGGTGTTCCTCGAGACTTGGGACAGTGTTCTCGGGGCATCTCTTGAGTTGCCTGAAGGAAGTCGAGCCACCCGTCGTGTTGAATGGGGAACGGGGAATGGCTCTGGAGTCAATGCAGGGGAATCGGGCCTCATCTCGAGTTGATTTGGGGCACATGGAGCTGCTTTGCGTTGCTGGGGTGACCTCAGGGTCCGTCTAGACTGGTGACAGTGTTCTTGGGGACTGTCTCGAGATCCATTAAGCAAGTCGAAGCTCCTGACTTGTTTGAGTGGGATCACGGAATAGCTTTGCATGCACTGCAGGGGAATGGGGCCTCATCTCGCCTCTAGGGGGAAGTCTCATGGTTTTTCTCGAGTTGCGGCGGGGACCTGGGGTATGTTCTTGACTTACGGCGGGGATGGCCCTTCAAAACACGAGTTTCTTCAGTGACGTCAGGACTACTGTCTAGTAACGAGGGACACCTCAGGAATCTCTTCGAGGCTTGGCAGGGCAAAAGGGACCCTTCTCGAGGTGAGGCAGGGCACCCAAGGACCCTTTCCAGTAGCCACAGGGATTTTGGGATTCCTATCAGTATTCAAGAGGAGTCAGGCATCGTCACCTTTTGAAGCAATGAACTCCCCGTGCCTCTCGAGGTGTCAGCGGGATGTGAGGCATTCCGTCAAAATGAGGCAGGGACCTAGGGCTTTCTCTAAGGTCTCCACAGGGGATTCAGACATCCCTTCATGTTGTGAGATGAAAGACGAGCCTGTATTCAAGCCACTGCAAGGAAATCCGGCCTCCTTTCAAGTTAGGGCTTCTCGCTGTATATTCCCCTTGAGGCAGCAAACTCGGGGTCCCTCCCACATAACTATTGCTGAGAGAAGCCTCCTCCTGAGGTGCTTCTGGGAAGTTGGCATACGTCTTGAGCCTAAGCAAGGGAATCAGCTCTCATCTCGAGACGATTTGGGGTACATGGAGCATGCCTCGAGTTGCTGTGCTGAAGTTGGTGTTCCTCTAGACTTGGGACAGTGTTCTCGGGGCATCTCTGGAGTTGCCTGAAGGAAGTCGAGCCACCGGTCGTGTTGAATGGGGAACGGGGAATGGCTCTGGAGTCAATGCAGGGGAATCGGGCCTCATCTCGAGTTGATTTGGGGCACATGGAGCTGCTTTGCGTTGCTGGGGTGACCTCAGGGTCCGTCTAGACTGGTGACAGTGTTCTTGGGGACTGTCTCGAGATCCATTAAGCAAGTCGAAGCTCCTGACTTGTTTGAATGGGATCACGGAATAGCTCTGCATGCACTGCAGGGGAATGGGGCCTCATCTCGCCTCTAGGGGGAAGTCTCATGGTTTTTCTCGAGTTGCGGCGGGGACCTGGGGTATGTTCTCGACTTACGGCGGGGATGGCCCTTCAAAACACGAGTTTCTTCAGTGACGTCAGGACTCCTGTCTAGTAACGAGGGACACCTCAGGAATCTCTTCGAGGCTTGGCAGGGCAAAAGGGACGCTTCTCGAGGTGAGGCAGGGCACCCAAGGACCCTTTCCAGTAGCCACAGGGATTTTGGGATTCCTATCAGTATTCAAGAGGAGGCAGGCATCGTCACCTTTTGAAGCAATGAACTCCGCGTGCCTCTCGAGGTGTCAGCGGGATGTGAGGCATTCCGTCAAAATGAGGCAGGGACCTAGGGCTTTCTCTAAGGTCTCCACAGGGGATTCAGACATCCCTTCATGTTGTGAGATGAAAGACGAGCCTGTATTCAAGCCACTGCAAGGAAATCCGGGCTCCTTTCAAGTTAGGGCTTCTCGCTGTATATTCCCCTTGAGGCAGCAAACTCGGGATCTCTCCCACATACCTATTGCTGAGAGAAGCCTCCTCCTGAGGTGCTTCTGGGAAGTTGGCATATGTCTTGAGCCTAAGCCAGGGAATCAGCTCTCATCTCGAGACGATTTGGGGTACACGGAGCATTCCTCGAGTTGCTGTGCTGAAGTTGGTGTTCCTCTAGACTTGGGACAGTGTTCTCGGGGCATCTCTGGAGTTGCCTGAAGGAAGTCGAGCCACCGGTCGTGTTGAATGGGGAACGGGGAATGGCTCTGGAGTCAACGCAGGGGAATCGGGCCTCATCTCGAGTTGATTTGGGGCACATGAAGCTGCTTTGCATTGCTGGGGTGACCTCAGGGTCCGTCTAGACTGGTGACAGTGTTCTTGGGGACTGTCTCGAGATCCATTAAGCAAGTCGAAGCTCCTGACTTGTTTGAATGGGATCACGGAATAGCTGTGCATGCACTGCAGGGGAATGGGGCCTCATCTCGCCTCTAGGGGAAAGTCTCATGGTTTTTCTCGAGTTGCGGCGGGGACCTGGGGTATGTTCTCGACTTACGGCGGGGATGGCCCTTCAAAACACGAGTTTCTTCAGTGACGTCAGGACTACTGTCTAGTAACGAGGGACACCTCAGGAATCTCTTCGAGGCTTGGCAGGGCAAAAGGGACCCTTCTCGAGGTGAGGCAGGGCACCCAAGGACCCTTTCCAGTAGCCACAGGGATTTTGGGATTCCTATGAGTATTCAAGAGGAGTCAGGCATCGTCACCTTTTGAAGCAATGAACTCCCCGTGCCTCTCGAGGTGTCAGCGGGATGTGAGGCATTCCGTCAAAATGAGGCAGGGACCTAGGGCTTTCTCTAAGGTCTCCACAGGGGATTCAGACATCCCTTCATGTTGTGAGATGAAAGACGAGCCTGTATTCAAGCCACTGCAAGGAAATCCGGCCTCCTTTCAAGTTAGGGCTTCTCGCTGTATATTCCCCTTGAGGCAGCAAACTCGGGGTCCCTCCCACATACCTATTGCTGAGAGAAGCCTCCTCCTGAGGTGCTTCTCGGAAGTTGGCATACGTCTTGAGCCTAAGCCAGGGAATCAGCTCTCATCTCGAGAAGATTTGGGGTACATGGAGCATGCCTCGAGTTGCTGTGCTGAAGTTGGTGTTCCTCTAGACTTGGGACAGTGTTCTCGGGGCATCTCTGGAGTTGCCTGAAGGAAGTCGAGCCACCGGTCGTGTTGAATGGGGAACGGGGAATGGCTCTGGAGTCAATGCAGGGGAATCGGGCCTCATCTCGAGTTGATTTGGGGCACATGGAGCTGCTTTGCGTTGCTGGGGTGACCTCAGGGTCCGTCTAGACTGGTGACAGTGTTCTTGGGGACTGTCTCGAGATCCATTAAGCAAGTCGAAGCTCCTGACTTGTTTGAATGGGATTACGGAATAGCTCTGCATGCACTGCAGGGGAATGGGGCCTCATCTCGCCTCTAGGGGGAAGTCTCATTGTTTTTCTCGAGTTGCGGCGGGGACCTGGGGTATGTTCTCGACTTACGGCGGGGATGGCCCTTCAAAACACGAGTTTCTTCAGTGACATCAGGACTCCTGTCTAGCAACGAGGGACACCTCAGGAATCTCTTCGAGGCTTGGCAGGGCAAAAGGGACGCTTCTCGAGGTGAGGCAGGGCACCCAAGGACCCTTACCAGTAGCCACAGGGATTTTGGGATTCCTATCAGTATTCAAGAGGAGTCAGGCATCGTCACCTTTTGAAGCAATGAACTCCGCGTGCCTCTCGAGGTCTCAACGGGATGTGGGGCATTCCGTCAAAATGAGGCAGGGACCTAGGGCTTTCTCTAAGGTCTCCACAGGGGATTCAGACATCCCTTCATGTTGTGAGATGAAAGACGAGCCTGTATTCAAGCCACGGCAAGAAAATCCGGCCTCCTTTCAAGTTAGGGCTTCTCGCTGTATATTCCCCTTGAGGCAGCAAACTCGGGGTCCCTCCAACATAACTATTGCTGAGAGAAGCCTCCTCCTGAGGTGATTCTGGGAAGTTGGCATACGTCTTGAGCCTAAGCCAGGGAATCAGCTCTCATCTCGAGACGATTTGGGGTACATGGAGCATTCCTCGAGTTGCTGTGCTGAAGTTGGTGTTCCTCTAGACTTGGGACAGTGATCTCAGGGCATCTCTGGAGTTGCCTGAAGGAAGTCGAGCCACCGGTCGTGTTGAATGGGGAACGGGGAATGGCTCTGGAGTCAATGCAGGGGAATCGGGCCTCATCTCGAGTTGATTTGGGGCACATGGAGCTGCTTTGCGTTGCTGGATTGACCTCAGGGTCCATCTAGAGTGGTGACAGTGTTCTTGGGGACTGTCTCGAGATCCATTAAGCAAGTGGAAGCTCCTGACTTGTTTGAATGGGATCACGGAATATCTCTGCATGCACTGCAGGGGAATGGGGCCTCATCTCGCCTCTAGGGGGAAGTCTCATGGTTTTTCTCGAGTTGCGGCGGGGACCTGGGATATGTTCTCGACTTACGGCGGGGATGGCCCTTCAAAACACGAGTTTCTTCAGTGACGTCAGGACTCCTGTCTAGTAACGAGGGATACCTCAGGAATCTCTTCGAGGCTTGGCAGGGCAAAAGGGACGCTTCTCGAGGTGAGGCAGGGCACCCAAGGACCCTTTCCAGTAGCCACAGGGATTTTGGGATTCCTATCAGTATTCAAGAGGAGTCAGGCATCGTCACCTTTTGAAGTAATGAACTCCGCGTGCCTCTCGAGGTGTCAGCGGGATGTGAGGCATTCCGTCAAAATGAGGCAGGGACCTAGGGATTTCTCTAAGGTCTCCACAGGGGATTCAGACATCCCTTCATGTTGTGAGATGAAAGACGAGCCTGTATTCAAGCCACTGCAAGGAAATTCGGCCTCCTTTCAAGTTAGGGCTTCTCGCTGTATATTCCCCTTGAGGCAGCAAACTCGGGGTCCCTCCCACATACCTATTGCTGAGAGAAGCCTCCTCCTGAGGTGCTTGTGAGAAGTTGGCATATGTCTTGAGCCTAAGCCAGGGAATCAGCTCTCATCTCGAGACGATTTGGGGTACACGGAGCATTCCTCGAGTTGCTGTGCTGAAGTTGGTGTTCCTCTCGACATGGGACAGTGTTCTCGGGGCATCTCTGGAGTTGCCTGAAGGAAGTCGAGCCACCGGTCGTGTTGAATGGGGAAAGGGGAATGGCTCTGGAGTCAATGCAGGGGAATCGGGCCTCATCTCGAGTTGATTTGGGGCACATGGAGCTGCTTTGCGTTGCTGGGGTGACCTCAGGGTCCGTCTAGACTGGTTACAGTGTTCTTGGGGACTGTCTCGAGATCCATTAAGCAAGTCGAAGCTCCTGACTTGTTTGAATGGGATCACGGAATAGCTCTGCATGCACTGGAGGGGAATGGGCCTCATCTCGCCTCTAGGGGGAAGTCTCATGGTTTTTCTCGAGTTGCGGCGGGGACCTGGGGTATGTTCTCGACTTAAGGCGGGGATGGCCCTTCAAAACACGAGTTTCTTCAGTGACGTCAGGACTCCTGTCTAGTAACGAGGGACACCTCAGGAATCTCTTCGAGGCTTGGCAGGGCAAAAGGGACGCTTCTCGAGGTGAGGCAGGGCACCCAAGGACCCTTTCCAGTAGCCACAGTGATTTTGGGATTCCTATCAGTATTCAAGAGGAGTCAGGCATCGTCACCTTTTGAAGCAATGAACTCCGCGTGCCTCTCAAGGTGTCAGCGGGATGTGAGGCATTCCGTCAAAATGAGGCAGGGACCTAGGGCTTTCTCTAAGGTCTCCCCAGGGGATTCAGACATCCCTTCATGTTGTGAGATGAAAGACGAGCCTGTATTCAAGCCACTGCAAGGAAATCCGGCCTCCTTTCAAGTTAGGGCTTCTCGCTGTATATTCCCCTTGAGGCAGCAAACTCGGGGTCCCTCCCACATACTTATTGCTGAGAGAAGCCTCCTCCTGAGGTGCTTCTGGGAAGTTGGCATACGTCTTGAGCCTAAGCCAGGGAATCAGCTCTCATCTCGAGACGATTTGGGGTACACGGAGCATTCCTCGAGTTGCTGTGCTGAAGTTGGTGTTCCTCGAGACTTGGGACAGTGTTCTCGGGGCATCTCTTGAGTTGCCTGAAGGAAGTCGAGCCACCCGTCGTGTTGAATGGGGAACGGGGAATGGCTCTGGAGTCAATGCAGGGGAATCGGGCCTCATCTCGAGTTGATTTGGGGCACATGGAGCTGCTTTGCGTTGCTGGGGTGACCTCACGGTCCGTCTAGACTGGTGACAGTGTTCTTGGGGACTGTCTCGAGATCCATTAAGCAAGTCGAAGCTCCTGACTTGTTTGAATGGGATCACGGAATAGCTCTGCATGCACTGCAGGGGAATGGGGCCTCATCTCGCCTCTAGGGGGAAGTCTCATGGTTTTTCTCGAGTTGCGGCGGGGACCTGGGGTATGTTCTCGACTTACGGCGGGGATGGCCCTTCAAAACACGAGTTTCTTCAGTGACGTCAGGACTCCTGTCTAGTAACGAGGGACACCTCAGGAATCTCTTCGAGGCTTGGCAGGGCAAAAGGGACGCTTCTCGAGGTGAGGCAGGGCACCCAAGGACCCTTTCCAGTAGCCAAACGGATTTTGGGATTCCTATCAGTATTCAAGAGGAGGCAGGCATCGTCACCTTTTGAAGCAATGAACTCCGCGTGCCTCTCGAGGTGTCAGCGGGATGTGAGGCATTCCGTCAAAATGAGGCAGGGACCTAGGGCTTTCTCTAAGGTCTCCACAGGGGATTCAGACATCCCTTCATGTTGTGAGATGAAAGACGAGCCTGTATTCAAGCCACTGCAAGGAAATCCGGGATCCTTTCAAGTTAGGGCTTCTCGCTGTATATTCCCCTTGAGGCAGCAAACTCGGGGTCCCTCCCACATACCTATTGCTGAGAGAAGCCTCCTCCTGAGGTGCTTCTGGGAAGTTGGCATACGTCTTGAGCCTAAGCAAGGGAATCAGCTCTCATCTCGAGACGATTTGGGGTACACGGAGCATTCCTCGAGTTGCTGTGCTGAAGTTGGTGTTCCTCGAGACTTGGGACAGTGTTCTCGGGGCATCTCTTGAGTTGCCTGAAGGAAGTCGAGCCACCCGTCGTGTTGAATGGGGAACGGGGAATGGCTCTGGAGTCAATGCAGGGGAATCGGGCCTCATCTCGAGTTGATTTGGGGCACATGGAGTTGCTTTGCGTTGCTGGGTTGACCTCAGGGTCCGTCTAGACTGGTGACAGTGTTCTTGGGGACTGTCTCGAGATCCATTAAGCAAGTCGAAGCTCCTGACTTGTTTGAATGGGATCACGGAATAGCTCTGCATGCACTGCAGGGGAATGGGGCCTCATCTCGCCTCTAGGGGGAAGTCTCATGGTTTTTCTCGAGTTGCGGCGGGGACCTGGGGTATGTTCTCGACTTACGGCGGGGATGGCCCTTCAAAACACGAGTTTCTTCAGTGACGTCAGGACTCCTGTCTAGCAACGAGGGACACCTCAGGAATCTCTTCGAGGCTTGGCAGGGCAAAAGGGACCCTTCTCGAGGTGAGGCAGGGCACCCAAGGACCCTTTCCAGTAGCCACAGGGATTTTGGGAATCCTATCAGTATTCAAGAGGAGTCAGGCATCGTCACCTTTTGAAGCAATGAACTCCGCATGCCTCTCGAGGTGTCAGCGGGATGTGAGGCATTCCGTCAAAATGAGGCAGGGACCTAGGGCTTTCTCTAAGGTCTCCACAGGGGATTCAGACATCCCTTCATGTTGTGAGATGAAAGACGAGCCTGTATTCAAGCCACTGCAAGGAAATCCGGGCTCCTTTCAAGTTAGGGCTTCTCGCTGTATATTCCCCTTGAGGCAGCAAACTCGGGGTCCCTCCCACATACCTATTGCTGAGAGAAGCCTCCTCCTGAGGTGCTTCTCGGAAGTTGGGATACGTCTTGAGCCTAAGCCAGGGAATCAGCTCTCATCTCGAGACGATTTGAGGTACACGGAGCATTCCTCGAGTTGCTGTGCTGAAGTTGGTGTTCCTCTAGATATGGGACAGTGTTCTCGGGGCATCTCTGAAGTTTCCTGAAGGAAGTCGAGCCACCGGTCGTGTTGAGTGGGGAAAGGGGAATGGCTCTGGAGTCAATGCAGGGGAATCGGGCCTCATCTCGAGTTGATTTGGGGCACATGGAGCTGCTTTGCGTTGCTGGGGTGACCTCAGGGTCCGTCTAGACTGGTTACAGTGTTCTTGGGGACTGTCTCGAGATCCATTAAGCAAGTCGAAGCTCCTGACTTGTTTGAATGGGATCACGGAATAGCTCTGCATGCACTGGAGGGGAATGGGCCTCATCTCGCCTCTAGGGGGAATTCTCATGGTTTTTCTCGAGTTGCGGCGGGGACCTGGGGTATGTTCTCGACTTAAGGCGGGGATGGCCCTTCAAAACACGAGTGTCTTCAGTGACGTCAGGACTCCTGTCTAGTAACGAGGGACACCTCAGGAATCTTTTCGAGGCTTGGCAGGGCAAATGGGACGCTTCTCGAGGTGAGGCAGGGCACCCAAGGAACCTTTCCAGTAGCCACAGTGATTTTGGGATTCCTATCAGTATTCAAGAGGAGTCAGGCATCGTCACCTTTTGAAGCAATGAACTCCGCGTGCCTCTCAAGGTGTCAGCGGGATGTGGGGCATTCCGTCAAAATGAGGCAGGGACCTAGGGCTTTCTCTAAGGTCTCCACAGGGGATTCAGACAACCCTTCATGTTGTGAGATGAAAGACGAGCCTGTATTCAAGCCACTGCAAGGAAATCCGGGATCCTTTCAAGTTAGGGCTTCTCGCTGTATATTCCCCTTGAGGCAGCAAACTCGGGGTCCCTCCCACATACCTATTGCTGAGAGAAGCCTCCTCCTGAGGTGCTTCTGGGAAGTTGGCATACGTCTTGAGCCTAAGCAAGGGAATCAGCTCTCATCTCGAGACGATTTGGGGTACACGGAGCATTCCTCGAGTTGCTGTGCTGAAGTTGGTGTTCCTCGAGACTTGGGACAGTGTTCTCGGGGCATCTCTTGAGTTGCCTGAAGGAAGTCGAGCCACCCGTCGTGTTGAATGGGGAACGGGGAATGACTCTGGAGTCAATGCAGGGGAATCGGGCCTCATCTCGAGTTGATTTGGGGCACATGGAGCTGCTTTGCGTTGCTGGGGTGACCTCACGGTCCGTCTAGACTGGTGACAGTGTTCTTGGGGACTGTCTCGAGATCCATTAAGCAAGTCGAAGCTCCTGACTTGTTTGAATGGGATCACGGAATAGCTCTGCATGCACTGCAGGGGAATGGGGCCTCATCTCGCCTCTAGGGGGAAGTCTCATGGTTTTTCTCGAGTTGCGGCGGGGACCTGGGGTATGTTCTCGACTTACGGCAGGGATGGCCCTTCAAAACACGAGTTTCTTCAGTGACGTCAGGACTCCTGTCTAGTAACGAGGGACACCTCAGGAATCTCTTCGAGGCTTGGCAGGGCAAAAGGGACGCTTCTCGAGGTGAGGCAGGGCACCCAAGGACCCTTTCCAGTAGCCACACGGATTTTGGGATTCCTATCAGTATTCAAGAGGAGGCAGGCATCGTCACCTTTTGAAGCAATGAACTCCGCGTGCCTCTCGAGGTGTCAGCGGGATGTGAGGCATTCCGTCAAAATGAGGAAGGGACCTAGGGCTTTCTCTAAGGTCTCCACAGGGGATTCAGACATCCCTTCATGTTGTGAGATGAAAGACGAGCCTGTATTCAAGCCACTGCAAGGAAATCCGGGATCCTTTCAAGTTAGGGCTTCTCGCTGTATATTCCACTTGAGGCAGCAAACTCGGGGTCCCTCCCACATACCTATTGCTGAGAGAAGCCTCCTCCTGAGGTGCTTCTGGGAAGTTGGCATACGTCTTGAGCCTAAGCCAGGGAATCAGCTCTCATCTCGAGACGATTTGGGGTACACGGAGCATTCCTCGAGTTGCTGTGCTGAAGTTGGTGTTCCTCGAGACTTGGGACAGTGTTCTCGGGGCATCTCTTGAGTTGCCTGAAGGAAGTCGAGCCACCCGTCGTGTTGAATGGGGAACGGGGAATGGCTCTGGAGTCAATGCAGGGGAATCGGGCCTCATCTCGAGTTGATTTGGGGCACATGGAGCTGCTTTGCGTTGCTGGGGTGACCTCACGGTCCGTCTAGACTGGTGACAGTGTTCTTGGGGACTGTCTCGAGATCCATTAAGCAAGTCGAAGCTCCTGACTTGTTTGAATGGGATCACGGAATAGCTCTGCATGCACTGCAGGGGAATGGGGCCTCATCTCGCCTCTAGGGGGAAGTCTCATGGTTTTTCTCGAGTTGCGGCGGGGACCTGGGGTATGTTCTCGACTTACGGCGGGGATGGCCCTTCAAAACACGAGTTTCTTCAGTGACGTCAGGACTCCTGTCTAGTAACGAGGGACACCTCAGGAATCTCTTCGAGGCTTGGCAGGGCAAAAGGGACGCTTCTCGAGGTGAGGCAGGGCACCCAAGGACCCTTTCCAGTAGCCAAACGGATTTTGGGATTCCTATCAGTATTCAAGAGGAGGCAGGCATCGTCACCTTTTGAAGCAATGAACTCCGCGTGCCTCTCGAGGTGTCAGCGGGATGTGAGGCATTCCGTCAAAATGAGGCAGGGACCTAGGGCTTTCTCTAAGGTCTCCACAGGGGATTCAGACATCCCTTCATGTTGTGAGATGAAAGACGAGCCTGTATTCAAGCCACTGCAAGGAAATCCGGGATCCTTTCAAGTTAGGGCTTCTCGCTGTATATTCCCCTTGAGGCAGCAAACTCGGGGTCCCTCCCACATACCTATTGCTGAGAGAAGCCTCCTCCTGAGGTGCTTCTGGGAAGTTGGCATACGTCTTGAGCCTAAGCAAGGGAATCAGCTCTCATCTCGAGACGATTTGGGGTACACGGAGCATTCCTCGAGTTGCTGTGCTGAAGTTGGTGTTCCTCGAGACTTGGGACAGTGTTCTCGGGGCATCTCTTGAGTTGCCTGAAGGAAGTCGAGCCACCCGTCGTGTTGAATGGGGAACGGGGAATGGCTCTGGAGTCAATGCAGGGGAATCGGGCCTCATCTCGAGTTGATTTGGGGCACATGGAGTTGCTTTGCGTTGCTGGGTTGACCTCAGGGTCCGTCTAGACTGGTGACAGTGTTCTTGGGGACTGTCTCGAGATCCATTAAGCAAGTCGAAGCTCCTGACTTGTTTGAATGGGATCACGGAATAGCTCTGCATGCACTGCAGGGGAATGGGGCCTCATCTCGCCTCTAGGGGGAAGTCTCATGGTTTTTCTCGAGTTGCGGCGGGGACCTGGGGTATGTTCTCGACTTACGGCGGGGATGGCCCTTCAAAACACGAGTTTCTTCAGTGACGTCAGGACTCCTGTCTAGCAACGAGGGACACCTCAGGAATCTCTTCGAGGCTTGGCAGGGCAAAAGGGACCCTTCTCGAGGTGAGGCAGGGCACCCAAGGACCCTTTCCAGTAGCCACAGGGATTTTGGGAATCCTATCAGTATTCAAGAGGAGTCAGGCATCGTCACCTTTTGAAGCAATGAACTCCGCATGCCTCTCGAGGTGTCAGCGGGATGTGAGGCATTCCGTCAAAATGAGGCAGGGACCTAGGGCTTTCTCTAAGGTCTCCACAGGGGATTCAGACATCCCTTCATGTTGTGAGATGAAAGACGAGCCTGTATTCAAGCCACTGCAAGGAAATCCGGGCTCCTTTCAAGTTAGGGCTTCTCGCTGTATATTCCCCTTGAGGCAGCAAACTCGGGGTCCCTCCCACATACCTATTGCTGAGAGAAGCCTCCTCCTGAGGTGCTTCTCGGAAGTTGGGATACGTCTTGAGCCTAAGCCAGGGAATCAGCTCTCATCTCGAGACGATTTGAGGTACACGGAGCATTCCTCGAGTTGCTGTGCTGAAGTTGGTGTTCCTCTAGATATGGGACAGTGTTCTCGGGGCATCTCTGAAGTTTCCTGAAGGAAGTCGAGCCACCGGTCGTGTTGAGTGGGGAAAGGGGAATGGCTCTGGAGTCAATGCAGGGGAATCGGGCCTCATCTCGAGTTGATTTGGGGCACATGGAGCTGCTTTGCGTTGCTGGGGTGACCTCAGGGTCCGTCTAGACTGGTTACAGTGTTCTTGGGGACTGTCTCGAGATCCATTAAGCAAGTCGAAGCTCCTGACTTGTTTGAATGGGATCACGGAATAGCTCTGCATGCACTGGAGGGGAATGGGCCTCATCTCGCCTCTAGGGGGAATTCTCATGGTTTTTCTCGAGTTGCGGCGGGGACCTGGGGTATGTTCTCGACTTAAGGCGGGGATGGCCCTTCAAAACACGAGTGTCTTCAGTGACGTCAGGACTCCTGTCTAGTAACGAGGGACACCTCAGGAATCTTTTCGAGGCTTGGCAGGGCAAATGGGACGCTTCTCGAGGTGAGGCAGGGCACCCAAGGAACCTTTCCAGTAGCCACAGTGATTTTGGGATTCCTATCAGTATTCAAGAGGAGTCAGGCATCGTCACCTTTTGAAGCAATGAACTCCGCGTGCCTCTCAAGGTGTCAGCGGGATGTGGGGCATTCCGTCAAAATGAGGCAGGGACCTAGGGCTTTCTCTAAGGTCTCCACAGGGGATTCAGACAACCCTTCATGTTGTGAGATGAAAGACGAGCCTGTATTCAAGCCACTGCAAGGAAATCCGGGATCCTTTCAAGTTAGGGCTTCTCGCTGTATATTCCCCTTGAGGCAGCAAACTCGGGGTCCCTCCCACATACCTATTGCTGAGAGAAGCCTCCTCCTGAGGTGCTTCTGGGAAGTTGGCATACGTCTTGAGCCTAAGCAAGGGAATCAGCTCTCATCTCGAGACGATTTGGGGTACACGGAGCATTCCTCGAGTTGCTGTGCTGAAGTTGGTGTTCCTCGAGACTTGGGACAGTGTTCTCGGGGCATCTCTTGAGTTGCCTGAAGGAAGTCGAGCCACCCGTCGTGTTGAATGGGGAACGGGGAATGACTCTGGAGTCAATGCAGGGGAATCGGGCCTCATCTCGAGTTGATTTGGGGCACATGGAGCTGCTTTGCGTTGCTGGGGTGACCTCACGGTCCGTCTAGACTGGTGACAGTGTTCTTGGGGACTGTCTCGAGATCCATTAAGCAAGTCGAAGCTCCTGACTTGTTTGAATGGGATCACGGAATAGCTCTGCATGCACTGCAGGGGAATGGGGCCTCATCTCGCCTCTAGGGGGAAGTCTCATGGTTTTTCTCGAGTTGCGGCGGGGACCTGGGGTATGTTCTCGACTTACGGCAGGGATGGCCCTTCAAAACACGAGTTTCTTCAGTGACGTCAGGACTCCTGTCTAGTAACGAGGGACACCTCAGGAATCTCTTCGAGGCTTGGCAGGGCAAAAGGGACGCTTCTCGAGGTGAGGCAGGGCACCCAAGGACCCTTTCCAGTAGCCACACGGATTTTGGGATTCCTATCAGTATTCAAGAGGAGGCAGGCATCGTCACCTTTTGAAGCAATGAACTCCGCGTGCCTCTCGAGGTGTCAGCGGGATGTGAGGCATTCCGTCAAAATGAGGAAGGGACCTAGGGCTTTCTCTAAGGTCTCCACAGGGGATTCAGACATCCCTTCATGTTGTGAGATGAAAGACGAGCCTGTATTCAAGCCACTGCAAGGAAATCCGGGATCCTTTCAAGTTAGGGCTTCTCGCTGTATATTCCACTTGAGGCAGCAAACTCGGGGTCCCTCCCACATACCTATTGCTGAGAGAAGCCTCCTCCTGAGGTGCTTCTGGGAAGTTGGCATACGTCTTGAGCCTAAGCAAGGGAATCAGCTCTCATCTCGAGACGATTTGGGGTACACGGAGCATTCCTCGAGTTGCTGTGCTGAAGTTGGTGTTCCTCGAGACTTGGGACAGTGTTCTCGGGGCATCTCTTGAGTTGCCTGAAGGAAGTCGAGCCACCCGTCGTGTTGAATGGGGAACGGGGAATGGCTCTGGAGTCAATGCAGGGGAATCGGGCCTCATCTCGAGTTGATTTGGGGCACATGGAGTTGCTTTGCGTTGCTGGGTTGACCTCAGGGTCCGTCTAGACTGGTGACAGTGTTCTTGGGGACTGTCTCGAGATCCATTAAGCAAGTCGAAGCTCCTGACTTGTTTGAATGGGATCACGGAATAGCTCTGCATGCACTGCAGGGGAATGGGGCCTCATCTCGCCTCTAGGGGGAAGTCTCATGGTTTTTCTCGAGTTGCGGCGGGGACCTGGGGTATGTTCTCGACTTACGGCGGGGATGGCCCTTCAAAACACGAGTTTCTTCAGTGACGTCAGGACTCCTGTCTAGCAACGAGGGACACCTCAGGAATCTCTTCGAGGCTTGGCAGGGCAAAAGGGACCCTTCTCGAGGTGAGGCAGGGCACCCAAGGACCCTTTCCAGTAGCCACAGGGATTTTGGGAATCCTATCAGTATTCAAGAGGAGTCAGGCATCGTCACCTTTTGAAGCAATGAACTCCGCGTGCCTCTCGAGGTGTCAGCGGGATGTGAGGCATTCCGTCAAAATGAGGCAGGGACCTAGGGCTTTCTCTAAGGTCTGCACAGGGGATTCAGACATCCCTTCATGTTGTGAGATGAAAGACGAGCCTGTATTCAAGCCACTGCAAGGAAATCCGGCCTCCTTTCAAGTTAGGGCTTCTCGCTGTATATTCCCCTTGAGGCAGCAAACTCGGGGTCCCTCCCACATACCTATTGCTGAGAGAAGCCTCCTCCGGAGGTGCTTCTGGGAAGTTGGCATATGTCTTGAGCCTAAGCCAGGGAATCAGCTCTCATCTCGAGACGATTTGGGGTACACGGAGCATTCCTCGAGATGCTGTGCTGAAGTTGGTGTTCCTCTAGACTTGGGACAGTGTTCTCGGGGCATCTCTGGAGTTGCCTGAAGGAAGTCGAGCCACCGGTCGTGTTGAATGGGGAACGGGGAATGTCTCTGGAGTCAATGCAGGGGAATCGGGCCTCATCTCGAGTTGATTTGGGGCACATGGAGCTGCTTTGCGTTGCTGGGGTGACCTCAGGGTCCATCTAGAGTGGTGACAGTGTTCTTGGGGACTGTCTCGAGATCCATTAAGCAAGTGGAAGCTCCGGACTTGTTTGAATGGGATCATGGAATATCTCTGCATGCACTGCAGGGGAATGGGGCCTCATCTCGCCTCTAGGGGGAAGTCTCATGGTTTTTCTCGAGTTGCGGCGGGGACCTGGGGTATGTTCTCGACTTACGGCGGGGATGGCCCTTCAAAACACGAGTTTCTTCAGTGACGTCAGGACTCCTGTCTAGTAACGAGGGACACCTCAGGAATCTCTTCGAGGCTTGGCAGGGCAAAAGGGACGCTTCTCGAGGTGAGGCAGGGCACCCAAGGACCCTTTCCAGTAGCCACAGGGATTTTGGGATTCCTATCAGTATTCAAGAGGAGTCAGGCATCGTCACCTTTTGAAGCAATGAACTCCGCGTGCCTCTCGAGGTGTCAGCGGGATGTGAGGCATTCCGTCAAAATGAGGCAGGGACCTAGGGATTTCTCTAAGGTCTCCACAGGGGATTCAGACATCCCTTCATGTTGTGAGATGAAAGACGAGCCTGTATTCAAGCCACTGCAAGGAAATCCGGCCTCCTTTCAAGATAGGGCTTCTCGCTGTATATTCCACTTGAGGCAGCAAACTCGGGGTCCCTCCCACGTACCTATTGCTGAGAGAAGCCTCCTCCTGAGGTGCTTCTGGGAAGTTGGCATATGTCTTGAGCCTAAGCCAGGGAATCAGCTCTCATCTCGAGACGATTTGTGGTACACGGAGCATTCCTCGAGTTGCTGTGCTGAAGTTGGTGTTCCTCTCGACATGGGACAGTGTTCTCGGGGCATCTCTGGAGTTGCCTGAAGGAAGTCGAGCCACCGGTGGTGTTGAATGGGGAAAGGGGAATGGCTCTGAAGTCAATGCAGGGGAATCGGGCCTCATCTCGAGTTGATTTGGGGCACATGGAGCTGCTTTGCGTTGCTGGGGTGACCTCAGGGTCCGTCTAGACTGGTGACAGTGTTCTTGGGGACTGTCTCGAGATCCATTAAGCAAGTCGAAGCTCCTGACTTGTTTGAATGGGATCACGGAATAGCTCTGCATGCACTGGAGGGGAATGGGGCCTCATCTCGCCTCTAGGGGGAAGTCTCATGGTTTTTATCGAGTTGCGGCGGGGACCTGGGGTATGTTCTCGACTTACGGCGGGGATGGCCCTTCAAAACACGAGTTTCTTCAGTGACGTCAGGACTCCTGTCTAGTAACGAGGGACACCTCAGGAATCTCTTCGAGGCTTGGCAGGGCAAAAGGGACGCTTCTCGAGGTGAGGCAGGGCACCCAAGGACCCTTTCCAGTAGCCACAGGGATTTTGGGATTCCTATCAGTATTCAAGAGGAGTCAGGCATCGTCACCTTTTGAAGCAATGAACTCCGCGTGCCTCTCGAGGTGTCAGCGGGATGTGAGGCATTCCGTCAAAATGAGGCAGGGGCCTAGGGCTTTCTCTAAGGTCTCCACAGGGGATTCAGACATCCCTTCATGTTGTGAGATGAAAGACTAGCCTGTATTCAAGCCACTGCAAGGAAATCCAGCCTCCTTTCAAGTAAGGGCTTCTCGCTGTATATTCCCCTTGAGGCAGCAAACTCGGGGTCCCTCCCACATACCTATTGCTGAGAGAAGCATCCTCCTGAGGTGCTTCTGGGAAGTTGGCATACGTCTTGAGCCTAAGCCAGGGAATCAGCTCTCATCTCGAGACGATTTGGGGTACACGGAGCATTCCTCGAGTTGCTGTGCTGAAGTTGGTGTTCCTCTAGACTTGGGACAGTGTCCTCGGGGCATCTCTGGAGTTGCCTGAAGGAAGTCGAGCCGAGCCACCGGTCGTGTTGAGTGTGGAACGGGGAATGGCTCTGGAGTCAATGCAGGGGAATCGGGCCTCATCTCGAGTTGATTTGGGGCACATGGAGCTGCTTTGCGTTGCTGGGGTGACCTCAGGGTCCGTCTAGACTGGTGACAGTGATCTTGGGGACTGTCTCGAGATCCATTAAGCAAGTCGAAGCTCCTGACTTGTTTGAATGGGATCACGGAATAGCTCTGCATGCACTGCAGGGGAATGGGGCCTCATCTCGCCTCTAGGGGGAAGTCTCATGGTTTTTCTCGAGTTGCAGCGGGGACCTGGGGTATGTTCTCGACTTACGGCGGGGATGGCCCTTTAAAACACGAGTTTCTTCAGTGACATCCGGACTCCTGGCTAGTAACGAGGGACACCTCAGGAATCTCTTCCAGGCTTGGCAGGGCAAAAGGGACGCTTCTCGAGGTGAGGCAGGGCACCCAAGGACCCTTTCCAGTAGCCACAGGGATTTTGGGATTCCTATCAGTATTCAAGAGGAGTCAGGCATCGTCACCTTTTGAAGCAACGAACTCCGCGTGCCTCTCGAGGTGTCAGCGGGATGTGAGGCATTCCGTCAAAATGAGGCAGGGACCTAGGGCTTTCTCCAAGGTCTCCACAGGGGATTCAGACATCCCTTCATGTTGTGAGATGAAAGACGAGCCTGTATTCAAGCCACGGCAAAGAAATCCAGCCTCCTTTCAAGTTAGGGCTTCTCGCTGTATATTCCCCTTGAGGCAGCAAACTCGGGGTCCCTCCCACATACCTATTGCTGAGAAGAGCCTCCTCCTGAGGTGCTTCTGGAAAGTTGGCATACGTCTTGAGCCTAAGCCAGGGAATCAGCTCTCATCTCGAGAGGAATTGGGGTACACGGAGCATTCCTCGAGTTGCTGTGCTGAAGTTGGTGTTCCTCTAGACTTGGGACAGTGTTCTCGGGGTATCTCTGGAGTTGCCTGAAGGAAGTCGAGCCACCTTTCGTGTTGAGTGGGGAACGGGGAATGGCTCTGGAGTCAATGCAGGGGAATCGGGCCTCATCTCGAGTTGATTTGGGGCACATGGAGCTGCTTTGCGTTGCTGGGGTGACCTCAGGGTCCGTCTATACTGGTGACAGTGATCTTGGGGACTGTCTCGAGATCCATTAAGCAAGTCGAAGCTCCTGACTTGTTTGAATGGGATCACGGAATAGCTCTGCATGCACTGCAGGGGAATGGGGCCTCATCTCGCCTCTAGGGGGAAGTCTCATGGTTTTTCTCGAGTTGCGGCGGGGACCTGGGGTATGTTCTCGACTTATGGCGGGGATGGCCCTTTAAAACACGAGTTTCTTCAGTGACATCCGGAATCCTGGCTAGTAACGAGGGACACCTCAGGAATCTCATCCAGGCTTGGCAGGGCAAAAGGGACGCTTCTCGAGGTGAGGCAGGGCACCAAGGACCCTTTCCAGTAGCCACAGGGATTTTGGGATTCCTATCAGTATTCAAGAGGAGTCAGGCATCGTCACCTTTTGAAGCAATGAACTCCACGTGCCTCTCGAGGGGTCAACGGGATGTGAGGCATTCCGTCAAAATGAGGCACGGACCTAGGGCTTTCTCTAAGGTCTCCACAGGGGATTCAGACATCCCTTCATGTTGTGAGATGAAAGACTAGCCTGTATTCAAGCCACTGCAAGGAAATCCGGCCTCCTTTCAAGTTAGGGCTTCTCGCTGTATATTCAACTTGAGGCAGCAAACTCGGGGTCCCTCCCACATACCTATTGCTGAGAGAAGCCTCATCCTGAGGTGCTTCTGGAAAGTTGGCATACGTCTTGAGCCTAAGCCAGGGAATCAGCTCTCATCTTGAGACGATTTGGGGTACACGGAGCATTCCTCGAGTTGCTGTGCTGAAGTTGGTGTTCCTCTTGACTTGGGACAGTGTTCTCAGGGCATCTCTGGAGTTGCCTGAAGGAAGTCGAGCCACCTGTCGTGTTGAATGGGGAATGGGGAATGGCTCTGGAGTCAATGCAGGGAAATCGGGCCTCATCTCGAGTTGATTTGGGGCACATGGAGCTGCTTTGCGTTGCTGGGGTGACCTCAGGGTCCGTCTAGACTGGTGACAGTGTTCTTGGGGACTGTCTCGAGATCCATTAAGCAAGTTGAAGCTCCTGACTTGTTTGAATGGGATCACGGAATAGCTCTGCATGCACTGCAGGGGAATGGGGCCTCATCTCGCCTCTAGGGGGAAGTCTCATGGTTTTTCTCGAGTTGCGGCGGGGACCTGGGGTATGTTCTCGACTTACGGCGGGGATGGCCCTTCAAAACACGAGTTTCTTCAGTGACGTCAGGACTCCTGTCTAGTAACGAGGGACACCTCAGGAATCTCTTCGAGGCTTGGCAGGGCAAAAGGGACGCTTCTCGAGGTGAGGCAGGGCACCCAAGGACCCTTTCCAGTAGCCACAGGGATTTTGGGATTTCTATCAGTATTCAAGAGGAGTCAGGCATCGTCACCTTTTGAAGCAATGAACTCCGCGTGCCTCTCGAGGTGTCAGCGGACTGTGGGGCATTCCGTCAAAATGAGGCAGGGACCTAAGGCTTTCTCTAAGGTCTCCACAGGGGATTCAGACATCCCTTCATGTTGTGAGATGAAAGACTAGCCTGTAATCAAGCCACTGCAAGGAAATCCGGCCTCCTTTCAAGTTAGGGCTTCTCGCTGTATATTCCCCTTGAGGCAGCAAACTCGGGGTCCCTCCCACATACCTATTGCTGAGAGAAGCCTCCTCCTGAGGTGCTTCTGGGAAGTTGGCATACGTCTTGAGCCTAAGCCAGGGAATCAGCTCCCATCTCGAGACGATTTGGGGTACACGGAGCATTCCTCGGGTTGCTGTGCTGAAGTTGGTGTTCCTATAGACTTGGGACAGTGTTCTCGGGGCATCTCTGGAGTTGCCTGAAGGAATTCGAGCCACCGGTCGTGTTGAGTGGGGAACGGGGAATGGCTCTGGAGTCAATGCAGGGGAATCGGGCCTCATCTCGAGTTGATCTGGGGCACATGGAGCTGCTTTGCGTTGCTGGGGTGACCTCAGGGTCCGTCTAGACTGGTGACAGTGTTCTTGGGGACTCTCTCGAGATCCATTAAGCAAGTCGAAGCTCCTGACTTGTTTGAATGGGAACACGGAATAGGTCTGCATGCACTGCAGGGGAATGGGGCCTCATCTCGCCTCTAGGGGGAAGTCTCATGGTTTTTCTCGAGTTGCGGCGGGGACCTGGGGTATGTTCTCGACTTACGGCGGGGATGGCCCTTCAAAACACGAGTTTCTTCAGTAACGTCAGGACTCCTGTCTAGTAACGAGGGACACCTCAGGAATCTCTTCGAGGCTTGGCATGGCAAAAGGGACGCTTCTCGAGGTGAGGCAGGGCACCCAAGGACCCTTTCCAGTAGCGATAGGGATTTTGGGATTCCTATCAGTATTCAAGAGGAGTCAGGCATCGTCACCTTTTGAAGCAATGAACTCCGCGTGCCTCTCGAGGTGTCAGCGGGATGTGAGGCATTCCGTCAAAATGAGGCAGGGACCTAGGGCTTTCTCTAAGGTCTCCACAGGGGATTCAGACATCCCTTCATGTTGTGAGATGAAAGACGACCCTGTATTCAAGCCACTGCAAGGAAATCCGGCCTCCTTTCAAGTTAGGGCTTCTCGCTGTATATTCCCCTTGAGGCAGCAAACTCGGGGTCCCTCCCACATACCTATTGCTGAGAGAAGCCTCCTCCTGAGGTGCTTCTGGGAAGTTGGCATATGTCTTGAGCCTAAGCCAGGGAATCAGCTCTCATCTCGAGACGATTTGGGGTACACGGAGCATTCCTCGAGTTGCTGTGCTGAAGTTGGTGTTCCTCTAGACTTGGGACAGTGTTCTCGGGGCATCTCTGAAGTTTCCTGAAGGAAGTCGAGCCACCGGTCGTGTTGAGTGGGGAACGGGGAATGGCTCTGGAGTCAATGCAGGGGAATCGGGCCTCATCTCGAGTTAATCTGGGGCACATGGAGCTGCTTTGCGTTGCTGGGGTGACCTCAGGGTCCGTCTAGACTGGTGACAGTGTTCTTGGGGACTGTCTCGAGATCCATTAAGCAAGTCGAAGCTCCTGACTTGTTTGAATCGGATCACGGAATAGCTCTGCATGCACTGCAGGGGAATGGGGCCTCATCTCGCCTCTATGGGGAAGTCTCATGGTTTTTCTCGAGTTGCGGCGGGGACCTGGGGTATGTTCTCGACTTACGGCGGGGATGGCCCTTCAAAACACGAGTTTCTTCAGTGACGTCAGGACTGCTGTCTAGTAACGAGGGACACCTCAGGAATCTCTTCGAGGCTTGGCATGGCAAATGGGACGCTTCTCGAGGTGAGGCAGGGCACCCAAGGACCCTTTGCAGTAGCCACAGGGATTTTGGGATTCCTATCAGTATTCAAGAGGAGTCAGGCATCGTCACCTTTTGAAGCAATGAACTCCGCGTGCCTCTCGAGGTGTCAGCGGGATGTGAGGCATTCCGTCAAAATGAGGCAGGGACCTAGGGCTTTCTCTAAGGTCTCCACAGGGGATTCAGACATCCCTTCATGTTGTGAGATGAAAGACTAGCCTGTATTCAAGCCACTGCAAGGAAATCCGGCCTCCTTTCAAGTTAGGGCTTCTCGCTGTATATTCCCCTTGAGGCAGCAAACTCGGGGTCCCTCCCACATACCTATTGCTGAGAGAAGCCTCCTCCTGAGGTGCTTCTGGGAAGTTGGCATACGTCTTGAGCCTAAGCCAGGGAATCAGCTCTCATCTCGAGACGATTTGGGGTACACGGAGCATTCCTCGAGTTGCTGTGCTGAAGTTGGTGTTCCTCTAGACTTGGGACAGTGTTCTCGGGGCATCTCTGGAGTTGCCTGAAGGAAGTCGAGCCACCGGTCGTGTTGAGTGGGGAACGGGGAATGGCTCTGGAGTCAATGCAGGGGAATCGGGCCTCATCTCGAGTTGATTTGAGGCACATGGAGCTGCTTTGCGTTGCTGGGGTGACCTCAGGGTCCGTCTAGACTGGTGACAGTGATCTTGGGGACTGTCTCGAGATCCATTAAGCAAGTCGAAGCTCCTGACTTGTTTGAATGGGATCACGGAATAGCTCTGCATGCACTGCAGGGGAATGGGGCCTCATCTCGCCTCTAGGGGGAAGTCTCATGGTTTTTCTCGAGTTGCGGCGGGGACCTGGGGTATGTTCTCGACTTACGGCGGGGATGGCCCTTTAAAACACAAGTTTCTTCAGTGACATCCGGACTCCTGGTTAGTAACGAGGGACACGTCAGGAATCTCTTCGAGGCTTGGCAGGGCAAAAGGGACGCTTCTCGAGGTGAGGCAGGGCACCCAAGGACCCTTTCCCGTAAGCACAGGGATTTTGGGATTCCTATCAGTATTCAAGAGGAGTCAGGCATCGTCACCTTTTGAAGCAATGAACTCCGCGTGCCTCTCGAGGTGTCAGCGGGATGTGAGGCATTCCGTCAAAATTAGGCACGGACCTAGGGCTTTCTCTAAGGTCTCCACAGGGGATTCAGACATCCCTTCATGTTGTGAGATGAAAGACGATCCTGTATTCAAGCCACTGCAAGGAAATCCGGCCTCCTTTCAAGTTAGGGCTTCTCGCTGTATATTCCCCTTGAGGCAGCAAACTCGGGGTCCCTCCCACATACCTATTGCTGAGAGAAGCCTCATCCTGAGGTGCTTCTGGAAAGTTGGCATACGTCTTGAGCCTAAGCCAGGGAATCAGCTCTCATCTCGAGACGATTTGGGTTACACGGAGCATTCCTCGAGTTGCTGTGCTGAAGTTGGTGTTCCTCTTGTCTTGGGACAGTGTTCTCAGGGCATCTCTGGAGTTGCCTGAAGGAAGTCGAGCCAACGGTCGTGTTGAATGGGGAACGGGGAATGGCTATGGAGTCAAAGCAGGGGAATCGGGCCTCATCTCGAGTTGATTTGGGGCACATGGAGCTGCTGCTTTGCGTTGCTGGGGTGACCTCAGGGTCCGTCTAGACTGGTGACAGTGTTCTTGGGGACTGTCTCGAGATCCATTGAGCAAGTCGAAGCTCCTGACTTGTTTGAATGGGATCACGGAATAGCTCTGCATGCACTGCAGGGGAATGGGGCCTCATCTCGCCTCTAGGGGGAAGTCTCTTGGTTTTTCTCGAGTTGCGGCGGGGACCTGGTGTATGTTCTCGACTTACGGCGGGAATGGCCCTTCAAAACACGAGTTTCTTCAGTGACGTTAGGACTCCTGTCTAGTAACGAGGGACACCTCAGGAATCTCTTCGAGGCTTGGCAGGGCAAAAGGGACGCTTCTCGAGGTGAGGCAGGGCACCCAAGGACCCTTTCCAGTAGCCACAGGGATTTTGGGATTTCTATCAGTATTCAAGAGGAGTCAGGCATCGTCACCTTTTGAAGCAATGAACTCCGCGTGCCTCTCGATGTGTCAGCGGGATGTGAGGCATTCCGTCAAAATGAGGCAGGGACCTAGGGCTTTCTCTAAGGTCTCCACAGGGGATTCAGACATCCCTTCATGTTGTGAGATGAAAGACGAGCCTGTATTCAAGCCACTGCAAGGAAATCCGGCCTCCTTTCAAGTTAGGGCTTCTCGCTGTATATTCCCCTTGAGGCAGTAAACTCGGGGTCCCTCCCACATACCTATTGCTGAGAGAAGCCTCATCCTGAGGTGCTTCTGGGAAGTTGGCATACGTCTTGAGCCTAAGCCAGGGAATCAGCTCGCATCTCGAGACGATTTGGGGTACACGGAGCATTCCTCGAGTTGCTGTGCTGAAGTTGGTGTTCCTCTAGACTTGGGACAGTGTTCTCGGGGCATCTCTGAAGTTTACTGAAGGAAGTCGAGCCAACGGTCGTGTTGAGTGGGGAACGGGGAATGGCTCTGGAGTCAATGCAGGGGAATCGGGCCTCATCTCGAGTTGATTTGGGGCACATGGAGCTGCTTTGCGTTGCTGGGGTTTCCTCAGGGTCCGTCTAGACTGGTGACAGTGTTCTTGGGGACTGTCTCGAGATCCATTAAGCAAGTCGAAGCTCCTGACTTGTTTGAATCGGATCACGGAATAGCTCTGCATGCACTGCAGGGAAATGGGGCCTCATCTCGCCTCTAGGGGGAAGTCTCATGGTTTTTCTCGAGTTGCGGCGGGGACCTGGGGTATGTTCTCGACTTACGGTGGGGATGGCCCTTCAAATCATGAGTTTCTTCAGTGAGGTCAGGACTCCTGTCTAGTAACGAGGGACACCTCAGGAATCTCTTCGAGGCTTGGCAGGGCAAAAGGGACGCTTCTCGAGGTGAGGCAGGGCACCCAAGGACCCTTTCCAGTAGCCACAGGGATTTTGGGATTCCTATCAGTATTCAAGAGGAGTCAGGCATCGTCACCTTTTGAAGCAATGAACTCCGCGTGCCTCTCGAGGTGTCAGCGGGATGTGTTGCATTCCGTCAAAATGAGGCAGGGACCTAGGGCTTTCTCTAAGGTCTCCACAGGGGATTCAGACATCCCTTCATGTTGTGAGATGAAAGACGAGCCTGTATTCAAGCCACTGCAAGGAAATCCGGGCTCCTTTCAAGTTAGGGCTTCTCGCTGTATATTCCCCTTGAGGCAGCAAACTCGGGGTCCCTCCCACATACCTATTGCTGAGAGAAGCCTCCTCCTGAGGTGCTTCTGGGAAGTTGGCATACGTCTTGAGCCTAAGCCAGGGAATCAGCTCTCATCTCGAGACGATTTGGGTTACACGGAGCATTCCTCGAGTTGCTGTGCTGAAGTTGGTCTTCCTCTAGACTTGGGACAGTGTTCTCGGGGCATCTCTGGAGTTGCCTGAAGGAAGTCGAGCCACCGGTCGTGTTGAATGGGGAACGGGGAATGGCTCTGGAGTCAATGCAGGGGAATCGGGCCTCATCTCGAGTTGATTTGGGGCACATGGAGCTGCTTTGCGTTGCTGGGGTGACCTCAGGGTCCGTCTAGACTGGTGACAGTGTTCTTGGGTACTGTCTCAAGATCCATTAAGCAAGTCGAAGCTCCTGACTTGTTTGAATGGGATCACCGAATAGCTCTGCATGCACTGCAGTGGAATGGGGCCTCATCTCGCCTCTAGGGGGAAGTCTCATGGTTTTTCTCGAGTTGCGGCGGGGACCTGGGGTATGTTCTCGACTTACGGCGGGGATGGCCCTTCAAATCATGAGTTTCTTCAGTGAGGTCAGGACTCCTGTCTAGTAACGAGGGACACCTCAGGAATCTCTTCGAGGTTTGGCAGGGCAAAAGGGACGCTTCTCGAGGTGAGGCAGAGCACCCAAGGACCCTTTCCAGTAGCCACAGGGATTTTGGGATTCCTGTCAGTATTCAAGAGGAGTCAGGCATCGTCACCTTTTGAAGCAATGAACTCCGCGTGCCTCTCGAGGTGTCAGCGGGATGTGAGGCATTCCGTCAAAATGAGGCAGGGACCTAGGGCTTTCTCTAAGGTCTCCACAGGGGATTCAGACATCCCTTCATGTTGTGAGATGAAAGACGAGCCTGTATTCAAGCCACTGCAAGGAAATCCGGCCTCCTTTCAAGTTAGGGCTTCTCGCTGTATATTCCCCTTGAGGCAGCACACTCGGGGTCCCTCCCACATACCTATTGCTGAGAGAAGCCTCCTCCTGAGGTGCTTCTGGGAAGTTTGCATACGTCTTGAGCTTAAGCCAGGGAATCAGCTCTCATCTCGAGACAATTTGGGGTACACGGAGCATTCCTCGAGTTGCTGTGCTGAAGTTCGTGTTCCTCTAGACTTGGGACAGTGTTCTCGGGGCATCTCTGGAGTTGCCTGAAGGAAGTCGAGCCACCGGTCGTGTTGAGTGGGGAACGGGGAATGGCTCTGGAGTCAATGCAGGGGAATCGGGCCTCATCTCGAGTTGATTTGGGGCACATGGAGCTGCTTTGCGTTGCTGGGGTGACCTCAGGGTCCGTCTAGACTGGTGACAGTGATCTTGGGGACTGTCTCGAGATCCATTAAGCAAGTCGAAGCTCCTGACTTGTTTGAATGGGATCACGGAATAGCTCTGCATGCACTGCAGGGGAATGGGGCCTCATCTCTCCTCTAGGGGGAAGTCTCATGGTTTTTCTCGAGTTGCGGCGGGGACCTGGGGTATGTTCTCGACTTACGGCGGGGATGGTCCTTCAAAACACGAGTTTCTTCAGTGACGTCAGAACTCCTGTCTAGTAACGAGGGACACCTCAGGAATCTCTTCGAGGCTTGGCAGGGCAAAAGGGACGCTTCTCGAGGTGAGGCAGGGCACCCAAGCACCCTTTCCCGTAGCCAGAGGGATTTTGGGATTCCTATCAGTATTCAAGAGGAGTCAGGCATCGGCACCTTTTGAAGCAATGAACTCCGCGTGCCTCTCGAGGTGTCAGCGGGATGTGGGGCATTCCGTCAAAATGAGGCAGGGACCTAGGGCTTTCTCTAAGGTCTCCACAGGGGATTCAGACATCCCTTCATGTTGTGAGATGAAAGACGAGCCTGTATTCAAGCCACTGCAAGGAAATCCGGCCTCCTTTCAAGTTAGGGCTTCTCGCTGTATATTCCCCTTGAGGCAGCAAACTCGGGGTCCCTCCCACATACCTATTGCTGAGAGAAGCCTCCTCCTGAGGTGCTTCTGGGAAGTTGGCATACGTCTTGAGCAAAAGCCAGGGAATCAGCTCTCATCTCGAGACGATTTGGGTTACACGGAGCATTCCTCGAGTTGCTGTGCTGAAGTTTGTCTTCCTCTAGACTTGGAACAGTGTTCTCGTGGCATCTCTGGAGTTGCCTGAAGGAAGTCCAGCCACCGGTCGTGTTGAATGAGGAACGGGGAATGGCTCTGGAGTCAATGCAGGGGAATCGGGCCTCATCTCGAGTTGATTTGGGGCACATGGAGCTGCTTGGCGTTGCTGGGGTGACCTCAGGGTCCGTCTAGACTGGTGACAGTGATCTTGGGGACTGTCTCGAGATCCATTAAGCAAGTCGAAGCTCCTGACTTGTTTGAATGGGATCACGGAATAGCTCTGCATGCACTGCAGGGGAATGGGGCCTCATCTCGCCTCTAGGGGGAAGTCTCATGGTTTTTCTCGAGTTGCGGCGGGGACCTGCGGTATGTTCTCGACTTACGGCGGGGATGGCCCTTTAAAACACGAGTTTCTTCAGTGACATCCGGACTCCTGGCTAGTAACGAGGGACACCTCAGGAATCTCTTCCAGGCTTGGCAGGGCAAAAGGGACGCTTCTCGAGGTGAGGCAGGGCACCCAAGGACCCTTTCCAGTATCCACAGGGATTTTGGGATTCCTATCAGTATTCAAGAGGAGTCAGGCATCGTCACCTTTTGAAGCAATGAACTCCGCGTTCCTCTCGAGGTGTCAGCGGGATGTGAGGCATTCCGTCAAAATGAGGCAGGGACCTAGGGCTTTCTCTAAGGTCTCCACAGGGGATTCAGACATCCCTTCATGTTGTGAGATGAAAGACGATCCTGTATTCAAGCTACTGCAAGGAAATCCGGCCTCCTTTCAAGTTAGGGCTTCTCGCTGTATATTCCCCTTGAGGCAGCAAACTCGGGGTCCCTCCCACATACCTATTGCTGAGAGAAGCCTCCTCCTGAGGTGCTTCTGGGAAGTTGGCATATGTCTTGAGCCTAAGCCAGGGAATCAGCTCTCATCTCGAGACGATTTGGTGTACACGGAGCATTCCTCGAGTTGCTGTGCTGAAGTTGGTGTTCCTCGAGACTTGGGACAGTGTTCTCGGAGCATCTCTTGAGTTGCCTGAAGGAAGTCGAGCCACCCGTCGTGTTGAATGGGGAAAGGGGAATGGCTCTGGAGTCAATGCAGGGGAATCGGGCCTCATCTCGAGTTGATTTGGGGCACATGGAGCTGCTTTGCGTTGCTGGGGTGACCTCAGGGTCCGTCTAGACTGGTGACAGTGTTCTTGGGGACTGTCTCGAGATCCATTAAGCAAGTCGAAGCTCCTGACTTGTTTGAATGGGATCACGGAATAGCTCTGCATGCACTGCAGGGGAATGGGGCCTCATCTCGCCTCTAGGGGGAAGTCTCATGGTTTTTCTCGAGTTGCGGCGGGGACCTGGGGTATGTTCTCGACTTAAGGCGGGGATGGCCCTTCAAAACACGAGTTTCTTCAGTGACGTCAGGACTCCTGTCTAGCAACGAGGGACACCTCAGGAATCTCTTCGAGGCTTGGCAGGGCAAAAGGGACGCTTCTCGAGGTGAGGCAGGGCACCCAAGGACCCTTTCCAGTAGCCACAGGGATTTTGGGATTCCTATCAGTATTCAAGAGGAGTCAGGCATCGTCACCTTTTGAAGCAATGAACTCCGCATGCCTCTCGAGGTCTCAACGGGATGTGGGGCATTCCGTCAAAATGAGGCAGGGACCTAGGGCTTTCTCTAAGGTCTCCACAGGGGATTCAGACATCCCTTCATGTTGTGAGATGAAAGACGAGCCTGTATTCAAGCCACGGCAAGAAAATCCGGCCTCCTTTCAAGTTAGGGCTTCTCGCTGTATATTCCCCTTGAGGCAGCAAACTCGGGGTCCCTACAACATAACTATTGCTGAGAGAAGCCTCCTCCTGAGGTGATTCTGGGAAGTTGGAATACGTCTTGAGCCTAAGCCAGGGAATCAGCTCTCATCTCGAGACGATTTGGGGTACATGGAGCATTCCTCGAGTTGCTGTGCTGAAGTTGGTGTTCCTCTAGACTTGGGACAGTGATCTCAGGGCATCTCTGGAGTTGCCTGAAGGAAGTCGAGCCACCGGTCGTGTTGAATGGGGAACGGGGAATGGCTATGGAGTCAATGCAGGGGAATCGGGCCTCATCTCGAGTTGATTTGGGGCACATGGAGCTGCTGCTTTGCGTTGCTGTGGTGACCTCAGGGTCCGTCTAGACTGGTGACAGTGTTCTTGGGGACTGTCTCGAGATCCATTGAGCAAGTCGAAGCTCCTGACTTGTTTGAATCGGATCACGGAATAGCTCTGCATGCACTGCAGGGGAATGGGGCCTCATCTCGCCTCTAGGGGGAAGTCTCATGGTTTTTCTCGAGTTGCGACGGGGACCTGGTGTATGTTCTCGACTTACGGCGGGGATGGCCCTTCAAAACACGAGTTTCTTCAGTGACGTCAGGACTCCTGTCTAGTAACGAGGGACACCTCAGGAATCTCTTGGAGGCTTGGCAGGGCAAAAGGGACGCTTCTCGAGGTGAGGCAGGGCACCCAAGGACCCTTTCCAGTAGCCACAGGGATTTTGGGATTTCTATCAGAATTCAAGAGTAGTCAGGCATCGTCACCTTTTGAAGCAATGAACTCCGCATGCCTCTCGATGTGTCAGGGGGATGTGAGGCATTCCGTCAAAATGAGGCAGGGACCTAGGGCTTTCTCTAAGGTCTCCACAGGGGATTCAGACATCCCTTCATGTTGTGAGATGAAAGACGAGCCTGTATTCAAGCCACTGCAAGGAAATCCGGCCTACTTTCAAGTTAGGGCTTCTCACTGTATATTCCCCTTGAGGCAGCAAACTCGGGGTCCCTCCCACATACCTATTGCTGAGAGAAGCCTCCTCCTGAGGTGCTTCTGGGAAGTTGGCATACGTCTTGAGCCTAAGCCAGGGAATCAGCTCTCATCTCGAGACGATTTGGTGTACACGGAGCATTCCTCGAGTTGCTGTGCTGAAGTTGGTGTTCCTCTAGACTTGGGACAGTGTTCTCGGGGCATCTCTGAAGTTTCCTGAAGGAAGTCGAGCCACCGGTCGTGTTGAGTGGGGAACGGAGAATGGCTCTGGAGTCAATGCAGGGGAATCGGGCCTCATCTCGAGTTGATCTGGGGCACATGGAGCTGCTTTGCGTTGCTGGGTTGACCTCAGGGTCCGTCTAGACTGGTGACAGTGTTCTTGGGGACTGTCTCGAGATCCATTAAGCAAGTCGAAGCTCCTGACTTGTTTGAATCGGATCACGGAATAGCTCTGCATGCACTGCAGGGGAATGGGGCCTCATCTCGCCTCTAGGGGGAAGTCTCATGGTTTTTCCCGAGTTGCGGCGGGGACCTGGGGTATGTTCTCGACTTACGGCGGGGATGGCCCTTCAAAATACGAGTTTCTTCAGTGAGGTCAGGACTCCTGTCTAGTAACGAGGGACACCTCAGGAATCTCTTCGAGGCTTGGCAGGGCAAAAGGGACGCTTCTCGAGGTGAGGCAGGGCACCCAAGGACCCTTTCCAGTAGCCACAGTGATTTTGGGATTCCTATCAGTATTCAAGAGGAGTCAGGCATCGTCACCTTTTGAAGCAATGAACTCCGCGTGCCTCTCGAGGTGTCAGCCGGATGTGAGGCATTCCGTCAAAATGAGACAGGGACCTAGGGCTTTCTCTAAGGTCTCCACAGGGGATTCAGACATCCCTTCATGTTGTGAGATGAAAGACGAGCCTGTATTCCAGCCACTGCAACGAAATCCGGCCTCCTTTCAAGTTAGGGCTTCTCGCTGTATATTCCCCTTGAGGCAGCAAACTCGGGGTCAGTCCCACATACCTATTGCTGAGAGAAGCCTCCTCCTGAGGTGCTTCTGGGAAGTTGGCATACGTCTTGAGCCTAAGCCAGGGAATCAGCTCTCATCTCGAGACGATTTGGGGTACACGGAGCATTCCTCGAGTTGCTGTGCTGAAGTTGGTGTTCCTCTAGATATGGGACAGTGTTCTCGGGGCATCTCTGAAGTTTCCTGAAGGAAGTCGAGCCAACGGTCGTGTTGAGTGGGGAACGGGGAATGGCTCTGGAGTCAATGCAGGGGAATCGGGCCTCATCTCGAGTTGATTTGGGGCACATGGAGCTGCTTTGCGTTGCTGGGGTGACCTCAGGGTCCGTCTAGACTGGTGACAGTGTTCTTGGGGACTGTCTCGAGATCCATTAAGCAAGTCGAAGCTCCTGAGTTGTTTGAATGGGATCACGGAATAGCTCTGCTTGCACTGCAGGGAAATGGGGCCTCATCTCGCCTCTAGGGGGAAGTCTCATGGTTTTTCTCGAGTTGCGGCGGGGACCTGGGGTATGTTCTCGACTTACGGCGGGGATGGCCCTTCAAAACACGAGTTTCTTCAGTGACGTCAGGACTCCTGTCTAGTAACGAGGGACACCTCAGGAATTTCTTCGAGGCTTGGCAGGGCAAAAGGGACGCTTCTCGAGGTGAGGCAGGGCACCCAAGGACCCTTTCCATTAGCCACAGGGATTTTGGGATTCCTATTAGTATTCAAGAGGAGTCAGGCATCGTCACCTTTTGAAGCAATGAACTCCGCATGCCTCTCGAGGTGTCAGCGGGATGTGAGGCATTCCGTCAAAATGAGGCAGGGACCTAGGGCTTTCTCTAAGGTCTCCACAGGGGATTCAGACATCCCTTCATGTTGTGAGATGAAAGACGAGCCTGTATTCAAGCCACTGCAAGGAAATCCGGGCTCCTTTCAAGTTAGGTCTTCTCGCTGTATATTCCCCTTAAGGCAGCAAACTCGGGGTCCCTCCCACATACCTATTGCTGAGAGAAGCCTCCTCCTGAGGTGCTTCTGGGAAGTTGGAATACGTCTTGAGCCTAAGCCAGGGAATCAGCTCTCATCTCGAGACGATTTGAGGTACACGGAGCATTCCTCGAGTTGCTGTGCTGAAGTTGGTGTTCCTCTAGATATGGGACAGTGTTCTCGGGGCATCTCTGAAGTTTCCTGAAGGAAGTCGAGCCACCGGTCGTGTTGAGTGGGGAACGGGGAATGGCTCTGGAGTAAATGCAGGGGAATCAGGCCTCATCTCGGGTTGATCTGGGGCACATGGAGCTGCTTTGCGTTGCTGGGGTGACCTCAGGGTCCGTCTAGACTGGTGACAGTGTTCTTGGGGACTGTCTCGAGATCCATTAAGCAAGTCGAAGCTCCTGACTTGTTTGAATGGGATCACGGAATAGCTCTGCATGCACTGCAGGGGAATGGGGCCTCATCTCGCCTCTAGGGGGAAGTCTCATGGTTTTTCTCGAGTTGCGGCGGGGACCTGGGGTATGTTCTCGACTTACGGCGGGGATGGCCCTTCAAAACACGAGTTTCTTCAGTGACGTCAGGACTCCTGTCTAGTAACGAGGGACACCTCAGGAATCTCTTCGAGGCTTGGCAGGGCCAAAGGGACGCTTCTCGAGGTGAGGCAGGGCACCCAAGGACCCTTTCCAGTAGCCACAGGGATTTTGGGATTCCTATCAGTATTCCAGAGGAGTCAGGCATCGTCACCTTTTGAAGCAATGAACTCCGCGTGCCTCTCGAGGTGTCAGCGGGATGTGGGGCATTCCGTCAAAATGAGGCAGGGACCTAGGGCTTTCTCTAAGGTCTCCACAGGGGATTCAGACAACCCTTCATGTTGTGAGATGAAAGACTAGCCTGCATTCAAGCCACTGCAAGGAAATCCGGCCTCCTTTCAAGTTAGGGCTTCCCGCTGTATATTCCCCTTGAGGCAGCAAACTCGGGGTCCCTCCCACATACCTATTGCTGAGAGAAGCCTCCTCCTGAGGTGCTTCTGGGAAGTTGGCATACGTCTTGAGCCTAAGCCAGGGAATCAGCTCTCATCTCGAGACGATTTGGGGTACACGGAGCATTCCTCGAGTTGCTGTGCTGAAGTTGGTCTTCCTCTAGACTTGGGACAGTGTTCTCGGGGCATCTCTGGAGTTGCCTGAAGGAAGTCGAGCCACCGGTCGTGTTGAATGGGGAACGGGGAATGGCTCTGGAGTCAATGCAGGGGAATCGGGCCTCATCTCGAGTTGATTTGGGGCACATGGGGCTGCTTTGCGTTGCTGGGGTGACCTCAGGGTCCGTCTAGACTGGTGACAGTGTTCTTGGGGACTGTCTCGAGATCCATTGAGCAAGTCGAAGCTCCTGATTTGTTTGAATGGGATCACGGAATAGCTCTGCATGCACTGCAGGGGAATGGGGCCTCATCTCGCCTCTAGGGGGAAGTCTCATGGTTTTTCTCGAGTTGCGGCGGGGACCTGGGGTATGTTCTCGACTTACGGCGGGGATGGCCCTTCAAAACACGAGTTTCTTCAGTGAGGTCAGGACTCCTGTCTAGTAACGAGGGACACCTCAGGAATCTCTTCGAGGCTTGGCAGGGCAAAAGGGACGCTTCTCGAGGTGAGGCAGGGCACCCAAGGACCCTTTCCAGTAGCCACAGTGATTTTGGGATTCCTATCAGTATTCAAGAGGAGTCAGGCATCGTCACCTTTTGAAGCAATGAACTCCGCGTGCCTCTCGAGGTGTCAGCCGGATGTGAGGCATTCCGTCAAAATGAGACAGGGACCTAGGGCTTTCTCTAAGGTCTCCACAGGGGATTCAGACATCCCTTCATGTTGTGAGATGAAAGACGAGCCTGTATTCCAGCCACTGCAACGAAATCCGGCCTCCTTTCAAGTTAGGGCTTCTCGCTGTATATTCCCCTTGAGGCAGCAAACTCGGGGTCAGTCCCACATACCTATTGCTGAGAGAAGCCTCCTCCTGAGGTGCTTCTGGGAAGTTGGCATACGTCTTGAGCCTAAGCCAGGGAATCAGCTCTCATCTCGAGACGATTTGGGGTACACGGAGCATTCCTCGAGTTGCTGTGCTGAAGTTGGTGTTCCTCTAGATATGGGACAGTGTTCTCGGGGCATCTCTGAAGTTTCCTGAAGGAAGTCGAGCCAACGGTCGTGTTGAGTGGGGAACGGGGAATGGCTCTGGAGTCAATGCAGGGGAATCGGGCCTCATCTCGAGTTGATTTGGGGCACATGGAGCTGCTTTGCGTTGCTGGGGTGACCTCAGGGTCCGTCTAGACTGGTGACAGTGTTCTTGGGGACTGTCTCGAGATCCATTAAGCAAGTCGAAGCTCCTGACTTGTTTGAATGGGATCACGGAATAGCTCTGCTTGCACTGCAGGGAAATGGGGCCTCATCTCGCCTCTAGGGGGAAGTCTCATGGTTTTTCTCGAGTTGCGGCGGGGACCTGGGGTATGTTCTCGACTTACGGCGGGGATGGCCCTTCAAAACACGAGTTTCTTCAGTGAGGTCAGGACTCCTGTCTAGTAACGAGGGACACCTCAGGAATCTCTTCGAGGCTTGGCAGGGCAAAAGGGACGCTTCTCGAGGTGAGGCAGGGCACCCAAGGACCCTTTCCAGTAGCCACAGTGATTTTGGGATTCCTATCAGTATTCAAGAGGAGTCAGGCATCGTCACCTTTTGAAGCAATGAACTCCGCGTGCCTCTCGAGGTGTCAGCCGGATGTGAGGCATTCCGTCAAAATGAGACAGGGACCTAGGGCTTTCTCTAAGGTCTCCACAGGGGATTCAGACATCCCTTCATGTTGTGAGATGAAAGACGAGCCTGTATTCCAGCCACTGCAACGAAATCCGGCCTCCTTTCAAGTTAGGGCTTCTCGCTGTATATTCCCCTTGAGGCAGCAAACTCGGGGTCAGTCCCACATACCTATTGCTGAGAGAAGCCTCCTCCTGAGGTGCTTCTGGGAAGTTGGCATACGTCTTGAGCCTAAGCCAGGGAATCAGCTCTCATCTCGAGACGATTTGGGGTACACGGAGCATTCCTCGAGTTGCTGTGCTGAAGTTGGTGTTCTTCTAGATATGGGACAGTGTTCTCGGGGCATCTCTGAAGTTTCCTGAAGGAAGTCGAGCCAACGGTCGTGTTGAGTGGGGAACGGGGAATGGCTCTGGAGTCAATGCAGGGGAATCGGGCCTCATCTCGAGTTGATTTGGGGCACATGGAGCTGCTTTGCGTTGCTGGGGTGACCTCAGGGTCCGTCTAGACTGGTGACAGTGTTCTTGGGGACTGTCTCGAGATCCATTAAGCAAGTCGAAGCTCCTGACTTGTTTGAATGGGATCACGGAATAGCTCTGCTTGCACTGCAGGGAAATGGGGCCTCATCTCGCCTCTAGGGGGAAGTCTCATGGTTTTTCTCGAGTTGCGGCGGGGACCTGGGGTATGTTCTCGACTTACGGCGGGGATGGCCCTTCAAAACACGAGTTTCTTCAGTGACATCAGGACTCCTGTCTAGTAACGAGGGACACCTCAGGAATTTCTTCGAGGCTTGGCAGGGCAAAAGGGACGCTTCTCGAGGTGAGGCAGGGCACCCAAGGACCCTTTCCATTAGCCACAGGGATTTTGGGATTCCTATCAGTATTCAAGAGGAGTCAGGCATCGTCACCTTTTGAAGCAATGAACTCCGCATGCCTCTCGAGGTGTCAGCGGGATGTGAGGCATTCCGTCAAAATGAGGCAGGGACCTAGGGCTTTCTCTAAGGTCTCCACAGGGGATTCAGACATCCCTTCATGTTGTGAGATGAAAGACGAGCCTGTATTCAAGCCACTGCAAGGAAATCCGGGCTCCTTTCAAGTTAGGTCTTCTCGCTGTATATTCCCCTTAAGGCAGCAAACTCGGGGTCCCTCCCACATACCTATTGCTGAGAGAAGCCTCCTCCTGAGGTGCTTCTGGGAAGTTGGAATACGTCTTGAGCCTAAGCCAGGGAATCAGCTCTCATCTCGAGACGATTTGAGGTACACGGAGCATTCCTCGAGTTGCTGTGCTGAAGTTGGTGTTCCTCTAGATATGGGACAGTGTTCTCGGGGCATCTCTGAAGTTTCCTGAAGGAAGTCGAGCCACCGGTCGTGTTGAGTGGGGAACGGGGAATGGCTCTGGAGTCAATGCAGGGGAATCAGGCCTCATCTCGGGTTGATCTGGGGCACATGGAGCTGCTTTGCGTTGCTGGGGTGACCTCAGGGTCCGTCTAGACTGGTGACAGTGTTCTTGGGGACTGTCTCGAGATCCATTAAGCAAGTCGAAGCTCCTGACTTGTTTGAATGGGATCACGGAATAGCTCTGCATGCACTGCAGGGGAATGGGGCCTCATCTCGCCTCTAGGGGGAAGTCTCATGGTTTTTCTCGAGTTGCGGCGGGGACCTGGGGTATGTTCTCGACTTAAGGCGGGGATGGCCCTTCAAAACACGAGTTTCTTCAGTGACGTCAGGACTCCTGTCTAGTAACGAGGGACACCTCAGGAATCTCTTCGAGGCTTGGCAGGGCCAAAGGGACGCTTCTCGAGGTGAGGCAGGGCACCCAAGGACCCTTTCCAGTAGCCACAGGGATTTTGGGATTCCTATCAGTATTCCCGAGGAGTCAGGCATCGTCACCTTTTGAAGCAATGAACTCCGCGTGCCTCTCAAGGTGTCAGCGGGATGTGGGGCATTCCGTCAAAATGAGGCAGGGACCTAGGGCTTTCTCTAAGGTCTCCACAGGGGATTCAGACAACCCTTCATGTTGTGAGATGAAAGACTAGCCTGCATTCAAGCCACTGCAAGGAAATCCGGCCTCCTTTCAAGTTAGGGCTTCCCGCTGTATATTCCCCTTGAGGCAGCAAACTCGGGGTCCCTCCCACATACCTATTGCTGAGAGAAGCCTCCTCCTGAGGTGCTTCTGGGAAGTTGGCATACGTCTTGAGCCTAAGCCAGGGAATCAGCTCTCATCTCGAGACGATTTGGGGTACACGGAGCATTCCTCGAGTTGCTTTGCTGAAGTTGGTCTTCCTCTAGACTTGGGACAGTGTTCTCGGGGCATCTCTGGAGTTGCCTGAAGGAAGTCGAGCCACCGGTCGTGTTGAATGGGGAACGGGGAATGGCTCTGGAGTCAATGCAGGGGAATCGGGCCTCATCTCGAGTTGATTTGGGGCACATGGAGCTGCTTTGCGTTGCTGGGGTGACCTCAGGGTCCGTCTAGACTTGTGACAGTGTTCTTGGGGACTGTCTCGAGATCCATTGAGCAAGTCGAAGCTCCTGATTTGTTTGAATGGGATCACGGAATAGCTCTGCATGCACTGCAGGGGAATGGGGCCTCATCTCGCCTCTAGGGGGAAGTCTCATGGTTTTTCTCGAGTTGCGGCGGGGACCTGGGGTATGTTCTCGACTTACGGCGGGGATGGCCCTTCAAATCATGAGTTTCTTCAGTGAGGTCAGGACTCCTGTCTAGTAACGAGGGACACCTCAGGAATCTCTTCGAGGTTTGGCAGGGCAAAAGGGACGCTTCTCGAGGTGAGGCAGGGCCCCCAAGGACCCTTTCCAGTAGCCACAGGGATTTTGGGATTCCTATCAGTATTCAAGAGGAGTCAGGCATCGTCACCTTTTGAAGCAATGAACTCCGCGTGCCTCTCGAGGTGTCAGCGGGATGTGGGGCATTCCGTCAAAATGAGGCAGGGACCTAGTGCTTTCTCTAAGGTCTCCACAGGGGATTCAGACATCCCTTCATGTTGTGAGATGAAAGACGAGCCTGTATTCAAGCCACTGCAACGAAATCCGGCCTCCTTTCAAGTTAGGGCTTCTCGCTGTATATTCCCCTTGAGGCAGCAAACTCGGGGTCCCTCCCACATACCTATTGCTGAGAGAAGCCTCCTCCTGAGGTGCTTCTGGGAAGTTGGCATACGTCTTGAGCCTAAGCCAGGGAATCAGTTCTCATCTCGAGACGATTTGGGGTACATGGAGCATGCCTCGAGTTGCTGTGCTGAAGTTGGTGTTCCTCTAGACTTGGGACAGTGTTCTTGGGGCATCTCTGGAGTTGCCTGAAGGAAGTCGAGCCACCGGTCCTGTTGAATGGGGAACGGGAAATGGCTCTGGAGTCAATGCAGGGGAATCGGGCCTCATCTCGATTTGATTTGGGGCACATGGAGCTGCTTTGCGTTGCTGGGGTGACCTCAGGGTCGTCTAGACTGGTGACAGTGTTCTTGGGGACTGTCTCGAGATCCATTAAGCAAGTCGAAGCTCCTGACTTGTTTGAATGGGATCACGGAATAGCTCTGCATGCACTGTAGGGGAATGGGGCCTCATCTCGCCTCTAGGGGGAAGTCTCATGGTTTTTCTCGAGTTGCGGCGGGGACATGGGGTATGTTCTCGACTTACGGCGGGGATGGCCCTTCAAAACACGAGTTTCTTCAGTGACGTCAGGACTCCTGTCTAGTAACGAGGGACACCTCAGGAATCTCTTCGAGGCTTGGCAGGGCAAAAGGGACGCTTCTCGAGGTGAGGCAGGGCACCCAAGGACCCTTTCCAGTAGCCACAGGGATTTTGGGATTCCTATCAGTATTCAAGAGGAGGCAGGCATTGTCACCTTTTGAAGCAATGAACTCCGCGTGCCTCTCGAAGTGTCAGCGGGATGTGAGGCATTCCGTCAAAATGAGGCAGGGTCCTAGGGCTTTCTCTAAGGTCTCCACAGGGGATTCAGACATCCCTTCATGTTGTGAGATGAAAGACGAGCCTGTATTCAAGCCACTGCAAGGAAATCCGGGCTCCTTTCAAGTTAGGGCTTCTCGCTGTATATTCCCCTTGAGGCAGCAAACTCGGGGTCCCTCCCACATACCTATTGCTGAGAGAAGCCTCCTCCTGAGGTGCTTCTGGGAAGTTGGCATATGTCTTGAGCCTAAGCCAGGGAATCAGCTCTCATCTCGAGACGATTTGGTGTACACGGAGCATTCCTCGAGTTGCTGTGCTGAAGTTGCTGTTCCTCGAGACTTGGGACAGTGTTCTCGGGGCATCTCTTGAGTTGCCTGAAGGAAGTCGAGCCACCCGTCGTGTTGAATGGGGAAAGGGGAATGGCTCTGGAGTCAATGCAGGGGAATCGGGCCTTATCTCGAGTTGATTTGGGGCACATGGAGCTGCTTTGCGTTGCTGGGGTGACCTCAGGGTCCGTCTAGACTGGTGACAGTGTTCTTGGGGACTGTCTCGAGATCCATTGAGCAAGTCGAAGCTCCTGACTTGTTTGAATGGGATCACGGAATAGCTCTGCATGCACTGCAGGGGAATGGGGCCTCATCTCGCCTCTAGGGGGAAGTCTCATGGTTTTTCTCGAGTTGCGACGGGGACCTGGTGTATGTTCTCGACTTACGGCGGGGATGGCCCTTCAAAACACGAGTTTCTTCAGTGACGTCAGGACTCCTGTCTAGTAACGAGGGACACCTCAGGAATCTCTTCGAGGCTTGGCAGGGCAAAAGGGACGCTTCTCGAGGTGAGGCAGGGCACCCAAGGACCCTTTCCAGTAGCCACAGGGATTTTGGGATTTCTATCAGAATTCAAGAGGAGTCAGGCATCGTCACCTTTTGAAGCAATGAACTTCGCGTGCCTCTCGATGTGTCAGCGGGATGTGAGGCATTCCGTCAAAATGAGGCAGGGACCTAGGGCTTTCTCTAAGGTCTCCACAGGGGATTCAGACATCCCTTCATGTTGTGAGATGAAAGACGAGCCTGTATTCAAGCCACTGCAAGGAAATCCGGCCTCCTTTCAAGTTAGGGCTTCTCGCTGTATATTCCCCTTGAGGCAGCAAACTCGGGGTCCCTCCCACATACCTATTGCTGAGAGAAGCCTTCTCCTGAGGTGCTTCTGGGAAGTTGGCATACGTCTTGAGCCTAAGCCAGGGAATCAGCTCTCATCTCGAGACGATTTGGTGTACACGGAGCATTCCTCGAGTTGCTGTGCTGAAGTTGGTGTTCCTCTAGACTTGGGACAGTGTTCTCGGGGCATCTCTGAAGTTTCCTGAAGGAAGTCGAGCCACCGGTCGTGTTGAGTGGGGAACGGAGAATGGCTCTGGAGTCAATGCAGGGGAATCGGGCCTCATCTCGAGTTGATCTGGGGCACATGGAGCTGCTTTGCGTTGCTGGGGTGACCTCAGGGTCCGTCTAGACTGGTGACAGTGTTCTTGGGGACTGTCTCGAGATCCATTAAGCAAGTCGAAGCTCCTGACTTGTTTGAATCGGATCACGGAATAGCTCTGCATGCACTGCAGGGGAATGGGGCCTCATCTCGCCTCTAGGGGGAAGTCTCATGTTTTTTCCCGAGTTGCGGCGGGGACCTGGGGTATGTTCTCGACTTACGGCGGGGATGGCCCTTCAAAACACGAGTTTCTTCAGTGAGGTCAGGACTCCTGTCTAGTAACGAGGGACACCTCAGGAATCTCTTCAAGGCTTGGCAGGGCAAAAGGGACGCTTCTCGAGGTGAGGCAGGGCACGCAAGGACCCTTTCCAGTAGCCACAGTGATTTTGGGATTCCTATCAGTATTCAAGAGGAGTCAGGCATCGTCACCTTTTGAAGCAATGAACTCCGCGTGCCTCTCGAGGTGTCAGCCGGATGTGAGGCATTCCGTCAAAATGAGACAGGGACCTAGGGCTTTCTCTAAGGTCTCCACAGGGGATTCAGACATCCCTTCATGTTGTGAGATGAAAGACGAGCCTGTATTCAAGCCACTGCAACGAAATCCGGCCTCCTTTCAAGTTAGGGCTTCTCGCTGTATATTCCCCTTGAGGCAGCAAACTCGGGGTCCCTCCCACATACCTATTGCTGAGAGAAGCCTCCTCCTGAGGTGCTTCTGGGAAGTTGGCATACGTCTTGAGCCTAAGCCAGGGAATCAGCTCTCATCTCGAGACGATTTGGGGTACACGGAGCATTCCTCGAGTTGCTGTGCTGAAGTTGGTGTTCCTCTAGACTTGGGACAGTGTTCTCGGGGCATCTCTGAAGTTTCCTGAAGGAAGTCGAGCCAACGGTCGTGTTGAGTGGGGAACGGGGAATGGCTCTGGAGTCAATGCAGGGGAATCGGGCCTCATCTCGAGTTGATTTGGGGCACATGGAGCTGCTTTGCGTTGCTGGGGTGACCTCAGGGTCCGTCTAGACTGGTGACAGTGTTCTTGGGGACTGTCTCGAGATCCATTAAGCAAGTCGAAGCTCCTGACTTGTTTGAATGGGATCACGGAATAGCTCTGCTTGCACTGCAGGGAAATGGGGCCTCATCTCGCCTCTAGGGGGAAGTCTCATGGTTTTTCTCGAGTTGCGGCGGGGACCTGGGGTATGTTCTCGACTTACGGCGGGGATGGCCCTTCAAAACACGAGTTTCTTCAGTGACGTTAGGACTCCTGTCTAGTAACGAGGGACACCTCAGGAATCTCTTCGAGGCTTGGCAGGGCAAAAGGGACGCTTCTCGAGGTGAGGCAGGGCACCCAAGGACCCTTTCCATTAGCCACAGGGATTTTGGGATTCCTATCAGTATTCAAGAGGAGTCAGGCATCGTCACCTTTTGAAGCAATGAACTCCGCATGCCTCTCGAGGTGTCAGCGGGATGTGAGGCATTCCGTCAAAATGAGGCAGGGACCTAGGGCTTTCTCTAAGGTCTACAAAGGGGATTCAGACATCCCTTCATGTTGTGAGATGAAAGACGAGCCTGTATTCAAGCCACTGCAAGGAAATCCGGGCTCCTTTCAAGTTAGGGCTTCTCGCTGTATATTCCCCTTGAGGCAGCAAACTCGGGGTCCCTCCCACATACCTATTGCTGAGAGAAGCCTCCTCCTGAGGTGCTTCTGGGAAGTTGGAATACGTCTTGAGCCTAAGCCAGGGAATCAGCTCTCATCTCGAGACGATTTGAGGTACACGGAGCATTCCTCGAGTTGCTGTGCTGAAGTTGGTGTTCCTCTAGATATGGGACAGTGTTCTCGGGGCATCTCTGAAGTTTCCTGAAGGAAGTCGAGCCACCGGTCGTGTTGAGTGGGGAACGGGGAATGGCTCTGGAGTCAATGCAGGAAATCAGGCCTCATCTCGGGTTGATCTGGGGCACATGGAGCTGCTTTGCGTTGCTGGGGTGACCTCAGGGTCCGTCTAGACTGGTGACAGTGTTCTTGGGGACTGTCTTGAGATCCATTAAGCAAGTCGAAGCTCCTGACTTGTTTGAATGTGATCACGGAATAGCTCTGCATGCACTGCAGGGGAATGGGGCCTCATCTCGCCTCTAGGGGGAAGTCTCATGGTTTTTCTCGAGTTGCGGCGGGGACCTGGGGTATGTTCTCGACTTACGGCGGGGATGGCCCTTCAAAACACGAGTTTCTTCAGTGACGTCAGGACTCCTGTCTAGTAACGAGGGACACCTCAGGAATCTCTTCGAGGCTTGGCAGGGCAAAAGGGACGCTTCTCGAGGTGAGGCAGGGCACCCAAGGACCCTTTCCATTAGCCACAGGGATTTTGGGATTCCTATCAGTATTCAAGAGGAGTCAGGCATCGTCACCTTTTGAAGCAATGAACTCCGCATGCCTCTCGAGGTGTCAGCGGGATGTGAGGCATTTCGTCAAAATGAGGCAGGGACCTAGGGCTTTCTCTAAGGTCTCCACAGGGGATTCAGACATCCCTTCATGTTGTGAGAGGAAAGACGAGCCTGTATTCAAGCCACTGCAAGGAAATCCGGGCTCCTTTCAAGTTAGGGCTTCTCGCTGTATATTCCCCTTGAGGCAGCAAACTCGGGGTCCCTCCCACATACCTATTGCTGAGAGAAGCCTCCTCCTGAGGTGCTTCTCGGAAGTTGGAATACGTTTTGAGCCTAAGCCAGGGAATCAGCTCTCATCTCGAGACGATTTGAGGTACACGGAGCATTCCTCGAGTTGCTGTGCTGAAGTTGGTGTTCCTCTAGATATGGGACAGTGTTCTCGGGGCATCTCTGAAGTTTCCTGAAGGAAGTCGAGCCACCGGTCGTGTTGAGTGGGGAACGGGGAATGGCTCTGGAGTCAATGCAGGGGAATCAGGCCTCATCTCGGGTTGATCTGGGGCACATGGAGCTGCTTTGCGTTGCTGGGGTGACCTCAGGGTCCGTCTAGACTGGTGACAGTTTTCTTGGGGACTGTCTCGAGATCCATTAAGCAAGTCGAAGCTCCTGACTTGTTTGAATCGGATCACGGAATAGCTCTGCATGCACTGCAGGGGAATGGGGCCTCATCTCGCCTCTAGGGGGAAGTCTCATGGTTTTTCTCGAGTTGCGGCGGGGACCTGGGGTATGTTCTCGACTTACGGCGGGGATGGCCCTTCAAAACACGAGTTTCTTCAGTGACGTCAGGACTCCTGTCTAGTAACGAGGGACACCTCAGGAATCTCTTCGAGGCTTGGCAGGGCCAAAGGGACGCTTCTCGAGGTGAGGCAGGGCACCCAAGGACCCTTTCCAGTAGCCACAGGGATTTTGGGATTCCTATCAGTATTCCAGAGGAGTCAGGCATCGTCACCTTTTGAAGCAATGAACTCCGCGTGCCTCTCAAGGTGTCAGCGGGATGTGGGGCATTCCGTCAAAATGAGGCAGGGACCTAGGGCTTTCTCTAAGGTCTCCACAGGGGATTCAGACAACCCTTCATGTTGTGAGATGAAAGACTAGCCTGCATTCAAGCCACTGCAAGGAAATCCGGCCTCCTTTCAAGTTAGGGCTTCTCGCTGTATATTCCCCTTGAGGCAGCAAACTCGGGGTCCCTCCCACATACCTATTGCTGAGAGAAGCCTCCTCCTGAGGTGCTTCTGGGAAGTTGGCATACGTCTTGAGCCTAAGCCAGGGAATCAGCTCTCATCTCGAGACGATTTGTGGTACACGGAGCATTCCTCGAGTTGCTGTGCTGAAGTTGGTGTTCCTCTAGACTTGGGACAGTGTTCTCGGGGCATCTCTGGAGTTGCCTGAAGGAAGTCGAGCCACCGGTCGTGTTGAATGGGGAACGGGGAATGGCTCTGGAGTCAATGCAGGGGAATCATGCCTCATCTCGAGTTGATTTGGGGCACATGGAGCTGCTTTGCGTTGCTGGGGTGACCTCAGGGTCCGTCTAGACTGGTGACAGTGTTCTTGGGGACTGTCTCGAGATCTATTGAGCAAGTCGAAGCTCCTGACTTGTTTGAATCGGATCACGGAATAGCTCTGCATGCACTGCAGGGAAATGGGGCCTCATCTCGCCTCTAGGGGGAAGTCTCATGGTTTTTCTCGAGTTGCGGCCGGGACCTGGGGTATGTTCTCGACTTACGGTGGGGATGGCCCTTCAAATCATGAGTTTCTTCAGTGAGGTCAGGACTCCTGTCTAGTAACGAGGGACACCTCAGGAATCTCTTCGAGGCTTGGCAGGGCAAAAGGGACGCTTCTCGAGGTGAGGCAGGGCACCCAAGGACCCTTTCCAGTAGCCACAGGGATTTTGGGATTCCTATCAGTATTCAAGAGGAGTCAGGCATCGTCACCTTTTGAAGCAATGAACTCCGCGTGCCTCTCGAGGTGTCAGCGGGATGTGGGGCATTCCGTCAAAATGAGGCAGGGACCTAGTGCTTTCTCTAAGGTCTCCACAGGGGATTCAGACATCCCTTCATGTTGTGAGATGAAAGACGAGCCTGTATTCAAGCCACTGCAAGGAAATCCGGCCTCCTTTCAAGTTAGGGCTTCTCGCTGTATATTCCCCTTGAGGCAGGAAACTCGGGGTCCCTCCCACATACCTATTGCTGAGAGAAGCCTCCTCCTGAGGTGCTTCTGGGAAGTTGGCATACGTCTTGAGCCTAAGCCAGGGAATCAGCTCTCATCTCGAGACGATTTGGGTTACACGGAGCATTCCTCGAGTTGCTGTGCTGAAGTTGGTCTTCCTCTGGACTTGGGACAGTGTTCTCGGGGCATCTCTGGAGTTGCCTGAAGGAAGTCGAGCCACCGGTCGTGTTGAATGGGGAACGGGGAATGGCTCTGGAGTCAATGCAGGGGAATCGGGCCTCATCTCGAGTTGATTTGGGGCACATGGAGCTGCTTTGCGTTGCTGGGGTGACCTCAGGGTCCGTCTAGACTGGTGACAGTGTTCTTGGGGACTGTCTCGAGATCCATTGAGAAAGTCGAAGCTCCTGATTTGTTTGAATCGGATCACGGAATAGCTCTGCATGCACTGCAGGGGAATGGGGCCTCATCTCGCCTCTAGGGGGAAGTCTCATGGTTTTTCTCGAGTTGCGACGGGGACCTGGGGTATGTTCTCGACTTACGGCGGGGATGGCCCTTCAAATCATGAGTTTCTTCAGTGAGGTCAGGACTCCTGTCTAGTAACGAGGGACACCTCAGGAATCTCTTCGAGGTTTGGCAGGGCAAAAGGGACGCTTCTCGAGGTGAGGCAGGGCCCCCAAGGACCCTTTCCAGTAGCCACAGGGATTTTGGGATTCCTATCAGTATTCAAGAGGAGTCAGGCATCGTCACCTTTTGAAGCAATGAACTCCGCGTGCCTCTCGAGGTGTCAGCGGGATGTGGGGCATTCCGTCAAAATGAGGCAGGGACCTAGTGCTTTCTCTAAGGTCTCCACAGGGGATTCAGACATCCCTTCATGTTGTGAGATGAAAGACGAGCCTGTATTCAAGCCACTGCAAGGAAATCCGGCCTCCTTTCAAGTTAGGGCTTCTCGCTGTATATTCCCCTTGAGGCAGCAAACTCGGGGTCCCTCCCACATACCTATTGCTGAGAGAAGCCTCCTCCTGAGGTGCTTCTGGGAAGTTGGCATACGTCTTGAGCCTAAGCCAGGGAATCAGCTCTCATCTCGAGACGATTTGGGGTACATGGAGCATGCCTCGAGTTGCTGTGCTGAAGTTGGTGTTCCTCTAGACTTGGGACAGTGTTCTCGGGGCATCTCTGGAGTTGCCTGAAGGAAGTCGAGCCACCGGTCGTGTTGAATGGGGAACGGGGAATGGCTCTGGAGTCAATGCAGGGGAATCGGGCCTCATCTCGAGTTGATTTGGGGCACATGGAGCTGCTTTGCGTTGCTGGGGTGACCTCAGGGTCCGTCTAGACTGGTGACAGTGTTCTTGGGGACTGTCTCGAGATCCATTAAGCAAGTCGAAGCTCCTGACTTGTTTGAATGGGATCACGGAATAGCTCTGCATGCACTGCAAGGGAATGGGGCCTCATCTCGCCTCTAGGGGGAAGTCTCATGGTTTTTCTCGAGTTGCGGCGGGGACCTGGGGTATGTTCTCGACTTACTGCGGGGATGGCCCTTCAAAACACGAGTTTCTTCAGTGACGTCAGGACTCCTGTCTAGTAACGAGGGACACCTCAGGAATCTCTTCGAGGCTTGGCAGGGCAAAAGGGACGCTTCTCGAGGTGAGGCAGGGCCCCCAAGGACCCTTTCCAGTAGCCACAGGGATTTTGGGATTCCTATCAGTATTCCAGAGGAGGCAGGCATTGTCACCTTTTGAAGCAATGAACTCCGCGTGCCTCTCGAGGTGTCAGCGGGATGTGAGGCATTCCGTCAAAATGAGGCAGGGACCTAGGGCTTTCTCTAAGGTCTCCACAGGGGATTCAGACATCCCTTCATGTTGTGAGATGAAAGACGAGCCTGTATTCAAGCCACTGCAAGGAAATCCGGGCTCCTTTCAAGTTAGGGATTCTCGCTGTATATTCCCCTTGAGGCAGCAACCTCGGTGTCCCTCCCACATACCTATTGCTGAGAGAAGCCTCCTCCTGAGGTGCTTCTGGGAAGTTGGCATATGTCTTGAGCCTAAGCCAGGGAATCAGCTCTCATCTCGAGACGATTTGGTGTACACGGAGCATTCCTCGAGTTGCTGTGCTGAAGTTGCTGTTCCTCGAGACTTGGGACAGTGTTCTCGGGGCATCTCTTGAGTTGCCTGAAGGAAGTCGAGCCACCCGTCGTGTTGAATGGGGAAAGGGGAATGGCTCTGGAGTCAATGCAGGGGAATCGGGCCTTATCTCGAGTTGATTTGGGGCACATGGAGCTGCTTTGCGTTGCTGGGGTGACCTCGGGGTCCGCCTAGACTGGTGACAGTGTTCTTGGGGACTGTCTCGAGAATCATTAAGCAAGTCGAAGCTCCTGACTTGTTTGAATGGGATCACGGAATAGCTCTGCATGCACTGCAGGGGAATGGGGCCTCATCTCGCCTCTAGGGGGAAGTCTCATGGTTTTTCTCGAGTTGCGGCGGGGACCTGGGGTATGTTCTCGACTTACGGCGGGGATGGCCCTTCAAAACACGAGTTTCTTCAGTGACGTCAGGACTCCTGTCTAGCAACGAGGGACACCTCAGGAATCTCTTCGAGGCTTGGCAGGGCAAAAGGGACGCTTCTCGAGGTGAGGCAGGGCACCCAAGGACCCTTTCCAGTAGCCACAGGGATTTTGGGATTCCTATCAGTATTCAAGAGGAGTCAGGCATCGTCACCTTTTGAAGCAATGAACTCCGCGTGCCTCTCGAGGTCTCAACGGGATGTGGGGCATTCCGTCAAAATGAGGCAGGGAACTAGGGCTTTCTCTAAGGTCTCCACAGGGGATTCAGACATCCCTTCATGTTGTGAGATGAAAGACGAGCCTGTATTCAAGCCACGGCAAGAAAATCCGGCCTCCTTTCAAGTTAGGGCTTCTCGCTGTATATTCCCCTTGAGGCAGCAAACTCGGGGTCCCTCCAACATAACTATTGCTGAGAGAAGCCTCCTCCTGAGGTGATTCTGGGAAGTTGGCATACGTCTTGAACCTAAGCCAGGGAATCAGCTCTCATCTCGAGACGATTTGGGGTACATGGAGCATTCCTCGAGTTGCTGTGCTGAAGTTGGTGTTCCTCTAGACTTGGGACAGTGATCTCAGGGCATCTCTGGAGTTGCCTGAAGGAAGTCGAGCCACCGGTCGTGTTGAATGGGGAACGGGGAATGGCTATGGAGTCAATGCAGGGGAATCGGGCCTCATCTCGAGTTGATTTGGGGCACATGGAGCTGCTGCTTTGCGTTGCTGGGGTGACCTCAGGGTCCGTCTAAACTGGTGACAGTGTTCTTGGGGACTGTCTCGAGATCCATTGAGCAAGTCGAAGCTCCTGACTTGTTTGAATGGGATCACGGAATAGCTCTGCATGCACTGCAGGGGAATGGGGCCTCATCTCGCCTCTAGGGGGAATTCTCATGGTTTTTCTCGAGTTGCGACGGGGACCTGGAGTATGTTCTCGACTTACGGCGGGGATGGCCCTTCAAAACACGAGTTTCTTCAGTGACGTCAGGACTCCTGTCTAGTAAAGAGGGACATCTCAGGAATCTCTTCGAGGCTTGGCAGGGCAAAAGGGACGCTTCTCGAGGTGAGGCAGGGCACCCAAGGACCCTTTCCAGTAGCCACAGGGATTTTGGGATTTCTATCAGAATTCAAGAGGAGTCAGGCATCATCACCTTTTGAAGCAATGAACTCCGCGTGCCTCTCGATGTGTCAGCGGGATGTGAGGCATTCCGTCAAAATGAGGCAGGGACCTAGGGCTTTCTCTAAGGTCTCCACAGGGGATTCAGACATCCCTTCATGTTGTGAGATGAAAGACGAGCCTGTATTCAAGCCACTGCAAGGAAATCCGGCCTCCTTTCAAGTTAGGGCTTCTCGCTGTATATTCCCCTTGAGGCAGCAAACTCGGGGTCCCTCCCACATACCTATTGCTGAAAGAAGCCTTCTCCTGAGGTGCTTCTGGGAAGTTGGCATACGTCTTGAGCCTAAGCCAGGGAATCAGCTCTCATCTCGAGACGATTTGGGGTACACGGAGCATTCCTCGAGTTGCTGTGCTGAAGTTGGTGTTCCTCTAGACTTGGGACAGTGTTCTCGGGGCATCTCTGGAGTTGCCTGAAGGAAGTCGAGCCACCGGTCCTGTTGAATGGGGAACGGGGAATGGCTCTGGAGTCAATGCAGGGGAATCGGGCCTCATCTCGAGTTGATTTGGGGCACATGGAGCTGCTTTGCGTTGCTGGGGTGACCTCAGGGTCCGTCTAGACTGGTGACAGTGTTCTTGGGGACTGTCTCGAGATCCATTAAGCAAGTCGAAGCTCCTGACTTGTTTGAATGGGATCACGGAATAGCTCTGCATGCACTGCAGGGGAATGGGGCCTCATCTCGCCTCTAGGGGGAAGTCTCATGGTTTTTCTTGAGTTGCGGCGGGGACCTGGGGTATGTTCTCGATTTACGGCGGGGATGGCCCTTCAAAACACGAGTTTCTTCAGTGACGTCAGGACTCCTGTCTAGTAACGAGGGACACCTCAGGAATCTCTTCGAGGCTTGGCAGGGCCAAAGGGACGCTTCTCGAGGTGAGGCAGGGCACCCAAGGACCCTTTCCAGTAGCCACAGGGATTTTGGGATTCCTATCAGTATTCAAGAGGAGTCAGGCATCGTCACCTTTTGAAGCAATGAACTCCGCGTGCCTCTCAAGGTGTCAGCGGGATGTGGGGCATTCCGTCAAAATGAGGCAGGGACCTAGGGCTTTCTCTAAGGTCTCCACAGGGGATTCAGACAACCCTTCATTTTGTGAGATGAAAGACTAGCCTGCATTCAAGCCACTGCAAGGAAATCCGGCCTCCTTTCAAGTTAGGGCTTCCCGATGTATATTCCCCTTGAGGCAGCAAACTCGGGGTCCCTCCCACATACCTATTGCTGAGAGAAGCCTCCTCCTGAGGTGCTTCTGGGAAGTTGGCATACGTCTTGAGCCTAAGCCAGGGAATCAGCTCTCATCTCGAGACGATTTGGGGTACACGGAGCATTCCTCGAGTTGCAGTGCTGAAGTTGGTCTACCTCTAGACTTGGGACAGTGTTCTCGGGGCATCTCTGGAGTTGCCTGAAGGAAGTCGAGCCACCGGTCGTGTTGAGTGGGGAACGGGGAATGGCTTTGGAGTCAATGCAGGGGAATCGGGCCTCATCTCGAGTTGATTTGGGGCACATGGAGCTGCTTTGCGTTGCTGGGGTGACCTCAGTGCCCGTCTAGACTTGTGACAGTGTTCTTGGGGACTGTCGAGATCCATTAAGCAAGTCGAAGCTCCTGACTTGTTTGAATCGGATCACGGAATAGCTCTGCATGCACTGCAGGGGAATGGGGGCTCATCTCGCCTCTAGGGGGAAGTCTCATGGTTTTTCTCGAGTTGCGGCGGGGACCTGGGGTATGTTCTCGACTTACGGCGGGGATGGCCCTTCAAATCATGAGTTTCTTCAGTGAGGTCAGGACTCCTGTCTAGTAACGAGGGACACCTCAGGAATCTCTTCGAGGCTTGGCAGGGCAAAAGGGACGCTTCTCGAGGTGAGGCAGGGCACCCAAGGACCCTTTCCAGTAGCCACAGGGATTTTGGGATTCCTATCAGTATTCAAGAGGAGTCAGGCATCGTCACCTTTTGAAGCAATGAACTCCGCGTGCCTCTCGAGGTGTCAGCGGGATGTGGGGCATTCCGTCAAAATGAGGCAGGGACCTAGGGCTTTCTCTAAGGTCTCCACAGGGGATTCAGACATCCCTTCATGTTGTGAAATGAAAGACGAGCCTGTATTCAAGCCACTGCAAGGAAATCCGGCCTCCTTTCAAGTTAGGGCTTCTCGCTGTATATTCCCCTTGAGGCAGCAAACTCGGGGTCCCTCCCACATAGCTATTGCTGAGAGAAGCCTCCTCCTGAGGTGCTTCTAGGAAGTTGGCATACGTCTTGAGCCTAAGCCAGGGAATCAGCTCTCATCTCGAGATGATTTGGTGTACACGGAGCATTCCTCGAGTTGCTGTGCTGAAGTTGGTCTTCCTCTAGACTTGGGACAGTGTTCTCGGGGCATCTCTGGAGTTGCCTGAAGGAAGTCGAGCCACCGGTCGTGTTGAATGGGGAACGGGGAATGGCTCTGGAGTCAATGCAGGGGAATCGGGCCTCATCTCGAGTTGATTTGGGGCACATGGAGCTGCTTTGCGTTGCTGGGGTGACCTCAGGGTCCGTCTAGACTGGTGACAGTGTTCTTGGGGACTGTCTCGAGATCCATTGAGCAAGTCGAAGCTCCTGACTTGTTTGAATCGGATCACGGAATAGCTCTGCATGCACTGCAGGGAAATGGGGCCTCATCTCGCCTCTAGGGGGAAGTCTCATGGTTTTTCTCGAGTTGCGGCGGGGACCTGGGGTATGTTCTCGACTTACGGTGGGGATGGCCCTTCAAATCATGAGTTTCTTCAGTGAGGTCAGGACTCCTGTCTAGTAACAAGGGACACCTCAGGAATCTCTTCGAGGCTTGGCAGGGCAAAAGGGACGCTTCTCGAGGTGAGGCAGGGCACCCAAGGACCCTTTCCAGTAGCCACAGGGATTTTGGGATTCCTATCAGTATTCAAGAGGAGTCAGGCATCGTCACCTTTTGAAGCAATGAACTCCGCGTGCCTCTCGAGGTGTCAGCGGGATGTGGGGCATTCCGTCAAAATGAGGCAGGGACCTAGTGCTTTCTCTAAGGTCTCCACAGGGGATTCAGACATCCCTTCATGTTGTGAGATGAAAGACTAGCCTGTATTCAAGCCACTGCAAGGAAATCCGGCCTCCTTTCAAGTTAGGGCTTCTCGCTGTATATTCCCCTTGAGGAAGGAAACTCGGGGTCCCTCCCACATACCTATTGCTGAGAGAAGCCTCCTCCTGAGGTGCTCTGGGAAGTTGGCATACGTCTTGAGCCTAAGCCAGGGAATCAGCTCTCATCTCGAGACGATTTGGGTTACACGGAGCATTCCTCGAGTTGCTGTGCTGAAGTTGGTCTTCCTCTAGACTTGGGACAGTGTTCTCGGGGCATCTCTGGAGTTGCCTGAAGGAAGTCGAGCCACCGGTCATGTTGAATGGGGAACGGGGAATGGCTCTGGAGTCAATGCAGGGGAATCGGGCCTCATCTCGAGTTGATTTGGGGCACATGGAGCTGCGTTGCGTTGCTGGGGTGACCTCAGGGTCCGTCTAGACTGGTGACAGTGTTCTTGGGGACTGTCTCGAGATCCATTGAGCAAGTCGAAGCTCCTGATTTGTTTGAATCGGATCACGGAATAGCTCTGCATGCACTGCAGGGAAATGGGGCCTCATCTCGCCTCTAGGGGGAAGTCTCATGGTTTTTCTCGAGTTGCGGCGGGGACCTGGGGTATGTTCTCGACTTACGGCGGGGATGGCCCTTCAAATCATGAGTTTCTTCAGTGAGGTCAGGACTCCTGTCTAGTAACGAGGGACACCTCAGGAATCTCTTCGAGGTTTGGCAGGGCAAAAGGGACGCTTCTCGAGGTGAGGCAGGGCACCCAAGGACCCTTTCCAGTAGCCACAGGGATTTGGGGATTCCTATCAGTATTCAAGAGGAGTCAGGCATCGTCACCTTTTGAAGCAATGAACTCCGCGTGCCTCTCGAGGTGTCAGCGGGATGTGAGGCATTCCGTCAAAATGAGGCAGGGACCTAGGGCTTTCTCTAAGGTCTCCACAGGGGATTCAGACATCCCTTCATGTTGTGAGATGAAAGACGAGCCTGTATTCAAGCCACTGCAAGGAAATCCGGCCTCCTTTCAAGTTAGGGCTTCTCGCTGTATATTCCCCTTGAGGCAGCAAACTCGGGGTCCCTCCCACATACCTATTGCTGAGAGAAGCCTCCTCCTGAGGTGCTTCTGGGAAGTTGGCATACGTCTTGAGCCTAAGCCAGGGAATCAGCTCTCATCTCGAGACGATTTGGGGTACACGGAGCATTCCTCGAGTTGCTGTGCTGAAGTTCGTGTTCCTCTAGACTTGGGACAGTGTTCTCGGGGCATCTCTGGAGTTGCGTGAAGGAAGTCCAGCCACCGGTCGTGTTGAATGAGGAACGGGGAATGGCTCTGGAATCAATGCAGGGATATCGGGCCTCATCTCGAGTTGATTTGGGGCACATGGAGCTGCTTGGCGTTGCTGGGGTGACCTCAGGGTCCTTTTAGACTGGTGACAGTGTTCTTGGGGACTGTCTCGAGATCCATTAAGCAAGTCGAAGCTCCTGACTTGTTTGAATGGGATCACGGAATAGCTCTGCATGCACTGCAGGGGAATGGGGCCTCATCTCTCCTCTAGGGGGAAGTCTCATGGTTTTTCTCGAGTTGCGGCGGGGACCTGGGGTATGTTCTCGACTTACGGCGGGGATGGCCCTTCAAAACACGAGTTTCTTCAGTGACGTCAGGACTCCTGTCTAGTAACGAGGGACACCTCAGGAATCTCTTCGAGGCTTGGCAGGGCAAAAGGGACGCTTCTCGAGGTGAGGCAGGGCACCCAAGCACCCTTTCCAGTAGCCAGAGGGATTTTGGGATTCCTATCAGTATTCAAGAGGAGTCAGGCATCGGCACCTTTTGAAGCAGTGAACTCCGCGTGCCTCTCGAGGTGTCAGCGGGATGTGGGGCATTCCGTCAAAATGAGGCAGGGACCTAGGGCTTTCTCTAAGGTCGCCACAGGGGATTCAGACATCCCTTCATGTTGTGAGATGAAAGACTAGCCTGTATTCAAGCCACTGCAAGGAAATCCGGCCTCCTTTCTAGTTAGGGCTTTTCGCTGTATATTCCCCTTGAGGCAGCAAACTCGGGGTCCCTCCCACATACCTATTGCTGAGAGAAGCCTCCTCCTGAGGTGCTTCTGGGAAGTTGGCATACGTCTTGAGCCTAAGCCAGGGAATCAGCTCTCATCTCGAGACGATTTGGGGTACATGGAGCATTCCTCGAGTTGCTGTGCTGAAGTTGGTGTTCCTCTAGACTTGGGACAGTGTTCTCGGGGCATCTCTGGAGTTGCCTGAAGGAAGTCGAACCACCCGTCGTGTTGAAAGGGGAACGGAGAATGGCTCTGGAGTCAATGCAGGGGAATCGGGCCTCATCTCGAGTTGATTTGGGGCACATGGAGCTGCTTTGCGTTGCTGGGGTGACCTCAGGGTCCGTCTAGACTGGTGACAGTGTTCTTGGGGACTGTCTCGAGATCCATTAAGCAAGTCGAAGCTCCTGACTTGTTTGAATCGGATCACGGAATAGCTCTGCATGCACTGCAGGGGAATGGGGCCTCATCACGCCTCTAGGGGGAAGTCTCATGGTTTTTCTCGAGTTGCGGCGGGGACCTGGGGTATGTTCTCGACTTACGGCGGGGATGGTCCTTCAAATCATGAGTTTCTTCAGTGAGGTCAGGACTCCTGTCTAGTAACGAGGGACACCTCAGGAATCACTTCGAGGATTGGCAGCGCAAAAGGGACGCTTCTCGAGGTGAGGCAGGGCACCCAAGGACCTTTCCAGTAGCCACAGGGATTTTGGGTTTCCTATCAGTATTCAAGAGGAGTCAGGCATCGTCACCTTTTGAATCAATGAACTCCGCGTGCCTCTCGAGGTGTCAGCGGGATGTGAGGCATTCCGTCAAAATGAGGCAGGGACCTAGGGCTTTCTCTAAGGTCTCCACAGGGGATTCAGACATCCCTTCATGTTGTGAGATGAAAGACGAGCCTGTATTCAAGCCACTGCAAGAAAATCCGGCCTCCTTTCAAGTTAGGGCTTCTCGCTGTATATTCCCCTTGAGGCAGCAAACTCGGGGTCCCTCCCACATACCTATTGCTGAGAGAAGCCTCCTCCTGAGGTGCTTCTGGGAAGTTGGCATACGTCTTGAGCCTAAGCCAGGGAATCAGCTCTCATCTCGAGACGATTTGGGGTACACGGAGCATTCCTAGAGTTGCTGTGCTGAAGTTGGTATTCCTCTAGACTTGGGACAGTGTTCTCGGGGCATCTCTGGAGTTGCCTGAAATAAGTCAAGCCACCGGTCGTGTTGAGTGGGGAACGGGGAATGGCTCTGGAGTCAATGCAGGGGAATCGGGCCTCATCTGGAGTTGATTTGGGGCACATGGAGCTGCTTTGCGTTGCTGGGGTGACCTCAGGGTCTGTCTAGACTGGTGACAGTGATCTTGGGGACTGTCTCGAGATCCATTAAGCAAGTCGAAGCTCCTGACTTGTTTGAATGGGATCACGGAATAGCTCTGCATGCACTGCAGGGGAATGGGGCCTCATCTCTCCTCTAGGGGGAAGTCTCATGGTTTTTCTCGAGTTGCGGCGGGGACCTGGGGTATGTTCTCGACTTACGGCGGGGATGGCCCTTCAAAACACGAGTTTCTTCAGTGACGTCAGGACTCCTGTCTAGTAATGAGGGACACCTCAGGAATCTCTTCGAGGCTTGGCAGGGCAAAAGGGACGCTTCTCGAGGTGAGGCAGGGCACCCAAGCACCCTTTCCAGTAGCCAGAGGGATTTTGGGATTCCTATCAGTATTCAAGAGGAGTCAGGCATCGTCACCTTTTGAAGCAATGAACTCCGCGTGCCTCTCGAGGTGTCAGCGGGATGTGGGGCATTCCGTCAAAATGAGGCAGGGACCTAGGGCTTTCTCTAAGGTCTCCACAGGGGATTCAGACATCCCTTCATGTTGTGAGATGAAAGACGAGCCTGTATTCAAGCCACTGCAAGGAAATCCGGCCTCCTTTCAAGTTAGGGCTTCTCGCTGTATATTCCCCTGGAGGCAGCAAACTCGGGGTCCCTCCCACATACCTATTGCTGAGAGAAGCCTCCTCCTGAGGTGCTTCTGGGAAGTTGGCATACGTCTTGAGCCTATGCCAGGGAATCAGCTCTCATCTCGAGACGATTTGGGTTACACGGAGCATTCCTCGAGTTGCTGTGCTGAAGTTGGTCTTCCTCTAGACTTGGGACAGTGTTCTCGGGGCATCTCTGGAGTTGCCTGAAGGAAGTCCAGCCACCGGTCGTGTTGAATGAGGAACGGGGAATGGCTCTGGAGTCAATGCAGGGGAATCGGGCCTCATCTCGAGTTGATTTGGGGCACATGGAGCTGCTTTGCGTTGCTGGGGTGACCTCAGGGTCCTTCTAGACTGGTGACAGTGGTCTTGGGGACTGTCTCGATATCCATTAAGCAAGTCGAAGCTCCTGACTTGTTTGAATGGGATCACGGAATAGCTCTGCATGCACTGCAGGGGAATGGGGCCTCATCTCGCCTCTAGGGGGAAGTCTCATGGTTTTTCTCGAGATGCGGCGGGGACCTGGGGTATGTTCTCGACTTACGGCGGGGATGGCCCTTCAAATCATGAGTTTCTTCAGTGAGATCAGGACTCCTGTCTAGTAACGAGGGACACCTCAGGAATGTCTTCGAGGCTTCGCAGAGCAAAAGGGACGCTTCTCGAGATGAGGCAGGGCACCCAAGGACCCTTTCCAGTAGCCACAGGGATTTTGGGATTCCTATCAGTATTCAAGAGGAGTCAGGCATCGTCACCTTTTGAAGCAATGAACTCCGCGTGCCTCTCGAGGTGTCAGCGGGATGTGAGGCATTCCGTCAAAATGAGGCAGGGACCTAGGGCTTTCTCTAAGGTCTCCACAGGGGATTCAGACATCCCTTCATGTTGTGAGATGAAAGACGAGCCTGTATTCAAGCCACTGCAAGGAAATCCGGCCTCCTTTCAAGTTAGGGCTTCTCGCTGTATATTCCCCTTGAGGCAGCAAACTCGGGGTCCCTCCCACATACCTATTGCTGAGAGAAGCCTCCTCCTGAGGTGCTTCTGGGAAGTTGGCATACGTCTTGAACCTAAGCCAGGGAATCAGCTCTCATCTAGAGACGATTTGGGGTACACGGAGCATTCCTCGAGTTGCTGTGCTGAAGTTGGTCTTCCTCTAGACTTGGGACAGTGTTCTCGGGGCATCTCTGGAGTTGCCTGAAGGAAGTCGAGCCACCGGTCGTGTTGAATGGGGAACGGGGAATGGCTCTGGAGTCAATGCAGGGGAATCGGGCCTCATCTCGAGTTGATTTGGGGCACATGGAGCTGCTTTGCGTTGCTGGGGTGACCTCAGCGTCCGTCTAGACTGGTGACAGTGTTCTTGGGGACTGTCTCGAGATCCATTAAGCAAGTCGAAGCTCCTGACTTGTTTGAATCGGATCACGGAATAGCTCTGCATGCACTGCAGGGGAATGGGGCCTCATCACGCCTCTAGGGGGAAGTCTCATGGTTTTTCTCGAGTTGCGGCGGGGACCTGGGGTATGTTCTCGACTTACGGCGGGGATGGTCCTTCAAATCATGAGTTTCTTCAGTGAGGTCAGGACTCCTGTCTAGTAACGAGGGACACCTCAGGAATCACTTCAAGGATTGGCAGCGCAAAAGGGACGCTTCTCGAGGTGAGGCAGGGCACCCAAGGACCCTTTCCAGTAGCCACAGGGATTTTGGGTTTCCTATCAGTATTCAAGAGGAGTCAGGCATCGTCACCTTTTGAAGCAATGAACTCCGCGTGCCTCTCGAGGTGTCAGCGGGATGTGAGGCATTCCGTCAAAATGAGGCAGGGACCTAGGGCTTTCTGTAAGGTCTCCACAGGGGATTCAGACATCCCTTCATGTTGTGAGATGAAAGACGAGCCTGTATTCAAGCCACTGCAAGGAAATCCGGCCTCCTTTCAAGTTAGGGCTTCTCGCTGTATATTCCCCTTGAGGCAGCAAACTCGGGGTCCCTCCCACATACCTATTGCTGAGAGAAGCCTCCTCCTGAGGTGCTTCTGGGAAGTTGGCATACGTCTTGAGCCTAAGCCAGGGAATCAGCTCTCATCTCGAGACGATTTGGGGTACACGGAGCATTCCTCGAGTTACTGTGCTGAAGTTGGTGTTCCTCTAGACTTGGGACAGTGTTCTCGGGGCATCTCTGGAGTTGCCTGAAGGAAGTCGAGCCACCGGTCGTGTTGAGTGGGGAACGGGGAATGGCTCTGGAGTCAATGCAGGGGAATCGGGCCTCATCTCGAGTTGATTTGGGGCACATGGAGCTGCTTTGCGTTGCTGGGGTGACCTCAGGGTCCGTCTAGACTGGTGACAGTGATCTTGGGCACTGTCTCGAGATCCATTAAGCAAGTCGAAGCTCCTGACTTGTTTGAATGGGATCACGGAATAGCTCTGCATGCACTGCAGGGGAATGGGGCCTCATCTCTCCTCTAGGGGGAAGTCTCATGGTTTTTCTCGAGTTGCGGCGGGGACCTGGGGTATGTTCTCGACTTACGGCGGGTATGGCCCTTCAAAACACGAGTTTCTTCAGTGACGTCAGGACTCCTGTCTAGTAACGAGGGACACCTCAGGAATCTCTTCGAGGCTTGGCAGGGCAAAAGGGACGCTTCTCGAGGTGAGGCAGGGCACCCAAGGACCCTTTCCAGTAGCCACAGGGATTTTGGGATTCCTATCAGTATTCAAGAGGAGTCAGGCATCGGCACCTTTTGAAGCAATGAACTCCGCGTGCCTCTCGAGGTGTCAGCGGGATGTGGGGCATTCCGTCAAAATGAGGCAGGGACCTAGGGCTTTCTCTAAGGTCTCCACAGGGGATTCAGACATCCCTTCATGTTGTGAGATGAAAGACTAGCCTGTATTCAAGCCACTGCAAGGAAATCCGGCCTCCTTTCAAGTTAGGGCTTCTCGCTGTATATTCCCCTTGAGGCAGCAAACTCGGGGTCCCTCCCACATACCTATTGCTGAGAGAAGCCTCCTCCTGAGGTGCTTCTGGGAAGTTGGCATACGTCTTGAGCCTAAGCCAGGGAATCAGCTCTCATCTCGAGACGATTTGGGTTACACGGAGCATTCCTCGAGTTGCTGTGCTGAAGTTGGTCTTCCTCTAGACTTGGGACAGTGTTCTCGGGGCATCTCTGGAGTTGCCTGAAGGAAGTCGAGCCACCGGTCGTGTTGAATGGGGAACGGGGAATGGCTCTGGAGTCAATGCAGGGGAATCGGGCCTCATCTCGAGTAGATTTGGGGCACATGGAGCTGCTTTGCGTTGCTGGGGTGACCTCATGGTCCGTCTAGACTGGTGACAGTGTTCTTGGGGACTGTCTCGAGATTCATTAAGCAAGTTGAATTTCCTGACTTGTTTTATGGGGATCACTGAATAGCTCTGCATGCACTGCAGGGGAATGGGGCCTCATCTCGCCTCTAGGGGGACGTCTCATGGTTTTTCTCGAGTTGCGGCGGGGACCTGGGGTATGTTCTCGACTTACGGCAGGGATGGCCCTTCAAATCATGAGTTTCTTCAGTGAGATCAGGACTCCTGTCTAGTAACGAGGGACACCTCAGGAATGTCTTCGAGGCTTCGCAGAGCAAAAGGGACGCTTCTCGAGGTGAGGCAGGGCACCCAAGGACCCTTTCCAGTAGCCACAGGGATTTGGGGATTCCTATCAGTATTCAAGAGGAGTCAGGCATCGTCACCTTTTGAAGCAATGAACTCCGCGTGCCTCTCGAGGTGTCAGCGGGATGTGAGGCATTCCGTCAAAATGAGGCAGGGACCTAGGGCTTTCTCTAAGGTCTCCACAGGGGATTCAGACATCCCTTCATGTTGTGAGATGAAAGACGAGCCTGTATTCAAGCCACTGCAAGGAAATCCGGCCTCCTTTCAAGTTAGGGCTTCTCGCTATATATTCCCCTTGAGGCAGCAAACTCGGGGTCCCTCCCACATACCTATTGCTGAGAGAAGCCTCCTCCTTAGGTGCTTCTGGGAAGTTGGCATACGTCTTGAGCCTAAGCCAGGGAATCAGCTCTCATCTCGAGACGATTTGGGGTACATGGAGCATTCCTCGAGTTGTTGTGCTGAAGTTGGTGTTCCTCTAGACTTGGGACAGTGTTCTCGGGGCATCTCTGGAGTTGCCTGAAGGAAGTCGAACCACCCGTCGTGTTGAAAGGGGAACGGAGAATGGCTCTGGAGTCAATGCAGGGGAATTGGGCCTCATCTCGAGTTGATTTGGGGCACATGGAGCTGCTTTGCGTTGCTGGGGTGACCTCACGGTCCGTCTAGACTGGTGACAGTGTTCTTGGGGACTGTCTCGAGATCCATTAAGCAAGTCGAAGCTCCTGACTTGTTTGAATGGGATCACGGAATAGCTCTGCATGCACTGTAGGGGAATGGGGCCTCATCTCGCCTCTAGGGGGAAGTCTCATGGTTTTTCTCGAGTTGCGGCGGGGACCTGGGTTATGTTCTCGACTTACGGCGGGGATGGCCCTTCAAAACACGAGTTTCTTCAGTGACGTCAGGACTCCTGTCTAGTAACGAGGGACACCTCAAGAATCTCTTCGAAGCTTGGCAGGGCAAAAGGGACACTTCTCGAGGTGAGGCAGGGCACCCAAGGACCCTTTCCAGTAGCCACAGGGATTTTGGGATTCCTATCAGTATTCAAGAGGAGTCAGGCATCGTCACCTTTTGAAGCAATGAACTCCGCGTGCCTCTCGAGGTGTCAGCGGGATGTGGGGCATTCCGTCAAAATGAGGCAGGGACCTAGGGCTTTCTCTAAGGTCTCCACAGGGGATTCAGACATCCCTTCATGTTGTGAGATGAAAGACAAGCCTGTATTCAAGCCACTGCAAGGAAATCCGGCCTCCTTTCAAGTTAGGGCTTCTCGCTGTATATTCCCCTTGAGGCAGCAAACTCGTGGTCCCTCCCACATACCTATTGCTGAGAGAAGCCTCCTCCTGAGGTGCTTCTGGGAAGTTGGCATACGTCTTGAGCCTAAGCCAGGGAATCAGCTCTCATCTCGAGACGATTTGGGGCACACGGTACATTCCTCGAGTTGCTGTGCTGAAGTTGGTCTTCCTCTAGACTTGGGAAAGTGTTCTCGGGGCATCTCTGGAGTTGCCTGAAGGAAGTCGAGCCACCGGTCGTGTTGAATGGGGAACGGGGAATGGCTCTGGAGTCAATGCAGGGGAATCGGGCCTCATCTCGAGTTGATTTGGGGCACATGGAGCTGCTTTGCGTTGCTGGGGTGACCTCAGGGTCCGTCTAGACTGGTGACAGTGTTCTTGGGGACTGTCTCGAGATCCATTAAGCAAGTCGAAGCTCCTGACTTCTTTGAGTCGGATCACGGAATAGCTCTGCATGCACTGCAGGGGAATGGGGCCTCATCTCGCCTCTAGGGGGAAGTCTCATGGTTTTTCTCGAGTTGCGGCGGGGACCTGGGGTATGTTCTCGAATTACGGCGGGGATGGCCCTTCAAAACACGAGTTTCTTCAGTGACGTCAGGACTCCTGTCTAGTAACGAGGGACACCTCAGGAATCTCTTCGAGGCTTGGCAGGGCAAAAGGGACGCTTCTCGAGGTGAGGCAGGGCACCCAAGCACCCTTTCCAGTAGCCACAGGGATTTTGGGATTCCTATCAGTATTCAAGAGGAGTCAGGCATCGTCACCTTTTGAAGCAAGGAACTCCGCGTGCCTCTCGAGGTGTCAGCGGGATGTGGGGCATTCCGTCAAAATGAGGCAGGGACCTAGGGCTTTCTCTAAGGTCTCCACAGGGGATTCAGACATCCCTTCATGTTGTGAGATGAAAGACTAGCCTGTATTCAAGCCACTGCAAGGAAATCCGGCCTCCTTTCAAGTTAGGGCTTCTCGGTGTATATTCCCCTTGAGGCAGCAAACTCGAGGTCCCTCCCACATACCTATTGCTGAGAGAAGCCTCCTCCTGAGGTGCTTCTGGGAAGTTGGCATACGTCTTGAGCCTAAGCCAGGGAATCAGCTCTCATCTCGAGACGATTTGGGTTACACGGAGCATTCCTCGAGTTGCTGTGCTGAAGTTGGTCTTCCTCTAGACTTGGGACAGTGTTCTCGGGGCATCTCTGGAGTTGCCTGAATGAAGTCGAGCCACCGGTCGTGTTGAATGAGAAACGGGGAATGGCTCTGGAGTCAATGCAGGGGAATCGGGCCTCATCTCGAGTTGATTTGGGGCACATGGAGCTGCTTTGCGTTGCTGGGGTGACGTCAGCGTCCATCTAGACTGGTGACAGTGTTCTTGGGGACTGTCGCGATATCCATTAAGCAAGTCGAAGCTCCAGACTTGTTTGAATCGGATCACGGAATAGCTCTTAATGCACTGCAGGGGAATGGGGCCTCATCTCGCCTCTAGGGGGACGTCTCATGGTTTTTCTCGAGTTGCGGCGGGGACCTGGGGTATGTTCTCGACTTACGGCGGGGATGGCCCTTCAAATCATGAGTTTACTTCAGTGAGGTCAGGACTCTTGTCTAGTAACGAGGGACAACTCAGGAATCTCTTCGAGGCTTGGCAGCGCAAAAGGGACGCTTCTCGAAGTGAGGCAGGGCACCCAAGGCCCCTTCCAGTAGCCACAGGGATTTTGGGATTCCTATCAGTATTCAAGAGGAGTCAGGCATCGTCACCTTTTGAAGCAATGAACTCCGCGTGCCTCTCGAGGTGTCAGCGGGATGTGAGGCATTCCGTCAAAATGAGGCAGTGACCTAGGGCTTTCTCTAAGGTCTCCACAGGGGATTCAGACATCCCTTCATGTTGTGAGATGAAAGACGAGCCTGTATTCAAGCCACTGCAAGGAAATCCGGCCTCCTTTCAAGTTAGGGCTTCTCGCTGTATATTCCCCTTGAGGCAGCAAATTCGGGGTCCCTCCCACATAACTATTGCTGAGAGAAACCTCCTCCTGAGGTGCTTCTGGGAAGTTGGCATACGTCTTGAGCCTAAGCCAGGGAATCAGCTCTCATCTCGAGACGATTTGGGGTACACGGAGCATTCCTCGAGTTGCTGTGCTGAAGTTGGTGTTCCTCTAGACTTGGGACAGTGTTCTCGGGGCATCTCTGAAGTTTCCTGAAGGAAGTCGAGCCACCGGTCGTGTTGAGTGGGGAACGGGAAATGGTTCTGGAGTCAATGCATGGGAATAGGGCCTCATCTCGAGTTGATTTGGGGCACATGGAGCTGCTTTGCGTTGCTGGGGTGACCTCAGGGTCCGTCTAGACTGGTGACAGTATTCTTGGGGACTGTCTCGAGATCCATTAAGCAAGTCGAAGCTCCTGACTTGTTTGAATCGGATCACGGAATAGCTCTGCATGCACTGCAGGGGAATGGGGCCTCATCTCGCCTCTAGGGGGAAGTCTCATGGTTTTTCTCGAGTTGCGGCGGGGACCTGGGGTATGTTCTCGACTTACGGCGGGGATGGCCCTTCAAAACACGAGTTTCTTCAGTGACGTCAGGACTCCTGTCTAGTAACGAGGGACACCTCAGGAATCTCTTCGAGGCTTGGCAGGGCAAAAGGGACGCTTCTCGAGGTGAGGCAGGGCAACCAAGCACCCTTTCCAGTAGCCAGAGGGATTTTGGGATTCCTATCAGTATTCAAGAGGAGTCAGGCATCGTCACCTTTTGAAGGAATGAACTCCGCGTGCCTCTCGAGGTGTCAGCGGGATGTGGGGCATTCCGTCAAATGAGGCAGGGACCTAGGGCTTTCTCTAAGGTCTCCACAGGGGATTCAGACATCCCTTCATGTTGTGAGATGAAAGACTAGCCTGTATTCAAGCCACTGCAAGGAAATCCGGCCTCCTTTCAAGTTAGGGCTTCTCGCTGTATATTCCCCTTGAGGCAGCAAACTCGGGGTCCCTCCCACATACCTATTGCTGAGAGAAGCCTCCTCCTGAGGTGCTTCTGGGAAGTTGGCATACGTCTTGAGCCTAAGCCAGGGAATCAGCTCTCATCTCGAGACTATTTGGGGTACACGGAGCATTCCTCGAGTTGCTGTGCTGTAGTTGGTCTTCCTCTAGACTTGGGACAGTGTTCTCGGGGCATCTCTGGAGTTGCCTGAAGGAAGTCGAGCCACCGGTCGTGTTGAGTGGGGAACGCGGAATGGCTCTGGAGTCAATGCAGGGGAATCGGGCCTCATCTCGAGTTGATTTGGGGCACATGGAGCTGCTTTGCGTTGCTGGGGTGACCTCAGGGTCCGTCTAGACTGGTGACAGTGTTCTTGGGGACTGTCTCGATATCCATTAAGCAAGTCAAAGCTCCAGACTTGTTTGAATCGGATCACGGAATAGCTCTGCATGCACTGCATGGGAATGGGGCCTCATCTCGCCTCTAGGGGGACGTCTCATGGTTTTTCTCGAGTTGCGGCGGGGACCTGGGGTATGTTCTCGACTTACGGCGGGGATGGCCCTTCAAATCATGAGTTTACTTCATTGAGGTCAGGACTCCTGTCTAGTAACGAGGGACACCTCAGGAATCTCTTCGAGGCTTGGCAGCGCAAAAGGGACGCTTCTCGAGGTGAGGCAGGGCACCCAAGGACCCTTTCCAGTAGCCACAGGGATTTTGGGATTCCTATCAGTATTCAAGAGGAGTCAGGCATCGTCACCTTTTGAAGCAATGAACTCCGCGTGCCTCTCGAGGTGTCAGCGGGATGTGAGGCATTCCGTCAAAATGAGGCAGGGACCTAGGGCTTTCTCTAAGGTCTCCACAGGGGATTCAGACATCCCTTCATGTTGTGAGATGAAAGACGAGCCTGTATTCAAGCCACTGCAAGGAAATCCGGCCTCCTTTCAAGTTAGGGCTTCTCGCTGTATATTCCCCTTGAGGCAGCAAACTCGGGGTCCCTCCCACATAACTATTGCTGAGAGAAGCCTCCTCCTGAGGTGCTTCTGGGAAGTTGGCATACGTCTTGAGCCTAAGCCAGGGAATCAGCTCTCATCTCGAGACGATTTGGGTTACACGGAGCATTCCTCGAGTTGCTGTGCTGAAGTTGGTCTTCCTCTAGACTTGGGACAGTGTTCTCGGGGCATCTCTGGAGTTGCCTGAAGGAAGTCGAGCCACCGGTCGTGTTGAATTGGGAACGGGGAATGGCTCTGGAGTCAATGCAGGGGAATCGGGCCTCATCTCGAGTTGATTTGGGGCACATGGAGCTGCTTTGCGTTGCTGGGGTGACCTCAGCGTCCGTCTAGACTGGTGACAGTGTTCTTGGGGACTGTCTCGAGATCCATTAAGCAAGTCGAAGCTCCTGACTTGTTTGAATGGGATCACGGAATAGCTCTGCATGCACTGCAGGGGAATGGGGCCTCATCTCGCCTGTAGGGGGAGTCTCATGGTTTTTCTCGAGTTGCGGCGGGGACCTGGGGTATGTTCTCGACTTACGGCGGGGATGGTCCTTCAAATCATGAGTTTCTTCAGTGAGGTCAGGACTCCTGTCTAGTAACGAGGGACACCTCAGGAATCTCTTCGAGGCTTGGCAGGGCAAAAGGGACGCTTCTCGAGGTGAGGCAGGGCACCCAAGGACCCTTTCCAGTAGCCACAGGGATTTTGGGATTCCTATCTGTATTCAAGAGGAGTCAGGCATCGTCACCTTTTGAAGCAATGAACTCCGCGTGCCTCTCGAGGTGTCAGCGGGATGTGAGGCATTCCGTCAAAATGAGGCAGGGACCTAGGGCTTTCTCTAAGGTCTCCACAGGGGATTCAGACATCCCTTCATGTTGTGAGATGAAAGACGAGCCTGTATTCAAGCCACTGCAAGGAAATCCGGCCTCCTTTCAAGTTAGGGCTTCTCGCTGTATATTCCCCTTGAGGCAGCAAACTCGGGGTCCCTCCCACATAACTATTGCTGAGAGAATCCTCCTCCTGAGGTGCTTCTGGGAAGTTGGCATACGTCTTGAGCCTAAGCCAGGGAATCAGCTCTCATCTCGAAACGATTTGGGGTACACGGAGCATTCCTCGAGTTGCTGTGCTGAAGTTGGTGTTCCTCTAGATTTGGGACAGTGTTCTCGGGGCATCTCTGGAGTTGCCTGAAGGAAGTCGAGCCACCGGTCGTGTTGAGTGGGGAACGGGGAATGGCTCTGGAGTCAATGCAGGGGAATCGGGCCTCATCTCGAGTTGATTTGGGGCACATGGAGCTGCTTTGCGTTGCTGGGGTGACCTCAGGGTCCGTCTAGACTGGTGACAGTGATCTTGGGGACTGTCTCGAGATCCATTAAGCAAGTCGAAGCTCCTGACTTGTTTGAATGGGATCACGGAATAGCTCTGCATGCACTGCAGGGGAATGGGGCCTCATCTCGCCTCTAGGGGGAAGTCTCATGGTTTTTCTCGAGTTGCGGCGGGGACCTGGGGTATGTTCTCGACTTACGGCGGGGAAGGCCCTTCAAAACACGAGTTTCTTCAGTGACGTCAGGACTCCTGTCTAGTAACGAGGGACACCTCAGGAATCTCTTCGAGGATTGGCAGGGCAAAAGGGACGCTTCTCGAGGTAAGGCAGGGCACCCAAGGACCCTTTCCAGTAGCCACAGGGATTTTGGGATTCCTATCAGTATTCAAGAGGAGTCAGGCATCGTCACCTTTTGAAGCAATGAACTCCGCGTGCCTCTCGAGGTGTCAGCGGGATGTGGGGCATTCCGTCAAAATGAGGCAGGGACCTAGGGCTTTCTCTAAGGTCTCCACAGGGGATTCAGACATCCCTTCATGTTGTGAGATGAAAGACTAGCCTGTATTCAAGCCACTGCAAGGAAATCCGGCCTCCTTTCAAGTTAGGGCTTCTCGCTGTATATTCCCCTTGAGGCAGCAAACTCGGGGTCCCTCCCACATACCTATTGCTGAGAGAAGCCTCCTCCTGAGGTGCTTCTGGGAAGTTGGCATACGTCTTGAGCCTAAGCCAGGGAATCAGCTCTCATCTCGAGACGATTTGGGGTACACGGAGCATTCCTCGAGTTGCTGTGCTGAAGTTGGTGTTCCTCTAGACTTGGGACAGTGTTCTCGGGGCATCTCTGGAGTTGCCTGAAGGAAGTCGAGCCACCGGTCTTGTTGAATGGGGAACGGGGAATGGCTCTGGAGTCAATGCAGGGGAATCGGGCCTCATCTCGAGTTGATTTGGGGCACATGGAGCTGCTTTGCGTTACTGGGGTGACCTCAGCGTCCGTCTAGACTGGTGACAGTGTTCTTGGGGACTGTCTCGAGATCCATTAAGCAAGTCGAAGCTCCTGACTTGTTTGAATCGGATCACGGAATAGCTCGGCATGCACTGCAGGGGAATGGGGCCTCATCACGCCTCTAGGGGGAAGTCTCATGGTTTTTCTCGAGTTGCGGCGGGGACCTGGGGTATGTTCTCGACTTACGGCGGGGATGGTCCTTCAAATCATGAGTTTCTTCAGTGAGGTCAGGACTCCTGTCTAGTAACGAGGGACACCTCAGGAATCACTTCGAGGATTGGCAGCGCAAAAGGGACGCTTCTCGAGGTGAGGCAGGGCACCCAAGGACCCTTTCCAGTAGCCACAGGGATTTTGGGTTTCCTATCAGTATTCAAGAGGAGTCAGGCATCATCACCTTTTGAAGCAATGAACTCCGCGTGCCTCTCGAGGTGTCAGCGGGATGTGAGGCATTCCGTCAAAATGAGGCAGGGACCTAGGGCTTTCTCTAAGGTCTCCACAGGGGATTCAGACATCCCTTCATGTTGTGAGATGAAAGACGAGCCTGTATTCAAGCCACTGCAAGGAAATCTGGCCTCCTTTCAAGTTAGGGCTTCTCGCTGTATATTCCCCTTGAGGCAGCAAACTCGGCGTCCCTCCCACATACCTATTGCTGAGAGAAGCCTCCTCCTGAGGTGCTTCTGGGAAGTTGGCATACGTCTTGAGCCTAAGCCAGGGAATCAGCTCTCATCTCGAGACGATTTGGGGTACACGGAGCATTCCTCGAGTTGCTGTGCTGAAGTTGGTGTTCCTCTAGACTTGGGACAGTGTTCTCGGGGCATCTCTGGAGTTGCCTGAAGGAAGTCGAGCCACCGGTCGTGTTGAGTGGGGAACGGGGAATGGCTCTGGAGTCAATGCAGGGGAATCGGGCCTCATCTCGTGTTGATTTGGGGCACATGGAGCTGCTTTGCGTTGCCTGGGTGACCTCAGGGTCCGTCTAGACTGGTGACAGTGATCTTGGGGACTGTCTCGAGATCCAATAAGCAAGTCGAAGCTCCTGACTTGTTTGAATGGGATCACGGAATAGCTCTGCATGCACTGCAGGGGAATGGGGCCTCATCTCTCCTCTAGGGGGAAGTCTCATGGTTTTTCTCGAGTTGCGGCGGGGACCTGGGGTATGTTCTCGACTTACGGCGGGGATGGCCCTTCAAAACACGAGTTTCTTCAGTGACGTCAGGACTCCTGTCTAGTAACGAGGGACACCTCAGGAATCTCTTCGAGGCTTGGCAGGGCAAACGGGACGCTTCTCGAGGTGAGGCAGGGCACCCAAGCACCCTTTCCAGTAGCCAGAGGGATTTTGGGATTTCTATCATTATTCAAGAGGAGTCAGGCATCGGCACCTTTTGAAGCAATGAACTCCGCGTGCCTCTCGAGGTGTCAGCGGGATGTGGGGCATTCCGTCAAAATGAGGCAGGGACCTAAGGCTTTCTCTAAGGTCTCCACAGGGGATTCAGACATCCCTTCATGTTGTGAGATGAAAGACTAGCCTGTATTCAAGCCACTGCAAGGAAATCCTGACTCCTTTCAAGTTAGGGCTTCTCGCTGTATATTCCCCTTGAGGCAGCAAACTCGGGGTCCCTCCCACATACCTATTGCTGAGAGAAGCCTCCTCCTGAGGTGCTTCTGGGAAGTTGGCATACGTCTTGAGCCTAAGCCAGGGAATCAGCTCTCATCTCGAGACGATTTGGGGTACATGGAGCATTCCTCGAGTTGTTGTGCTGAAGTTGGTGTTCCTCTAGACTTCGGACAGTGTTCTCGGGGCATCTCTGGAGTTGCCTGAAGGAAGTCGAACCACCCGTCGTGTTGAAAGGGGAACGGAGAATGGCTCTGGAGTCAATGCAGGGGAATTGGGCCTCATCTCGAGTTGATTTGGGGCACATGGAGCTGCTTTGCGTTGCTGGGGTGACCTCACGGTCCGTCTAGACTGGTGACAGTGTTCTTGGGGACTGTCTCGAGATCCATTAAGCAAGTCGAAGCTCCTGACTTGTTTGAATGGGATCACGGAATAGCTCTGCATGCACTGCAGGGGAATGGGGCCTCATCTCCCCTCTAGGGGGAAGTCTCATGGTTTTTCTCGAGTTGCGGCGGGGACCTGGGGTATGTTCTCGACTTACGGCGGGGATGGCCCTTCAAAACACGAGTTTCTTCAGTGACGTCAGGACTCCTGTCTAGTAACGAGGGACACCTCAGGAATCTCTTCGAGGCTTGGCAGGCAAAAGGGACGCTTCTCGAGGTGAGGCTGGGCACCCAAGCACCCTTTCCAGTAGCCAGAGGGATTTTGGGATTCCTATCAGTATTCAAGAGGAGTCAGGCATCGGCACCTTTTGAAGCAATGAACTCCGCGTGCCTCTCGAGGTTTCAGGGGGATGTGGGGCATTCGTCAAAATGAGGCAGGGACCTAGGGCTTTCTCTAAGGTCTCCACAGGGGATTCAGACATCCCTTCATGTTGTGAGATGAAAGACTAGCCTGTATTCAAGCCACTGCAAGGAAATCCGGCCTCCTGTCAAGTTAGGGCTTCTCGCTGTATATTCCCCTTGAGGCAGGAAACTCGGGGTCCCTCCCACATACCTATTGCTGAGAGAAGCCTCCTCCTGAGGTGCTTCTGGGAAGTTGGCATACGTCTTGAGCCTAAGCCAGGGAATCAGCTGTCATCTCGAGACGATTTGGGTTACACGGAGCATTCCTCGAGTTGCTGTGCTCAAGTTGGTCTTCCTCTAGACTTGGGACAGTGTTCTCGGGGCATCTCTGGAGTTGCCTGAAGGAAGTCGAGCCACCGGTCGTGTTGAATGGGGAACACGGAATGGCTCTGGAGTCAATGCAGGGGAATCGGGCCTCATCTCGAGTTGATTTGGGGCACATGGAGCTGCTTTGCGTTGCTGGGGTGACGTCAGCGTCCGTCTAGACTGGTGACAGTGTTCTTGGGGACTGTCGCGATATCCATTAAGCAAGTCGAAGCTCCAGACTTGTTTGAATCGGATCACGGAATAGCTCTTAATGCACTGCAGGGGAATGGGGCCTCATCTCGCCTCTAAGGGACGTCTCATGGTTTTTCTCGAGTTGCGGCGGGGACCTGGGGTATGTTCTCGACTTACGGCGGGGATGGCCCTTCAAATAATGAGTTTACTTCAGTGAGGTCAGGACACTTGTCTAGTAACGAGGGACACCTCAGGAATCTCTTCGAGGCTTGGCAGCGCAAAAGGGACGCTTCTCGAAGTGAGGCAGGGCACCCAAGGCCCCTTCCAGTAGCCACAGGGATTTTGGGATTCCTATCAGTATTCAAGAGGAGTCAGGCATCGTCACCTTTTGAAGCAATGAACTCCGCGTGCCTCTCGAGGTGTCAGCGGGATGTGAGGCATTCCGTCAAAATGAGGCAGTGACCTAGGGCTTTCTCTAAGGTCTCCACAGGGGATTCAGACATCCCTTCATGTTGCGAGATGAAAGACGAGCCTGTATTCAAGCCACTGCAAGGAAATCCGGCCTCCTTTCAAGTTAGGGCTTCTCGCTGTATATTCCCCTTGAGGCAGCAAACTCGGGGTCCCTCCCACATAACTATTGCTGAGAGAAACCTCCTCCTGAGGTGCTTCTGGGAAGTTGGCATACGTCTTGAGCCTAAGCCAGGGAATCAGCTCTCATCTCGAGACGATTTGGGGTACACGGAGCATTCCTCGAGTTGCTGTGCTGAAGTTGGTGTTCCTCGAGACTTGGGACAGTGTTCTCGGGGCATCTCTGAAGTTTCCTGAAGGAAGTCGAGCCACCGGTCGTGTTGAGTGGGGAACGGGAAATGGCTCTGGAGTCAATGCAGGGGAATAGGGCCTCATCTCGAGTTGATTTGGGGCACATGGAGCTGCTTTGCGTTGCTGGGGTGATCTCAGGGTCCGTCTAGACTGGTGACAGTATTCTTGGGGACTGTCTCGAGATCCATTAAGCAAGTCGAAGCTCCTGACTTGTTTGAATCGGATCACGGAATAGCTCTGCATGCACTGCAGGGGAATGGGGCCTCATCTCGCCTCTAGGGGGAAGTCTCATGGTTTTTCTCGAGTTGCGGCGGGGACCTGGGGTATGTTCTCGACTTACGGCGGGGATGGCCCTTCAAAACACGAGTTTCTTCAGTGACGTCAGGACTCCTGTCTAGTAACGAGGGACACCTCAGGAATTTCTTCGAGGCTTGGCAGGGCAAAAGGGACGCTTCTCGAGGTGAGGCAGGGCAACCAAGCATCCTTTCCAGTAGCCAGAGGGATTTTGGGATTCCTATCAGTATTCAAGAGGAGTCAGGCATCGTCACCTTTTGAAGCAATGAACTCCGCGTGCCTCTCGAGGTGTCAGCGGGATGTGGGGCATTCCGTCAAAATGAGGCAGGGACCTAGGGCTTTCTCTAAGGTCTCCACAGGGGATTCAGACATCCCTTCATGTTGTGAGATGAAAGACTAGCCTGTATTCAAGCCACTGCAAGGAAATCCGGCCTCCTTTCAAGTTAGGGCTTCTCGCTGTATATTCCCCTTGAGGCAGCAAACTCGGGGTCCCTCCCACATACCTATTGCTGAGAGAAGCCTCCTCCTGAGGTGCTTCTGGGAAGTTGGCATACGTCTTGAGCCTAAGCCAGGGAATCAGCTCTCATCTCGAGACTATTTGGGGTACACGGAGCATTCCTCGAGTTGCTGTGCTGTAGTTGGTCTTCCTCTAGACCTGGGACAGTGTTCTCGGGGCATCTCTGGAGTTGCCTGAAGGAAGTCGAGCCACCGGTCGTGTTGAATGGGGAACGCGGAATGGCTCTGGAGTCAATGCAGGGGAATCGGGCCTCATCTCGAGTTGATTTGGGGCACATGGACCTGCTTTGCGTTGCTGGGGTGACCTCAGGGTCCGTCTAGACTGGTGACAGTGTTCTTGGGGACTGTCTCGATATCCATTAAGCAAGTCAAAGCTCCAGACTTGTTTGAATCGGATCACGGAATAGCTCTGCATGCACTGCAGGGGAATGGGGCCTCATCTCGCCTCTAGGGGGACGTCTCATGGTTTTTCTCGAGTTGCGGCGGGGACCTGGGGTATGTTCTCGACTTACGGCGGGGATGGCCCTTCAAATCATGAGTTTACTTCATTGAGGTCAGGACTCCTGTCTAGTAACGAGGGACACCTCAGGAATGTCTTCGAGGCTTGGCAGCGCAAAAGGGAAGCTTCTCGAGGTGAGGCAGGGCACCCAAGGACCCTTTCCAGTAGCCACAGGGATTTTGGGATTCCTATCAGTATTCAAGAGGAGTCAGGCATCGTCACCTTTTGAAGCAATGAACTCCGCGTGCCTCTCGAGGTGTCAGCGGGATGTGAGGCATTCCGTCAAAATGAGGCAGGGACCTAGAGCTTTCTCTAAGGTCTCCACAGGGGATTCAGACATCCCTTCATGTTGTGAGATGAAAGACGAGCCTGTATTCAAGCCACTGCAAGGAAATCCGGCCTCCTTTCAAGTTAGGGCTTCTCGCTGTATATTCCCCTTGAGGCAGCAAACTCGGGTTCCCTCCCACATTACTATTGCTGAGAGAAACCTCCTCCTGAGGTGCTTCTGGGAAGTTGGCATACGTCTTGAGCCTAAGCCAGGGAATCAGCTCTCATCTCGAGACGATTTGGGGTACACGGAGCATTCCTCGAGTTGCTGTGCTGAAGTTGGTATTCCTCTAGACTTGGGACAGTGTTCTCGGGGCATCTCTGGAGTTGCCTGAAGGAAGTCGAGCCACCGGTCGTGTTGAATGGGGAACGCGGAATGGCTCTGGAGTCAATGCAGGGGAATCGGGCCTCATCTCGAGTTGATTTGGGGCACATGGAGCTGCTTTGCGTTGCTGGGGTGACCTCAGGGTCCGTCTAGACTGGTGACAGTGTTCTTGGGGACTGTCTCGATATCCATTAAGCAAGTCGAAGCTCCAGACTTGTTTGAATCGGATCACGGAATAGCTCTGCATGCACTGCAGGGGAATGGGGCCTCATCTCGCCTCTAGGGGGACGTCTCATGGTTTTTCTCGAGTTGTGGCGGGGACCTGGGGTATGTTCTCGACTTACGGCGGGGATGGCCCTTCAAATCATGAGTTTACTTCATTGAGGTCAGGACTCCTGTCTAGTAACGAGGGACACCTCAGGAATCTCTTTGAGGCTTGGCAGCGCAAAAGGGACGCTTCTCGAAGTGAGGCAGGGCACCCAAGGACCCTTTCCAGTAGCCACAGGGATTTTGGGATTCCTATCAGTATTCAAGAGGAGTCAGGCATCGTCACCTTTTGAAGCAATGAACTCCGCGTGCCTCTCGAGGTATCAGCGGGATGTGAGGCATTCCGTCAAAATGAGGCAGGGACCTAGTTCTTTCTCTAAGGTCTCCACAGGGGATTCAGACATCCCTTCATGTTGTGAGATGAAAGACGAGACTGTATTCAAGCCACTGCAAGGAAATCCGGCCTCCTTTCAAGTTAGGGCTTCTCGCTGAATATTCCCCTTGAGGCAGCAAACTCGGGGTCCCTCCCACATACCTATTGCTGAGAGAAACCTCCTCCTGAGGTGCTTCTGGGAAGTTGGCATACGTCTTGAGCCTAAGCCAGGGAATCAGCTCTCATCTCGAGACGATTTGGGGTACACGGAGCATTCCTCGAGTTGCTGTGCTGAAGTTGGTGTTCCTCTAGACTTGGGACAGTGTTCTCGGGGCATCTCTGAAGTTTCCTGAAGGAAGTCAAGCCACCGGTCGTGTTGAATGGTTAACGGGGAATGGCTCTGGAGTCAATGCAGGGGAATAGGGCCTCATCTCGAGTTCATTTGGGGCACATGGAGCTGCTTTGCGTTGCTGGGGTTACCTCAGGGTCCGTCTAGACTGGTGACAGTATTCTTGTTGACTGTCTCGAGATACTTTAAGCAAGTCGAAGCTCTTGACTTGTTTGAATCGGATCACGGAATAGCTCTGCATGCACTGCAGGGGAATGGGGCCTCATCTCGCCTCTAGGGGGAAGTCTCATGGTTTTTCTCGAGTTGCGGCGGGGACCTGGGGTATGTTCTCGACTTACGGCGGGGATGGCCCTTCAAAACACGAGTTTCTTCAGTGACGTCAGGACTCCTGTCTAGTAACGAGGGACACCTCAGGAATCTCATCGAGGCTTGGCAGGGCAAAAGGGACGCTTCTCGAGGTGAGGCAGGGCACCCAAGGACCCTTTCCAGTAGCCACAGCGATTTTGGGATTCCTATCAGTATTCAAGAGGAGTCAGGCATCGTCACCTTTTGAAGCAATGAACTCTGCGTGCCTCTCGAGGTGTCAGCGGGATGTGAGGCATTCCGTCAAAATGAGGCAGGGACCTAGGGCTTTCTCTAAGGTCTCCACAGGGGATTCAGACATCCCTTCATGTTGTGAGATGAAAGACGAGCCTGTATTCAAGCCACTGCAAGGAAATACGGCCTCCTTTCAAGTTAGGGCTTCTCGCTGTATATTCCCCTTGAGGCAGCACACTCGGGGTCCCTCCCACATACCTATTGCTGAGAGAAGTCTCCTCCTGAGGTGCTTCTGGGAAGTTGGCATACGTCTTGAGCCTAAGCCAGGGAATCAGCTCTCATCTCGAGACGATTTGGGGTACACGGAGCATTCCTCGAGTTGCTGTGCTGAAGTTGGTGTTCCTCTAGACTTGGGACAGTGTTCTCCGGGCATCTCTGGAGTTGCCTGAAGGAAGTCGAGCCACCGGTCGTGTTGAGTGGGGAACGGGAAATGGCTCTGGAGTCAATGCAGGGGAATAGGGCCTCATCTCGAGTTCATTTGGGGCACATGGAGCTGCTTTGCGTTGCTGGGGTGACCTCAGGGTCCGTCTAGACTGGTGACAGTATTCTTGGGGACTGTCTCGAGATCCATTAAGCAAGTCGAAGCTCCTGACTTGTTTGAATCGGATCACGGAATAGCTCTGCATGCACTGCAGGGGAATGGGGCCTCATCTCGCCTCTAGGGGGAAGTCTCATGGTTTTTCTCGAGTTGCGGCGGGGACCTGGGGTATGTTCTCGACTTACGGCGGGGATGGCCCTTCAAAACACGAGTTTCTTCAGTGACGTCAGGACTCCTGTCTAGTAACGAGGGACACCTCAGGAATCTCTTCGAGGCTTGGCAGGGCAAAAGGGACGCTTCTCGAGGTGAGGCAGGGCACCCAAGCACCCTTTCCAGTAGCCACAGGGATTTTGGGATTCCTATCAGTATTCAAGAGGAGTCAGGCATCGTCACCTTTTGAAGCAATGAACTCCGCGAGCCTCTCGAGGTGTCAGCGGGATGTGGGGCATTCCGTCAAAATGAGGTAGGGACCTAGGGCTTTCTCTAATGTCTCCACAGGGGATTCAGACATCCCTTCATGTTGTGAGATGAAATACTAGCCTGTATTCAAGCCACTGCAAGGAAATCCGGCCTCCTTTCAAGTTAGGGCTTCTCGCTGTATATTCCCCTTGAGGCAGCAAACTCGGGGTCCCTCCCACATACCTATTGCTGAGAGAAGCCTCCTCCTGAGGTGCTTCTGGGAAGTTGGCATACGTCTTGAGCCTAAGCCAGGGAATCAGCTCTCATCTCGAGACGATTTGGGGTACACGGAGCATTCCTCGAGTTGCTGTGCTGTAGTTGGTCTTCCTCTAGACTTGGGACAGTGTTCTCGGGGCATCTCTGGAGTTGCCTGAAGGAAGTCGAGCCACAGGTCGTGTTGAATGGGGAACGCGGAATGGCTCTGGAGTCAATGCAGGGGAATCGGGCCTCATCTCGAGTTGATTTGGGGCACATGGAGCTGCTTTGCGTTGCTGGGGTGACCTCAGGGTCCGTCTAGACTGGTGACAGTGTTCTTGGGGACTGTCTCGAGATCCATTAAGCAAGTCGAAGTTCCTGACTTGTTTGAATCGGATCACGGAATAGCTCTGCATGCACTGCAGGGGAATGGGGCCTCATCTCGCCTCTAGGGGGAAGTCTCAAGGTTTTTCTCGAGTTGCGGCGGGGACCTGGGGTATGTTCTCGACTTACGGCGGGGATGGCCCTTCAAAACACGAGTTTCTTCAGTGACGTCAGGACTCCTGTCTAGAAACGAGGGACACCTCAGGAATCTCTTCGAGGCTTGGCAGGGCAAAAGGGACGCTTCTCGAGGTGAGGCAGGGCACCCAAGCACCCTTTCCAGTAGCCACAGGGATTTTGGGATTCCTATCAGTATTCAAGAGGAGTCAGGCATCATCACCTTTTGAAGCAAGGAACTCCGCGTGCCTCTCGAGGTGTCAGCGGGATGTGGGGCATTCCGTCAAAATGAGGCAGGGACCTAGGGCTTTCTCTAAGGTCTCCACAGGGGATTCAGACATCCCTTCATGTTGTGAGATGAAAGACTAGCCTGTATTCAAGCCACTGCAAGGAAATCCGGCCTCCTTTCAAGTTAGGGCTTCTCGCTGTATATTCCCCTTGAGGCAGCAAACTCGGGGTCCCTCCCACATACCTATTGCTGAGAGAAGCCTCCTCCTGAGGTGCTTCTGGGAAGTTGGCATACGTCTTGAGCCTAAGCCAGGGAATCAGCTCTCATCTCGAGATGATTTGGGTTACACGGAGCATTCCTCGAGTTGCTGTGCTGAAGTTGGTCTTCCTCTAGACTTGGGACAGTGTTCTCGGGGCATCTCTGGAGTTGCCTGAAGGAAGTCGAGCCACCGGTCGTGTTGAATGAGGAACAGGGAATGGCTCTGGAGTCAATGCAGGGGAATCGGGCCTCATCTCGAGTTGATTTGGGGCACATGGAGCTGCTTTGCGTTGCTGGGGTGACCTCAGCGTCCGTCTAGACTGGTGACAGTGTTCTTGGGGACTGTCTCGATATCCATTAAGCAAGTCGAAGCTCCAGACTTGTTTGAATCGGATCACGGAATAGCTCTGCATGCACTGCAGGGGAATGGGGCCTCATCTCGCCTCTAGGGGGAAGTCTCATGGTTTTTCTCGAGTTGCGGCGGGGACCTGGGGTATGTTCTCGACTTACGGCCGGGATGGCCCTTCAAATCATGAGTTTACTTCAGTGAGGTCAGGACTCCTGTCTAGTAACGAGGGACACCTCAGGAATCTCTTCGAGGCTTGGCAGCGCAAAAGGACGCTTCTCGAAGTGAGGCAGGGCACCCAAGGACCCTTTCCAGTAGCCACAGGGATTTTGGGATTCCTATCAGTATTCAAGAGGAGTCAGGCATCGTCACCTTTTGAAGCAATGAACTCCGCGTGCCTCTCGAGGTTTCAGCGGGATGTGAGGCATTCCGTCAAAATGAGGCAGGGACCTAGGGCTTTCTCTAAGGTCTCCACAGGGGATTCAGACATCCCTTCATGTTGTGAGATGAAAGACGAGACTGTATTCAAGCCACTGCAAGGAAATCCGGCCTCCTTTCAAGTTAGGGCTTCTCTCTGAATATTTCCCTTGAGGCAGCAAACTCGGGGTCCCTCCCACATACCTATTGCTGAGAGAAACCTCCTCCTGAGGTGCTTCTGGGAAGTTGGCATACGTCTTGAGCCTAAGCCAGGGAATCAGCTCTCATCTCGAGACGATTTGGGGTAAACGGAGCATTCATCGAGTTGCTGTGCTGAAGTTGGTGTTCCTCTAGACTTGGGACAGTGTTCTCGGGGCATCTCTGGAGTTGCCTGAAGGAAGTCGAGCCACCGGTCTTGTTGAGTGGGGAACGGGGAGTGGCTCTGGAGTCAATGCAGGGGAATCGCGCCTCATCTCGAGTTGATTTGGGGCACATGGAGCTGCTTTGCGTTGCTGGGGTGACCTCAGGGTCCGTCTAGACTGGTGACAGTGTTCTTGGGGACTGTCTCGAGATCCATTAAGCAAGTCGAAGCTCCTGACTTGTTTGAATGGGATCACGGAATAGCTCTGCATGTACTGCAGGGGAATGGGGCCTCATCTCGCCTCTAGGGGGAAGTCTCATGGTTTTTCTCGAGTTGCGGCGGGGACCTGGGGTATGTTCTCGACTTACGGCGGGGATGGCCCTTCAAAACACGAGTTTCTTCAGTGACGTCAGGACTCCTGTCTAGTAACGAGGGACACCTCAGGAATCTCTTCGAGGCTTGGCAGGGCAAAAGGGACGCTTCTCGAGGTGAGGCAGGGCACCCAAGGACCCTTTCCAGTAGCCACAGGGATTTTGGGATTCCTATCAGTATTCAAGCGGAGTCAGGCATCGTCACCTTTTGAAGCAATGAACTCCGCGTGCCTCTCGAGGTGTCAGCGGGATGTGGGGCATTCCGTCAAAATGAGGCAGGGACCTAGGGCTTTCTCTAAGGTCTCCACAGGGGATTCAGACATCCCTTCATGTTGTGAGATGAAAGACTAGCCTGTATTCAAGCCACTGCAAGGAAATCCGGCCTCCTTTCAAGTTAGGGCTTCTCGCTGTATATTCCCCTTGAGGCAGCAAACTCGGGGTCCCTCCCACATAACTATTGCTGAGAGAAGCCTCCTCCTGAGGTGCTTCTGGGAAGTTGGCATACGTCTTGAGCCTAAGCCAGGGAATCAGCTCTCATCTCGAGACGATTTGGGGTACACGGAGCATTCCTCGAGTTGCTGTGCTGAAGTTGGTGTTCCTCTAGACTTGGGACAGTGTTCTCGGGGCATCTCTGGAGTTGCCTGAAGGAAGTCGAGCCACCGGTCGTGTTGAATTGGGAACGGGGAATGGCTCTGGAGTCAATGCAGGGGAATCGGGCCTCATCTCGAGTTGATTTGGGGCACATGGAGCTGTTTTGCGTTGCTGGGGTGACCTCAGCGTCCGTCTAGACTGGTGACAGGGTTCTTGGGGACTGTCTCGAGATCCATTAAGCAAGTCGAAGCTCCTGACTTGTTTGAATGGGATCACGGAATAACTCTGCATGCACTGCAGGGGAATGGGGCCTCATCTCGCCTCTAGGGGGAAGTCTCATGGTTTTTCTCGAGTTGCGGCGGGGACCTGGGGTATGTTCTCGACTTACGCCGGGGATGGTCCTTCAAATCATGAGTTTCTTCAGTGAGGTCAGGACTCCTGTCTAGTAACGAGGGACACCTCAGGAATCTCTTCGAGGCTTGGCAGGGCAAAAGGGACGCTTCTCGAGGTGAGGCAGGGCACCCAAGAACCCTTTCCAGTAGCCACAGGGATTTTGGGATTCCTATCAGTATTCAAGAGGAGTTAGGCATCGTCACCTTTTGAAGCAATGAACTCCGCGTGCCTCTCGAGGTGTCAGCGGGATGTGGGGCATTCCGTCAAAATGAGGCAGGGACCTAGGGCTTTCTCTAAGGTCTCCACAGGGGATTCAGACATCCCTTCATGTTGTGAGATGAAAGACTAGCCTGTATTCAAGCCACTGCAAGGAAATCCGGCCTCCTTTCAAGTTAGGGCTTCTCGCTGTATATTCCCCTTGAGGCAGCAAACTCGGGGTCCCTCCCACATACCTATTGCTGAGAGAAGCCTCCTCCTGAGGTGCTTCTGGGAAGTTGGCATACGTCTTGAGCCTAAGCCAGGGAATCAGCTCTCATCTCGAGACGATTTGGGGTACACGGAGCATTCCTCGAGTTGCTGTGCTGAAGTTGGTCTTCCTCTAGACTTGGGACAGTGTTCTCGGGGCATCTCTGGAGTTGCCTGAAGGAAGTCGAGCCACCGGTCGTGTTGAGTGGGGAACGGGGAATGGCTCTGGAGTCAATGCAGGGGAATCGGGCCTCATCTCGAGTTGATTTGTGGCACATGGAGCTGCTTTGCGTTGCTGGGGTGACCTCAGGGTCCGTCTAGACTGGTGACAGTGATCCTGGGGACTGTCTCGAGATCCATTAAGCAAGTCGAAGCTCCTGACTTGTTTGAATGGGATCACGGAATAGCTCGGCATGCACTGCAGGGGAATGGGGCCTCATCTCGCCTCTAGGGGGAAGTCTCATGGTTTTTCTCGAGTTGCGGCGGGGACCTGGGGTATGTTCTCGACTTACGGCGGGGATGGCCCTTCAAAACACGAGTTTCTTCAGTGACGTCAGGACTCCTGTCTAGTAACGAGGGACACCTCAGGAATCTCTTCGAGGCTAGGCAGGGCCAAAGGGACGCTTCTCGAGGTGAGGCAGGGCACCCAAGGACCCTTTCCAGTAGCCACAGGGATTTTAGGATTCCTATCAGTATTCAAGAGGAGTTAGGCATCGTCACCTTTTGAAGCAATGAACTCCGCGTGCCTCTCGAGGTGTCAGCGGGATGTGGGGCATTCCGTCAAAATGAGGCAGGGACCTAGGGCTTTCTCTAAGGTCTCCACAGGGAATTCAGACATCCCTTCATGTTGTGAGATGAAAGACAAGCCTGTATTCAAGCCACTGCAAGGAAATCCGGCCTCCTTTCAAGTTAGGGCTTCTCGCTGTATATTCCCCTTGAGGCAGCAAACTCGGGGTCCCTCCCACATACCTATTGCTGAGAGAAGCCTCCTCCTGAGGTGCTTCTGGGAAGTTGGCATACGTCTTGAGCCTAAGACAGGGAATCAGCTCTCATCTCTAGACGATTTGGGGTACACGGAGCATTCCTCGAGTTGCTGTGCTGAAGTTGTTCTTCCTCTAGACTTGGGACAGTGTTCTCGGAGCATCTCTGGAGTTGCCTGAAGGAAGTCGAGCCACCGGTCGTGTTGAATGGGGAACGCGGAATGGCTCTGGAGTCAATGCAGGGGAATCGGGCCTCATCTCGAGTTGATTTGGGGCACATGGAGCTGCCTTGCGTTGCTGGGGTGACCTCAGGGTCCGTCTAGACTGGTGACAGTGTTCTTGGGGACTGTCTCGAGATCCATTAAGCAAGTCGAAGCTCCTGACTTGTTTGAATCGGATCACGGAATAGCTCTGCATGCACTGCAGGGGAATGGGGCCTCATCTCGCCTGTAGGGGGAAGTCTCATGGTTTTTCTCGAGTTGCGGTGGGGACCTGGGGTATGTTCTCGACTTACGGCGGGGATGGCCCTTCAAACCACGAGTTTCTTCAATGACGTCAGGACTCCTGTCTAGTAACGAGGGACACCTCAGGAATCTCTTCGAGGCTTGGCAGGGCAAAAGGGACGCTTCTCGAGGTGAGGCAGGGCACCCAAGCACCCTTTCCAGTAGCCACAGGGATTTTGGGATTCCTATCAGTATTCAAGAGGAGTCAGGCATCGTCACCTTTTGAAGCAAGGAACTCCGCGTGCCTCTCGAGGTGTCAGCGCGATGTGGGGCATTCCGTCAAAATGAGGCAGGGACCTAGGGCTTTCTCTAAGGTCTCCACAGGGGATTCAGACATCCCTTCATGTTGTGAGATGAAAGACAAGCCTGTATTCAAGCCACTGCAAGTAAATCCGGCCTCCTTTCAAATTAGGGCTTCTCGGTGTATATTCCCCTTGAGGCAGCAAACTCGGGGTCCCTCCCACATACCTATTGCTGAGAGAAGCCTCCTCCTGAGGTGCTTCTGGGAAGTTGGCATACGTCTTGAGCCTAAGCCAGGGAATCAGCTCTCATCTCGAGACGATTTGGGGTACACGGAGCATTCCTCGAGTTGCTGTGCTGTAGTTGGTCTTCCTCTGGACTTGGGACAGTGTTCTCGGGGCATCTCTGGAGTTGCCTGAAGGAAGTCGAGCCACAGGTCGTGTTGAATGGGGAACGCGGAATGGCTCTGGAGTCAATGCAGGGGAATCGGGCTTCATCTCGAGTTGATTTGGGGCACATGGAGCTGCTTTGCGTTGCTGGGGTGACCTCAGGGTCCGTCTAGACTGGTGACAGTGTTCTTGGGGACTGTCTCGAGATCCATTAAGCAAGTCGAAGCTCCTGACTTGTTTGAAGCGGATCACGGAATAGCTCTGCATGCACTGCAGGGGAATGGGGCCTCATCTCGCCTCTAGGGGGAAGTCTCAAGGTTTTTCTCGAGTTGCGGCGGGGACCTGGGGTATGTTCTCGACTTACGGCGGGGATGGCCCTTCAAAACACGAGTTTCTTCAGTGACGTCAGGACTCCTGTCTAGAAACGAGGGACACCTCAGGAATCTCTTCGAGGCTTGGCAGGGCAAAAGGGACGCTTCTCGAGGTGAGGCAGGGCACCCAAGCACCCTTTCCAGTAGCCACAGGGATTTTGGGATTCCTATCAGTATTCAAGAGGAGTCAGGCATCATCACCTTTTGAAGCAAGGAACTCCGCGTGCCTCTCGAGGTGTCAGCGGGATGTGAGGCATTCCGTCAAAATGAGGCAGGGACCTAGGGCTTTCTCTAAGGTCTCCACAGGGGATTCAGACATCCCTTCATGTTGTGAGATGAAAGACGAGCCTGTATTCAAGCCACTGCAAGGAAATCCGGCCTCCTTTCAAGTTAGGGCTTCTCGCTGTATATTCCCCTTGAGGCAGCAAACTCGGGGTCCCTCCCACATAACTATTGCTGAGAGAAACCTCCTCCTGAGGTGCTTCTGGGAAGTTGGCATACGTCTTGAGCCTAAGCCAGGGAATCAGCTCTCATCTCGAGACGATTTGGGGTACACGGAGCATTCCTCGAGTTGCTGTGCTGAAGTTGGTGTTCCTCTAGACTTGGGACAGTGTTCTCGGGGCATCTCTGAAGTTTCCTGAAGGAAGTCGAGCCACCGGTCGTGTTGAGTGGGGAACGGGAAATGGCTCTGGAGTCAATGCAGGGGAATAGGGCCTCATCTCGAGTTGATTTGGGGCACATGGAGCTGCTTTGCGTTGCTGGGGTGACCTCAGGTCCGTCTAGACTGGTGACAGTATTCTTGGGGACTGTCTCGAGATCCATTAAGCATGTCGAAGCTCCTGACTTGTTTGAATCGGATCACGGAATAGCTCTGCATGCACTGCCTTGGAATGGGGCCTCATCTCGCCTCTAGGGGGAAGTCTCATGGTTTTTCTCGAGTTGCGGCGGGGACCTGGGGTATGTTCTCGACTTACGGCGGGGATGGCCCTTCAAAACACGAGTTTCTTCAGTGACGTCAGGACTCCTGTCTAGTAACGAGGGACACCTCAGGAATCTCTTCGAGGCTTGGCAGGGCAAAAGGGACGCTTCTCGAGGTGAGGCAGGGCACCCAAGCACCCTTTCCAGTAGCCAGAGTGATTTTGGGATTCCTATCAGTATTCAAGAGGAGTCAGGCATCGTCACCTTTTGAAGCAATGAACTCCGCGTGCCTCTCGAGGTGTCAGCGGGATGTGGGGCATTCCGTCAAAATGAGGCAGGGACCTAGGGCTTTCTCTAAGGTCTCCACAGGGGATTCAGACATCCCTTCATGTTGTGAGATGAAAGACTAGCCTGTATTCAAGCCACTGCAAGGAAATCCGGCCTCCTTTCAAGTTAGGGCTTCTCGCTGTATATTCCCCTTGAGGCAGCAAACTCGGGGTCCTTCCCACATACCTATTGCTGAGAGAAGCCTCCTCCTGAGGTGCTTCTGGGAAGTTGGCATACGTCTTGAGCCTAAGCCAGGGAATCAGCTCTCATCTCGAGACTATTTGGGGTACACGGAGCATTCCTCGAGTTGCTGTGCTGTAGTTGGTCTTCCTCTAGACTTGGGACAGTGTTCTCGGGGCATCTCTGGAGTTGCCTGAAGGAAGTCGAGCCACCGGTCGTGTTGAATGGGGAACGCGGAATGGCTCTGGAGTCAATGCAGGGGAATCGGGCCTCATCTCGAGTTGATTTGGGGCACATGGAGCTGCTTTGCGTTGCTGGGGTGACCTCAGGGTCCGTCTAGACTGGTGACAGTGTTCTTGGGGACTGTCTCGATATCCATTAAGCAAGTCGAAGCTCCAGACTTGTTTGAATCGGATCACGGAATAGCTCTGCATGCACTGCAGGGGAATGGGGCCTCATCTCGCCTCTAGGGGGACGTCTCATGGTTTTTCTCGAGTTGCGGCGGGAACCTGGGGTATGTTCTCGACTTACGGCGGGGATGGCCCTTCAAATCATGAGTTTACTTCATTGAGGTCAGGACTCCTGTCTAATAACGAGGGACACCTCAGGAATCTCTTTGAGGCTTGGCAGCGCAAAAGGGACGCTTCTCGAAGTGAGGCAGGGCACCCAAGGACCCTTTCCAGTAGCCACAGGGATTTTGGGATTCCTATCAGTATTCAAGAGGAGTCAGGCATCGTCACCTTTTGAAGCAATGAACTCCACGTGCCTCTCGAGGTGTCAGCGGGATGTGAGGCATTCCGTCAAAATGAGGCAGGGACCTAGGGCTTTCTCTAAGGTCTCCACAGGGGATTCAGACATCCCTTCATGTTGTGAGATGAAAGACGAGACTGTATTCAAGCCACTGCAAGGAAATCCGGCCTCCTTTCAAGTTAGGGCTTCTCGCTGAATATTCCCCTTGAGGCAGCAAACTCGGGGTCCCTCCCACATACCTATTGCTGAGAGAAACCTCCTCCTGAGGTGCTTCTGGGAAGTTGGCATACGTCTTGAGCCTAAGCCAGGGAATCAGCTCTCATCTCGAGACGATTTGGGGTACACGGAGCATTCCTCGAGTTGCTGTGCTGAAGTTGGTGTTCCTCTAGACTTGGGACAGTGTTCTCGGGGCATCTCTGGAGTTGCCTAAGGAAGTCGAGCCACCGGTCGTGTTGAGTGGGGAACGGGAAATGGCTCTGGAGTCAATGCAGGGGAATAGGGCCTCATCTCGAGTTCATTTGGGGCACATGGAGCTGCTTTGCGTTGCTGGGGTGACCTCAGGGTCCGTCTAGACTGGTGACAGTATTCTTGGGGACTGTCTCGAGATCCATTAAGCAAGTCGAAGCTCCTGACTTGTTTGAATCGGATCACGGAATAGCTCTGCATGCACTGCAGGGGAATGGGGCCTCATCTCGCCTCTAGGGGGAAGTCTCATGGTTTTTCTCGAGTTGCGGCGGGGACCTGGGGTATGTTCTCGACTTACGGCGGGGATGGCCCTTCAAAACACGAGTTTCTTCAGTGACGTCAGGACTCCTGTCTAGTAACGAGGGACACCTCAGGAATCTCTTCGAGGCTTGGCAGGGCAAAAGGGACGCTTCTCGAGGTGAGGCAGGGCACCCAAGCACCCTTTCCAGTAGCCACAGGGATTTTGGGATTCCTATCGGTATTCAAGAGGAGTCAGGCATCGTCACCTTTTGAAGCAATGAACTCCGCGTGCCTCTCGAGGTGTCAGCGGGATGTGGGGCATTCCGTCAAAATGAGGCAGGGACCTAGGGCTTTCTCTAAGGTCTCCAGAGGGGATTCAGACATCCCTTCATGTTGTGAGATGAAAGACTAGCCTGTATTCAAGCCACTGCAAGGAAATCCGGCCTGCTTTCAAGTTAGGGCTTCTCGCTGTATATTCCCCTTGAGGCAGCAAACTCGGGGTCCCTCCCACATAACTATTGCTGAGAGAAGCCTCCTCCTGAGGTGCTTCTGGGAAGTTGGCATACGTCTTGAGCCTAACCCAGGGAATCAGCTCGCATCTCGAGACGATTTGGGGTACACGGAGCATTCCTCGAGTTGCTGTGCTGAAGTTGGTGTTCCTCTAGACTTGGGACAGTGTTCTCGGGGCATCTCTGGAGTTGCCTAAGGAAGTCGAGCCACCGGTCTTGTTGAGTGGGGAACGGGGAGTGGCTCTGGAGTCAATGCAGGGGAATCGCGCCTCATCTCGAGTTGATTTGGGGCACATGGAGCTGCTTTGCGTTGCTGGGGTGACCTCAGGGTCCGTCTAGACTGGTGACAGTGTTCTTGGGGACTGTCTCGAGATCCATTAAGCAAGTCGAAGCTCCTGACTTGTTTGAATGGGATCACGGAATAGCTCTGCATGCACTGCAGGGGAATGGGGCCTCATCTCGCCTCTAGGGGGAAGTCTCATGGTTTTTCTCGAGTTGCGGCGGGGACCTGGGGTATGTTCTCGACTTACGGCGGGGATGGCCCTTCAAAACACGAGTTTCTTCAGTGACGTCAGGACTCCTGTCTAGTAACGAGGGACACCTCAGGAATCTCTTCGAGGCTTGGCAGGGCAAAAGGGACGCTTCTCGAGGTGAGGCAGGGCACCCAAGGACCCTTTCCAGTAGCCACAGGGATTTTGGGATTCCTATCAGTATTCAAGCGGAGTCAGGCATCGTCACCTTTTGAAGCAATGAACTCCGCGTGCCTCTCGAGGTGTCAGCGGGATGTGGGGCATTCCGTCAAAATGAGGCAGGGACCTAGGGCTTTCTCTAAGGTCTCCACAGGGGATTCAGACATCCCTTCATGTTGTGAGATGAAAGACTAGCCTGTATTCAAGCCACTGCAAGGAAATCCGGCCTCCTTTCAAGTTAGGGCTTCTCGCTGTATATTCCCCTTGAGGCAGCAAACTCGGGGTCCCTCCCACATAACTATTGCTGAGAGAAGCCTCCTCCTGAGGTGCTTCTGGGAAGTTGGCATACGTCTTGAGCCTAAGCCAGGGAATCAGCTCGCATCTCGAGACGATTTGGGGTACACGGAGCATTCCTCGAGTTGCTGTGCTGTAGTTGGTCTTCCTCTAGACTTGGGACAGTGTTCTCGGGGCATCTCTGGAGTTGCCTGAAGGAAGTCGAGCCACAGGTCGTGTTGAATGGGGAACGCGGAATGGCTCTGGAGTCAATGCAGGGGAATCGGGCCTCATCTCGAGTTGATTTGGGGCACATGGAGCTGCTTTGCGTTGCTGGGGTGACCTCAGGGTCCGTCTAGACTGGTGACAGTGTTCTTGGGGACTGTCTCGAGATCCATTAAGCAAGTCGAAGCTCCTGACTTGTTTGAATCGGATCACGGAATAGCTCTGCATGCACTGCAGGGGAATGGGGCCTCATCTCGCCTCTAGGGGGAAGTCTCAAGGTTTTTCTCGAGTTGCGGCGGGGACCTGGGGTATGTTCTCGACTTACGGCGGGGATGGCCCTTCAAAACACGAGTTTCTTCAGTGACGTCAGGACTCCTATCTAGAAACGAGGGACACCTCAGGAATCTCTTCGAGGCTTGGCAGGGCAAAAGGGACGCTTCTCGAAGTGAGGCAGGGCACCCAAGCACCCTTTCCAGTAGCCACAGGGATTTTGGGATTCCTATCAGTATTCAAGAGGAGTCAGGCATCATCACCTTTTGAAGCAAGGAACTCCGCGTGCCTCTCGAGGTGTCAGCGGGATGTGGGGCATTCCGTCAAAATGAGGCAGGGACCTAGGGCTTTCTCTAAGGTCTCCACAGGGGATTCAGACATCCCTTCATGTTGTGAGATGAAAGACTAGCCTGTATTCAAGCCACTGCAAGGAAATCCGGCCTCCTTTCAAGTTAGGGCTTCTCGCTGTATATTCCCCTTGAGGCAGCAAACTCGGGGTCCCTCCCACATACCTATTGCTGAGAGAAGCCTCCTCCTGAGGTGCTTCTGGGAAGTTGGCATACGTCTTGAGCCTAAGCCAGGGAATCAGCTCTCATCTCGAGATGATTTGGGTTACACGGAGCATTCCTCGAGTTGCTGTGCTGAAGTTGGTCTTCCTCTAGACTTGGGACAGTGTTCTCGGGGCATCTCTGGAGTTGCCTGAAGGAAGTCGAGCCACCGGTCGTGTTGAATGAGGAACAGGGAATGGCTCTGGAGTCAATGCAGGGGAATCGGGCCTCATCTCGAGTTGATTTGGGGCACATGGAGCTGCTTTGCGTTGCTGGGGTGACCTCAGCGTCCGTCTAGACTGGTGACAGTGTTCTTGGGGACTGTCTCGATATCCATTAAGCAAGTCGAAGCTCCAGACTTGTTTGAATCGGATCACGGAATAGCTCTGCATGCACTGCAGGGGAATGGGGCCTCATCTCGCCTCTAGGGGGACGTCTCATGGTTTTTCTCGAGATGCGGCGGGGACCTGGGGTATGTTCTCGACTTACGGCGGGGATGGCCCTTCAAATCATGAGTTTACTTCAGTGAGGTCAGGACTCCTGTCTAGTAACGAGGGACACCTCAGGAATCTCTTCGAGGCTTGGCAGCGCAAAAGGACGCTTCTCGAGTGAGGCAGGGCACCCAAGGACCCTTTCCAGTAGCCACAGGGATTTTGGGATTCCTATCAGTATTCAAGAGGAGTCAGGCATCGTCACCTTTTGAAGCAATGAACTCCGCGTGCCTCTCGAGGTGTCAGCGGGATGTGAGGCATTCCGTCAAAATGAGGCAGGGACCTAGGGCTTTCTCTAAGGTCTCCACAGGGGATTCAGACATCCCTTCATGTTGTGAGATGAAAGACGAGACTGTATTCAAGCCACTGCAAGGAAATCCGGCCTCCTTTCAAGTTAGGGCTTCTCTCTGAATATTTCCCTTGAGGCAGCAAACTCGGGGTCCCTCCCACATACCTATTGCTGAGAGAAACCTCCTCCTGAGGTGCTTCTGGGAAGTTGGCATACGTCTTGAGCCTAAGCCAGGGAATCAGCTCTCATCTCGAGACGATTTGGGGTAAACGGAGCATTCCTCGAGTTGCTGTGCTGAAGTTGGTGTTCCTCTAGACTTGGGACAGTGTTCTCGGGGCATCTCTGGAGTTGCCTGAAGGAAGTCGAGCCACCGGTCTTGTTAAGTGGGGAACGGGGAGTGGCTCTGGAGTCAATGCAGGGGAATCGCGCCTCATCTCGAGTTGATTTGGGGCACATGGAGCTGCTTTGCGTTGCTGGGGTGACCTCAGGGTCCGTCTAGACTGGTGACAGTGTTCTTGGGGACTGTCTCGAGATCCATTAAGCAAGTCGAAGCTCGTGACTTGTTTGAATGGGATCACGGAATAGCTCTGCATGCACTGCAGGGGAATGGGGCCTCATCTCGCCTCTAGGGGGAAGTCTCATGGTTTTTCTCGAGTTGCGGCGGGGACCTGGGGTATGTTCTCGACTTACGGCGGGGATGGCCCTTCAAAACACGAGTTTCTTCAGTGACGTCAGGACTCCTGTCTAGTAACGAGGGACACCTCAGGAATCTCTTCGAGGCTTGGCAGGGCAAAAGGGACGCTTCTCGAGGTGAGGCAGGGCACCCAAGGACCCTTTCCAGTAGCCACAGGGATTTTGGGATTCCTATCAGTATTCAAGAGGAGTCAGGCATCGTCACCTTTTGAAGCAATGAACTCCGCGTGCCTCTCGAGGTGTCAGCGGGATGTGGGGCATTCCGTCAAAATGAGGCAGGGACCTAGGGCTTTCTCTAAGGTCTCCACAGGGGATTCAGACATCCCTTCATGTTGTGAGATGAAAGACTAGCCTGTATTCAAGCCACTGCAAGGAAATCCGGCCTCCTTTCAAGTTAGGGCTTCTCGCTGTATATTCCCCTTGAGGCAGCAAACTCGGGGTCCCTGCCACATAACTATTGCTGAGAGAAGCCTCCTCCTGAGGTGCTTCTGGGAAGTTGGCATACGTCTTGAGCCTAAGCCAGGGAATCAGCTCTCATCTCCAGACGATTTGGGGTACACGGAGCATTCCTCGAGTTGCTGTGCTGAAGTTGGTGTTCCTCTAGACTTGGGACAGTGTTCTCGGGGCATCTCTGGAGTTGCCTGAAGGAAGTCGAGCCACCGGTCGTGTTGAATTGGGAACGGGGAATGGCTCTGGAGTCAATGCAGGGGAATCGGGCCTCATCTCGAGTTGATTTGGGGCACATGGAGCTGCTTTGCGTTGCTGGGGTGACCTCAGCGTCCGTCTAGACTGGTGACAGGGTTCTTGGGGACTGTCTCGAGATCCATTAAGCAAGTCGAAGCTCCTGACTTGTTTGAATGGGATCACGGAATAGCTCTGCATGCACTGCAGGGGAATGGGGCCTCATCTCGCCTCTAGGGGGAAGTCTCATGGTTTTTCTCGAGTTGCGGCGGGGACCTGGGGTATGTTCTCGACTTACGGCGGGGATGGTCCTTCAAATCATGAGTTTCTTCACTGAGGTCAGGACTCCTGTCTAGTAACGAGGGACACCTCAGGAATCTCTTCGAGGCTTGGCAGGGCAAAAGGGACGCTTCTCGAAGTGAGGCAGGGCACCCAAGGACCCTTTCCAGTAGCCACAGGGATTTTGGGATTCCTATCAGTATTCAAGAGGAGTTAGGCATCGTCACCTTTTGAAGCAATGAACTCCGCGTGCCTCTCGAGGTGTCAGCGGGATGTGGGGCATTCCGTCAAAATGAGGCAGGGACCTAGGGCTTTCTCTAAGGTCTCCACAGGGGATTCAGACATCCCTTCATGTTGTGAGATGAAAGACGAGCCTGTATTCAAGCCACTGCAAGGAAATCCGGCCTCCTTTCAAGTTAGGGCTTCTCGCTGTATATTCCCCTTGAGGCAGCAAACTCGGGGTCCCTCCCACATACCTATTGCTGAGAGAAGCCTCCTCCTGAGGTGCTTCTGGGAAGTTGGCATACGTCTTGAGCCTAAGCCAGGGAATCAGCTCTCATCTCGAGACGATTTGGGGTACACGGAGCATTCCTCGAGTTGCTGTGCTGAAGTTGGTCTTCCTCTAGACTTGGGACAGTGTTCTCGGGGCATCTCTGGAGTTGCCTGAAGGAAGTCGAGCCACCGGTCGTGTTGAGTGGGGAACGGGGAATGGCTCTGGAGTCAATGCAGGGGAATCGGGCCTCATCTCGAGTTGATTTGGGGCACATGGAGCTGCTTTGCGTTGCTGGGGTGACCTCAGGGTCCGTCTAGACTGGTGACAGTGTTCTTGGGGACTGTCTCGAGATCCATTAAGTAAGTCGAAGCTCCTGACTTGTTTGAATCGGATCACGGAATAGCTCTGCATGCACTGCAGGGGAATGGGGCCTCATCTCGCCTGTAGGGGGAAGTCTCATGGTTTTTCTCGAGTTGCGGTGGGGACCTGGGGTATGTTCTCGACTTACGGCGGGGATGGCCCTTCAAACCACGAGTTTCTTCCATGACGTCAGGACTCCTGTCTAGTAACGAGGGACACCTCAGGAATCTCTTCGAGGCTTGGCAGGGCAAAAGGGACGCTTCTCGAGGTGAGGCAGGGCACCCAAGGACCCTTTCCAGTAGCCACAGGGATTTTGGGATTCCTATCAGTATTCAAGAGGAGTCAGGCATCGTCACCTTTTGAAGCAATGAACTCCGCGTGCCTCTCGAGGTGTCAGCGGGATGTGAGGAATTCCGTCAAAATGAGGCAGGGACCTAGGGCTTTCTCTAAGGTCTCCACAGGGGATTCAGACATCCCTTCATGTTGTGAGATGAAAGACGAGCCTGTATTCAAGCCACTGCAAGGAAATCCGGCCTCCTTTCAAGTTAGGGCTTCTCGCTGTATATTCCCCTTGAGGCAGCAAACTCGGGGTCCCTCCCACATACCTATTGCTGAGAGAAGCCTCCTCCTGAGGTGCTTCTGGGAAGTTGGCATACGTCTTGAGCCTAAGCCAGGGAATCAGCTCTCATCTCGAGACGATTTGGGGTACACGGAGCATTCCTCGAGTTGCTGTGCTGAAGTTGGTCTTCCTCTAGACTTGGGACAGTGTTCTCGGGGCATCTCTGGAGTTGCCTGAAGGAAGTCGAGCCACCGGTCGTGTTGAGTGGGGAACGGGTAATGGCTCTGGAGTCAATGCAGGGGAATCGGGCCTCATCTCAAGTTGATTTGGGGCACATGGAGCTGCTTTGCGTTGCTGGGGTGACCTCAGGGTCCGTCTAGACTGGTGACAGTGATCTTGGGGACTGTCTCGAGATCCATTAAGCAAGTCGAAGCTCCTGACTTGTTTGAATGGGATCACGGAATAGCTCTGCATGCACTGCAGGGGAATGGGGCCTCATCTCGCCTCTAGGGGGAAGTCTCATGGTTTTTCTCGAGTTGCGGCGGGGACCTGGGGTATGTTCTCGACTTACGGCGGGGAAGGCCCTTCAAAACACGAGTTTCTTCAGTGACGTCAGGACTCCTGTCTAGTAACGAGGGACACCTCAGGAATCTCTTCGAGGCTTGGCCGGGCCAAAGGGACGCTTCTCGAGGTGAGGCAGGGTACCCAAGTACCCTTTCCAGTAGCCATAGGGATTTTGGGATTCCTATCAGTATTCAAGAGGAGTCAGGCATCGTCACCTTTTGAAGCAATGAACTCCGCGTGCCTCTCGAGGTGTCAGCGGGATGTGAGGCATTCCGTCAAAATGAAGCAGTGACCTAGGGCTTTCTCTAAGGTCTCCACAGGGGATTCAGACATCCCTTCATGTTGTGAGATGAAAGACGAGCCTGTATTCAAGCCACTGCAAGGAAATCCGGCCTCCTTTCAAGTTAGGGCTTCTCGCTGTATATTCCCCTTGAGGCAGCAAACTCGGGGTCCCTCCCACATACCTATTGCTGAGAGAAGCCTCCTCCTGAGGTGCTTCTGGGAAGTTGGCATACGTCTTGAGCCTAAGCCAGGGAATCAGCTCTCATCTCGAGACGATTTGGGGTACACGGAGCATTCCTCGAGTTGCTGTGCTGAAGTTGGTGTTCCTCTAGACTTGGGACAGTGTTCTCGGGGCATCTCTGGAGTTGCCTGAAGGAAGTCGAGCCACCGGTCGTGTTGAGTGGGGAACGGGGAATGGCTCTGGAGTCAATGCAGGGGAATCGGGCCTCATCTCGAGTTGATTTGGGGCACATGGAGCTGCTTTGCGTTGCTGGGGTGACCTCAGGGTCCGTCTAGACTGGTGACAGTGTTCTTGGGGACTGTCTCGAGATCCATTAAGCAAGTCGAAGCTCGTGACTTGTTTGAATGGGATCACGGAATAGCTCTGCATGCACTGCAGGGGAATGGGGCCTCATCTCGCCTCTAGGGGGAAGTCTCATGGTTTTTCTCGAGTTGCGGCGGGGACCTGGGGTATGTTCTCGACTTACGGCGGGGATGGCCCTTCAAAACACGAGTTTCTTCAGTGACGTCTGGACTCCTGTCTAGTAACGAGGGACACCTCAGGAATCTCTTCGAGGCTTGGCAGGGCAAAAGGGACGCTTCTCGAGGTGAGGCAGGGCACCCAAGGACCCTTTCCAGTAGCCACAGGGATTTTGGGATTCCTATCAGTATTCAAGAGGAGTCAGGCATCGTCACCTTTTGAAGCAATGAACTCCGCGTGCCTCTCGAGGTGTCAGCGGGATGTGGGGCATTCCGTCAAAATGAGGCAGGGACCTAGGGCTTTCTCTAAGGTCTCCACAGGGGATTCAGACATCCCTTCATGTTGTGAGATGAAAGACTAGCCCGTATTCAAGCCAGTGCAAGGAAATCCGGCCTCCTTTCAAGTTAGGGCTTCTCGCTGTATATTCCCCTTGAGGCAGCAAACTCGGGGTCCCTCCCACATAACTATTGCTGAGAGAAGCCTCCTCCTGAGGTGCTTCTGGGAAGTTGGCATACGTCTTGAGCCTAAGCCAGGGAATCAGCTCTCATCTCGAGACGATTTGGGTTACACGGAGCATTCCTCGAGTTGCTGTGCTGAAGTTGGTGTTCCTCTAGACTTGGGACAGTGTTCTCGGGGCATCTCTGGAGTTGCCTGACGGAAGTCGAGCCACCGGTCGTGTTGAATTGGGAACGGGGAATGGCTCTGGAGTCAATGCAGGGGAATCGGGCCTCATCTCGAGTTGATTTGGGGCACATGGAGCTGCTTTGCGTTGCTGGGGTGACCTCAGCGTCCGTCTAGACTGGTGACAGGGTTCTTGGGGACTGTCTCGAGATCCATTAAGCAAGTCAAAGCTCCTGACTTGTTTGAATGGGATCACGGAATAGCTCTGCATGCACTGCAGGGGAATGGGGCCTCATCTCGCCTCTAGGGGGAAGTCTCATGGTTTTTCTCGAGTTGCGGCGGGGACCTGGGGTATGTTCTCGACTTACGGCGGGGATGGTCCTTCAAATCATGAGTTTCTTCACTGAGATCAGGACTCCTGTCTAGTAACGAGGGACACCTCAGGAATCTCTTCGAGGCTTGGCAGGGCAAAAGGGACGCTTCTCGAGGTGAGGCAGGGCACCCAAGGACCCTTTCCAGTATCCACAGGGATTTTGGGATTCCTATCAGTATTCAAGAGGAGTCAGGCATCGTCACCTTTTGAAGCAATGAACTCCGCGTGCCTCTCGAGGTGTCAGCGGGATGTGAGGCATTCCGTCAAAATGAGGCAGTGACCTAGGGCTTTCTCTAAGGTCTCCACAGGGGATTCAGACATCCCTTCATGTTGTGAGATGAAAGACGAGCCTGTATTCAAGCCACTGCAAGGAAATCCGGCCTCCTTTCAAGTTAGGGCTTCTCGCTGTATATTCCCCTTGAGGCAGCAAACTCGGGGTCCCTCCCACATACCTATTGCTGAGAGAAGCCTCCTCCTGAGGTGCTTCTGGGAAGTTGGCATACGTCTTGAGCCTAAGCCAGGGAATAGCTCTCATCTCGAGACGATTTGGGGTACATGGAGCATTCCTCGAGTTGCTGTGCTGAAGTTGGTGTTCCTCTAGACTTGGGACAGTGTTCTCGGGGCATCTCTGGAGTTGCCTGAAGGAAGTCGAGCCACCGGTCGTGTTGAGTGGGGAACGGGGAATGGCTCTGAAGTCAATGCAGGGGAATCGAGCCTCATCTCGAGTTGATTTGGGGCACATGGAGCTGCTTTGCGTTGCTGGGGTGACCTCAGGGTCCGTCTAGACTGGTGACAGTGTTCTTGGGGACTGTCTCGAGATACATTAAGCAAGTCGAAGCTCCTGACTTGTTTGAATCGGATCACGGAATAGCTCTGCATGCACTGCAGGGGAATGGGGCCTCATCTCGCCTCTAGGGGGACGTCTCATGTTTTTTCTCGAGTTGCGGCGGGGACCTGGGGTATGTTCTCGACTTACGGCGGGGATGGCACTTCAAATCATGAGTTTACTTCAGTGAGGTAAGGACTCCTGTCTAGTAACGAGGGACACCTCCGGAATCTCTTCGAGGCTTGGCAGCGCAAAAGGGACGCTTCTCGAAGTGAGGCAGGGCACCCAAGGACCCTTTCCAGTAGCGACAGGGATTTTGGGATTCCTATCAGTATTCAAGAGGAGTCAGGCATCTTCACCTTTTGAAGCAATGAACTCCGCGTGCCTCTCGAGGTGTCAGCGGGATGTGGGGCATTCCGTCAAAATGAGGCAGGGACCTAGGGCTTTCTCTAAGGTCTCCACAGGGGATTCAGACATCCCTTCATGTTGTGAGATGAAAGACTAGCCTGTATTCAAGCCACTGCAAGGAAATCCGGCCTCCTTTCAAGTTAGGGCTTCTCGCTGTATATTCCCCTTGAGGCATCAAACTCGGGGTCCCTCCCACATACCTATTGCTGAGAGAAGCCTCCTCCTGAGGTGCTTCTGGGAAGTTGGCATACGTCTTGAGCCTAAGCCAGGGAATCAGCTCTCATCTCGAGACGATTTGGGGTACACGGAGCATTCCTCGAGTTGCTGTGCTGACGTTGGTGTTCCTCTAGACTTGGGACAGTGTTCTCGGGGCATCTCTGGAGTTGCCTGAAGGAAGTCAAGCCACCGGTCGTGTTGAATTGGGAACGGGGAATGGCTCTGGGGTCAATGCAGGGGAATCGGGCCTCATCTCGAGTTGATTTGGGGCACATGGAGCTGCTTTGCGTTGCTGGGGTGACCTCAGGGTCCGTCTAGACTGGTGACAGTGTTCTTGGGGACTGTCTCGAGATCCATTAAGCAAGTCGAAGCTCCTGACTTGTTTGAATGGGATCACGGAATAGCTCTGCATGCACTGCAGGGGAATGGGGCCTCATCTCGCCTGTAGGGGGAAGTCTCATGGTTTTTCTCGAGTTGCGGCGGGGACCTGGGGTATGTTCTCGACTTACGGCGGGGATGGTCCTTCAAATCATGAGTTTCTTCAGTGAAGTCAGGACTCCTGTCTAGTAACGAGGGACACCTCAGGAATCTCTTCGAGGCTTGGCAGGGCAAAAGGGACGCTTCTCGAGGTGAGGCAGGGCACCCAAGGACCCTTTCCAGTAGCCACAGGGATTTTGGGATTCCTATCAGTATTCAAGAGGAGTCAGGCATCGTCACCTTTTGAAGCAATGAACTCCGCGTGCCTGTCGAGGTGTCAGCGGGATGTGAGGCATTCCGTCAAAATGAGGCAGGGACCTAGGGCTTTCTCTAAGGTCTCCACAGGGGATTCAGACATCCCTTCATGTTGTGAGATGAAAGACTAGCCTGTATTCAAGCCACTGCAAGGAAATCCGGCCTCCTTTCAAGTTAGGGCTTCTCGCTGTATATTCCCCTTGAGGCAGCAAACTCGGGGTCCCTCCCACATACCTATTGCTGAGAGAAGCCTCCTCCTGAGGTGCTTCTGGGAAGTTGGCATACGTCTTGAGCCTAAGCCAGGGAATCAGCTCTCATCTCGAGACGATTTGGGGTACACGGAGCATTCCTCGAGTTGCTGTGCTGAAGTTGGTGTTCCTCTAGACTTGGGACAGTGTTCTCGGGGCATCTCTGAAGTTTCCTGAAGGAAGTCGAGCCACCGGTCGTGTTGAGTGGGGAACGGGGAATGGCTCTGGAGTCAATGCAGGGGAATCGGGCCTCATCTCGAGTTGATTTGGGGCACATGGAGCTGCTTTGCGTTGCTGGGGTGACCTCAGGGTCCGTCTAGACTGGTGACAGTGTTCTTGGGGACTGTCTCGAGATCCATTAAGCAAGTCGAAGCTCCTGACTTGTTTGAATCGGATCACGGAATAGCTCTGCATGCACTGCAGGGGAATGGGGCCTCATCTCGCCTCTAGGGGGACGTCTCATGGTTTTTCTCGAGTTGCGGCGGGGACCTGGGGTATGTTCTCGACTTACGGCGGGGATGGCACTTCAAATCATGGGTTTACTTCAGTGAGGTAAGGACTCCTGTCTAGTAACGAGGGACACCTCCGGAATCTCTTCGAGGCTTGGCAGCGCAAAAGGGACGCTTCTCGAAGTGAGGCAGGGCACCCAAGGACCCTTTCCAGTAGCGACAGGGATTTTGGGATTCCTATCAGTATTCAAGAGGAGTCAGGCATCTTCACCTTTTGAAGCAATGAACTCCGCGTGCCTCTCGAGGTGTCAGCGGGATGTGGGGCATTCCGTCAAAATGAGGCAGGGACCTAGGGCTTTCTCTAAGGTCTCCACAGGGGATTCAGACATCCCTTCATGTTGTGAGATGAAAGACTAGCCTGTATTCAAGCCACTGCAAGGAAATCCGGCCTCCTTTCAAGTTAGGGCTTCTCGCTGTATATTCCCCTTGAGGCAGCAAACTCGGGGTCCCTCCCACATAACTATTGCTGAGAGAAGCCTCCTCCTGAGGTGCTTCTGGGAAGTTGGCATACGTCTTGAGCCTAAGCCAGGGAATCAGCTCTCATCTCGAGACGATTTGGGGTACACGGAGCATTCCTCGAGTTGCTGTGCTGAAGTTGGTGTTCCTCTAGACTTGGGACAGTGTTCTCGGGGCATTTCTGGAGTTGCCTGAAGGAAGTCGAGCCACCGGTCGTGTTGAATTGGGAACGGGGAATGGCTCTGGAGTCAATACAGGGGAATCGGGCCTCATCTCGAGTTGATTTGGGGCACATGGATCTGCTTTGCATTGCTGGGGTGACCTCAGCTTCCGTCTACACTGGTGACAGTGTTCTTGGGGACTGTCTCGAGATCCATTAAGCAAGTCGAAGCTCCTGACTTGTTTGAATGGGATCACGGAATAGCTCTGCATGCACTGCAGGGGAATGGGGCCTCATCTCGCCTCTAGGGGGAAGTCTCATGGTTTTTCTCGAGTTGCGGCGGGGACCTGGGGTATGTTCTCGACTTACGGCGGGGATGGTCCTTCAAATCATGAGTTTCTTCACTGAGGTCAGGACTCCTGTCTAGTAACGAGGGACACCTCAGGAATCTCTTCGAGGCTTGGCAGGGCAAAAGGGACGCTTCTCGAGGTGAGGCAGGGCACCCAAGGACCCTTTCCAGTATCCACAGGGATTTTGGGATTCCTATCAGTATTCAAGAGGAGTCAGGCATCGTCACCTTTTGAAGCAATGAACTCCGCGTGCCTCTCGAGGTGTCAGCGGGATGTGAGGCATTCCGTCAAAATGAAGCAGTGACCTAGGGCTTTCTCTAAGGTCTCCACAGGGGATTCAGACATCCCTTCATGTTGTGAGATGAAAGACGAGCCTGTATTCAAGCCCCTGCAAGGAAATCCGGCCTCCTTTCAAGTTAGGGCTTCTCGCTGTATATTCCCCTTGAGGCAGCAAACTCGGGGTCCCTCCCACATACCTATTGCTGAGAGAAGCCTCCTCCTGAGGTGCTTCTGGGAAGTTGGCATACGTCTTGAGCCTAAGCCAGGGAATCAGCTCTCATCTCGAGACGATTTGGGGTACACGGAGCATTCCTCGAGTTGCTGTGCTGAAGTTGGTGTTCCTCTAGACTTGGGACAGTGTTCTCGGGGCATCTCTGGAGTTGCCTGAAGGAAGTCGAGCCACCGGTCGTGTTGAGTGGGGAACGGGGAATGGCTCTGGAGTCAATGCAGGGGAATCGGGCCTCATCTCGAGTTGATTTGGGGCACATGGAGCTGCTTTGCGTTGCTGGGGTGACCTCAGGGTCCGTCTAGACTGGTGACAGTGATCTTGGGGACTGTCTCGAGATCCATTAAGCAAGTCGAAGCTCCTGACTTGTTTGAATGGGATCATGGAATAGCTCTGCATGCACTGCAGGGGAATGGGGCCTCATCTCGCCTCTAGGGGGACGTCTCATGGTTTTTCTCGAGTTGCGGCGGGGACCTGGGGTATGTCCTCGACTTACGGCGGGGATGGCCCTTCAAATCATGAGTTTACTTCAGTGAGGTCAGGACTCCTGTCTAGTAACGAGGGACACCTCCGGAATCTCTTCGAGGCTTGGCAGCGCAAAAGGGACGCTTCTCGAAGTGAGGCAGGGCACCCAAGGACCCTTTCCAGTAGCCACAGGGATTTTGGGATTCTTATCAGTATTCAAGAGGAGTCAGGCATCTTCACCTTTTGAAGCAATGAACTCCGCGTGCCTCTCGAGGTGTCAGCGGGCAGTGGGGCATTCCGTCAAAATGAGGCAGGGACCTAGGGCTTTCTCTAAGGTCTCCACAGGGGATTCAGACATCCCTTCATGTTGTGAGATGAAAGACTAGCCTGTATTCAAGCCACTGCAAGGAAATCCGGCCTCCTTTCAAGTTAGGGCTTCTCGCTGTATATTCCCCTTGAGGCAGCAAACTCGGGGTCCCTCCCACATAACTATTGCTGAGAGAAGCCTCTTCCTGAGGTGCTTCTGGGAAGTTGGCATACGTCTTGAGCCTAAGCCAGGGAATCAGCTCTCATCTCGAGACGATTTGGGTTACACGGAGCATTCCTCGAGTTGCTGTGCTGAAGTTGGTCTTCCTCTAGACTTGGGACAGTGTTCTCGGG